TCACCCGTCCAACCCCGTTTTACAGCTGCTAGGAACATCCGGGAAATCAGCCTTATTGCACTGCTACGATACTGGACTGTTCTACCAGCAAACGGCGCCTCGTACTCTTTACTGTACTTCTCGTTCTCGCAATGGCACATTGTTTGAGCTGAGCTGAGCCTTTTAACTTTGTTACGCCCTGCACCTTCCGCACCGACTGTGCGTCAACAATCCGATTATCCAGATGGATTCGACTGTAACGTCTCATCAGTCCCTGTTCACTACCGTTCTGGAACCCAAAACCGTCATGCCTCTTCTTCCCCTGCTTCTACCCGTCCCTCATCAGCGGCCCGGCTTCTAGAACGGAGCGCTCAGAAGCATTCAATTTCAAGTTGCTTTTTCTGCCTAGGTGGCGACAAGGGCTCAATTCGACCACTCAGTTGCGGCGCGGCACCATCGCCGCACACCTCACAGTACCCTGTACATATTATTCGACTACGGACACCCAAAAACGAGTCACGACGCCGCTCTCCTCCGTACGTCTGGGGCTGCCCATCCATGCCGTGTGCTTCAATATCGACAGTGGCACCCTATAACAGAACAAGGCCCGCCAATCCGAGTCGTCCAAGTCAGCGTCTGCGACGTCGATGGGACTATCTTCGGAAAAAACAGAAAACGGAAACTCTTTTCTAAATGCTGGACGGGACTGCCCACGATTCGACTCAAGGCCACCATCGTCTCACAAGCCCCCTATCCGTACCAACAACTGATGCGCCATACCTGAACACTTTGCAGCATCAACTCATTTTGTGAAAGCCGTTCGCCTCAGCTCTAAGACATTTCCAGCTTCGCAGGCGTCATGGACCGTCTTTTGCCTGTGCAGGGTTGCAGATTTCCGTGGCAAGGGACGCTCCGAGACAAGGGGGCAAGTGACAGGCTTGAGCCCTGAAGCCTCTCGCAACTCTTCCTTCATTGCTTTTTCCCAACCCCACCATTGAAGCGGTCATGGCTCCTGAGCTTGTCAGGATCATGGGTATTGCGCCCGGACTGCAGATTGAACCACTGATATGGCAGCTCCGGTCTGATATGCTGACCGCCAAACTCGGATTTCGATCCAGATACCAAACCATCCCAACGGATACATCGATATGGCCAAAACCAGCTGAAAGAGGTCCCAAGTCAACGAAGCGCTCACCCACGCCAACATGGCGTCATGTCATCACCCAATATGTGGCTGGACCTGCCGCAGACTGGTTTCTTTTCAGCGGATCAACACTCCATGTTTTGGACGGGATGCCTTCATCCGTGGAAAAGGGGATGCGCCCTGCATAGACCCGGACAACTTTCTTTGAAGGAAGTCACAGAGGTCTCGACCAGCAGCGTCAAAATCACGGTTGGCGCGGCCCCCAAATATCCACTTGAGCCCCAAAGTTGCTCTGATTCGACCCCATGTAAGACCGACTGGGTATTTTTGTTGCGCGCACGATTCGGACGACCGCCCCAGAAGTTTTGTACAGTTGCAAGGGGTTTTGAAATCCACATGAAAAAGAGGATATTCTTGGGTCAACAAAATCGAAAATTGACCTGATGAAGTCCCCACAAACTCCATAGCTCCGGGCCTCGGTCCTGGTTGACCAAAACTGCCAGAGCCTACCCGGGTATGGCAAGTCCTATCAATCTCCCGGCGGGAACGCAAAGCGAAGCGCCTTCTTGTCCAGCGCTCAGTGAAGAGGCTTGCTTTTCCAAGGCTAGCACATATCGGACGAACCGCCCTGAGAACTGGCCGTACCAGAAGACTGTCAGTTTTGTTGACGGCAAGGCGGGATCAATTCGCAAATCATAACAATAACACTGCTCGATATAGCTGGCTAGTTGTGGTTCTCCTGGTACATCGACCGCTGGCAAAAAGGCAGGGCGGCCGACGGCAGGCGGTTATTGCTACCTTGCTCATAACATGGTAACCCCAAAGACGGGAAGGGAATCCTCAGAACCCATCCCTCGGACGAATGCGGACTGACGAGATGAACTTTTGGGAAATCGACCACTAATTTCCGAGCGACAATTTGCAGCATACAACAGTGCTCAGAGACGAGCCAAGCAATGTGGTGTTGTTGACAGCACTCAAGCGCCATCCCGGCGGGATAGGGATTGGCTGTATTGCATTGTCACTTGGCCATACCCTTGATCCGACTTCGCCATGTATTCATTTCCGACAGACTTTTGCAAATAACTAAGAGCTTTCGCTGAGTTATCTCACGGCCAGTCCACGTCAAGTATCAAGCGCGGAATGAAAAACAGCCTGGCTGTCATGGCACCTTTCCACGACTAGTCCCATGGGCCCATGAGAACACGCGGAAACGCGGTGCGTTGAACTCAGACACGTTCCAGTCTTTCCATTCTCTTTCCACTCCTTCTTCCAAAAGGACAAGCGCGCAAACTACCAGCCATGGATCTCTAGCGGGCTGAAGACGCCCGGAACCAGACCTAGCCTCCTGTCCCAGCATTCATGGCTCGCACCAGTCCAACTTTGGTACATGCCCGGGTGATTATTCACCGGCAAGCTCTAAAAAGACTCGAATGTCATCCCGAATCACTGGAAATTGTGCTCGCTGGGTAACGGCGGACGCCTCTTGGAACATCAACTCCGGCAAGACAGGACCGACCAACGGGGCCTTGGGGTCTCACGACCGTTTCTGCGGCATGGGTTACACGTTACGATTCCAACAGAGTAGATGGCAGGACCAATAAGTCTCATGCGCAAATTTCGTTCGCATCAACTTCCTCTGTTCGGTATTCAGGGGCTCCGGGCCAGAGGTTCCGCAATTCACCCAACACATGCGTTCGGGAGTCAGAATTGAATAAGATGCAGAATAAGATGCAGTAGATGACTTTTCAGTCTAATCAGGGTTCTCGACACCCTCAGTTGCTTCCCGTTCGAACGAAATGGAGCAGGCCATAAGCATAAGATACACATATATGCCTTCTATTGGGAATGGCTTTATCAGACATGCCGGACTGGCGCGTATCTGCCAGAGCCCTTCCGCGTGTTCGCACGCAGAAACTTCTCGTCCATGGCTACAAATTCAGAAGAAAACGACGCATGTCTTCCCCGAGACACCATGTCAGCAAGGAGTTAAACGTCTATACGAGGACGGCAGTGTCTTTTGCCTGGGAATGGGCTCTTGTTGCCGCATTGGGCTCCGAGCTCTGAAAGTGCCAGCTTTCTTGCGCGCAAGTTGATCGCAAGTGGCAGTTAAGCCGGCCTGATCAGAATATCCCGTCGTTTACTCCCGAGACAATTTCGAGGCCTAGACCAGCTTGACATCATCAAGGGGCAGCAACATGTTAGTCACATTGGAAAAGAGGACCCTTCACATCTAGGCACTATGATGATGAGCGTGGTTCTTCGGATGATTCTACTTAGAAGATCGCGGAAGCTGTCACGTCGAGATTGTTACGTGCAGTATCAAGAACAAACTGCACTTTGAACACCAACGGTGCCGGACACAAGTCCAATGCGACTCTGTACTCGGACACCCAATCGCAACATTCAGATACACATATCAGGTTACGTCTCAACCGTCGTAACCGTGCCAGCTCAGGGTGGTGATCGGGAAATATACGGCGGAGCCCTTTCTCAATGCGACCCAAAAACGGACTTCGTTCATAGGTCGGCTGCAACTCTGCGATCAGACTGGGCAACACCGCTGCTTAATGATCAACTCATGATCAATAGTCAATGATCAAGGACGGGCCAGAGCTCTGCCACTGGAGCGATGACGTTCGGAGAAGACGGACACGAGGGTGAGGCTCCACGTATGGAGAGACGTTGTAGTTGCCTCCTACTGCCACGTCGGTGTCTCGACTCGAAGAAGTTGAGATCGTCGGCAATTGTGTTTTCTCGGTCGACAGAAGAGAAATAGGTCTGTCCAAAATCACGAACTGGGTTCATCTCCGAATCAGACAGGGGCCGCTGGCGGCCGGAGGTTGGACGTCAACGTCGCCCTGGGGGGGGGGGTTTCGGTGGTTTCCTACCCACGACGTTTACATCATGTCCCAATTCGGCATTGGCTCAGCATTCACAACACCAGGGATGACATGCAAGGCACGAGCCAACGGGAGAGGGAGTGTCAGGGGAAGGCCGGAGATTTCGCCGTGGTACACAAGATGTCACCGCACATCCGTTACGGACACGAGGGCCGGCAATGTTGATGACGGAGTTGAGATTGTCGTCATCGGTTCATCCAACGGCCAGCGGTTGACGATTTGTGCCAACCTCGCAGGTCAAACGGCCCGTGCCCTGGGGCGGACGTCAATCATGGCAGAAAGGGGAATGGGTGACGGGATGGCTCCGTCTCCCTGCTGGATTCTGGTTTCGAGTAAACAACCAAAAGGCCCTTCTCGCCAGTCCGTTTCGTGACTTTCGTCCTTTTGGCCGGCGGCGCGAGCCCAGACACCCATGCACCCACAATCACGGTTCTGCAAATTAATGGCGGGATTTGAACCGTCAATTGAATTGTCAATTCCTTCGCCAAGTTTTGTTTCAAGCACAGACCAGCTATTCTGAATCTCCCCTGACTAAGGTACAAGGTACCTTGGGAGAAGAGAGACATGTTTCATCACATGTCTATGCACGTGACTTAGACTTCAAACGCGCATTGTCTCCTAGGGGACTCTGGACCCTGAAAGGGGATGGCGAGGACTAAGTTTCAGCCTTGCTGGTAAAGGAGACGTGGTTGTTCGAGAATTGAAATGGCATGATGCTCCATGTCGTACCATGAAGAAACACCAGTGAATTGACATTGAAAGAGTAAGAAGTTGTTTGCGTGGGATAATTAGGTGGTGAATAACTTCACGGTCAATTTCTCTCATCAACACATCCAGCCAGTTGTCTTACAAGGGAGCAACCACCTCAAAGGGAGAACAACACTAAACAAAAAAAAAGAGAAAACTCTAAACAACTTTGGCCAAAACACACCGATAATCAACAAAAGTCCGGATCGTCAACCCGCATAATCATAATGGAGGCAGCAGCAAAAGCCGCAGGAGCGGCCTCGGCGGCGGGAGCAGCAGCAGCAGCAAATATGTCGTCGACACCCCTGCACCACGTCCCGACCAGCTTGGGCTTCGGATTCTACTTCCTCCCCTTCGCGACCGTCATCTGCTTCCTAATTCCGGTCCTCTACCTCTTCCCGCCGATCCCGGCGACGACGAGCGACGCCCTCCGCGCAACCCACTCCAGGATCGGCGTCGCGCCGGCCAAGAGCAACCTCCGAGACCAGTTCTCCGCCGCCCACCGCGAAGCACCACCCGCCGGCGCCGCCGCCGCGAAGCTCCAGGCGCTCTGCGTCTACCCCATCAAGTCATGCCGCGGCATCGAGATGGCCAAGAGCAAGCTGCTCCCCACGGGCCTCGAGTTCGACAGGCTGTACACCTTCGCCCAGCTCAAGTCGGCCTTCCCCGTCTCGGCCGACGACTCGGACGAGACCAAGGACAAGCACAGCTGGGAGTTCGTCACGCAGCGCCAGTTCCCCATGCTCGCGACCGTCAAGGTGGACGTCTTCGTGCCGGACCCGACCAAGAGCACCGTCTTCATGGAGCAGCGTTCCGGCGACGCGTGGATCGTGTTCCGGTTCCCCTGGCAGGATCGCGGGTTCGCGGGGCTCATGCAGTGGCTCGCGGCCAAGATCCGCGACGGGTGGCGCGCGGAGCCCGAGATGGAGGTCCTGCTCCCCGTCGAGTTCCCCTCGGCCAAGGAGATTGAGCAGCGCGGGTACGAGTTCGAGGACGTCCGCGTGTGGAAGGAGATGGTGCCCGCGCTGAACATGGGCAAGGAGATCCCCGTCGAGCTGAGCCGGTACCTGGGCGTGAGCAACAAGCTCACGATTTTCAGGGTCGATCCGGGGCAGTTGAGGGAGGTGTACCGGTGCGCGCCGAGGAAGGAGGAGGCTGGGTATCAGCCGATTGTCGGGTTCCAGGACGCGGTGAGTTGCTGTTTTTGTCTGGCAAGTGGAACATTGGCTGATCAGTTGCGGCAGTATCCCCTCCACTTGATGAACCTCAGCAGTCTCCAGGAGTTTGATTCTCAGGTTCCCAAGGACGATGAGCTCCAGCAGCTTGACGTCGCGAGGTTCCGCTCCAACATCATCGGTAAGCTTCTCATTGCACACCTACCAAAAGCACACTTACTGAAGATATATGTAGTCTCCGGCGCCCCGGCGTACGACGAAGAGTCGTGGAAGTCCATCACTTTCACCCAGGGAACCTCAAAGACCACCACCACGCCCGTAAAGTTCCAGGTCTCCTGCCGCACAGTCCGGTGAGTTCACTTCCCCCAACTGTTTGATCCGCCAAAGAACCCGAATATTGACATGATAAAGCTGCAAACTTCCCAACGTCGACCCGGTGACCGGCCACCGTCACAACGTCGAGCCCGATAGGTCTCTCCGCAAACTCCGCGAGGTCGACGAGGGCGCGCCGCGCATGGGATGCTTGGGCATGCAGATGTGCCCGCTCTTCGAGGGCACCGAGAGCGTCGAGTACATGCAGGCCTGGCTCGAGGTCGGCATGGATGTCGAGGTGCAGGGGCGCGGGAACCATGTGTACATCAAGCAGTAGTTTGTCGTTATTTTGCCAGACTTGGTGTTCAAGGTGTTAGAGACATGATAGACATAGACAGGACATCATCGTCAAGGAGTCAAAAATACCGAAGAAAAAAGCAGCAGAATATGAAGATTTCAAAACTTTGTCATTATGCGCACTCGAGCCTCCGTATAGATCATACCGTTACTCCAACCAAGGAACCCCGGTTCGTTCATTACAACGCAACCTCCAGATAATAGAAAGCCTGCATCACGACGTCCATTTTCCGCATCCACGCGCGTTTCCTGGTATCCAACCCAAAATCTTCCCCGCCCATCATCATACACAACTGTTGCGAAAAGACCGCTTCAATGACAAGAATAACTTAGGGGATGTGTGTGTGGTATTCCATTTCATCGTCATCATCGTGATATGTGCCAAATCCAAACCCGGCAAATGTGTTCAAGCACTAAAACTCGCACACGCTCACCGACCCGCTCATCTGCCGACTTACTTAAGGTCGGCAGGCGTCAGCGCCTGAACCATACTGGTTCCTTCGCTGAAGCGAGTGCGGAAGATACGGTTCGCGTTCTGGAACATGCCGTCCTTGAGAGAGACGACGATGAACTGCGAGCCCTTGAAGCGCGTCTTGATCAGGCGACCGATGTTTTGCGTGTGTGACAGATCGAGAGCTGCGTCGACCTCGTCGAGAATGTACATGGGCGCGGGCTTGAACTGCAGCAGGGCCATGATGAGTGAAAGGGCGATGAGTGATCTGAGAGTGGTTAGCATCAATGTTTGTTACACATGGGGGATTGGGTGGGCTTACCTTTGTCCACCAGAAAGCTCAGTCAAGCTCTGCTTCCACACCTTGCCAAGCGAGACCTTGACCTCCAGACCGTCGCTGATTGACTTGCCTTCGGGAGGATCCAGCTTGGCGAAACTGCCGGGCAGGAGCTCATTAAAAATCTGGCCGAAGTCGCCGTTGACCTTTGTCCACGTCTCCTCGAGGGCCTTCTTCTTGTAGTCGTCAAGACTGATGATGGTCTCCTCGATCTTCTTTTTATCGCGGATGACCGTCTTCATCATGTGCTTGAGCGAGACCTCCTTCTTCTCGACACTTTCGATCATGTTCATAACCTTGGGGTTGATCTTCTTCTTCATGCCTTGGAAGCGATCTGTCAGGTTGCGCAGGGTGGCCTTGCACTCAGCGATGTTCTGGCCCTTGAAGTCGTAGGGTGTTCCTGTGCGTCCGAAATTGTCCTTCTCGTCGGCGATCCACTCGTGCTCCTTCTCCATGGCGGCCACTCTCTGCACAGCCGACTCCTGCTCCTTGTGGAACTTGTCCACTTGATGGCCAAGCTTCTGCATCTCGAGGCTCTCCTCGGCGATGCGGGCGTTCTTGGACCGGGTGGCGTCCTCGAGAGCGTGAAGTTCGTCGTCGAAGCCGTGGAGCTTGGCGCGCTCGTCGTCCAACTCGGCTTGGACGCCGTCGAGTGTGTCTTGCAAGCTGGCTTGTTGCTTAACGAGATCCTCGATGTCCTGCTCCTGGGCCTTGATGGCCACCTCAACTTCTTGGAGCTGCTCGCGGGCAGCGGACAGGTCGCCGGCGACCTGTTCTGAGTCTAGCTGGGCACTCTGCACGTCCTTCTGGAGCGCCTTCACCGAGGCGGAGTTCTTTGCCAGGTCGGCTCGGAGCTTGTCGAGGGACTTTTGGAGTTCGACGAGCTTCGCGTCCTTGTTGTTATCGAAGTCCTTCATGTCCTTCTCGATCCGCTTGACGTCGGCCGTGGCTTCAGCGTGCCTCTTCTTGGCTTCAGCGGTGTCGGTCTTGAGCTGAGCGATTGTCTCCTTCATGTTCTCGACCTCTTGGATGATGGAGGAGGAAGAGTTGCCGCTGATTTGCTCCTCGGCGAGCTTGATCTCGTGGCTCTTGAGATCGAGCTCCTGCTTAATCTTGCGAGCGTGGTCGAGCTTCGACTTTTCACTTGCGATGGTGTGCTGGAGCTGCTGCAAGGATCCCTCAGCTTCCTTCAGCTGGCGAGTGATGTCGTTAAGCTTCTGCAGAGTGACGAGAACGCCGCTAGAGTTAGGAGAGCTACCACCAGACAGCGTTCCGGACGGGTCGTAGGCGTCTCCCTCGAGCGTGATACTCCTCATCCTGACATTGGGGTCGAAGGTAACCTTCTTGGCAGTGTCCGCATCCGCGCAGATGAGAGTGTTGCCGAAGACGTACTCCATAGCGGCAGACACCTCGTGGTCGTAACCAACAAGTGACAGAGCCAGGTTAACCTTGCCCGGAGCAATCCTTTGCGCGGTCGCGATGGCTTGTGCGGATGCCTTGAAGGCGGCAATCTTGTTCAAGGGAATGATGGTCACACGCTTGCGAAGCTTTCCTCCTTGCAGCAGCTGAGTACCGGTAACTTCGGTATCAACGACGACGTTGTAGAGACGGCCACCTGCACAAATCTCCAGAGCCGTGCCGGCTTGCGTGTGCTGCTTGTCGAGGGTGAAGAGTTGAGCGACGAGACCCTTGACCTTGGACCGGTCAAAGTTGGGAACAGGGTCGGCATAGTTGAAGTCGATGTTGGCAACCTTGCGCCTCAGACCGTCAGCCTCCTGGCGCAGGCCACGGATCTGTTGCTGCAGAACAGATTGCTGCTTGTACAGCTCCTCTTCCTGGCCAGGTTGGAAGCCAAGCTTGCCAAGCTCCTTCTCAAGCTTCTGGGCCTGAGATCTCAAACCCTCGAGATCTTTGAGGAGATCGGCGTTCTGTTCCTTTGCCTTTTTGGCCCGTGGCTCGTCCTCCTTGATGCGCTTTTCGAGATGGGCAATCTTCATCTTGGCTTGCTCCTGCTCAGTTACGGCCGCAGTTGCGCGATTCCTGGCGTCCTGAAGTTGACCTTGGTAACCGCTTTCTTGGCCGTCCTTCGAGGCAACACCAGTCTGCAGCGTTTGCAGCAGTTCCTCCTTGGACTCGGCGTCCTGGGTTTGCTTCTCAAGGTCGTCCTTGACAGCGTCGAACTTGGCCTTAATGTCCTCGTATGCCTGGGTCTTGCTTTGCAATGTTGCTTCCAGTTCAGACACTGTTTTTTCCACGGCGGTCTTCTTTTCCTTCTCTTCGGCCATGCTGGATTTCTTGAGGTCCATGACCGTCGCTAGTCTGACGATTTCGTTCGAGTGCTTCTTGACAGCTTCCTCCAGGCCTTGTGCCTTTCCTCCCTTTTTGAGCTCTTTATCGCGTTGTGCGCGCACCCGCTTGGCGTCCTCTTCGAGATGGGAAATTTCGCTCTTTAACCGTGTGGCCGACTCCTCGAGGTCCTTTCGTCTTTGCTTCTTGCCTTCCAGATCTGCTGCGGACTGCTCAAGCTTCTCTTGGTATCGCACGTAGTCGTGTGCAACGACCACTCTCGTCAGGCGCTCGAGGTCGTTCTGTGTTTGCTGGAAGTCGAGGAATGCGCGCTTCTCCGTCCGCAGCTTCTCGAGTTTGGGCTCGATCTCTTCTTTCAACAGCCCTGTAATCTCTTGAAGCTTCATCTCCTTCTTGGCCATGGTCTTCAGTGCCTTGTCCCTCCTGTCTTCGAACATCCTCGTTCCGGCGGCCTCCTCAATCATGGCCAGAATCTCGACGGGCTTCATGTTGAGAACCTTGGTGATGCGACCCTGCATAATCAGGAAATTGGGGTTGTTGATGTTGAGCTGGACGGACTGGAATAGGTTTTGAACTGTTTGTTGTTGTGCGCGATGTCCGTTGATGAGGTATTTGGAGGTGCCGCCGAGCACGATCTGTCGAGTAACGCTGATCGTCGCATATTCTTCGAAACCGATGGGCGACTTCTTCTTATCCCTATTATCGAAGACAATCGTGACGCTCGCTTTCGTGACACCGGCTTGGCCGCGCTTATAGATGAGATCCTGTTGCGCATCGCATCAGCCTACATTCAAAGGAGTAGCCCATCCGCAATTGCATTCTTACTTGGAGATTTTGCGCTCGGACTGTGGTCATGTTCGTAATACCCAGAACGAAGCAGATGGCGTCCAGAATATTGGACTTTCCGGAACCGTTGAGGCCGGTGATTGAGTTGAAACTCTCGTCCCTATGCTGTGTGAGCCTTCATCCCCGTCCATGGATGGAACGCAATGTTTGTTTACCATCCCGAAATCACCGTTCGCACGGCGTACGACTTGAAGCCCTAGTAGGAGTCAGAAATTAGAACTCAGAAACGGCGCATGCAATTTGCTTACGTCTATAATAACTTCTATGACCCTCATGCTGCACTGGTTAGTCGTTGGTGGTGTTGTTGCTGAGGAGGACTCTGTCGGTGTCGAGACTTTTTGTTTACTTTCGTCCGGTCGCGTTTCCACTGCTCCTCCCCCCCTTCAAGCGACCCGCCCACTGTCCCGCCCGATAAGGGTCTTATCGCTTACCAACTCGGCTGCAAGCGCGACTGTCATTGCCTGAAGCCAGGAGCCCCACGACATCGAGTCGCGCTAAGCCGAATGCGGACTCGACCAAAACATTCGGTTCGCAACGCAATTGATGAAGGCCCATCAACACCACCGCACACACTTCCAGCACAGCTTTGCTTCCCACTTTTGTCATACTCTTTTTTCATGGCAAGCTCCCTTACCACCATTTTGACTTTGTTTCGACTCCCATGAACAGCTAGCATTTCTTCTTCCCTTCATAGCGACACTTTTGCGCTCGTCGCGCCCTACCTCACAGAATGGCTACCATGCGAGGCACGCGTGTGCCTATTGGCTCCGCCTCTTGGATCGCCGAAGAGAGGACAACGGCCCTCAGCATCGTCCAAGCAGAAGCCGAAGAGTTCTCCTTCGCTGCTAGGAACGAGGTGGACTGGCTTAACGAGCATATGGCTGGGATCTTCAACGAGAACGAAGTGCACGTACATCCCTGCACCAACAAGGCTTCGTTTGCTAACACTATCTACAGAAACGTGGCCGAGATTTTCAAGACTCCCGGAAAGCTCCGTGGCAAGACACCGCGAACGGCGCGTAAGGTCGACAATGGCGAGCCGCGTGTGGTAAGTTTTACGAACTTCGAGTCGCGTCAACTCATGCTGATAACGTCTAGCCACTGTCCGATGTGTTCTCCGCAACTCCCAAGGGCGCGCCGAATGCCTTTACACAACAGCTTACTCGAACTTCTACAACCAAGATTGAAGTCGCACAAACGACCTCGTCTCCCCTGATTAGCAGAACTGTCTCCCCGCACAAAGCGACCGCATCACCAAGACCCGCCGTCTCGAAGCAACCTGTTCTCTTGGCCGATTCTGGCTACTATGGCAGTCAGGATATGGATAATGTGGACGACATGGACATCGACCTCATCGAGGATGAAACACAGATCGCCGAGCCTCGATCCAGCCCTCCCAAGACTGGCGGACGGGGAGCCCATGTCGCATTCCACACCAACAACGACGAGAACGCGCCACAAAGTCCGACCGAGACGAAGACCATGCGCTCTCCTGAAGTCACATTCCAAACCGCCAAAGAGGACCAGACAACCCGTGTCATTAAGGATGTCACCATCGAAGAGGCCGAGTCGTCAGCTCCTCAAAGTCCGGTAGAGGAGGTCGAGGTGCCCTCTTCCGTATTCAGGTCCCCTAAGCCTCGTTCTGCGAAGATTGTGTCGCCCGTAAAGACTTCTCCTATCAAGACGTCGCCCGTCAAGCGCTCCCCTGCCAAAGAAAACTCACGATCACCGTCACTTGGAGCAGCTCCGTCGCCCTCGCCTGAACCCACGCCCGATGCGCAATTACAGCAAGAAGTGGATGTCCACCTCGACGACGACACCCGATCCCCATCCGTTGATTCCAGTCCCATCCGGCCTGTCAGGAAGAGCAGTCTCAACTTTGCTTCGCTCCCTGCGAGAGAACCCTTGAAGAACAAGAGTTTGGGACCTCGTGTGTCAAGGACAAGCCACCTTGATAATCACCGCACAAGTTACTACGGCAGACACACTGGCGGAAAGAGTCTAGGCAACAACGTGGAGGTTCTTGGTGATTCCGACGATGAGGAGGATAACGACGATATGGACATTGATACTGTAGCGGATACAACGGCAAAGGATGCCGACAGCTACGCGTCTACTTACAACAAGGCCTACACTCAGCGTCTGCAGGATCAAATCAGCATGCTCGGTAAATCACAGCCGAATGCCAGCCGACCCTCCAAGTCGATTCCAAGCTCCGCAGTCGTCCAGCAACTTGCTCAGGCAACCGCTCCTCAGCCAGCACCAGAGGCTAGGCCTGCTTCGCCGAAGAAATCAGCAGCGGCACCACCCACTCCTGGGGCGTTCCCCGAGGACGACGACGAAGACGAAGACGATTGGATTGCACCCCCTGTCCCCGCGAAGGACGGTCCTGCCTCTCCTCCGAGACCGCACTTGCCTAAGAGCCATACGGCCGATGTCATGGAGGGCATTGATGGCACTGACACCGTCAGCGGCCCGGAGTTTGCTTTCCCTAAGCAGCGGCAACCCGTTGGCCGACCAGGTTCTCCCAAGCGGGCTCCCATCATTCCCGATCGCACTACCAGCACACATGGGCACGGCAAATCTGCATCAGTGTCGGCTTTGCCTGATCTCTCTAAAGATCAGATGGCGGAAGACTTGACTTCTCCTCAGAAGCACGTTTCTGTTTCCAACCCTCTATCCGCAGTGCCCGAGGACGGACGTCCTGTCTCCCCCAAGTCACCGACGCGAAGCTTCCGCGACAGCCCATTGAAGCAGGTCAAGAACAAGCTGTCTTCGATTTTGAAGACTTCCAAGGGTCTTCTTGCGAGCAGCGCGGCAATCAGTGCCGAGGGCAAGTCATCAATTATGTCGCCATCAACCACCCGACTTGGTTTCCACTCTGAATCGTCTTCGGAGTCTATTGTTCCCCAGTCAGTTTCCGCCGAGCCTCTGTATCCCGATTTGTCCAAGCACAAGTCAGTCGATACACAAGCGACTGCCCCACCTGGAAGCCCCGAGCGGCCTGTGGCGCGGAGAACGAGGGCATCCGTCGAAAAGGAAAAAGAAGACAAGCGCAAGGAAAAGGAGTCACGGTTGATGGCCGACCAGATGAGCAAGCTTGACAGGGTCCGTGCTGAGGAACGCGAGAAGGCAAGAGTCTTCAGCGAAGAACAAGAAAAGGTTGCTGCCATGGAGAAGAAAATTGCCGCTCAGAAGGAGGAGAGAGAGAAAGAAAGGGAGAGAGAGAAAGAAAGGGAGAGAGAGAAAGAGAGGGAGAGGGAGAGGGAGAGGGAGAAGGCTGTACGAACGCCGGCACCTAAGGAAGCGCCAAAGCCCACGAGAACCAGCCCGCGCAAGGCTAAGAACCAAGCCGAGACCGAATCATCCGCACCAGCTGCCAAGTCGGATAAGGAGGAGAAGGAGAGGCCAGACGTGGAAATGGCGGAGGCGCCGGCCCCAGTGCCTCCTCCTTCAGCGCCTCGATCTGCCGGTCCGAGCCAGTCGGCCAGGGCCAGAGAGCTTCGCCGCCCCACGAAGCCCACGAAGGAAACCGCCAGCAGGACGAAGCAGCAGCCAACCGTTATTCGCGTGAACACTACTTCTCAACACTCTCAGTACCATCCCTCAAACAGCCAGCTTTCGTCCAGCTTAGAGGGTACGCTTGGTTCATCAAGTAAACCCAGGTCTCAGCCAAGCTCTCATAGCAAGCAGGCTTCAGTCAATAGCTTCAAGAGCTCCGCAGGATCCACAGGCCGACCTAAGGCTCTTGAACTTGCTGCTAAGCGGAAAGAACAAGAAGAGCGAGATCTCCAGAAGAGAAAGGATGCGAAGCTCGAGCTCGAACGCAAACGCGCTGCTATTCAGGAAGAGGAGCGCAAGCAAGAGCTCCAGCGACGTCAAGAGGCTGAGAGACAGAGAGAGCGCGAGAGAGAGAAAGACCAGCAAACCGAGGCAAAGAAGAGACAGGCTGCTATCGAGCGTGCCAAGCAGACACGAGCTCCGCCCCCTGCTGCCCGATCTCAACCAAACGGACCTCCCGATTATACTGCTAGCCAGCGAAGTGATGGTCCTCCCTCGCGACCTCCTTCCCGTTTGCAATCGACTATTCCTCGGTCTCAGGAGGATCGACCGGTGAATGCAATTCTTTCCAATGCTTCAAAGGCCGGATCTAAACGTCCTCTTCCGCAAGACGAGGATAGCCGTAAGCCTGTTCGCAACGGACCATCATATCAGACCAAAGAGGCCAAACGGAGGCGGACTAGCGACGACTTCGCAGATGAGCTCGACATGGACATTCAGCCCCCGAACATCAAGGGACCTCCCGTTCGACCTCCATCAGTTGGCTTCAAGAAGGTACGTCCATGTAACTATTTCAGGTTGGCAGGAGTATTTGCTAACATGTGTTCCCAGGAGATGCCCAAGCCGATGTACTCGACCGGCTATGGCAATGGACCCCAGAGCGCATCCAGAGATTTGTTCAAGGGAGTTGTCACAGCTCAGCACAACAGCACGGTCAAGGCAACCAAGCAGCTGGATATCAACCAGTTTGCCAAGGGAGAGATTCCGTTCAACCCGAATCCCAACCCGGCAGGACCGGCGCACAAAACCCCAGCGCGGCCCGCGGCGAGTGCGAAGACGACGACTATCAAGAAATCCGCCACACGGTCGTCGCCTCGGTTCCAGGACGGCGAAAAGATAGAATTGCCCGAGATCGACACGGATGCCGAGGATGACGACGACGCAGATGAGTTCGTTGCCCCTTGGGCTGATTCGCCCGACTTGCGAAGAGCTCTCATGCGACAGGAGAATCTAGACCCCATGAATGTTTTCGGCCCTCCACGCGCCCTGAACATGGAAGAAGTTTTCAACAACAGCAAGGAGAGATGGCACAAGTTCAGAGCGCGCACATCAAGCGCAAACTGGAGCGGGTCAGACCGCTTGACAGAGGATGAAATCCGCAAGGATATTGCGGCTCGCGACAGGCTGCGTAGAGATGGTGGTTGGTCTTACGAGATGAGCAAAGATTTGGCTTAAGTGCCGTGTAGTTTTTTGGCGTTGTTATTGTGTGCCAGGGATACAGCAGTGTTGGACACACCTGCGAACGCGCTCATGAGGAGAATAATCTGCGGGCAGGACTGGAAAGGTGCCAGAGGATGGCTACATGGCTAAAGCATTGCGTGTGTGTATTATTTCCTTGCCACGGAGGGCAAGATACTGTTAGGGACTCTGTTTTGATTGTGGGCGTTGGAAGCAGCATAAATCAATTGGTTTTCGCACGCAAATATTTGAGCAAAAGAAGATGCATATTTCTGAGCACATATCTTGAGTTCAACTGCAACGTGAGCATGGCGCGAGAATCCCGAACACGTTTGCCGAGCTTCTGGCCAGGTCCGGGGCGCAAAGAGGTGTCCTGCGACCAGGATGTCCTCACAGTTGGCAGAGCAACCAGGTCGCGTCACGCGTTGGGGTCCGCGTTGGGGTCCGTGAGGCAGCGGGGGCGGGGCCGGGGCCGGGGCCGGTCAACCTCCCGTCATCTGAAGTCGTTCGATTCAATGCTCTCTGAGATTCGTATCTGCTAGATCTTGACAGGATTTGAAGACGGTCGAGAGTATGTCGCGAGAATCTTCCAATGAATTCTAGTCGGCATCATTGTGTTCTGCCACTGGCTATTTCACAACTTTCTTCGTTCACTCTGGCTTTTATTTACCTTTCATTTGATTGGACGATATCCTCGTTGGTGCTCGTATGTTGACTTCGTCACCTCTGGTGTTATCGTCCTTCTTGGGTACCTTGCTTGGCTTAATTATGCGCTTTGCTACATCTTATCGAAGCCTTCTTCGAAGCCTTCGTCGTCCCCTTCAAGGACCATGTCCCACCAAGCGGCGGCGCATTTGGCTTTCATCAGACGCCGTCTCCGCGTCCCCTCCTGCTGTCTTCGAATACAAGGATGCCCGAACGAATGCACCATTGCGGACGACGAAGCGGTCGTCATCTTCATCGTTAAGTGACATTTTACTGGTGACCCGAACTTCGTGGTCTGTCATGACTTTGGCCCTCGACAGGATGCTGGAGATGTCCGCGCTCTCGGTCATCTGGGCGACTGTGTGCCAGGCGTTATCCGGCAGGCTGAACTTGGTTGAGCTGAAGAGGTACCATACGACAATGAGATTGACGAGGAAGATCCCGAGAATGGCCATCACAGCCCAGTACCCTCGGTGACGACCCGGTGCCTATGCCAGTTCGTATGATATAATGGTTGCAGCATCATTCTCTCGGGGTGAGAAGAATGGCATCATATTGTAGTATGCATTGCGAGCCATGGCAAAATATACGGCCTGGAGCGCACGAGCGGGCGAGCCTGTCTCGTTGATGGCAGTGTTCAGTATGTCGGCGTATACCATATCAGCGCTGTCTGCGGAGGAATACCTTTCGCCCGAAAAAAATGAAATCGGTCGAGACCGTTGGATTTGCCAGGAAAACCACATACTGTCAAAGAATTCTTTGATCTTCTCATCTTGAGGAAGATCATTAGTCTCAGCCAAAGATGCATTCAAATCTTTGGCGGTGATTGACAGGCATTGTCTATCTTCAAGGGTCATCTGACTTGTAGTAGCTCCTAGTTGTTTGCGAATTGCACTGGTGTCATACGCCCGCCTGCTCTTATCCGAACCGTAAACTGGCTCTGTCTTGGTTCGTCCGCTTGAGCCAACGATATTCAGATGCTTGACTGCTCCAGATGGAAAACTATGAGCACTAATATCAGACTAAATCTGTACGTATTCAAGTTGAGGGCTTGTTTCCACTTACCCAGGTGCGAAGCGAACGCACGATGTCAATGTGATATCGAATCCAACTCTTCTTCTGAGAGCGATCTGTGGAATCGAAACTGTTGCTGTGACCAAGCGCCGTTCTTTACAGTTTTGCTAGGGCGCATGAGGACGGTTTCGTTGACTTGGCTTTCGCTGTGCCAGAAGATTGTCACTTCTAGCGAATCGACCAACATCCCACAAGATCTGCGTTATAGGACCGGCATCGAGATCGCCGGTTCTCAAAGGAGTTGGCATTGGGCCAGTCTAAGGTCGCGTTGGGCGTGCACACCTGCCATATGTCCTCGTAAAATCTACGTAATACGGCTGGGCCCCAGAAATCTACAGTACTTGTTGGATTTGATTCACTCCCTGGGACACTTCGAATATAGGGCTCGTCTAAACGAATGTTGCCGCAGACGTTGATCTCGACTGCAGCAACATCGTTCCGACCGCACAGTCGAAAATTTGAAACGACTGGCCGCACGCAGAGAAATCGAGAATCGACCACCCGAGCCTTGCCGCGGAACTCATGAAGTTTCTCTCTCTGATCTTGCGACGCTAGCGGAAGAAGAGCTGATTGTCGATCCTGTGTCGTCGATTCCGTCCGCCTCTAGAGCAGCGCCTGTATACTCGGTAAAGATTTCTGACAGCTGTGGCTGTTGTCTCCAGGAGTTCCGACTCATCACGGTGTACCGGAATTCTGTGGTGTTATCGTTTTGCACAATGCCATACGCATTGGGAACTTACTGTGGGGATATCATAACTGATGTCAGTTGTAGGTCCGAAAGGGGTAGGGTCGAAGTAAGTTGTGAACCGATAGTTGTCAGTACCAGGCACATGAGAAGAATGCGAATGATTGGTTCCAATATGGAGGATTGTAGTGCTAGAAAAGCAAGGGAGATAGAGCTACCGCTGGCAAAACGAGCAATAGATATCTGGGCTACTGTATGAAGTGGGACACTACTTCTTTCAATGACTGTAGAAGCGATCATGGCTGAGGCTGAGGCTTCAATAATACCAACAGCAGCACGGATAATGATTCCCGTAATTGTGACGCTCAGTTGAAGACGGTTCGGGATAAGAACCCACTGGCGCCAGCGCAAGTCATCGTGAGGTGCCCACCACAGCCAGGTAATGAAGGCAACAGAAACGACCAAAGCAAGCAGTAATGCCGCTATGCCGAGCTTGAGACCTATGCTTAGGTGTTCTTGTCTTGATGGTAACTGATGATCGGGACCTCGAAGCCTTGGGCTGCCATCGTTATCGGGTATCAGAGAACCGGTGCTCTGGGAGTGCGGTCGATGTCCTTCGTCGTCTCTCCCAGAATTTCCTTGCCTGTCCTGGTAATTTTCTTGAAGGTTTTGGCGTTGCTATAGAGGAACGTGCTGCTTGTACGTTCCGCTCTCGAGGAGTCGATACATTGCAAGGGGTAGCTGATTGGCTTCTGTCCTAGTTATGTTGTCAGAGAGTGAGGTTTAGGTAGAAACAACGAAGGAAACCTACTGCTCGAGAACTGATGCGATGGATGAAATGTCGCCAAGGCGTCATGAGATTGTTTCAATAGTGCCCACGGCGTTGAGAAAATTATAGTCACAGGAAAACCAGCCGAGTCGACGTATATGATTGTGAAGAGAGAGAGAGAGGGGGGGAAAGGCAAGGAAAGCCGGCGAGGCGAATTGAGGAGAACATCATGTGCTGTGCGACATCAGGCTGTGGTAAGTTACACTTCACGAGGCCGCCACTTAAAAGCCGGCACATCGGCTCGAGCCCTTTCTCTGCAAGAATAAGGATGAGATAGATGATGCAGAAGACAGGTATAATCAGGATGCCAAGGGCGCCGACTGAGGTCGAGGAGAGAGAGAGCGAAACAGATTCGATATGCCGGGACGGCACTCGGGAGCTGAAGCACGGTGAAGGCTACACAGGCAGGCAAGGACAAAATCATTATGGGGAAGAAAAGGTAAGCGCCCAAGAAGTGGATTGGAGACACGGAAGGGACATGCGGAAGCAAACATGGAGAGGGGATTACTGAGGTATCGATGTCTACTTCAAGACAATTACTAACGTGAAATATGGCAGACTGGCCCAATATTAAGAGGTGAAGTGCGTGACGAGTTCGGGTCGTTGATACGCAGGCGGTAGTTGTTTACCCACTCCGACCGTTCGGCGGGTGGCTTGTCGAGATGGTCGAGATCGTTAGCTTGAGGCGCTGCTCATCACGCCTCCCGCGATCCGAGCTAGAACGGCGGCTTAGCGCAAAAGACCTATTCGGTTTGGGCAATCAATATTTCCACGCATGGTTCGTGAGGAAGGCAGCTCATCAATTGCGATGATGTGAAGGCAGTAAGGTAGAGCTGGAAAGAGCTGAGGCGTCAAGATGTCGGTTTGGAGGGGCTGAAAGACGTGGCCGGGGAGTCCCTGAAGTCCCTGCTAAAAATTTAGACCCCTGCCCCATTGACCCTCTGCTGCCCGCGCAACCGAACGGACAGGAAGGACTCACGGGCCGTCAACAAGACCCCAGGTCACCTTCCCTGAAGGAATATTTGCTTCTTCCAAATCCCAGGACGTACGCGGCACGTAACTCTCCTTTCTTGAAGACGCAAGAATCCCATTTTCTTCTTGGACGATACCGACACAGATTTGCAGCAGATTCCCCCGCCATCTGGCGTCTCGTCTGCCCGTCTGTTCGCAGACTAGACCACCTCGACTTTGGTGTTTTTTGACGTCATTCGGTGAGTTGCTGTCCCTCAGTGATGGTTGCATGCGCGTCCGTCCAATCACTACTGCATCTACCCTTCGCGATGGCCGACGGACGACGGTGAGAGACCAACCACTGCCGGCGAGTTGATCTGTTGTCGTCTGTGCCTCCGACTGGTTGCTGCCCGCTGGGTTCACAACCGGATACCCCAGCTCGCGTCGTCGGATCGTTACCTACTCTCCCCGCGGTGCTTTCCGTCATCTAGCTTCAATACCCATCCTTGCAGTCTGCATTTGCTGTCTGTTTGATATACACTGCGCTGGAGAGACAACAAACCGCAATAGTTGCGCTGTTTTCCCAATCCTGGCAGCTGCGGCACCTTTCGGCGCTTTTCCCCTCGTCTGACACCACTGCTGTACCTTTCGCGATATTTCCAACGCGGAAGGCGGCTTTGTCGCTACCTACTTACCTACCCCCGTGACACAACTGCTGACACCCTCGTTACCTACCAGCTTTCACTCTTTTGCTCTTCTCACACCTTCCACGACCAGCGAGCGCACTCGACGACGACCTCATCTCGACCAAGTCTGTCTTTCTCTCCAAGCGGTGCACTGCCTCTTTTCGTCGACTACCCTCGTTTAGCTTCGCCGCGCCACGAGGCCAAGCCACCCGCAAGCGACAACGTCACGCCCCGCTACTTCGCCTTCTTACGCCACGAGAGAGCTTTCCACAAACCGAAGCCGATTCAGCGTTATCATCATATACACTGTCTGACCTTGGAATGCATCTTTGGCAAAACCGGCCAGCTCCTGCACCTTGCCATTAGTTGATCACCTCTATCCACCGCCAGGATGGGGGGCGTCGACATGAGCCGCGACTACTACGCGGACCTGGAAATACCAGCGAGCTCCGACGTAAACGAGATCAAGAAGCAATTTCGAAAACTCGGTGCGCCATTGTTCCTATGTCAACCTTTTGACCTAACGTGCTGACTTTGGGTAGCTCTCAAGTACCACCCCGACCGCAACCCGGGCAGAGAAGCCGAGGTCAACTCAAAGTTTCAGATGATCCAATCCGCCCACGAAGTCCTGACCGACCCCGACCAAAGAGCCAAGTACGATGCCGGCAGAACGCGATCAAGATACCCTACAGCTTCTGGGGTGAGGGGCAACCCGTGGCAGAACGCTGGTTCCAATTTCCCTCCTCCGCCCCGTCGTAACGCGACTGCTCGCAACCCCGCGCCCGCGCCGTCTTCCGGGGCAAACAGATACCGCAACTTTGCCTCAGGTGCCGCTCCCACTGCCAAGGCTCACCAACAGAGCGACCCCGAAGCAAAGCGAAACGCCTGGCATGCCTTCGAGAACATGCGAGGCAAAGCCAGCCAGTCCCAACCGAAGCCTAAGAACGAGCCACCTGAACCTCCCAAGAGACCTGTGCCGAGAACACCTTCTCAGAGGCAGAGAGCGGAGGCGGCCTTCGGAGCACGCAAGGGTGGTTATGTGCCTAACTCGCCTGTTCCTGGTGATGAGCCGCCGGTGAATGCCTCGAATTACTCAACCACGAGCCGCCACTCCAACATCTTCGCCGATAACGCCCGCAGACAAGGCGTGCCCGATCCTCTGGCCCAGTTTCGCGAGGGTTACACAGATACTCGGCAGAGCACACCGTATTCCTCTCACAGCGGCGAGAAGACGAATCCATTTGATGGAGTTCCTATTGGAAGAGCCAAGAGTACTCGCGAACGCGATAGTCCTCGGCAGCCTCAAGAAGGCTTTGGGCCCAATCTCTCACCCGGAAGTGCTCGCCAACGTGCTCAGAGTGTTCCGCGCCAGGCTAGGACTGAACCCTCAAGCCCTCGAACATCCACGCCTCAAGACGATAGACCCAACACGGCGAGCGCCACCGCAGCGAACTCACCGAAGGATCCGTTCAGGTCCAAGGCCAGCGCGAGATATACACCTCCAAATGCGGCTTCTGGCTTCAATCAAGCAGATGCTCAAGCCAAACCAGCAGCATCAACTGAGGGTTCGTTCGCAATCAGATGCTTTTCCAGAGCTCCAACTTACTTTTTAATAGGGAATGGAAACGCCCAGACAACGGGAACGCCCAGAACATCTTCAATGTACGGCAACGTTTTTTCTTCAGCGTCTTCCGCTTCGTTTCTTAAGCCGAACTTTACGTTCGGCAACCATCCATCACCTGTAATTTGGGAGAAGCCGACAACGCAGCTCCAAGAACACATGAGCGATGTATCATCATCTGCCTCCTCATCTCCCAGTGGAGACAGCTCAAGAAGTCACTCTCTCACGCCTTTTGAGCGCAAGCAAGGCGAACTTCTAAGCCGACTTGTTAAGAGACAAGCTCCGGACCTGACGCCGCTTGGTCGCGAGAAGCGCAAAACTACTATCCCAAACCATGATCATAGCCCAGTACATCAAGCTGACAGCAACACTTGCGATAGCTTCAACTTCCCCATCGAAGACGATACATTTACCCGCACCGAGCCGCGACAACCCACATTCAGCCGGAGAAGCACCGATGATATTAACACTAGCTTTGTGAACGGTGATGGTTCCGAAGCCTATCAGTTTAGCGCGGGGAGTCCTGTCCAGGATGCAAAGGGACGTTCTCAGTCCGGAAGCCGTGTAGGCCGTCGGTCGCCGATCAAGCGCCCGACCTTACGACACCAGAAGGACTTTTCTGGCCAAGCTGCCGGATCGCCCTCTGCAGAAGGTAAATTCGATGCTCAAGACTGGACTCAACAGATCGGAGCACAGAACTTTGCGCCCTCTGTTTCTACATCCCCCACCCGTGCTACCCGATCCAACTCTCGCAAGACAAGGGTAAAGCCAACAGCAGGCAGTACAGGCTTGGTGAACGATTACTACGACAGTGACGAGGATGGTGACTGGCGAGGCCGCAAGACTACCGCCGAGCCTGTCGGTGCAAAGAGCCCGAACGCCATGGATATTGATCCCCCGCAAACAGGAGCCGCACAAACTGCTGCGCAAGCAACTATGCCACGGAACATTCCAGTGGAGCCTTCTCGTCCAGAGTGGAGGCCCGGCAATGTGAATGGCGTTACGGAAACCCCTAAGCCTGCTATACAGAAGCCTGAGTTCAATCCCAACGCCGCCGGTTCTGAGGACAGCGATGAGTTTAGGGCAAGCTTCGCTGAGCTCAAGAACGTGGCCCCATTCGCACAGAACCCATCCGGCCTTGGGTCTTTGGGCGACCTGAAGATGAATCTCCCCTTTGAGAGCCAGCCGTCAACCAGGATTCCCATCGAAAAGGAGAAGGAGAAGCCGGCACTCAATTTTCCAGCCGTTCCTGTGGCACCTCGGCCTCCGCCCACTTTCGCGGTAGGCCTCAAGCCAACTGGTGGTGCTTGGCAGAAGTATGTTCAGGAATTCCAAGGCTACGTCCTGAGATGGGAGGGCTTCAATGCCCGAGTAATCGATCATTTCAACGCCCGAAAGACGGAAGTCGCCGACCTCCGATCTCGCAAGGGATACGACTTTTTGGCTGTTCGCAGTGACAACGAACTGCAAGAGTACCTCGACTGGATGCAGCAGGACAAGGAGGTGCGGAGAAAGTGGGCGCTGGCGTGCGAAGATCATGAGGCTCGTATTCGAGAGTTTATGGTGTACAAGGCTAAGATGAAATGATGGACGACCGTCTTCAGCTAGGCATTCTCAGAGGGGGTTGCATACTTTCTGCCTCCTTCTTCTTCTCTACGGGCGAGGTGGTGTTTTCGACTTTGACGACAGCTTGGACTGATGGGAAACGACACGAAACGATACCCGGAATTTGGGAGGATATTATCTCACGACTGGAACTGTCTCTCACTACTTGCGGTTGATCAAGCCGCGTTGCACATACGGTTCGGTCGTCGGCATACGGCGGCAATTCATCACGACATAGAAGGAGGGTTTTGTTTTTGTGCAACTCATCTTTGCTCTACATCTTGCAGTCTGCTTTCTTCGCGCTCGTTTCTGGAGCCTCTCGGTCCAATCAATCAGACCAACCGCGCTGCCAGGAAATACTTCGATTGGCCAGTGGTTGCTAGGCCTTGGTTGTTTTCTGCCTTGGCTAGTTTGGGAAGGGTTGTGTAATATTTACTACCTAGAACTTGGTCGTCTTCGAAGGATGTTGGAGGCAGGATTGGTACTCTTTGGCACTCACGTAGGGCAAACAGACTTAGACAGTGAATAACATTAGAATCAGGCTCAGAGGTTGCGGCCCTTCCCCCTTCCACCATGATTGTCTGACATGCTCAGTAATGAATAAGTGCTTGCGGTTCGAAGTAGGTTTGCTCTCGCGACTTCATGGACGCAAGGCGTTTAAACTAGTCGCAGACGCAGTTGAATGTCCGGTCATTTGCATCACGCAGGCGAGTTTTTCGTGTCACTGACTGTGTAGTATAGCAGCCATCGCATTCAAGTTTGCAACGCCAATAGAGAAAGTATAGGAATTCCGTGTCCGATTTTCTTGAGCAAGCTAAATGTGTCTACCTCAGAAGGACATCTGTCCAAGATCCTCGAGAAACCGACTTCTCATGTCGTCAGAGAAGAGAGACCCAATGAGGGGAGCAAAAAGGTGACCGTTCATCAAATCCCAAGACCGTTTCCATACCGACGTCATACTAAAGGGGACCCAATAGCTGCCAAAAGGCCAGCGTCCAGAGAAGATAGAGAAGCTGTCATGTCGTCGAACGTGTGACTATGCGTCGTTCCACTGCCTCTCGTGGAAGGAAGGGACGACGCCGTGTCGGCGGAGCATCGTTTACTGCTCCTTCTCGTCGGCGTTCTCCTCGGGCTTGACCTTCTCATCGGTCTTCTCCTCCTTCTCCTGCTCGTCGTCCTCCTCGGCCTTGGCAGCGGCCTTCTTTCCTCCGCGGCGCTTCTTGGCCGATCCATCTGTTCAGCGAGTTAGTCTATGGTCCATTCAGATGGCAAGAGATGAGAGGGAACATACCAGTGGCGGTGGCGGCGGCACCGCGCTTGCGGGGGGTCACGGGCTTCTTGGGGGTGTCGGCCTCCTCGGCACCCTCGTCGTCGTTGGCGTCCTCATCGCCGTCGCTCTTGGCGGCCTTCTTGGGCGTCTTCTTGCGGGCTGGTGAAAAGTCAGTTATGAAAAGATGGAAGAAGACGAGGCAGAGAAAGCTCACGAGCACGGGGCTTGGCCGGGGTGGCAGGGCTGTCGGAGTTGATGTTCAGGTCGCGGATCTGCGCCTGGATGGCGGTCCACTGGCCTTGCATGGCCTTGAGGGTGCGGCCCTCCATCTCTATCTTCTTCCACTCCACGCCCTTACCGTCAGGAAGAATGGAGGCGATGATGCGGAGCAAGAGCTGGAGCTGGGCGAGTGTTAGGAAAGTCCCGAGTGGTTCCGAAGAGGCAGATACTTACGCGCTCGCCCTCGGTCCATCCGCCGGCACGGACAGCCTTGGAGGAGCCCTCGCCGTTGTTGGCGGGGGTGTCGGTCTTGGTAGAGTCGGCCATTTTGTGCGAGTGGCAGGTGGTGAAGAGTGAGATGCTCTTTGGAGTTGCCTTCGTCAGTAGGGACTTGCGGTTTTGGTAGGGGAGGGGGCGATTGAGGTCACAGTGATGACTGGTACCTCATCGATAGCACAGAGGAAAGAGGGAAAAGGAAAGACTTACTTGATAAATTGTTGAGTGCAGATGGGGAGCTTGCCTGAGATGATTGGAGAAGTTGCAATGGTGGTAGGTTGTGATGGGGGAGATAGCGGTGATGGGTGGGCAAGAGAGAAGAGAAGATGAAGATGGGGAGGACGGAACGGTTCTGAGAGAAGGCAGGGCTTTTTATGGCAACTGGAGGCGACACGGAGGCAGGCAGCTTGTTTGGGAGTTTCTGGAAAGAGGAAGGAAGGAGATCGTGAGTTCCTTCGTAGGAGCACTTGCCTGAACGTCTTTGAATAAGAGGCCATCGTGCTCTAAGGGCGTGGTAGGCAGGTGTCTCACAGTTCATATGAGGAGCAGATCCTTTGGGTTCTTGCCTCGAGAGTTCTTGAGTTCTCTGTGGCCTTTGAGAGTCGTCAAAGGGGCTTTTGAATGTGAAGATTCGAGATAGATTGAGAAAATTGTAGAGTTGACTCGTGTTATCGTCACTGGGCTTCTTCCGGTTGTGAATATTCAGGAGTTTTCTAGTTCTCAATATAGGTTAGTTTGGCAGTTAAAGTGCCTTCCTTTCCGGTTGAAGGGATGGGGAGTGGAACCTAGTAGCCTTCATATTAAGGTATACTTTATTAACTATGAATAATCGGCTTGGATTTAAGACTTGATACGGCTAGGCATGGGTTTACATCGCAAGTCCGAATAGGGTTTTGTCGACCAAGATCATTCCACAGTCCCAGAACGAGGGTCTTTGGCTCATCAGTTCCGGTCACGAACCAGTCGAGCAGCAAATTGGTCTGTAACGAGCATTCTGGACGTTTAATGGAGGCCGTCTTGGTGATCTTAGGCATCTTGTGAGATAAGACGAGCAATCCATTTCGCAAATTCGTATATCCGTTTCATAGACGCCAACTACTCTGTATTATTATCTAGCACTGCCGTATTTACTTATTTTTATACTCGGATGGCAACAAAGATATCGCTATATCATTCATTAATTACGTCCATTTGAGAGCTCTTGATTAGTGACAGCAGGGAAAATACCATGGTGTTCTTGGCTGCCAAAAACCACGCCAAAAACCACGACAATGTGACATAAGCTCCGAATACAGAAGACTGTCCAGCACAAGTAGAAAGTGACTCCATGCCACTTTGGCAAATCCCCTTGCCCTATCATCGTAGGTGTAGATAGACCTGAGCAACGCGGAGTCCCTCTCGGAACCATGGTAGGCTTTGAAATTTCACCGTTTTCAGACCAAAACAGAGTCATAACAGCACAAGCAAGAGTTCACGGCCGAGGATGGGATGCTGGGAATTGTGCTGACTTCGTATCTGTGAGCAATGATAGACAGACGTGTCGTCGGACGAATCAGAGGGCGCAAAAGGGTCTCCAGATCAAGGTGCGACCTAGCAGGTCATTCGTGCAAGCACAATGTGAGACCTGCATATTTATCCAGTCTGGAAAGCTCACAGCTGCCCCTGATGGTGTGCGCTCTGGAGAGCATGATCCATCGCCGTCCCATCTAATCCTGCGGGCAGGCACACACCCGTTGACGTCCGTCTGTCGAGATTGTTAGGCGGGACGTTGCCGCAGTGGCAGGCAAGCCTAGCGAAGGTTACAGGCTCCTGGAGTGACGCTAGTGTCACATTACATCAGCAGCCGGGAACAATTATGGGAACTAAAGCAGGGATGGGCACCCTCCCGGGAACTGCACCCATATACCTTAAGCGGGCTCTTATGCATCTAGCCTGGTGATCTGGTTCTGGGTGGCCCCCATACTGGCCACATCCTGTTTGTGCGCGTTTGCTTCCGTTTTCCGCAACCTGAAATTTTTCGACGTTCAACAGTTCGACCAACTGTTGGTTTGCTTGATTATATTGCTCTTTGAAATAAGGGGTTCATCGCAAGAGTCAGAGCTTCAGGTTCACATCCTGACACTGTTTTCCCCGAAAGCCAACCAGTCACTCGTTCAACGTCCCGGTTCGAACGCCCTTGGAGGGTTGCCGCTACCATCCTCTCCATCGCTGGATGCGCGCCGTCTTCGTCCGCAAAGGGACTGTGACTTCCTTGAGCCTTGCATCCACCACCACTACAACCACACGGATCACACCTTGGACGACGTCCACCATCTTCGCCGCCAGACGCCAGTATTCACACCAGTTACTGGCCAAACACGGCTGCTCCCGCGCGCCTCTGCCCGTTCCTTTCATAGACAATTGCTATAAGACGACGCAACGATCCCTTCTCGAACACACCCGCTGCAGTCTCTTCTCTACCTCGTCCCCCGCCGGCGCCGTCGCACCTGACTCTCCATCGAACGTACAGCAGAGCCAACCCTCCGAAACGTCAACCGCCCCAACGACCGCAAACATGAACGGCAATACCGCATCGCCGCGCTCCAAGCGCAAGGCCCCCACGAGCCCCGAGGGCTTGCGACCAAACAAGCAGCACCGCGCCTTGAATGGCAAGCTTTCCGCCGGCGACAATACACCTGAAGTTGAGCTCGAGCATGCTTCTTTCGTTGAGGAGGACGAATCTGGACTGGAGGAAAGTGCCATGCTGAACAGCATGCTGAGTATCGCCCAGGAGCCCGAGGTGTGGCAGAAGACCATTGAGAACGTTGTCAGCAACGTCGTCTCTATCCGCTTCTGCCAGACTTGCTCTTTCGACACAGACCCGGCGTTGACCAGCGAGGCGACTGGCTTTGTGGTGGATGCTCAGAAAGGGTAGGACTACTCTTCAGCGTCAGGAAAGTCAAAGGGCTGACCATTGGACTACCACAGATACATTCTTACGAACCGACACGTCGTTGGATCCGGTCCCTTCTGGGGTTACGTAGTCTTCGACAACCACGAAGAGGTCGATGCCTACCCCGTCTACCGCGACCCTGTTCACGACTTCGGTATCCTGCGATTCGATCCCAAGGCTGTCAAGTACATGAAGCTGAACGCCCTGCAGCTCCGGCCAGACCTTGCCAAGGGTGAGCATATACCCTGATGGGCAACACAGTTTTAAAGTGGAGGCGCTGACGTATGTGTAGTGGGTGTCGAGATCAGAGTGGTTGGTAACGATGCCGGAGAGAAGCTCAGTATCTTGTCCGGCTTCATCAGCCGTCTTGATCGCAACGCGCCCGAGTACGGCGATGGCTACAGCGATTTCAACACGTGCTACTACCAAGCCAACGCCGCCGCCAGTGGTGGTAGTTCGGGCAGTCCAGTCGTCAACATCGATGGCTATGCCGTGGCCCTGCAAGCTGGTGGGCGTTCCGACGGTGCTTCAACAGACTATTTCCTCCCTCTCGACCGGCCATTGAGAGCCCTGCAATGTGTCCAGCAAGGCAAGCCCATCACAAGAGGTGACATCCAGTGCCAGTTCCTCCTCAAGCCTTTCGACGAGTGCAGGCGTCTTGGTCTTACCCCGGAATGGGAGGCCGCCGCTCGTAAGGCTTTTCCCAAAGAGAACAACATGCTTGTCGCGGAAATCGTACTTCCTAAGGGCCAGTCGGACCAGAAGATTGAGGAAGGCGATATTCTCATCAAGGTGAACGGAGAGATGGTGACGCAGTTCATTCGCTTGGATGACCTTCTCGACTCAAGTGTTGGCAAGACAATTCACCTCCAGCTCCAGCGAGGTGGCGAGGACATCGAGGTTGAGATTGAGGTTGGTGATCTGCACAAGATCACTCCCGACCGTTTCGTGTCTGTCGCCGGCGCCTCTTTCCACAGCTTGTCATACCAGCAAGCTCGCCTCTACGGCGTGGCCTGCCAGGGAGTCTTCGTCTGCGAGGCTACTGGCTCTTTCAGGTTCGACAACGCTGACAACGGCTGGCTTATTCAGAGCGTGGACCATAAGAAAACGCCTGACTTGGAGACCTTCATCGACGTCATGAAGACTATCCCGGACAAGTCTAGAGTGGTTGTCACATACAAACATCTGCGTGACTTGCACACTCTCAACACAACTGTCATCTATGTCGACAGGCACTGGTCAGCCAAGATGAAGATGGCTGTCAGAAACGATGAGACGGGTCTGTGGGACTTCTCCGACTTGGCGGATCCTCTTCCTCCCGTGCCCCCTGTCCCGCGCTCTGCGTCCTTCATTGAGCTAGAGAACGTGAAGCATCCAGCCATTGCCGATTTGGTTCGAAGCTTCGTTCACGTCAACTGCACCATGCCCGTCAAGCTGGACGGCTTTCCGAAGAACAGAAAGTGGGGCATGGGACTGGTCATTGACGCTGAGAAGGGCCTTGTCGTCATCTCCAGAGCCATTGTGCCTTATGACTTGTGCGATGTCACCATCACTATCGCCGACTCAATCATCGTTGAGGGCAAGGTCGTCTTCCTCCATCCTCTGCAGAATTACTCAATTGTGCAGTATGACCCCAAGCTGGTCAATGCGCCTGTTCAGAGTGCGAAGTTGAGCACGGAGAACATCTCACAGGGAGCCTCGACAAACTTCATGGGATACAACCGGATTGGAAAGATCGTCCACGCCTCAACGACTGTTACCGAGGTCACTGCGGTTGCGATCCCTGCCAACTCTGGCGCCCCCAGATATCGGGCCATCAACGTCGATGCCATTACCGTCGACACAAGCTTGAGCAACCAGTGTGGCAGCGGTGTTCTCGTTGCGGATGACGGCACTGTTCAGGCCCTCTGGCTTACTTACCTGGGCGAACGCTCGCATTGCTCTAACCGGGACGAGGAGTATCATCTCGGGTTAGCCACGCCCACCCTACTCCCCGTCGTTTCTCAGATCCAGCAAGGCCTGGTTCCCAAGCTGCGGATGCTTTCTGTCGAGCTGAGGGCTATTGGCATGGCTCAAGCCCGGGTTATGGGAGTATCCGACGAGTGGATTCACAAGGTTACCGAGGCCAACAAAACACACCACCAGCTTTTCATGGTGAGCAAGCGGACGTTCGAGCGTGACCAACAATCCGGTGCCCTGTTAGAAGGTGACATCTTGCTCACCCTCAACGGCAAAGTCATAACCAAGGTTTCCGAGCTGGATGTCATGTATTCTCAAGACGTTCTGGACGCTGTTATCGTCCGCGACTGCCAGGAGCTTCACATCAAAGCTCATACCGTGGCTGCCGATGATGTTGAGACTGACCATGCCATCTCGTTCTGCGGCGCCATTCTGCACCGCCCCCACCACGCCGTCAGGCAACAAATCAGCAAGTTGCACAGCGAGGTTTACGTCTCAGCTCGCACGCGGGGCTCACCCTCGTATCAGTACGGCCTTGCGCCCACCAATTTCATCACCCACGTCAACGGCAAGTCGACGCCTGACCTGGAATCCTTCCTTGCTACGGTCCAGAAGATTCCAGACAACACCTGTGAGTGCCCTATCCGTACTCTGTTCAGAGCGTTGCTAACTGTTTCCCAGACTTCCGCTTGAAGGCCGTCACATTTGACAGCGTTCCGTGGGTCATTACGATGAAGAAGAACGAGCACTACTTCCCGACGATGGAGTGGATCAAAGATCCCTCTGAGCCGTGCGGCTGGAGAAGAAAGACGTACGAGGGAGGCGAAGTGTTTGAAGGTGAGGGTCCTGACGGCGTGATTACCAACACCGAGGACGCCGAGATGGTTGACGACCCTGCTCCCATTTGATTGAGTGGTGAAGCAAACACTATCGGCCCCGGATATGCTTGCGATTTCGGAAAGATGCTTGTGGAGCTGAGAGAGCCTCCGAGCATTCTTTGGCCGGCTTTTGTAATGCTGCGCATAGTAATTGTTCTTTTCTTGCACAAATCGGAAGGGGCTATGGCATACCACGGGAAAATATGGACAGGGCATGGCTGAGGGATTCAAGGTCATGGGCGCACGCACGGCCGTGAGGACAGCATTAGCTGGTGTCTTGTATGTACATGTAAAAAAGGGAGCTTTCAAGGCATGTCTTGGGGACATGACTCTTGTCTGTATGCTTTTCCTTTTCTTGTTTTAGTTTCTGTTCAATACCCGTTAGACTTCATCAAAGTCTACATATCAACAGTGAGAACGATATGACCATGCCTCCGAAATTATCTCCAGCCGATGTTTCTGGTGTGGGAATTGCAGATACGCAGAATGCTCCGCCTCGTATATTGTGAGGAGACTCCTTGCATCAAGTTGGACAATCCGAAATCTTGCTCAATATCAACGCCCCGAGTGGCTTCGATGCCTATTTACTCTTCTATCACTTCCCGTGCAGTACCAGGCGATTTCGGCCGCCGCGACCAACGACTCCCAGCTACTTTTTTGAACCGATATTGCCGCTGATCGAGACTACCGGCGATGGACGACTCATAGCTGAAAATTGATGAAGGAGCAGAGGTGGAAATAGATGGCGTATAGCTGAAAATGGACGGAGGATCTGAGCCGCGAATATCACTGTCGCCGTCGTCAAAAAGTTTGGGCTGTCTTATTTGAGGCAGCTGATCAGGCACCGCCTGAGGTACTCGCAGAACCGGTACATCCCCGGCATTGTTTCGGTTATGGTCGAAAAACACTGACATAAAATCGTTCTCATGAGGCAGCTGAACACTTGTTGCCTGAGTTTCTTGTCGAATGTCTTCAAAAGTGTCGTCTAAAGGGACCACGTAGGCATCGCCGAACATGTCGACTGCCACCACGTGGCCAAATACTTCGTGCGTCGATGAGCCAACGACCCAGTGACCGGATTCACCCTCGGAAACTATCTTGTCAGCGATGCATCATCACAAGGGTCTATGCTCGGCTCATCAAGGCTCACCTTCGCCTTCACGCAACGTCAGGGTGAACACTGGAGTTGCAATCTCCGCTAAACCCAACAAGATTCGAGTTGGGACGTTGGACAAGGAGCCAGGCCTCGACAAACCGTTGCCTCCGACGATTTCGACTTCCTGGTCCGAAATATACCGGGAAAATCTTCCAACGTTGGTGCCGACATAACTCACATCGACGGGCGTGCCCCCAAGGTACATGCTGGGAAGCACCATGAGCCCGCTGCTAAATTCGAACAACGCCCAATCATAATCTGGAGTCGAATTTCGAATTCCACCATAGCCCTTCACCGTCACTTGACCGAGTTGCCGCCCGTGGTCACTTTGACCCGCAGGCCTCTTGTCCTCGTTGACCTCTTTCGTACGTGGTGCTAAGTTCTCTTCTCGAGAGTTTGCAACGAGATCATCTGATGAGTCGAGACTGTCCACGTCGAAGACGCTGTGGCCTGCCAACATTCCATACAACTGGGCGCTGCCGTCGCTTCGTACCAATTTGATAGCACCGCCGCAGACGGCGACCTTGGGGCCGTTGGGGCTCATTATCTTCACAGGTTGTCCCAACAAATTGACTCCATGCTGCAAAGGTGAGGCTGCTCTGCCTTGCTCATCGTCAAACACTGGCAACCCCGATACTCTGGCTACCAAGCGGGGCGGGCGACCCTCGACAACGACTTTGAATGAGGGTATGTACGGATCGCAAGGATCGCATAGTTCTCTGATGGCCGACTCCTTGGTGAAAAAGTCCCGTACGAGACTCGAGATGTTGCTGGGACAGAGCACGACCAAGTAATCACACGGCGTCTCGTCATTACTGCCGAGAAACATTTGACGAAACGATACCAGGCCAACTCTCGCGCTCTGCTTCTTGATGCGTTCGAGAAGTAGAGGCTGTATGTGGTCGATTATCTCGCCAAAATGCACTGCGGCTGCCCGGCATGGCTCGTGTGGAGGCTTTTTGTATCGGCGGAAATCGCGTCCCCCCAATATCACTGGGACTCCCAGGGGCAGCGGCGCTCTGGATGAGTTGGCGGCTTCGCGATCGTGGAGTCCGGGCAGACTGCCTTGAGAGACGTAGCCTGAGTCAGCTAACGGTGTTCGACGGTCGATATCCGTCTGAGAGCCGAGTGGTTCACAACCTTCATGGTTCAAGTGACTGAATGTGTTGGTATGGGGTTGGATGGAAACGACCGCAGGTCCCTCTGCCATCATTAGGTGTATGGGTTATGGCGGTTTGTCGGGAATTGAATTTGGTGCAGAAAGCAAGAACGGAGCATGAATGATGAATGAATCGTAGCGAGGCCGTCTAGAATTGGTTGCGCATATATACAATCATTTCATTGGGTTGCAGCCTGCTGTGCCACTCAAATCCGAGGAGGACGGGAGCCCTGGTGATTATTTGGTGCGCATGTATCCAACACAGCTCACGGGACCACAGCCTGCTTTGAATGTGCAAGAAGTGCGACTAGCCGCTGCAGGTCAAGCGATGTCATCGGTCGCAACATCCTCCACTTCGATCTTAAGAAGCAAAAGCTATCATCCTCATCTCTTCGATTCGTGGATATCCATCTTGCACGATGAGCGGCGTAGGCCCACCTATCTTCCCCCTAGAGTCGGTCTCGAGAGCTCAGCTGCAGGAACTATGCGAGATCCTATGGCATCAGCCGAAAGATGCGGATGCTACTTCATCACAGCCCTGGGGAACACATTCGCCGCAGCAATCGCGAAAGACCAAATTGGAACCATACTTCCAGTTCTATAGGGAGATGACAGCTTCGTACATTTACGATGCTTTCCCGCCGGACGAAGTCCAGGCATTGAGATCGCACGAAGACCTCTTTAACATCGCAAGATTAATCAGGGACAAATCAGATGTGAAAAGGGCAGATTTGGTGAAGGATTACTTCGACAGTCGTAGGGACGACGGAGAAACGCTCCCTGAAGACGAGGATCGAGCTTTCAACCTCGCTGTCAGAGTGATGCTAATGGTTGGCTGCTCTTTCGAGGGCCAGATTGGCGGGCTCCTGGAACTTGGGACGGAACCCAGCATTTGGCGGAACGAGCAGTCGCTTCAAGATTTCGTTTCGGCTACGTTCCCCACCAGACATAACCCGGTCCTCGACGACGACGATGTATTGCCGGACATGAAGTCAGCTCTGAGAGCGACAAGACTAAAGAAGGTCGCCGGTTTGACCTTTGAGGGTACAGATGACCTCAGAAACCACCTTCGATTGAACCATAAAACCGGCGTTGTCGAGGTGTTCCATCATACCACCGTGCTAAAGGAGTATCTGAGGGCTTCCAAGGATCAGATTGGTCAAGGAGCTAGGTAGGCGAATCGTGCCTCTTGTTGCGACGTATTGCTAACGATTCCCAGCAGTCTTTTACCTCGTCAGCTTGCTCTCGAGACCATAGACTCTCTGCAAAAGGTGTTGTTTCCTCTTGACAAGGATTCTCAGGCTCTTCTCCTATCCCTGGTCTCGAAGCAATCTCTAGACCCCGATTGCCGCAGTCTGAGCTACCCATCTTATCGGCACGAACACGAAAGAAAGGTCACGTACCAGTATTGGGGTTCCCGGCTGGTGGATCTATATGAGGAACTCGAGAATCCAAAGCCACGAGATACGCTTGGTCTATGGCTGAAAGCGAACAGCAAGGAACGCCACGTGATGCTGGCAACGCTGGTGGGGGTAATGATAGCTATTATCTTGGGCATTCTCAGTCTCGTCGTCGGGATCTTCCAGGCTTGGGTGGCGTATGAGGCTTGGAAGCATCCTGTAAAGGAGACCCCTGAGAAGTAGATACCAGTTCTGTTGTTCAATTCTCAAATGCCGTAGCTGGAGCACTGTGAAAACAAAAGGTCTGATTTAGACTGGTTTTCCAAAAACTTTATGAGTTGAACTCAGCTGAGGTCGGTACCGTCTCCGGTCTAGTGGAGCAGACGGATGGCGCTTTCCCGAAGAGGAATACAATGTGGTCGGAGTTGTGGAGTCTTATGTCCGGGGCCGCCCGGCTGATCCTACGGCAACCAAAGTCCCTATTGCATGACCTGGGCCAGACTGCTTCTCTTCTTCTCCCTCTCCTTCTGTGAGTGCAGTCCAAGGATTGCATATCTCTTTCAACCTGAAAATCCAAAGTCCGTTGCTAACGACTTCGGATCTGACAACCATTCAAGGAAATCAAAAGTTAGCAGTCATGCCGGACCAATTCGCTTTCGTGTTTGTGGGCGACTCAGGCCGGACTAAGTCGTCCGACCGATCTGTCATTCGCAGCCGGTGTATGCAGGGCAAGAATCGCCAAGAAGGGTCGAGACGATCGTTACGAGCTGCGCGGAAGGCCGCGAAGTCAACCGGGGCTTTGGCGGTCGTCGAACATAACCGAGACGTTCCATGCAAACCGGTCTCGTCCAGATCACCTACTGACAGGGTTATCGGCTCAAGGAAGAGCAGGAGGACAAAAATGTTATCAGCAGAAGAAGACTGCCCCGATGCCGAGTCTGTTTCAACGAGTGTGTCGCTATCAACACTATTGTCCCCGCTGAGCAACGTATCCCTCATACGCTTTGCGGATGACTTGGAACAACCATCTCAACAGACGCTTTTTCAGTGTGAGTTGCTCTCATACAGCCCTTGCGTCTCCTTTGTATCGCTGCCTGTGTCTGACACTTCCAGTATTCACGTCAACGACTCTCAGACAGACCTTCTACCCCATCGAACACTGCGTCGACTTACCTCGCTCTCCAAACTCAGATGCCCTATCATTCTCCTGGCTCCTGCAGGACAAGATCTTTCTTCACACCATCTTGTTCTCTTCCACTGCCATCCAGGACCGTCTACTGGACCGCCCTTCGAGCAGACTCACCCACTTTCATCTCCGCCGCACCATCTCCCTGCTCAATCAGTCGCTTTCTCAAAGTAACTCCCATGAAAATGAGGCGTTGTTTCATGTCATCCTCATTCTTGCCATGATATCGGGCCTCTGGGGCGATTACGATTCTACCGCCATCCACCTTTCTGGGTTGCAGCAAATCGTTCGTCTTCGTGGAGGACTAGATTATTTGGGTCGCTATCCGAAGTTGCATTTCAAGCTGGATCGGTGAGTTGATGTTGACGCCGCCGTTTCATGACCAAGAATTGAGTTCATTGACGTGGAACCAGCCTTGCTTTGACCTGGGCTCTTGGGTCTGGAGAAGTCCCGAATTTCTTTGTCGGACCCGTATCTTGGTCACCGTACTTCGGTGCGCCCTTGGTCGCCGATGGCGACCCCCTTGACGCCAAATTGCTCGGATCAATTGTCGATTTGAGGCTCCAGGGCACATTTAGCGACCTCAAACGCTTAGTCCACTTAGTCAACGATCATTTGGCAAACGGCTTGAGACTGGACGGACTGCTATTCCAAGACTCCTTGGGCTCCATCCAGACACGTCTTGTGAAGCTCCAAAACGGTCTTGAAGCTTCGGATGAGTGTATTCGCCTAGGAATGCTGGCCTTCCTTTCGACCACAATGCAAATTCCTGGGGGAAAATTCCCTTACGCGTATCTGACGGACAAGTTTCGAAATTCCTGCAAGACATTCATCATGCGAACACCGGCGCGCGAAAGGCTCATGTTTTGGCTGCTTGTCGTGGGCTCCATTTCCGTCTTCGAACCAGATGAGCCGTGGTTGGTGTCAATCCTGGCAGGACTTGCGGCGCCACAGCTGTCCTGGGAGGAGGCGCGATCGCGGTTGCAAGATGTGATGTGGATTGACGGTTTGCACGAGAAAATGGGCCTGTCCGCCTTCTCAGAGCTGATGCATAGAACTTGACATAGTTGACTTTGAATCTGGGTGCTGTCCAGCTGATTTTCAAATTCTTGTCACACGATTATGTCTGTTATTGGATTCAATGTCTAATTAGCGTAGGCTCAGCGTCGGACGGGATCCAATCCAATTTGGGGCGAGGACCCGGACCTGGATCGTGCTCTAGCGGAATATCTATCACCCGGCGCCAACGTCGGGCCCAGTGGACCCGGACCAAGGGGAGGCCCGGGCGTTCAATCTCCAACCTCCATCCATCCACTGCACTGGAGGACGGGCAGGCACCTAAGAAAGCCAATCCACTATTATCACGACTACTTTCCACTGTCACCCTTCTGGGCCATTCATCTACATACTCGACCAGCAAGATTAATCGTCATCTTCTATATCGCCTGCGAATCAAAACGCAAACATCGATCTTGCTATCTTTCTTGGAGAAAAGGAGCTGTTCTGGCCACTCAATAACCACATCAAAGCCCATCCTCAACTCAATACCTCAAGATGGCGGACTCAAAGAACGACAAGGCGTACAAATATCGCCAAGAAATCAGCCAGGTAAGAAAAATGCTTGCTGTCTTTCCTTTTGCTTTGAAGGCTTTCTCGACATTCTAAACTCCCTGGTCCGCCTTTCACGCGAGCACACTTGCACCTACCTAGTAGTGCTCAGCCGACACGTGAAGGACTCCCATCATGCTGTCGAGATGCCAGGCTGGCTGCCTTGCGGTGTGTCGTAATACCTGATGCTTCAGAAGGACTGCACACTCATGTTTGGAGTTTGCTTTGCAGACGCAAGTGCGAGCTGCTGCTGGGTGTAGTTGACCCGCTTAGTCGACTGGACGGCGATACATCCTCCTGGGCAAGTAGCAAAGATGGCTCCCGCCTCGGTTTCTTGAGGCTTGCAACTCAGCTCCTTCCTGATATTCCCAACGCCTTCTCCTGCTTCTCGAAACGCTTCCATTTCCATCTCCGTTGCCCACCGAAACTCAACCATCAAGATCATCTCGGGCGGCATCAAATCATCATCATGCTCCAAGCCTCACCTTTCGGACCTCCTGATGATCGACCGCATGTCGCTGTCCCCTTGAGGGATCTCGTCGGAAGCATCAAGATGGTCATCGGCATCACCGAGCAGCTGAATCCTGTGGATGGCGGAAGCGAGACTGAGGGCCCCAAAGCGAAGCCCAAGTATTATCGACCTTCCAGAGCTGCGGCAGCGATTTCGGCACGTGTCCAACGCGAGAGCTCTGAGCTGTTCCAATCCGCCTTTGATGAGGCAGTCGGTGTCACCCACCCGTCTGGATACAAATCCATTTACGACATTCCTGTCACCGCGGAAGAGCGGGCTTCTCTCCAGAAACCCAAGGACAAGCGTCCCTATGCTCGGAGGCATCGTCCCGTGCCCAAGCCCAAGAACGGCCAGAAGCTGCCTCATGGATTTCGCGATCGCCTAGCTGACGTTCTCCACCATAAGATGATGTATGTCTCTGGCGAGACTGCAGAGCCGTCTCCTGAAACCACGAGCATGATCGAAGACATTGTTCGTCAGCAAGTCATTGAGCTGGTAAGTTTACGACTTTTTCCTGTTGCTTCCTTCTGACATGCGGGCAGCTCAGGAACTGCACCGACTTGGCTGCACGCCGCGGATCTCGATCTATCACTATTAATGATCTGATCTTCCAAATTCGCCACGACCAGGCCAAGGTTTCTCGTCTTCGCACGTTCCTGTCATGGAAGGATGTTCGAAAGAACGTGAAGGACTCAGACGACAAGGGAGGCGAAGCTGACATTGGCGCTGGTGAGGATCCGGCCGGTGGAGTGATGCCTGGAGGCCCGGTCGATGATGCAGCGAAGAAGAACAAAAAGGCCAAGGTCGGCCTTCCTTGGGAGCCTTCCTCGTTTTACAGCCAGGAAGTCCCCGAGCGCGATGATGAGGAGGACGAAGAGGAGGAGGAGATGAACTTCATCACCCTCCAACGCCTACGCAAGGCCGATGAGCGTACTAAGGCCATGACCAAGGAGGAGTATGTCACCTGGTCCGAATATCGACAGGCTTCGTTCACGTACCGCAAGGGCAAGCGCTTCCGTGAGTGGGCCGGCTTTGGAATCGTCACAGACAGCAAGCCATCCGATGATATCGTCGACATTCTCGGTTTCCTCACGTTCGAAATGGTCCAGACTATCACCGAGCACGCCCTCAAGGTCAAGGAGCAGGAGGATCTGTTCAAAGCTCTCAATGGAGGCGACAATGCCGGCTCAAAGAAGCGCAAGGTTGCAACTGGCCTCTTCGACCCGCCCAGCGAGGGCAGATCCCCGATCGAACCGCGTCACGTTCAAGAAGCCTTTAGACGTTTGCAGCAGCGTCCCAAGAAGACCAGAGCTATGCTCAACGGCACGAAGCTGCCTCAACATACGGCTCTGAACATTGTAAGTTGATTAGCGACTGACATGATGTATCACGGCTGACCGATTCACTAGTTCTGATTTTCTCGTGCGGTTACCAAGATGACCGCACACATTTCTTCGTCATACGCGCAATTATGCGCCTGCTTGCTCTTACGACTCTATGTAATGATACCCTCGGGTGGACAAATGGCTTTGGCGTTAGAGGATGGTTTCGGATAATTCACAGCTGGCGTCGAGGAACAAGCTGGCCAGGCTAGGCAGCCGTCATATTGCAATTCAAGTAGCAAACAAATTGATTCCTATCACACATACGGGGGAGACCATTTTTGGGGGGGGCCTCGTAACTAGCAAACGTGTAACCCAGGAAATGCACGAAACCAGGCACTTGACGGCACCTGAACGTTTCGGGGCAGTCCCTGAAGCACGTACGTACCCCTGTCCGGTTGCCCTGGTCCATGCCACTTGGGCACAAACGGTACCCCGCAGTGAGGCGCAAGCTCCATGCCACCGACGGACCTGTCGCGATTAGATAAGGCAGACAGACCCCTTCCGGAGTTGCCCACTACCTATCTTATTTTGAATTCGTCTGCCTTGCGTCCTTTTGTCCAGGGTGGTGTCTTCTCTCGCGTTCAATACCTCCGCCGTGTCATCGCCCTTGCATAGAATCTCGACAAACTCAACATCATGGCGCCCCCAGCAAGTGTAGTCGTGAGTCGAACCCCTAGCTCTGCATCTACCCCGCTGTCCAGACGCGATGACGACATGTCCATTGCTAACCTGCTTCTCGCCAACCAGACGAAGCTCAAAGTCCAGCTGAAGCTGGCGATTGCGCGACTGCGCATGGTACAGCAGCGCGATGAGCAAATGTCCAAGACGCAACGGCGCGCGATGGCGCAACTCCTCGAGGTGGGCAAGATCGACTCCGCCCGCATCCGCGTCGAAAACATCATCCGATCCGACATCACAAGCGAACTGCACGAGATACTGGAGCTCTACTGCGAACTTCTAATCGCGCGCGCAGGACTTTTGGAGGGGTCAACGTGTGACCCTGGTCTGGAGGAGGCGGTCAAGAGCATCATTTACGCGGCGCCGAAGACGGAGATCAAGGAGTTGCAGGTCGTGAGAACGCTACTGGCTGAGAAATATGGCAAGGAATTCGTGCTCACGGCGATGGATAACTCGGACGGCAAGGTCTCGGATAAGGTGGTCAAGAAGCTGAGCGTCACGCCGCCGAAGGAAGAGCTGGTTGTTGGGTACCTGGAGGAGATTGCCAAGGCGTACAACGTTGACTGGCCGAAACGGCCACAAGCGGCAGACCCTCCCGATCTGCTGGACGACGACGACGACGAGAACCCTAGTGGTGGAATTGGTGTCAAGATACCCGAGGGACCGTTGGGAAACAGTACGAAGTTGGCCCAGGAGCAGGAGGAGTTGAGCAAGGCAACGCCCCCGAGGACGATTGGAGGTCCTAGCAGCCCTTTGACGGTCACACCGCCGAGGATGACGACAGACAACATCCACCCCAAAGTCACCCTCAACTCTTTGGAGTTGAAGCCGAATAAGAAGATGGACGCGGCGGCACAGAAAAAGCCCAGTAGCAAGGGGCCCGGGGGCAATGTGCCTGACATCACGGAGCTGGAGAGGAGATTTGCAGCCCTGAAGAAATGAGTTGGATACCACTTGACGTAGGGGTGAGGCAGTCTGATTTGGAGGTGTTCTTCATGGGATTGCAGGGCATGCATGTTTATTCAGTATGGTCTAGGCATGGCGCAGAATGGATGGCTGTCGCAAGGTTTTGCTTCAATTAGTATTTCTATGGCAGTGGAAAGAGCCCACATTGCTTCTTCGAGCGACCTGAGGGTAATAGGTATGTTATACATTTCCATGCCATTTATTGACAATGGCCACGCAAGGCAGATGGGTATGGGAGTGAATTGCCATGCTTGTAACTTACCGGACGGGACTGCATGCGTGGGATTTGGTACCGCAGATTCAGCGCGCCTGCCTTCCATCAACTGACTGATTCCCGTCATAACCTAAGGTGAGGTGCTTGAAAATGGAAGGAACCAGGCAGCTTGCTAATTTCCTGCTGTGAAAACGGTCCTAGTAAGAGTCACCCCGTCGAGTCTTTCTCTCTCTGTGGGTATGGCCTAGGTACTCTGCTGCAAATTTCCCAGGCTGTTCTCTCGCCATTTTTGCCTCTACAACCTTACCGGGTACCTTCCTCTTCAATTCCCATCAAACGAGGCTTTGGCGGGTGGTTTGAGGTTTCATTTTCCTTTCACCATTCAGATCAACTGTCTTGCATTCGACACCTGCGCATCGCTCTAGTATGTTCACCTCACCTCTGCATACTCCCCAGCGCATGTCTTCGCAATCCCGACCTGAGTTTTCCAACTCCCCGCGACTGGCCTGACTGACGATAGGGCAAGTCTCTCTTGCGTCTTCCGCCTACATCCCCCCCGAAAACTGGTCGACATCATCACTATGTCGAACGACGACGTGGCCGTCCTGGGCATCAAGCCTGAAGATTTCTTGAACCTAGACCAGCGCCAGATAGAGGAGAAGCTGGATAATGCAGTCCCTCGCTACATCGACGATTGTCAGCTCCTCGACATCTACGCGGAGTGGTTATCGAAGCAGGTTCCGAAGCTTGGATACAAATCTGCCCTCAACACTTCCCACACGATTCGCGCAGGATGCGACTATCTCAGTGCGAGAAATTACGACAAGGGAGTGGTCATTGGCGCTTTCTGGAGACACAGGGATGCATACATCAGAAATCATCCGGGCGGTGCACGGGAATTCAACTTCGCCAAACGCGACATTGAGATCAACTACAAGAAACTGCCGACCGCAGCGCCTGCCTCCTCCATCGCGCCTTCCTTACAGAAGGACCAGTCGCAATCGAATGGACCTGTCAAGAATGTCAAGTCTCCTTCACCAACTTTGGCAACACCGAAGTCAAATGTCCAGTGCAATCCTGCGACTATCGACGAGTTGAAGTATGACTTGGTCATCCGTGAACGCCTCGACAAGGTCAGGTCCGACAACAACATGACGTTCACCCCATCCGTGCCGCCGAAGGGGGTGCCTCCTGATAGCTATACTTGCAGAAGATGTGGAGTACCAGGTACAGACAACAATGGCCATCACACATCAGCTGTCAGCTAACTAAACATCTGATGATGCTCCAGGTCACTACATACAGAATTGCAAGACGAACGGCAATCCTTCCTTCGACTGCAAACCTCCCAAAGGCTACATCTGTCGCGGCTGTGGCGAAGCCGAAACTCACTTCGTCTCCGCCTGCCCTAGATTTTCATCATCCGGTCCCGCCAAATCTGCCGGTAGCCGGTCTCGCAAGAAGTCGAAATCCTCGAAAACGGAGTCGAAGAAGAAATTATCAGTGGACCAGAGACCTCGATCTGGATCCGTCAAGCAGTCGACACCGCCTTCCTCCACTGTGACGGAATGCCGCAGCACAAACGCTCGCATGCCAAGGCAAGGAGATGTTTTTCCCGAGCGAAGAAACAGATCCAGGTCTCCTCCTGCACAAACTCCCAAGACTCGCGACGACCACATGAGCGAGGATAGAGCTCGTTACATTCAGTATCACACGGACAGATATCGTCCTGGTCGGTCTGCGTCTCCTGAAATCCAACCCCTAGTTGGAGGGGGTCCTCTGCGCTCCGGGAGCAACACAGATCCCATCGGCCGACGACCTCGACGAGATTCGTATCGCAAGCTTGATTCATACCGCCCGTCGAGTAAAGTTGCAGAGCCTGCCAGCAGTATCAAGATGGCCAAAAAGAACATCACGAGCACCAAGAAACAACCATTGGCGCCCGATCATTCAAACGGAAGGGCTTCGGATGGGAGACTCTCGCCTTGGGACGACATGCAGCCTCCCATCAAGAAGCGTATCCGAGAAGATTCTCCCGATGTGCAAGGTCTTCCGTGGGACGACATCCAGACACCGCCCAAGAAGCGCCTTCGAGATGGCTCAGACGTGTCCAATTCGAAAGCATCATGCACACCGGCGCAGGACTTGTTCCAGAACCACAAGCCGGTGACTGGCGTACTGGAGCCATACGCTGTGAAGCCAGATGCAGCCGACCATCATGCCGCGGAAGTTGATGCCGCAGATGCAGATGTTATGGAAGCAGATATCATGGAAGCCGATGCCATGGAACCCAATGCCATGGAAGCGGGTGCCACAGTAGCAGGTTCCATGGAGGAGGGCTTGGAGGAAGACTTCGTTCCTTTCAGCTCTTCGGACGACTATGACGAACCAGGATTTGACGCCGACTCCTTCTTGGCGGGAGTTGAGCGGGATTTATGGTATCGCTCCTGCACCTCGGCCAGTACCTCGAGTTCTATCGCGCAGGACTCCGACGTCGGTATTGACCAGAACTATCCTCTCGACCACACCGAAGCTTGCATCAGCCCAGGCTCCGATATCCCGACTCAGCAGAATCGCGACTTCACCAACAAGGCTGCTGATAGCCCTGAATTCACAAACGACAACCATGACGGACTTTACTCGCTTGAGTCCTCGATTAGCTGCGATACACAGTTCCAGTCTCCTGCAGCACCAACCTTGGGGGAGTACAACGATAATGCCGTTATGACCGATCTTCTCACAGACACAACTTGCTTCCGCCACAGCAGCTGTGGTGTCGAAACTACCCCTGTCCAGATCATTCAACCGTTCCAGACTCTGAAGCCTCTCCGGAGAGATCCCCCATACGATCGACATGTCTTGGGACTTTTCCGCGGCCGCGAGCATGCGCACGTTTACGTCAATGTCCTTCGCCGCAGGAACGCTATCGACATGTATGAGGCGAACTAGGGCATGCGTTCAAGGATTCCACTTCTAGTTCCATGAACACAGTCAGATGAGAGAATCTTTTGAAACCTAGCTGGGACCGCCAACCGCGGAACCGACAACAGCATCTTTGTTTTGACGACAGCCAAATTTGAGGCTGCGTTAGTCGGACTCGCCGTCTTGCGTTTTTCCCGCAAGATGTAGTCCGATACCCATCAATCATCTTACGACCCGACGGCTGGTCGATCATCTTCACATTCATTTCGCCTCCGAGTTCCTGTTAGAGAATCAGAAGACAGTGTGTTAAGGCGAATTCGTCTTGGGAACCCGGAGCGACTTGAGTGATCAATCATCTTTGACTCGCGGCGTTTGTTATTGGAGGACATTAAGGTCGCGGTGGATTGCATTCTTACGCCCTGCCTTTTTTGCCCCTGGCTTACCAGGGGACATCTGATGTTTGGGTCCAGGGTCGTATCCACGGCACCTGGGCCTAGTATCATGAATATGAGGATATGCCTCGTTTACTTTGCTTCAGAGGGGGAATCTCACTCGTTATTCAATCGTAACCTAGAGCTTCCCCAAATTAGATAGTTGCCACAATCAATAGTTGCCACAACACAATGACTTTGCCTAGTGCATGCCGTTCTCGACTGAACTCCAGACTCCAACCAGACCGTAATCCCATATGTAGGTACTTGCAAGACCAACATTTCCACCTTGAGTGACAGGGCGCCTCTCGGCCTGCCTCTTCGAGTCTCTTCCAAGCGGTTCTGGTCCCAGCTCTTCTATCTCCGCATCCCTACTCCAGCTTGTCCAGGTGTTCCAACCGCGTTAACACGACTTGTTTGCTCGTCTCCTCGATCTCCCCAGCCAAAAACACTTCGTCCAGAATAGCGTAAACCTTGTAGAAGTTGAAGACGAGATCGAGCTCGCAGACGTTGCCAAAGAAGGCGTCGAGGACCTCGACGAAGAAGTGGATGGCCTCAAGGAAGGCCAGCTCGTTGTCGTTGGTGTCGACGCATGCGCAGAAGAAGAGTCCGGCGTACCGGCGGTAGACGATCTTGTTGTTCCGGAACTCGACGAAGTTGGACTGGTACTTTTGGTCTCGGGGGGCGACCAGGCGGTGGACCTATCCGGAGAAGGAGAAAGTTAGCTGCCTGGAGTGCGACTGCACAGGTGATGATGATGACTATTGGTCTAGGCAACCGTGGATCGGGTGAAGGAAGGAGAAAGCTTACCTCGCCCTTGAGCTTGATCTTCTCGTCATCGCTGTAAGGCGCGTAGTACTTGGCCAAACGGGTCTTGCCCCTGGATCGCGGGTGTCAGCCATCACCTTCTCCTTCTTTTCGCAACGCAGATCTTGCAACATACTGGCGATTCTGGATCAGGATGAAGGACAGCATCGTTTCGGTTCGGATATTCGCATGTCCCCGGCGGTCTTGAACGTGCTGGCTTCCGACAAACCCCCACGCGCTTCGCAGTGGTTTGAGATGTGAGGTCGGCGGACACGGAGCTCGGGGCGTGCGGTCGGTACGTACCGGCTTTCTCTTTCCCTCCAAACTTTCCGGTTCCCCTGGGGGCAGGCAGGTCCGTCCGGGTGGGTGGGGCCTGCCTGATTTACATTTGGCCTCTTTGGCCTGAGCCTGGGAAGCTGCCGCTAACCCCTTTTCGGAGACGGCCACAAGGGTCGCATGGCGCCCCACCCAGAAGATACTGCGACAGGTATAAATTCCTTCCAGCCCCCAGTGTTCTTAGGATTTTCTTTCTCTTTTTCTTCTCCATCCGAGTGCAAGGGCTTTACGCGTATCAGTGAGGATTCGTCCGAGATCGTGTTTTTGCTAGTTGAAAACTATAACTATGACCACTCCTAGTTGGCTTCGGCTGGCTAGGGAATTTTTGGAACCCTCTGATTTGATCTTCATGGATGGAGAGAAAAATTTTCGCTTTTCGCTTTCATTGCTTGCGGCCCCTCTGCTGGGCCGTGGTGAAGAAGGTCAGCCACCCAAACATTGGAATCACGTCGCGAAGAAGAGGTCGCTGGCTGGTTCTGATCTTCTCTGATGTGTAACCGGCGAGTACGCATGATTGCCTGGCTGTTGACACAATGCTGCGCGCTTCCTTCGCTTAGTGAAGTTTTTCGCCCAACGCAACTGATGTCTATAACGCGTGTTCCCAACAACGATGCGTCGGGGCTGGCTCTCGATTTGCTGGTTCTCGTGCTTCTGATGATGCCGTCTAGGTCATCGGTCCAGTGCCTCTCCTCACTTGGTTCTCTCCCTTGCTGCTGGCTAATGATTACTTAGTAAACCAACGTCGTCTCGCCCTGCTGCTTGTAGTTCCCGTTCTTGTCAATTTCGAGTCTGGTTACTAGATGCAAGAGGAGGAAGATCAAGTCGACGTAACCCGCAAGGATGAACGAACCCGCAAGGATGAACGAACCTCGAATCACTTGCCCTCAGCTCAGAGAAAATGAAAGCGATACCAGCGCCTTGAGCGAAAAGGAGAGCTGTGGTTCTTTAAGGTCAAACAATGTTCATGATCTACATCTCACATCAAATTTCCTGCAATCATTCAGCATGGCTGCTAAGTCATCACTCAGACATAAAACGAGGCAATGCCAACTTGTGTTTGGTGAAGACAAACGGGGAGTTTTATCAACAGTCCACGTCAACTGATTGCTTTGTGCAATGCAAGCAGCCGGTTAATAGTGTCACTCGTCTTCATGATAAGGCCCGTCACACACTTTCATGTGAAATCTTGGTCAACTCATCCGTTGGACACTGTTTCTCCCAGACGATCTTAGCCACGATGGCTTTCAAGGACTATTTAATTCACCAGCTTGATTTTGTTTCATCTCACAACTTGCTCATTACCTGCCAGCCAGACTTTTCCCTTCAGTGCTTCTCTCTTTTCCATTCTCTAGATCTTTGCTCCAGTCCTACCCTTCTTCATCTGGATCATGGACAAAACATCGACTTCTCCGCCCAAAATGCCTTCTGAAACTATCAGGACATCCATTTCGGAGGCCTACGGGGAGTACAAATCTGCTACCCACTACTTCCTGACATGGTTACGATGCCAGTATCGCCTCGTTGCGCCTACCCACGAGCGCAAGATGGACGACTTTCAATCAACCAAAGATATTTTGAACGCCGTACGAGTCGTTTCAGACGCAGAGTCTGCTGTCCCAGCCTCCGTCATTTCGTCCCTCCGCAACGCCATTGCTAAACGACGCGAGGTTCTCGCCATCTACAAGAGACTGTGCGCGGACGACCTAGAACATGAGGTCTTCCTCCGCAAGTAAGCCGAACAAATGCCCCTGAAGTCGGGGAAGTCAAACTGGGCTATCGCGCTGACTTGGCCGCAGACTCGAAAAGGCTCTTCGGGTCCTGAAGCCCTTCGTTGTCACCTCAAATCCAACGATCGCTGAGCGAGAAGCCATCAAGAACTTCATCGCGCCCAACAAGTTCTTCGCCCTGAATGTTGTCGATGAGGACATCGGAGATGATCAGGACACGGCGCCTAGCAGCCAAGATCCGCCGCAGCAATCTGATGCGCAAGTGATCCCGCCATCAGCACCCACAGACGAAAAGAAGAAGCCAACCGAGTTCTCGCTCGAGGACGACAAGCTTGGTGCCAAGATTGAAGTCATGCTGGTTTTCGTGGTATGTTCCCCGTCAGACAACACGATGCAGTAAGTATCATAAGAGACTAATAAAGCCCCGCAGTTCTTCAAAAACCTCAGCTCTCTGGTTCAGAGTTACTACACAGATGCTGCCAACGGGATGATTCCTCTGCCACTGGCAGCCTGGCTCACCAACTCAGCCTACTACCACGTGCAGCCCATTCTCACCGCCAACCGCCTGGCCTGCAGCTCCCAATGGGCAAAATGCTGGGGACTGGCCTGTGAGTTCTTCACCAAGTCTCCTGATGCTCTGGGGAGAAACGAGCGTGTACCGGAGTGTTTCCGATTCCTCAGTATCGCACAGGCCGTGTGGAAGTACCGAGAGTCCAAGAAGAGCCCGAATCATCTCAAGGGTGTCTCCACCATAGATCCCCTTGCACACCTTCCGAGTACCGGAAGTTTGATGAGACAGAGCGGGGTCGACCGAGACTCAATCGCGGTTGACCGCAATCTCGTTCATGTCATCATGTCGAACATGGAGAGAGTATTCAACTACGACGGCGCAGAGTCTCTAAAACGTGAGCTCTCAAGCGAGCCCCCCTGGGATGAAAACTCCATTCCGGATGACCAAAAGCTAGGCTACACGATTTACAAAAGTATTGCGAGGAGCTACAAGTACGAGCTCATGCATCCAAAAAACATTAAGCCATCAAAGAGGATGATGCAGTTCTTGGAGTACGGCATGAAGTTTTACGGACATAAGCCCAGACGCTACCCTTGCGAGCCGATCTTCTACATCGCTTCAATTTACAACGGGGACTCGATCAACGAGCAAGGTGCTCACATGCGACCGCCGACAGAGCTCGTATTCGGCATTGACATGCTTCTGGAGACGTACGATGCGTTTCTTCACCCCGGGGGCGAGCTGAAGCCCCAAGACGCCCGCTTGACATCTCTCCGGTTGGCGATGGAGATGAAGGCCGCCGCAGATTCGCTCAAGGACACCTTGGCGAGCACTTTCGCCGGCTTGAACAACTACGTGCAAAAGCTCCAGGTGCTCTTCCATTTCAGCTTATCGCTTGACAACTACGTCAAGGAGAAGCTCTGGGACGTGTACCACCGCGCCCCGTGGACCGCCGGATGCCATATGGTCCAGCTGCTCCACCACGCCCACATCTTCGGCAACATCCTCTGTTTCGACCTCGAGATGGTCCCGGCCGCGCTGCACCTCTACAACGCCATGGTCCGCTCGGAGGTCGGTGCCCCACGGGTGCCCATCATGGAGGAGCTCTGCGACCTGTTTGAGGACAACGTCTTCGGCGGCAAGCGGCCGAACCGCAACTTTGTCTCGCACTACCGCCGCGTCGTCTACGGCAGCAAGATCTCGAAAGAGCGCCCCGGCGAAGGAGGTCGCGATTTCGGATCGCGCCTCGAGGGAAGCAGCAAGGAGAGCAAGGTCAGGCTGAAGCACGTCGAGTCCGTCTTCTTCCAACAGCATCACGACGACCACCCGCTGAGCCTGCAGTTCGTCGCTCACATCAACGGTGTCTCCGACAAGCAGCTGAAGCATCCCAAGACGAGAGAGAGCTTCATGGAGACGAGCTCACGCCAAAGCCCGGTCGAGATGCTGGAGAAGATGAAGACGGCGGTGCTCGCGGAGTTCGAGGGCCCGCGGCCGGTGGCACGCATTAACTACTTCGCTATTCTTGGCGTCTGCTGCAAGATCCTGGAGGACATGAGCGAGGCGCATGGTCTGTGGCGCGATACTCGCGGTGCTGGGGACGCTTCTTTCAAGAGTGGTTTAGCCAGAGAGCTGACGCTGGTCGAGGATGCGTTGAGGTATTGTGTCGAGTCGTCGATGGAGAAGTCGAGCGAGCGTATGATGTCTCGGAGGCCTGTCCAGGCGGCCCGAATCGCGTTGGAGAACGTAGATAAGAAGGCGAAGTTGTCGCAGTTCTTATGGAATGTGTAGTTGGTATGGAGATAAGGTCAGCTTGGGAATTGGGAACTAGACGGCAGGATCAATACAGCTGGCAAGGCGAGAATACTATGGCGAGACGGTGGATAGGTCGGTGTGACAAGGTACCGTAAGTTCGGTCCAAAGTCACATCATGGACCGCTGAGGTCAGTTCACGACAATAATAGTAGAACATTCTAATACTTTGAGCATTGCTCATTATGTATTTCCAAGTGATGTCTGCCCCTAAGGAGTGGAGGTGACCCAACCTAACTAGTTATCCTGCTTTTCCCATGACTTCCTACTCTACAATGCCGGATACTGGTGGGTCTACTGAGTCAAAATGAGGCCGTCAAATCGTTTCATCCTGGTCCAAGAACTGATGTACTGAGGCTCACTCGCCATCCCAGAGCCATTAGAAGGGTATAAAAGCAAACCGTGGTAACGAAGAAGAGTGACTTTCCGTCCGCCCATCACACTTAAAACATCGCAAGAACAAGCATGCCGGCAAGAATGGCAATGCTGAAGGTTGTTACGCTTGCGCTACTGCCAGGAACAGTAGTCGGAGACGATGTTGGGCCCGACGAAGGCATGCTCACGGTAGCATTACTACCGGGGCTGCCGGAACCAGAGCCTGAGCCAGAACCCGATCCAGAACCGGAGCCAGATCCCTGAGAGGCAGAGGGAGAAGGACTACCGCCTCCGCTTCCGCCTGAGCCCGATCCGTCCGACGGCACGGCGGTTGACATTGTGGTGGCGGTCGCAGTGCCCTGAGACCCGGAGCCGGAGCCAGAGCCAGATCCCGAACCCGTGTCAGTGGCAGTAGCCGAAGCTGACGCCGACCCTGATCCACCAGTCTGGGTAGAGGTGCTATCTGTGGCAGTCTTTGTGCCTGACGCAGAAGAGGATGAAGAACCAGAGTTGGCGTTGTCACACGAAAGATCGTAGAGTGGCTTCGTGGACAAGCTAGAGCCAATGACGCCAAAGCTGGGGTTGGGCGTAGTCGGGGAAGAGTCTTGGAAAGTGTACCACCAGACATTCGTCTTTCCGAACATGGGGCAACCAACTTCATCCCAGAACGTCTTGGCGTTCTCTAGCGAGGGAACAGCAGAGCCGACAGTCTTTCCACTGACAGGCCAACCGGTCTCGGTGACCCAGACCGGCTTGCCGCCGACAGCGCCCTGAGTCGCACCCAGAGCATCGGCCCAGCGTTCCTTGCCGTTGGAGATGTCATTGGGCTTCGTGTCCTCGAAGTACGGATAGGCGTCCATTCCGATCCAGTCGCAAGCGTCGATGACTGCCTTGTTGCTGCCGTTAACCCAGGCAGTCCACGTGTCGACGTGACCAAGAGGAGCGCTGCTCAAAGGCGAGTCCTTGATAACTTCCCGGACCTGCTCGAAGTACTTCACAAGAGTGCTGGGCTCGGCACCAGCGAATTCGCCATTAGCAATGCCGGTGGGGGAATGGCGGTAGAGGTCTTCGCTGCCGATGGAGATGCCGGCCACCAGGCCATTGAGCTGGCTGCCATACTGGGACACGGTCTTCCTCAGCGCCTCGAGCTCGTTGTTGAAGGTAGGGTCCCCGGCGGAAGCCCAAAGACCGAGCAGCAGGCTGGTCCTGGTAGAAATAGCAGCCGGGATGGCTGAGATGGGGTCGTTGGTGCTGCCACCTTGGACCATAGTATATAGTCGGGCAGAGGTGAATGCGCCCTTGGTGCCTTCGAGGCTGGCTGCAGCCTTGAACTCGGCCTCAAAGTCAGATTGGGTCTTTGCGCGGCCGTCGGTGAAAGTAGAGCCATAGTTGAAACCTTGGAAGGCGTTTGCCGACACAGCGTAGAGAAGCGCTGCCAAGCTAAGGGTACGCATATTGACTGAATGCAAAGCTGAGGGATACGAGACTGATGAAGTGAGGTTGCAAGTCTGTCGAAGAGCAGGCTTGCGAGATGCCGAGCGAATGCAGGTAGTCGACCGAGGTAATAACTCGTAGACGGGCTCTGAGGGAAGAGCAAATAGGTATTAGCACGTAGGTAACTGCGACTGAACGAGGGACTGTTGGGTATAGGTAGGTCGCCTCAGAACCCTGGAGACAAGAACAGGACAACGATCGTGAGAGTAGTGAAGAGAGGAAAGAGGGACGTCAAAGAGGGAGAGGGAGCGTGGGGAGAAAAGGCGAAAAGAAAGAGAAGACCAAGAAGGTTCTCCAGACTAAGAAGGCAGATGCTTGATCAGATCATAAACAAGCTCGCTGGGCTTGCCATCTCCCCTGTCCCTTGTACATGGCAGCGGAAGTCCCCTTCCCCTCTCGGCCTTTTTTGGTTGTCTCCCACACCCTCCAACACAACAGGGCCAATCCGGATGAGAGGATTGCGTAAGTCGGCAAACCAAGATGACACCCGGAAGGTGGAATAGTCTAGAAAGGGCAAGTGGGTGAGCTGAGGTTAGTTGGTGGTTCCACATGCCTGAGTTGACTTGAGGTGAATTGGCGCCAACCGCTCACCCGCTCCAAGATGCCGCGTCAATGTTGAGCATTGAATCATAGTAATTACACTTGACCACCATCCAGGAACCAGGTGTGCCCCGTATCCGAAGCCCATGTTTAGCTTCATGCTGCAGGTTTTCCCCTGAAGCGACGAGACGATGAGGTCACATTGTCTGTACGGCAACCAATTCGGGGCAAGACGGCTTCAAACAAGGACCCAATCACAGCTGTCATCCCATTTTTACCGGCTGACCGGCGTCCAACTTGGGCTGTCAAGTTCCGCAGCCACATGCACTATTCTCACCCCTGAGCCCCGGTCCGGCCAGGCCGTGGTGGGCACTCCCCGTGTTTTCCATCAACGACGACGCTCATGGATGTGGAGAGTGACCAAAATAACACGCCGCCGGAATGCGCGACATGCCAGCTGTGTATTCTCCGGTTATTGGCGGGCTTTTTCGTAAACACGAAGCTTGAAATGTCATGTACGTCAACATGTGTTAAATGTCAAATGAGGAAAGAAGAAACAACACGAATTAGCCTTCCAGTGGCTTCCGATAACATCCATATGCCGCGCAGTTGAGCTTCATAATCGCGCAATTGGTTGGCGCACCACAGAGATAGAATTATGTGGCGGTAAATGTTAAGCTGGTTGGACCCGGTTGCGTCCCGGGACTGAGAGCCTACTGCAGGGGAAGAACCAGTTTCACGTCCATCCTGCAGCATCGCCAATGGCCGTGTCGAGGTGACTGCGAAGAAGACGTGGAAGAAGCAAGAGGAGCAAAGTGGCAGCTGCAAGGTACCGCGCTCGCTTCCCCAGGTATGCAAGGGTTCAGGGGTGGCACAGGACCACATTCTCCGCAGTCCCGTCTTCCTCAAATCCATGTTGTTTTTCTAGACCTGCAATTCGTAAACAAATGCTAATTCCGAGCGTTCCTAATAAAGTATGATGGAGCTGTAAATAAAATGGATTTCCTCTCCAAAATGACTGATATTGAGATTAAACATGCATTAAGGTACATAACGAGGGGTCATGTCGGGTGGGTCCCTTACTCCGGAAAAAGCCTCGGATAATTGTGGTTAATCCGAGTCTTCAATAGAGTGGAGGAAATGGAGACTGACTAAAGTGGGTCTTCCAACCCAATACGGAAGTCGACTAGGTACCATCAGGCATCCCTTTGTGATCTCACCATCTACACCTCAGCCCTCTTTCGCTGTGATTGAAAGCTGGGTAGATGACCATGGCGGATTCAAGATCATACCTCACTCAATATCCTGACCCGAAAAGCCTTGTCCAAGCCCGATGCCTAGCTGCCAAACCGAAGCAGTCTCGTTCAAGCACACGCAAAGTACGGACAGGATGCATCACGTGCAAGAAGCGCCATATCAAATGCGACGAAGCCAAGCCGCACTGCGGCAATTGCCTCCAGAATCGGGGTCATTGTGAGGGTTATAAAATCGAACCCAGGAAGAATGCTGCTTCCAAGCCCGGTCAAGCTTCCTGGGATTCTAGTCGACTCACTCGTCATACCGCACCTCTGAGGACGCAGTTGAAACTGGACCCGGATGCTCTCGACTTTCAGGATACCGCGAGCATGCTCTATTTTCAGGAGTTCGTTCAATTATCCCGCGCGCCGTGGACTAATGCGACATCAAAGGGCGACCTGTGGGAGGTAACGCTGCCGCAGTTGGCCCGCACCAGCGGTACGCTACGATCTGCCGCGACGGCCATCGGCGCCCTCAGCATGTGGCATCGCCAGTCTAAAATTCGTTCTCTCGGTGGAACATCAATGCCTGGGACTTCCGAGAACGAAGGCGATGTCCATTACTTCAATGCCATAGCGCACTACTGCCGCTCGCTCCGTCAGCAAAGCCAACAAGCTTCCCTCCAAGATGCCATCGTTCTCTCGGTGCTTCTCCTGTTCTTCGAAACACTCAGAGATAACCGAAAAGCTGCCTTGGATCATATCAATCATGGTCTCTGTCTCTTGCTTGCTATCGTTACAGACGACAACGCGCAACACCACATTGTCAGGCTCGCACCAAACCCAAAGCCTCTGCTGGCAGCCGTGGCTGATGTCTTTAACCACCTCGCAAAACAGGCCCGGATTGTTCTGCGCGACAGAATGGGACAGGGTCCACCCCTGCCAAATCTGACAAAGGTGCTGAGGAATCACAACCACAACCTGGAGTCCTTCATGGTTCTCCTCAGTCAAATGCCCAGCTCCATGGACATTGGCGACATCCCTGCTACATTCAACAGCCTCGACGACTTTGAAGAGTCTTGGGCGGCCGTGAAACGAGTGCAGTCAGCGATGAGGCCCATCATGATAGAATTCGTATATGATTCAGGGGTTATGAATTCTCAAGATGAGGAAGTAATTCTTGGTCTCCACGCAGAGCTTCTCGGGAACGCTCGCATTAGGGAGATTGCCGAAAAGTCGAGCAAGGCAATGGAGGCAATAGACGTCGCCTTCCAACCCCTATTCAACAACATCGTTATGTCCTACAACTTGGAGTCACCAATCTATCTGCGAGCGATCCACCTGAGGCTGCAGTATCTTGGTATGTACATCTTCGAGAATCCCCCGCAATTTCTCGACGCCGCATCGCTGAAAGCGCTTTCACACATGTTCCGCGAATACCTCTCCGTTGCCTCGATAGCTTTACATGCGGCAAAACGAGAAGCAAACCAGAACCCGGCACACCAGCTCTCGCTGCAATGCGATATCGCGTGGTATCTGCTTATCTTGGCATTATTCTGCCGCGACCCGCTGCTACGCGACGAAGCCGTCATGATGTTGAGGGACTATCCCGGCCAAGATGGCCTGTGGACAACTCGGTCTCTTCACGCTTTGGCGGAGAGGAACCGCACCGTCGAGCGCATAAACGCTGTCGAGGGGACGCCTGACGACCAGTGGCGCCGACTGTGGCGACGGGAATTCGTCTTCGAAGATGGCGGAGACCGCATTCTTTTCCGCTACCTGGAAAGAGACGAGGTGACGTGCAAGTGGAATGTCGTGGAGGATGTCGCTGAAGTTCGAGGGCAGCTCGAGGAAGTCCAGTGGAAGCGACAGCCCCTCTCTGGACGCGGCGGTATGCTCGTTGCCGAGATATATGCGTATGATAAGATGAATGACGCATGAATGATTGGGCCGTGGCAGGCTTGCAGTCACATTTGGCCATTGTAAATCCTCAAGAGAGAGACCATACAACATGAAGTTTGTTTGCCTCATACCCCGATCGGATGTACAAAACAAGAGAGCCGGCGTCTACGTTTGCGGCCCGCAATCGTTCTTTAAATCTACGCTATGCTTAACGAACTACGCTTCACTATTGATCCAAGGCCTGACTCTGGCACTACACGTCTTCGTCAATACAACACTGAAGCAGAAGGGCAATGAGGGCGAACTTACCATTTCCCAATAAACACCACGCCTTCTAATGAGCTCAGCGTGCGACCCCTTTTCTACCACACGACCTTCACTAAAAACGAAGATCACGTCGGCGTTCTGGATAGTCGAGAGCCGGTGAGCCACGGCAATCATCGTCCTCCCGTGTCGCGCCCGCTCAAACGCCGCCTGGACGATCTTCTCCGACTCTGAGTCCAGCGCAGACGTCGCCTCGTCCAGGAGGAGGACCTTGGGGTCACGGATAAGGGCGCGGGCGATGGCGATACGCTGCTTCTGCCCTCCGGACATGGAGACGCCCTTCTGGCCCATATCCGTGTCGTAGCCCTCGGGCAAGGAGACGATGAAGTCGTGGATGAAGGCATCGCGACAGACTTGATGGATTCTCTCCTCGGGGACGGAAGAGGGCTCAGGGATGCCGAAGAGAATATTATCGCGGATTGTGCCCCTGAACATGGTCGGCTCCTGCGCCACGAGGGAGAGGCTGCGACGGTAGTCGTACACGTTGAGGCCTTTGATGTTAAGACCGTTGCACAGGACCGCGCCGCGATTGGGTTCCACGTCGTAGAAGCGCTCTAAGAGGGAGATGATGGAAGTCTTGCCGCACCCGCTCGGACCGACGAACGCGGCATACTGGCCCTTCTCGATGACCAAGTTCAGGCCGTTGAAGACGACGACGTCGCGCGTGGGGTACTTGAAGTGGACGTCGCGCAGCTCGATGCGCACGCCGCCGTCTGCTCTGGATATGTTCCCGTCGTTTCTGGTCACGGAGTCTCCGAAGTCCGCAGACTCGCGGACGTCGAGGATGCGATCCGCGGCGGCGGCGGCCTGCGCAGCACTGGGAGCCACGGCCAGGGCCTGGGCGGCCGACTCGGAGCCTTGGATGATGGCCATCAGACACACGAAGAAGGCCTCCATGCTGAACTCTCCGCGCGCCAGGAGCCTGCCGCCGTACCAGAAGACCAGGGCTTGGCAACCGAGACCAGCACTGTCTGCGAAGCCATACAGGACGGCGGTCCACTGAGCCTTACGGCGCGCGGCTAGGATATGCCCACTCAAGAGCTTCTGATAGCGCTCGTTGATAGAAGTTTCCATCGTCAGGGCGGAGACGGTTCGGATTGCCCCGATTGCCTCGGTGGCGAACTGCGAGCTCTCCATGAATACGGTCGAATTCATCTGGTCAAACTGTACTTCGTGCCTGTACTTCCAGAGACCAGTGGCGAGCATGATTGGCATGGTAATGAACATGGCGACGAGACCAAGTTTCCATCCGAAATAAAGCGATATAATCACGCAACCGATGACGGTGAAGATGCCGGATAGCAACATCGCGAGATTGAGGCCAAGCAATTCCTCGAGCTGCTTCGCATCGCCCCCGACGCGGGAGCTCAACGCCCCGTGGGAATTTTCGTCCTCGTCGAAGAAACTGAGTTTCTGGTGCAGCATGTCTCTCAAGTACTGCCTTTTGTAGACGGCGCTGATGAAGTACTGGGTATGCAGACCGATCCAACCCTCGGCAGCCCAGGAAATGCCGATCCCGGCGGCGAGCGCGAACCACATGAGACCCCAGAAACTGGCTTCCTTCTCAAGCTCATCTCCTGTGAGGAGAAACACCCCGATGACTTTCGCGACGAGCCAGGCCTGGATCGGGATACCGGCCGCAACAGCCATGGCCGCGATGACGATGCCGAGATAAGATGGCCACCTCGCGCGTTGATCCCAGATGAGCTTGCCGAAGCTGCGGATAAGACCACGGGGCTTTCGAGGCGCAATCTCATGAACGGAGTGAATGCTCGCGGGGCTGCCGATCAGATCATCATCATCGTCCTCCTTTTCTAATTCCGTATCAAAGGAGAACGACAAGTAGTCAGCATTGCCGTCGTCGGACGTCGACAAGTGCAGCGACTGAGCCCGGACCAAGCCGCTGTAGACGCCGGAGGGATTGGCCATGAGGCTCTGGTGCGTGCCCTGCTCGACCGTCTGGCCGCGCTGCAGCACGACGATGTGGTCTGCCTTCTTGATGGTCGATAGGCGGTGGGCGATGGTGATGGTTGTGCGGTTCTTGGTGACTCTGTCGAGGGCGGCTTGAACCACCTTTTCGCTCTTGGCGTCGATTGCGCTGGTTGCTTCGTCGAGGATGATGATGCGAGGCTTCTTGATGATGCTCCTGGCTATGGCTAGGCGCTGTTTCTGGCCGCCTGACAGCTTTGCACCGCCGTCACCGACTTTTGTGTCGTATTTCTGGGAATTAAATAAGCAGCTGCTTAAAAGATGGAAAGGGGTCCTTCTCTGTACTCACGTCGGGCAAACGGCTGATGAACTCATGAGCGTACGCCTCCTGACACGCCTCCTCGACCATCGCGCGTTTGCAATCCTCGGACTCGTGTTCCCATTGCGTTCCAATCAGACCGTTCGCAACGTTGCCGAAGATGGTATCGTTGAAGAGGAAGGGTTCCTGCTGTACCAAACCAACCTGCGATCTCCACCACCTGAGATCAAGATCCTCCAGGTCGACTCCGCCGACGGAAATGAAGCCAGAAAGCTGAGGCTTCTCGGGCGATTTCATGTCCTCCTCAAATGTCTCGGTCTTCTCATCAGCAGACTTCTCCGATTGCTTGGTCGACGGCTTCGCTTCAACAACCTTTGGCAAAGAAAATTGCTCCCTAAGCGAGTACCATCGCTCCAGTAACCCGACGATCGTGCTCTTACCCGACCCAGAAGGACCGACAAGCGCTATGTTCTGGCCGGGTCTGATGCGGAAGCTAAGCTTGTTCAACACCGTGACACCGGGTCGGCTAGGGTACTCAAAGACGACGTCTTCGAAGACGATGTCCCTTGATTCGATATCGGGCTTGAGAAAACCTGGATTCGTAATAGGTGCGTCGATGACGGTGAACAGCTCGCAAGCAGCGACCATGGCCTTGCTCACGGCCATGAGAGGAGTCGAGATCCGCTCCATCGACGTAAGGATCATCATCACCGACATTAGCACAACGATGATAACCCCTGCATTGTTGAGTGCGCCGGCGATGAAGCGCTGCGTGCCGTACCAGAACGCCAGACCGAACGCACCAAACATGCCAAAGAACTGATGCAGGTTAGCTTCCCAGAATGAATGGAACAGGGCGGAAGTCTTACAATTAAACCAAACTGAAGCCCAACAACGGGCGCTGTCTTCTGGGCTCTCTGCATCGCCTTCCACACCCATCCCTCGTACCTCTCAACCACGCGCTCCTGCGCACCACACGCCATGACCAGCTTGATCCCACCTAGAGCCTCGCTCGCAACAGCCGTCCCCTGCGCGTCGGCCTCGAGGGTCTCCGTCTGCCCCGTCACGATCCTCGGGAGCATCACCGCCAGCACGACCACGATGTACAGGAGCAGCGACGACGTGACCAGCGTCAGGTCCCAGCTCCAGACGAAGGAGATGACCATGGCCGCCCAGATGGTCCCGTTGAACTGCAGGAACGTGCCCAGCCTCTCGGAGATGCCGAGCTGCAGCGTGTTCGAGGTCGTGGTGATGGCGGTCGCGGGCGCCCCCGGCGGCATCGAGTCTATCACGTGGATCGACTGCGCGAAGAGGGCCTGCAGGTAGTGCAGCCTCACCGCCGAGGAGAGCCGGATCCCGATCATGCGGAAGCAGAACTTGTTGACGGCGTTGAGGGCCCAGCGGCCGAGGAAGAGGGCCATGATGAGCGCCGCTTGCCGGTTGAGGAGGCGATCAAAGTCGGACCGCGTCATGTCTGAGTCGGTGCGGAAGTAATCCGTGAATTGGCCAACCAGCTGGCCAAATATCACGTTCATCAGGGGAAGAGTGACGCCCGCGCCGATGGATGCTACCGAGGCGATGAAGTAGACGATGAAATCCCATCTTGTGGCGTAAGCGAAAACGCGGAGGTAGTCTGAGAATGCGGGATTCCGTTCCCGCTCCCGCTCCGGCGGTTTCGAGTCTGGCTGCTTTTCCTCTATCGGATCGTTAATCGTCGACATGTTGGGCGAGGGTGTCACGAAGTTGTGTGTCTAAGTCGCGGAGCTGCCAAACGTCAGCGAGACGACCACTTCTCTTGGAAAATGGGGTTTTGACGGAGAGAGGGGAGCACCAAACTTATTCAAGGCCAGAGAAACACGCTTGGTCGTCTTCAACTTTATGATGCGATGCGTCGAGGCTTTGAAGGTCTGATCTCGAATTTTATGCCTGTTGTTTTGACCGTCAAAGGGCTGGTGATGGTCGTACCGTGGTCCGTTTTGGACCGGGCAAAAGACGGATAGAGTGTCAGGAGAGTTCTGGAAGAAGGTGATATTTGATTCAAAGCTGAACTCAAGAAACGGGAACATTTGTTGGGATACTTAAGCCTCCGGGCAGTGGATTATTCGCGAGGAAATACCGTGTTAAATACCTAAAATCAGACTTGAAAGTCCTCATGACAGATGAACACTCCAGTTCAAGCTGACCACCACTCAAACCACGTCTCGAGCTTCAGATGAACACTTGCTACAGCGAAGGTCGTGGGATTACCGCTTTTGGAAGGCTACGGGGTCGTGCGCTCGTGCTCGTAAATTGAAGCTCGGAGTATTTTGGCCAATTAGATCGTGGTATTTGGCCTGGCTGGTACAGAATGTCTCCTCGACGACAAGCAGTCATAACTTTGCTTACACCGGACCTTTTTTGATTTCACTGTCAGTCTCAATGCCTGGGGGAGGTTTAGCTGACCGCCAGGCTGTCTACTTTCCCGTCTTTTGTCCCATTCAGAAGCTGTCCGTCGAGGCCGAGAGTTCAACGGTTTGCTCAGCGGAGTCTGGAATGTTCAGGAGCCGGCGCTCTGATTCGTCTCGTGTCTATTCAGGTCAGTGATACGACGGGTGCATCCGGCCAGACCAAGCAGCATCTGCGGCTCTGCCAAGACCAGCAATGACAGCTGATCCGAGCATCCGTGGTTGACACGCCACTTCATCGCTGAAGGTTCGCCTTCTTATGTCATTTTCTTGACGTGACAGGACTGTGATGTTGAACGATTCAAGAAGGAATTGCAATTCATGTCTTTTATCTCGTTGCCCTTATGTACGGATAAGCGCAGAACATCGTATCAAGGCCTGCTGGGCCAAACGAAAGGCATTGGGTATCTCTCAGGTCCATTCCACGTCGCATTTCATTTACACGTAGCCACGGATGCCACGGATGACACCGGACTTTTTCTTCTTGTCGGCGTCGTCTTTCGCCTTGCCCTTTTCATCCTTACGCCGATTCTGAACCCCGCCTGGTGTTGTTTTCAATTAGTTGATCCTCCAAAACCCGTCTTTGAACCGAAGTCGGGATACTCCAGACTCACCTCTGCCGAAGTATCGTTGATCCGTGGTGCTCGAGCTGGCTGCGTCGTCCGGCTCCAAGGGACTAGAAGGTGCCGGAGCAAGCGACGCGCTGGGCGGCACCGGCGTCGACGGGTTGGTCATGATGGGTGGTGTGTTGGTGTATGAGGACGGGAGGAAGTTATCCGACAGGACCCGATGAAGTCCCGAGCTTCTGCCTTTCATCGTTACGGGGCTGGTCGAATGAGTCGAGTCTGCCCCGTCCACGTCCATGCGGAAAGGGAAGTCGGCTCGATTGTGAGAGTTCGACGACCCCACAATGAACCTGCCCTCTTCCACCTGAGACTGCAGTACAGTATACTTCCGCATCAAAGTGGTATACTGCTTTTGCAACTCTGCTTGCTTTGCCCGGCTTGCTGCCAATGCGCTTTCAACCGCCGCCTTGGTCTCGGCTGACCGTCTGTTGTGTATTCCCTCGTGCGCCTCCAGGAGCTTTGAATTCAAGACTCCAATTTGTGTCTGGAAGAGCTTCTTCATCTTTTGGATTTCTTCCTCGCGTGCTTGAAGTTTCAATTCCAACATTGTTGCCTTGTTTTCCGCTTGGGAGGCGGATGCAAGAGCGGCCTGCCTTTCTGCCTCCTTAGCTTGCAGATTCCTCTCAGAAGTCGATAGTCGCTCCACTTCGGCCTTCAGTCGATCGATGTCGCCAGCGTTGATTTCGATGGATTGCATATTTTGCGTTGAGTTCAGCTCCTTCACTTCTGCATCGCAGACGAGCTTTTTCAGCTTTTCGCATTCTTCTTTGGCAGCCTGTAGCTCTTGTTGCAGAGACTGAATTTCCAGTTTCGTCTTTCTCGATTCTTCGCGTAAAGTTCTCAGCTTGGCGGACAGATCAAACTCCCATTTCTTGGCCAAAGTTCGACTCTTCTCCGATTCCTTCCTGATTTGCATTTCGGCCTTCTTCGAGTCTTCCAGTCGTTTCCTCAAGGTGCGATTGTTCAAAATGAGATTTTGCGTCTCGGCCTCACTCGCGGCTTCCCGAACTTGTCTCCGTCGAAGCTCTCCGATGTGTGCCATGTGCTGCTGCTTGAGATATCTCTCGAAATTCAGGTCATTGTGAAGGAGAAGAATCTGGCGTTGCAAGTGCGCAATCTGAGCATGTCCATCAGTTGTAGAGGGTGGTTCGGAGATTGCTGGAAGCGGAGGAGGCGGGTTTGAGGATGATTTCTCTGCCGTAGACTCCTGGTGACTAAGTGCAAGTGATGGAACACTATCATTTGCGAGTGACTGATGCAACCCAGACTTGATCACTTTGTTCGAGTGAATCATGTCTTGCAAATGCGTATGCGATGATGACGTTACAAGCTGGGGTTGCAACGTCGGGCTGTCGCCCGGTACGTCTGTCCTCGAAGCGTCCAGAGAGTTTCTGTTGGATGGGTGACTTGACAGTGAGCTTTGACGTTGTGGATTGGAGTGAACGCGGCTGCTGGCCCTGGAAGCACCTCCAGGGCTCTGTGAATTTCTCCAGCTGTCGGCGCCAGCATCGGGTGCGGCATCACTTAGCAGCGCAGGCCCGAGACCGTCACGATCCGATTCCTCACCGAGGAGCAAGCTCTCGCCTTCTGCAGCCTGAGCGACGTCCGGGTTGACCGCAGCGAAAGTATCTGGGGAAAAGCGCAGCGCCATACACTCAGCCACAACTTCTGCCGGCTCACTCGTCATCCAGCGACCGAAATCGGTCTTCTCGGACTCGATGGTAAGAGTGTAAAAGTTGGGATGCAAAAGGTGACTTTGTCGAAAGCGCTCGGACTTGTGACGTATTTCGGTTGGCTGAACCTCGACCTCGTCCGGATTGGCTGCATTCGCATGCCGCAAGTAGCGCTGCGGTTTCCTGATATAGTCCATGAAGTTGATGGGGTACAGGCCGTACAGGATAGTGAAGTAGTTGGCGAGATGAGGTATATCGATGTCGTCGGTCTCGGGAGAGAAAGTGCAGGCTTCCCAACCAGAGGGCGAAGCAAGGCTCTTCTGTTCGCTTTCATCTGATGTAGATTCGATAATCCCGGTCCTCTCGCTATCCCAGAATAGTAATCTTGCATAGATGTTGAACAGGTTTGGGAGATGTGGTACCAAGGAGCTTGGCATATGTGGCAATACCATAATCAAAGCGGTGATGGCCACGGAGATGACGGTGGTGGACGTGTCTTGTTGCAGGCATCGCATCAAGTTGCTGAAGAGTGGTGTTTGCAGTATTTGGTGCAGATGCGGCGGCTGACTCTGAACAAATTCACATAGAAGTTTGGCGGCTCGAGCTCGATATTCACTGCGGACGAAAAACTTGTCGAGGGTGAAGAGAAAGTCCTGTACCACGTTTAGTTGACGAGAACCATCATGACATCTATGCGGGATGACTCACCTTAGGGCGCTTCTTGCCGTACGTGATAAGCACTTGGCGTATTGCGCGCTCGCTGGATTCTCCGGTCAAGTCGCCTTCAGACTGCGTCTTGTAGCATTTGTCCATCCAGGAAGACAACAGCCGTTTGGCAAAGGGATTCACAATGAGCTCGGCGGTCGAGTCGTCGTTGTCGGGAATTCCAAGCATCAAGACCTCTAGGGTGGCGTTGTGCGATTCCTCCATCAGACCCTTCTCCCGAGTGAAGTGTTCCAGGACTGCATCGTTCAGTGTATCCCACCACTTGTAGAGGCGGGCCGGCGTGCGAAGCACTGGGACCAGAAGCCGGAAGATATGGATGAAGACCGCATACTTGGCAGGTGTGCCCTTGACGTGCTTCTCATAGATGCTTAGGAGATCGTCGTGCAACCTGTCCGAAGTCGATTCGCTAGAATCCTCGTGCTTGTTGAGGTACGCATCGATGACTTGGGCGATGTCGTCGGGGAGCGGCAGAGACGGCGAGGCGGAGAGGAAAGTTGTCAGGGCTTTGGAGAGTTCCTTGAGTGACCTGGGCGACTTCGTGTTAGCTGGTGGTGAGCTCCGTCATCGAGTTATTGTGGGCGCGGGAGTGCTCTTCAAACGAATATCGCGCACCGCATGACGCAAGGGAAGCCGGATACGAGCGCCGGACATGGCGACAAGGGAATCGGGCCACTTACGCTGACGACGCCATTGTGCTAGCTGCGACTCTTCATGGAGCCTTGCGATGTTTTATCGGGATGGCAGAAAAAAAAAGCAAGGCTCGGGCGGGCTGCGGGCGCGGCTGTCGAGGGCGATAATGATCATGTAACTGTCAGGCAATCGCAACGGAATCTGCTGATGCAAGGTACAAGCTTTGCCAGGGACCCTCAGTCGTGCAAGGCAAAGACCGGGAATGGAATGGGCGTGGAACAGTGGGAGAAGGGGACGGGAAAAGATTGGATCATTGCGGTGGACGTTACGGAGTGTTTAGGGCGTGAGGGGACGGCCATGTGTGCTGAATGGTCTCGCTTAATCCTGCTTCAGCGGGTCTTTAGTGCCTGGAAGTGTGCGATGAGCTCAGCAAATGGAATGACGGGTGACCCTGGAACACTTGAACCTGACTGAGGTGGCCCGGATGAAGCGCGGCAGGTGGGGATACTTGGATCTCGGTGGCCGGATCACGCTGCAGGCATGTACCGAGACCCCACCAGTGACCTCACGGGGCTAAAACCCCGCAATTCGCGTTTGCGCCATGCGCCGTGGGCCACCGATGCACCCGACCCCAGGAAAACGTACGGGCGACAGTGGGGCCAGAAGCACCGTGGGACCACTTGAAGCTGGTGTGGGTTGTGGCCTGGTCCATAAACGCACCTGATCAGTCACTGATGGCCAGTCACAGGTACGAAGCACTCATGCCTTTACGCAGCTTGCTGTAGAGCAAACCCCCTCAGCTCAGGTCACTTTGACGGCCACTTGCGAATGCCTACCTTACCTACCTTACCGCGCGCAGCTCGAGGTGAGGTACGAAGCCGTTGCCAGCATCCCTCACCAGAAAGTCATGTACCGTTACCGTCCCTACCTTGCCTTGGATGAGAGAGATCGGGTGGTGGTGCAACCCCTCCTTTGTGTCCAGATGACTCGACCCTTAATACCTGCTTTCCCCTCCCTCTTTTAAAACCAAATAGCTCTGAGCTGTCCTTCCTCTCCTCCTTCTCTCCTTCTACATCATCAACCAAGCTACTACTCAAACAAACGCCTCACCAATTCTCCGCGACAACCTCGTCTGTGAACTTTTCCCGGTTCCAATTGCATCAATCAACTCAATTGCAAGCTCAAGCTTCAACATTACCTCCTTTCCCCCTAATCCAATCCATATACAGTCGGCAAGATGGCAAACAAGAGCTCTGCAGTGGCGGACGAGCCGGTCGAGGTTCTGTTCGCCCTGCAACCTAACTTCGACCTTCTCGATATGGCAGGCCCAATGGAGGCTCTGACCAACGCTCTCCACGACAAGAACGACAAGAGTGAGTCTCCTTTTGTTTCCCCCGCCCCCAATGGCACGACGCAGCCCGGCTGACCAGCCCCTTACCCCGCAGCCTCCAAGGCCTTCGAATGTACCATCGCCGCAGCTGAGCCCAAGGTCGTCTCCGACTCTGGCGTCACCATTGGCACCCAGATCTCCTTCAAGGAGGCCTATGAGCGTCTCAGCGACTTTGACGTTCTCGTCATCGTCGGCGGCGACAGCGACAAGATAATCAAGGCCAACGCCGAGCCCCTCCCCCTCATTACCGCCTTCGCCGAGCTGCAGAAGAATGACCCCGCCCACGAGCGTACCCTTCTCTCCGTCTGCACCGGTTCGCTCTTCCTTGCCAAGCAGGGCGTCCTCGCCGGCCTTTCTGCCACCACCCACCAAGACTACATCACTACCTTCGAGATTCTATGCAGTGAGGCTGCTACCCGCAACCTGACCGAGAGAACCGACGTAATGGAGGATGCTCGTTACGTCGTTAACAACCTCCGATTCGACCTCGGCGACGAGGACGAGAACCCGTATGTCCGTCGCACATCCGACGCCGGCCGCCGACCCTCCAACGCCAGGTACGCAATCCTCTCAATCCTCGTACTCATTGGCCAGATCCCGCTAACAATCAGTATAGAAAGGGCAGCATGTCCTTCAAGAGCTCAGGCCGCCGCGAGTCCATCACTCGCCGCGCCGCTATGCGCCTCGGTGGCCTCCGCGTCATCACCGCCGCCGGTGTGAGCTCCGGTGTGGATGCGGCGCTGTATCTCATCAGCGCCCTGGTCTCCGAGGAGTCGGCCGAGGAGACCGCCCGCTATATGCACTGGACCTGGAACAAGGGCATTGTCGTCGATGGACTCGACGTCTAAACGAGTTATGATACCCATGAACAACCGGATGGATGGTAAAAGTTCATTCACGATTCATGAAGATCTGTAAGAAGGACGGGAAAAGCCTTCCAGATGTGTAAAGAGATCTTGACATCTCGATAGTATTGAAGCAATTACGTGTTTATTAGTGCAATCAACTCAACTTCTTGACATTTCTCTTTCTCATGTGACAAGTTTTCCCATTGATTATAGCCAACCGCAACGCTGCCTTGTCCCGATGCCAATGTGCATGACAGACTTGGTCCAGCGCCCGCATTTTCGAGTTCAATGCCACATTTCAGCTTCGTCACGCGCACTCTGCCCCTCATAAACCAGTGGGGAATTAAGCCCAACTGTGCGTGAGCTTACATAACTAAACTCGTCCGGTGACAGAATCTGGGGTACAAGCTTTGACGGACAAGGCAATTCCTTGGGCAATCCCTCGAGACCTCGTCAGCTCCGATGTTGGTGTGTCAGGCTAAACGTCGGATAGGTGAGCTCTCTGCCACATGTTTCAAACTTGAAGTTTACCCCAGACTCGAGCATCTGTCGTGTGTGTCCGTTGACAGCAGACATACAGTGTGGCATCGTTGTTGCACGAAACTATGACAATCTGTCATGGAGGTTGTAATTCAGAAGATGTGAATTCCCAAGCTAGTAGGGTGTCGCGGGAGCAGTTCATCGGGTACGGCGAACAAGTGTTTTGTAGTGATAAATCATAAACGAGTACATCAAACAAAAGGACGTGAAGACGATTCTTCAGACAGCTTTCCCGATATTCGACTTCGTCAGTAAGGTACTTCTAATCGTAGACTATGTTCCGGGCACCCCGGGACCCGGCCGTCGATGGGGCAAATGTGGATACGCCACCGGGCCCGGATGAAGCCCCGCTTTCCCGTGAGAACCCCTGCGCAAACGGATCTACGTAATCCCGCTTCGGCCAATCAGCAACTCTTTCAATCTCGACCTTGCACTTTTTGGCAACCAGCGAAGTCGCATCACGTCCTCGATCACCCGGCAGACCCCAGACACCATGGCGACGTCAGCGACAGAGGCGGTTACCCGCGCGGTACCGAACTTCAGGCTCGGACTGAAGAAGGTCTACCTGTATGATTGACCCCGAAATCCCTTCACCCCGCTACCACGACCGCATCACGCAAACCACCACGAAACCAAAAATCTAACGTCGTTCTCTGACTCTCTTCCCTAGGCCTTCCCACACGATCACCCTCATCCGAAAAGACAAATTACCACCCAACTGGGCCGTATTCCAGGTGCCCCTCACCTTCACCAAGTTCGACCTGCGCGACTACCTATGGAACCTCTACGGTGTCGAGACGACGGCGGTGCGGTCGTGGGTGATGGCCAAGAAGGTGGAGCGCAAGAGCAAGAACCACGGGCACTACCGCCCGCAGTCGGACAAGTTCATGCAGGTGCAGCTGGTGAAGCCGTTCGCCTTCCCGCCGCCGCCCGAGGACCTCGAGCCCTGGAACAAGAAGCTGTGGAAGGCCCGCGAGCAGCTCAAGTGGGACCACTACAAGCCGCTGGAGCTGCGCCAGCAGGGCAAGCTGTCGTACCCGAGCAGGGCGCCCAGAAGCCTCGAGAGAAAGGCCCTCGCGGAGCAGGCTAAGGCGCTGCTAGGCGGGGAGAAGGAGTGGGAGGGCCCGAAGGAAATGGATAGCAAGTGGGATATGATTGTTGAGGCGTCGAAGAAGATGAAGAACGAGGGCGAGAAGAAGGCTGAGGGTGAGGCGAAGGTTGAGGGCGAGGACAAGTAAGGGGCCGCGGACATGCGTGTCGGGGGTCTGGCGGTGCTGGATAACGAGCGATGGTGGATGTCACGTGTACAAAAACGAAACAACTGTAGTTGAACATGCGGGTGGCATGTTTGTACAACATAAAAAGGATGGCGTGGAGGTATAGAACATGTCAATTGGTATCATCGGGTTCATTACTCTCTTCATCCTGCGCTGGTTCCACCTCCCAGTGACGGTGCTCTTGGAATCGCAGGACCTCGTTACCCCATCCCCACCAGCCAGCCGTCAGATTGCGGGCAAAGACCTCGAGACCGCGGAAGTCTCGAGGAAGCAGATCCTCGAACAGGAATCGCAGGTTTGGCTTCCTTGAGTGGACGTCCGGAACTGCGGCTACAACCCTCTGGAGTATCTTGCGGTTGTCGCCGCGCCGTTTAGCAATGATAAGTCTCTCCCACGGCTTCCTCCAGGCCGACTCGATGTCGTATATAGGCTCCCCTTGTGATGTGATCTTAACCCAGATCCATTCAGTAGCAACCTCAAGACCCCATGCTGTAAGTATTCCCTTGGGTGATGTGAGCAAGTCTATCAAGCTGGCTTTGTTAGTCACCCAAATGGCAACGAGGCCGCCATCAGCGAGATGTCCTCCAACCGGTATTTGTTCTAGAAGCATCTTCGTCTCTTCAAGACCGCTGACGGTAGCATAACCTCCCCTCTTCCTTTTGGCGGACTTGTTTGGCCAAGGCGGATCCAAGACGATAAGATCGAACAAGGGTGCCGTCGAGATGAAAGCTTCTCTAATTTCCTCGATAGAACCGCTTAGGTACGAGGACCCTTCAGGAATGAAATGCGTCGCTGTCGCAGCCGTTGCCTCGTCTCGGGCTGCGTCCCTGCCCGCGAATTCGTGCTGTACGCCTCTCCCATCGTCACCGCTGCCGCTTGTGGCGGTGATGCTCTCGTCTCCGGTAATTCGTGGAAGACAAAACGGAGCGGTGTGATCTTCATTTAGCGTGTCGAGAGCGCTCCTCACCGCCGCCTCGATCATGAGGTCTGCGACTTGGCTCGCGGGTGTGCTGTGGTTGACATGGGTGTTCCGTGGCTCCGGTAGCGGATAGGGTGCGGCGACGGGGTCGACCGACAACAGCCGCCGTCGCCGGGGCGGTGCCCCTCCTCCGCGTGTTGTCTCGGCATTGTGGCCCGGCAAGACCTGGCTCTCCTCGATAGAAGTGGGGATGTCGACGAGGAAGACCGTTTGGGTTTCATCGCGAAAGAGGATGCATCTTGGTGATGAGATTGGAGAGGTTGGTTCCGGGGGCTTTGACTGAGGACTAGAGGCCATGATTAATTTCCAGAAGAAAAGCGCGGTTCTGGCTTTGTCTGCCAGACCCGATGGTGCCTTGATTTGCTCGTGGCTATGACCGGGGCGTGTTCCCCGAAGGCGCGATTCGAGGCCCGGCGCAGTCTAAGTGCTCGCTTGGCCGGACTCGGGGCTTGACTGGGGTGGCCGTGGGAAAGAATAGTGCGGTTCGATGGTGCCGAGGTCCTGCGTTGGCGCTGTTTCTCCTGGGACGGCGAGATAGGCGGTCTGGGGCTTGTTTTCCTTGGGGAATAATCTTATTCCTGGTGGGAAAATTCTTGAAGATTAATGACTGGCCCCTACCTTAGTTTGTACGTCCACATTTTCGAGTCTCCCGTCATGAAGATATCGTGACCTCCAACTGACCCTGGGGTCCTAAAGAACATACCGGATTTAAGCAAGGCGTTAATAGAAGGAGATAAATATCCAGAATCAATCTCCGGGTCTCGTGCCACGAAGTAACCGCGAAGTCGGCCTCTTGGACAACTGCCACCGTCTGTATCCGAAGGTGTAAGAAGTACCTTACGCCCGCGTCGACGCTCGGCAATCTTCGGCTCGTGGCCCAGACCCCTGTACTAGACTGAATCTCCCACCAAAAAGTGCCCCCCGTACCGCCGCCCGCTCGTGCACCCCAAAGGGCGACTCAGCAATGAGAGGGAGCCTTTTAAAAATCTCCCGCGCCCTTATGACGTCCGCCCCGTCGCATTCCGCCTCCAGATCCCTTTTCCATTTCCCATTGCAACTTCTCCACGATAACCACGGCCCCACGATCCTTTCCCTTTTCGCCTGCTACACTTGATTTTTCCTTTTTCCTAGACTGCTTCAGCCCTCGACGGCACCTCACCTAACCGACGGACCCCGCGGAATGTCCTCCGAGTGACATTACCACACCAAACACGACCACGAGCGAGCGATAGAGCGTCGCGGGTCGCGCTGACCAGGGAATGCCGTCAGCGCTGATGGAACATGCCTCCATGTCGGAGGTAGCAACCAAGACGCAGCGACCCAAGACAGGGACGAGGACACCTCCCGTGTGCCCGACCGACGATGACGACACGGTGAAGCTGAGGAAACAGACCCGGACGTTGGACTATGTCTGGCGTTCCGGTGTCGCGGGGGGCTTGGCGGGCTGTGCTGTAAGTTGGAATACCAGAAGTCCAAGATGTCCAAGATGATGATATCTGACTTGACCGGCATCACAGGCAAAGACGCTGGTCGCTCCCCTCGATCGAGTCAAGATCCTATTCCAGTCGAGTAATCCTCAGTTCGCAAAATACACAGGCTCATGGTTCGGTGTCGCGACGGCCATGAAAGACATTAAATCCCATGAAGGCGTACTAGGGCTGTTTAGAGGACACTCGGCGACACTTCTTCGAATCTTTCCCTATGCCGGCATCAAATTTCTCGCCTACGAGCAAATACGATCCGTCGTTATCCGCAATAAAGACCAAGAAACCCCCTGGCGCCGCCTGGTCAGCGGGTCCATCGCCGGCGTCACCTCAGTATTTTTCACATATCCTCTGGAGGTCGTCCGTGTGCGACTAGCCTTCGAGACGAAACACGGGGGGTCATCATTAACCGCCATTTGCCGACGAATCTACAACGAAAGCTTTGTACGGACCGCCGCGAAGACTGCCAGCTCATCAGCGACTGAGACCGCGGCCGCCCCCGTTATCGCGGCCATCGCGCCTCGGTCGGGGATAGTCAACTTCTACAGAGGCTTTACACCGACTATGCTGGGTATGCTTCCTTATGCCGGCATGTCTTTTCTGACCCATGACACCGCGGGCGACCTTCTACGCCACCCGAGTATCGCCAAGTGGACAACCCAGGCGAAGCCGAAGGACTCGCCGGCGGGCAAGCCGGCGCCGCTCCGCTCTTGGGCCGAGCTCTTCGCGGGCGGTGTAGCTGGTCTCATCTCGCAGACAGCGTCGTACCCATTGGAGGTGATCCGCAGACGCATGCAGGTCGGCGGTGCTGTTGGCGATGGCCACCGACTTCGCATCAGCGAGACGGCTGCCATGATTTTGCGTGAGAGGGGCCTAAAGGGTTTTTATGTGGGCTTGACGATCGGCTACGTCAAGACAGTGCCCATGGTGGCTGTGAGCTTTTACACGTATGAGCGCGCCAAGACATGGTTGGGAATTTAGAACCTTTAGTGAGAGCGCGCGAGAAAGGAGGTGGACTGATTGCGAGTTCGGCGTTATTGGAAACACTCTGGGTCAGAAGCATTGATGGGTTTTATGAGATTCGCGGTTTAGAGCAAACGTCCATAACCAAGGGACCTGACGGCGCGCTAGAATGGAGGCTAACTGCAGATGACATTGTCCAATAAACAAATTGGTATTGTTCTATCACATGCTGCGCTTTGGCGTCGCCGCACATTCGGGGTACATGACCTGGCGCGCGCGTCCGGTCAATTCTTTTCAAATGTCTGTCATCAACTCATCGCTCATTCCTTTTCCTCGCCAAGGCATCTCGTTATCTCAACACCGTCCTGTAGACCGTTAGAATCGATGTGTTAAAAAGGTCAGAGCGGGGAATTCACTGGTACACCGGTCGGCTCAAAGCTGTTGACCAGCTTGCTCTCGTATTTGAGATTCGGGTTTCCCACCCTCGTCAAATCCAACCTCTCCTCACCCTCGCGCTTCAAGTACTGCTTCGCGGTGCGATCGTCAAAGAAGCCGCTCTCCTCGCGCTTCTTGGCCACGTCCCGCGCAGCAGCGCGCTTGTCCTCGACGGAACTCCGCACGTACTCCAAATACGGCGGGTTGCCGGGCTTGATGACGTTGTCGGCCGCCAGCACCGACCCGGGTCCGACGACCCCGAGCTGCTCGCACAGCTTGAGGTCCGTCGTGTACGCGGGCTTGTAGTGGTCCAGGAACATGAGGTCGATCTTGGTGAGCTCGCCGGCTTCGTGCAGACGCTTGATGGAGGCGTCGCTGGGCCCGACGATGACCTTGACTATGTCCGAGAGGCCCGCCAGCTCGACCAGCGAGCCGATTACGGCGGCGAACTCGGGGTTGCGCTCGAGGGAGTAGTACCGCTGGCCGCCTGCCTTGCGCAGGGCGGCGCCGAAGAGGATGCAGGAGTAGCCGACGTACCCGCCTAATTCGACCTGGTGGTTTGTGTCAATTGATTAGATGAACCGAAGAAAGTCTGTATCAAAAAACTGCAACCACCACATCTCGCTGTCACACCGTCACACAAGAGATTGATCGGTTACCCAGATCAGACGATCTACCTCCCGCAACTCAAAAATACGACGTCGTCGCAAAGGGGTGGAATTTTACCATAATCTTGGGCTTGACCTCGGCGATCAAATCCGTGACGATCTTGCCCTTGTCCTCGCCGACGTTCATGAGGTACTTCTTGCTCCGGCCAAAATCATCGATGGCGGCCAGGACTCGCTCAGGCTTGCCGCGGATCTCGTCGATGTCGGGCTGGGAGTAAACGAAGTGCAGCAGCTCGATTTCGCGGCCGTCATCGAAGAAGACGTCTTCTTGCACGGCGTAGGCCTTGCTTTCGTCAAAGTGAGGCATCTTGGGTGTCGTTTGGGGTATCGTTTTGGGAGTCGAATCACGCAAAAATTGGCGAGAGACACGGAGGGGAGAAGAGCAAGGGAAAGTAAGAGAGAAACGGAAATCTAAGATTTTCAAGCCACAACAGCGAGAGCGACGATTGTTATCACGATTTCCGACGAAACAACCATTGCACAAGTCCCCGACCGTCGCGCGCACCAGCTTTCCGGAAGCGCAGCTATCGGCGACCTTTACCCCAACATCTTTCACAAGCTGGCTGTGGAGCTCGTCGATCGTACAATGTAAGGCATAATTCCCGGGGGAACGAGGACAGCACCCAATCCCAGTCAAAGGTACATCCCACGCACACGACAATGTCGGGGAAGACAAGGTACCGCAGCATTCGCAGCTCTGATCATGGCGGGGTAAGAAGACCCCGTCCATATCAGGTGCTTTCGCGATGGCGGCTGGTGGGGCTCGATTCAATCCATGACACGCACAACACCTCATCGAACCGCGTCGTCGATGTAATTGAGTTGCACCAACATCTACCTTTGGCGTAGCTGAAATGCGCGTCTTCTCGCCCGACTGCGGGGTGTAGCAGAGGGGAAAATCAACAGAAGCAATAAGCATTCGAAAATAACTCAGTCCCCTATCGTGCTTTGGGGTTAAGGTACATGCTCCGTCGACATGGGGCGGAAACGCAAACGCCTCTGATCGAGATGATGACCTTGCAAACATCCGATGGGTGCAACGCATACCGGTAAGAGCCTAGATGCGTTCTTCGATTGATGGATCTCAAGGCCTTCTTTCTCCCCGGGCCAACGAGAGACCTCCAAGATCCAGATGCGGCTCACCGGATCATCACCTCCCCCTGGTCGTGTCTCTCGCCGGTAGGCCTAACCCCACGTGCGATGTTAAGATCCCACGATTCGCGTCGATCAGTGCTAGGCTTGTCTACTGTCCGGTTGTTCTGGGCCCCTCGGTTTTGTCTTGGCCCGGGACGGTCAATGGCACCTGCTGTGGCCTGCCGCTTCCATTCCATCATCGACTTTTCACGCTTTGAAACATGGGATTTCTGCATTTCTTGATTTCCCCCAAAGATTGCCTACGGACTGGACGGAAATCACTCCGATTGCTAGCACGCCATCCGAATTGGCCTATCACACCGAAAAGGCAGAAGGGTTTCCGCCGTGCCGCCCTGTGGCATGCGGAGCTAGTGTTAGAACGGCGCCGGTCGGTCTCGCTTGTTGACGTATCCGGCCGAGAGGCATGGGGTCATTGCAACATCATGACCATTATGACTCTGGTTGTAACACCGTATTGCCCAGGCGGCAAGAGTCGCGAAGGAGACCATCACAACGCCGTGCCTGGAGGATGTACACAAGACCCAAAAGAGTCAGGAAGTTGATGGGCAGGCCAAGTCGAATGTACTAGTCACCGTTTCTCAGGCCAAAAACCACTGCTGCGTTGGTGGCGGCAGCGACGCGAAAGGAACGGAATCCGAATCTTGTAGCTCTAGCTGACGCCCTACGACAGAGCTTTGCTACCCCTGACAAGCGGCTGGCGAAAAGAAGGGATACAAACAACCTACCAGATTCTCGCCTAGATGTTATGCCACGCTGGTAGACTCCATATCACTCTTTTGTCACTCGCTTGCCCTGGTTTTTCTCTGGTCGATCGTTTTCGTCTCTGATGGGATTCATGCGACTCGACCTTCTTGACAAGTCGGTCAAGCTCGAGTGGGCCCTGGGCGAGCGTTGGAGGCGCAAGTGATGATGTCGACAACTTACGATGTCCTGCGTATGCCTTGGAGTAGGACAGCCAACGAAGGAAGCATGCTTGGCCGGCTGCGGTATTGTTTTTGATCTCGTGAGGAGAAGAAGGTTTCGTTCAAAAGGCAGACATTGGAAGCACATGGCTCAACATTTCCTTCATCTTCACTCACGTCCTCAAGCATTAATCAAGCTCGACGCTCTTGAACGCTACTTTTCTGTCATCCGCCTGCTACCAATCCATATACTCGTTGTGAACTACTTCCGCACCAAGCTGTACCAATCAGACAAGATGGCCTCCGATATGAAGGCAACGGTAGAGCCTACCAAGCAGGGCTTCTCCGTCTGCGGCTACGAGAAGATCGAGTATGACTTCGAGTTCCTCGACGGCGTCTTCCACAAGGAGAACCGCCAACTGGCGGACTGCTACTCCCGCTGGAAGCGCTGCCTGGCCGTCATGGACCTTAACATCTTCAACCTGTATGGTAAGGAGATGCAGGAGTACTTTGACCACTACAACATCGAGCTCAAGATCCACAAGACCATGATTGGAGAGAAGGCCAAGTCTATGGAGACGCTGCTGAGCATCGTCGATTCCATGACCGAGTTTGGAGTTTTCCGCAAGGTATGCTCCCATCCGGAATCCTGGAAGCTGTCAACCTGCTAACGAAATCTCTTAGGAACCCGTCCTCGTTGTTGGAGGTGGTCTCGTCACTGACGTCGCCGGGTAAGCTATCCCTCTTCCAACCAAGCGTAAACACCTGCTAATGATACCAAGCTTCGCATGCGCCTCCTACCGCCGCAACACTCCCTACATCCGCATTCCCACCACCGTGATCGGCCTCATCGACGCCTCCGTCTCCATCAAGGTCGCTGTCAACTACGGCAACTACAAGAACCGCCTCGGCGCGTACCACGCCCCTTCCCACACATTCCTCGATTTCTCTTTCCTGCGCACATTGCCCACTGCCCAGATCCGCAATGGCTTCGCTGAGCTGATCAAGATCTCCACCTGCGCACACCTCGAGACGTTCGACCTGCTCGACCGCTTCTGCGAGGAGTTGATCGGCACGGGCTTCGGCCGCTGCGATGGATCCAGCAAGGAGGTCCGCGAGGCCGCGGACAAGATCAACCGTAACGGTATTCACGAGATGTTGAAGCTCGAGACACCAAACTTGCACGAGATCATGCTCGACCGTGTCATCGCCTACGGACACACATGGTCCCCCCTCCACGAGCTCACACCCGACGTCCCTCTCCGTCACGGACACGCCATCTCCATCGACATGGCTTACTCCGCGACCCTCGCACACGTTCTCGGCAAGCTCTCTTCCGCAGAGCACCGCCGCCTTCTCAACCTCTTCTCCCGCGCCGGCCTGTCCATGGACCACCCTCAATTCGATGAGGCAATCCTGGACAAGGGTACTGCCGCCATTCTCAAGACTCGTGACGGTAAGCTGCGGGCCGCTATCCCGTCGCCTCTGGGCCAGTGCGAGTTCCTCAACGATGTCTCCTACGAGGACATGTGCGCCGCTCTGAAGGTGCACAAGGATCTGATGAAGGAGTACCCCCGCGAGGGAGCCGGCCTCGAGGCTTTCGTCGACGCCAGCGACACGGGCTACACGCTCAACGGCTGCTGCGAGGATGTGGAGGACCAGGCCCGGGTACCCATGAACGGTATCGAGAAGACCGTCCTCAACGACGATACCGTATCGGATGGTGAATCGTCTACTGCGGCTTCTTCGTCTTCCGGGCAAGAGTACGGATTGTCGAACGGCAAGACCCTGGGACCGAAGAGCGCTATGTACGCTGCTGCTGGCTCTGAGGCGTCGGAGAAGTTGAACGGTGACGTTCGTGTTGAGGAGGTTGCGGTCAAAGGCTCTGCATGAAAAGTTTTCTTTTGTTGAGCGGATTAGTATGCGTCCATATTGGGTTGAAAATATCGAGCAAGGAGCTCGATGAAATTAGTAAAAATATTACATGCCGACCGAAGTCTCATGCCGGAGTGAGGTTGAATACACCAGGTCTTGGCGAATAGCGTGGTGGAGTCGTCCCCATCAGGTGGATAGGTATTCCGACGTCAGTCGTCAGATTTATCCACCAGATTTTTTAAACTTTTCTCCCTGTCCCTCTCATATGAGTTCTCATATTCATCTCACATATGTATACACGAGAACCACAACATTATGGCCGCAGGAAAAATCGTTCTCAATAGTGACAGCGTCTCACTCAAGAAATTCGACGATGCATTCTCTGATCCGGGACGCCGCGCAACCATCAAGGAGCTCGAATTTAACATTCTTCTACCCCCCATAACCGACAAGCGCATTAAGAAATTCCAGAGCACAAAAGAGGCCGCCGCAAACAGTGCCGCCATCACCAACGCATTGCTGGCCCTGTTCTCCAGACTCAGCACCTGGGAAGTCAGTGGCGGCATCAAGCTGGTCTGCGATTTCAAGCCGGTCTCCATACCGTATATCGAGGACCCTTGGTGTGATTGGCACCACAGTGGCCCGCCCATCTCGACGATCCGAAATGCCCTCAAGTATCTCAGTCTCGACGAAAGCTTGCTGCCATCTTCGGGGAAATTGCCAGAGGTCCGCTGCGTTTCGGAAATTCACCTGGAGGATTTGAACCCAACCTGCACCCCAGCGTTTTCGTAATAGTATTCGACGCTCTACCTATCTTACGACAGGCGGACATCACTCTCGGCATGCCGCCCCGTCGATACACGGCCCAGCGGAGAAAAGTTAGATCCGCCCTTGCATCAGCGCTCCAGGAAGCAGCGCTCAATAACGTCGAGGACCTCTCTATAACCCTTGAAGACGCTGCGCCTTACGACCAGAGGCTCCAGCCTGACGTCTTCATCGGCCCTGACGGATGGGATGATTTGAGCCTCGCTGTGCGACGCCTTCTCCGCCTCCCCAAGCTTCGAAAGGCCCTCTTCGGGGGCGAATGGAGCCTAGCGCCTCACGTCTTTCATACCGACACTTCCTTCGGGCCGTGCCTGGAGCATCTGAGACTCTTCATTGCCCCTGTCACCCCGGACGGAAAATGGCTCATCACGGGCGATGAAGAGAACGCGATCCTGGGCAGAGATAGCCAGTCTTCCGATGAGTCGTCCGATGAGTCGTCCGATGAGACGCCCGATAAGACGCCCGCGGAGCTTGATTCGGAGGACTCGGACGCGACTGACTATGTCCCGGACTCGTGGGAGCGAGAGAGCGGATACAAGCCCAATTACTCCTTCCGGCGGACGTTCGACAGCACGACGTTCGACCCGCTCCTCGAGGCCCTGGCGCATGGGGTGCGTAAGATGCCTGCCCTTCGTCGTCTGGATCTGGAGGTGAGCAACGACGACATGGATCTCAGACTGGATTACTTCGCTGCCGGGGCCAAGAATGAGCCACTTCGCAGAAACGCCCGGTTTTTACCGAAGATACTTGGGCATGAGGGTAGTTTTGACGTTGAAAATGAGCATCGTCCACGGTGGATGATGAACGCCGACGAGACTTTTGATTGGAGTTGGACGCCTAGCACGAGGGTGATTGGGGCGATGGAGGCTGGCGGTGGAAGGGTTGCGCTTACGGGATCTGGCCGGAAGACTAAGAAGTTTTCTTGCGGAGACGGTCAGAGTATGATGGAGATTGAGGCGGAGTTAGGGGGCTTGATGTAATATGTTGTCGCGCTTTGAGGCTCGAGGAACAACGAAAGAACGTACGTGGTCCTATCAGGAAAAGGATATTCACACAACTAGTAACGCCCAGTGATGCAAGACTGAAGATACCAGATTATGCATCTATGACAACACAGATTGGGCGCCAGGGTAAGGAAAAGAATCGGTAAATCGCTATACACATCTAAAGCCCTCGGTCTACAGAAGGTCTTATACGAATGGTAAAATTCTAAGCCTGAGTTCATCGTCTACTAGACCCCTCCTTCAATCACTCCACGCCCGCAGCACTGAGATCTACGTCACGATATCTTTTGAAACTCATTAAAGCGGCATCTTTTACTTGGGTATCATAGTCAATGATAATGAGATGCTCCAGGGCCAGACTGTTTGACGTACATGCAGGCTTGGTTAACCTCCTGCTGCTGATGAAGCTGAGGCCACAGAACTGAGTTTCCATATCCCGCAATATTCAACCTCCCTCACTAACAGGCTGATCTGTCGAGAACAGAGTTCGTAACGCCGAAGAGATTTCTAGCTATGCCGCCCTGCTATTCCGCCCACATCAATCTTGGTCTGTTCTTTTTTCACGCGGGAACCCGGAAGCCTCCCTGCGGTACCGCATTATCCTTATACGTTCCTTCGACCTCTTCTTCATCTTTCACTCGAGCAGGCTGAAACTGTCATATGAAACTGTCACACCACGTCCTCACACGTTCTTTCAACCTCTTCAGTAGTAGCGTTTAAAGAATAGATTATATGCGACCCAGGCGCTTCGATGATTATTGTGTGTATGGGATTGAAAATTGGATCTGCGCCGTTCTTGAGTAGCCATTTGACGAACGCCCAGTCCAGTTAATTCTTAGCATGTGATGATGCGGTAGCCTCGTGGGATCGACTAGGCATTTTAACCCAAATAGCCACCAGGGCATGTCCGGTTTTCTTGACATTAACAAACGATGTTAGAAATCTCAAGTTTGGAAGTAAGAACACTAGCCACTCCGTGGACTTCACTAAGGGCAAGCAAATGTTGTACCATATCGAGCCACGTGGGCAGAGTAGGATAACCCACCTCGGGTGTTTCTTTGTAAAGCTCCTCGAAGCGTACATCGCCTGAGGCCTCAGTCGGACGAGGCTATGCAACGGGATACCGTATTCTGGCTTCACACCGTGCGATACTGGTAGAGTCACAGCTTCCGTAGCACTAAGGTTAACTGCCATGTCTAGGATGTGTTCCCTAAGTCTTTATATAGGCTGTTTAGTAGGGTTATTAAACTAAGGTTTCCTAGCTATCTCCCTTAGTACTATTAAGTCTACGTCTATATCTAGGAGAAATTGAGGATTTCTATATCCAGAATGCAGCGTTAAAAATGCAGCGTAATCTTCTAGCAAAAAGGAGAGGCAGCTGAACTAAGCCTCTATGTGGGGGACTAAGTAGCTAGTTTAGGTGCTAATTAGAGCTACTAAAGATTCCTAGGAGGTCTAGAAGCTTAGAGCTTCAGTTTGTGGTTGTAAAGATGCATTGTGATACTGAGCGTGACGCCTTGCTGTTAAACCTTTTGATGAGGTCGTCCTTGGGGAACTCGATGTACCTGCGGAAGCATCTATAATGCAGTTGCGCTTCATAAGACTCGCAGTGTTCAACATCAATCGACGAATTAGAATTTACTAGAAAACTATCTAATTCTAAACTCCCCCTCTGAAAACCCTTGAACGTAGTTCTTCGCATAGTCCCCCTTAAGGAATTGATAGCATGCTATACCCAATCTTTGGTAGGTGTTATCTCCCAGGGGTGCCAAAAGTAGCCCCATGATATGAATTCCAATCGCCTTGATAGGTCGAGCACAAATCCATACTGCAATTGCTGATTCTCTCGCATCCTGCAAAGTGTCGAAAAAGGTGTTTCCAGCCATTGGCAGATGCCGCCCATGTCCCCCTGTCACACCCTTCGCTTTCTTGCTCTTATAATAAGGGTGTGGGTGCTTGGCTATATCAGCCGAAAGATACATGTATGGACCTTTCAGGGTGAGTTCACCGCCTCGAACCTTTCCAGTATCGTCCGAGCCCAAATACGCTGTTTCAACAGACAAAACGTATGAAAAGACGATGTCATCCGGGTACAAACCCCCGCTGAGAATTAGAGCATGGTATTTGTGCTTGTTAGGGAAACTGATGTGCCCATCTACACACGCCCAAGACCACGACGGTGCCCGATATTCGGGTGTTCTTTTGGCCCGGCCATTTGTTCTCCAAACGAGTGTTTCCAAGAGTTTTTCCTCCCAGAGACCAGCAAGATACCGGTGTGTACCTGGTTTCAACTGCCCAAGCCTGGCCTTCATGATATTGGCCAACCCAGAGAGAGCAACAAGTTTGTCGTCTGCCTGAGTCAGCTGCCGTTCCGCGTAGTATTCGACCGTGGCGGTCCAGTCCATGAACAGTTGATCGTATGCGCTACTGGAGTGTATTCGAGGCGGCGCATCCAGCAGTTGTTTCCAAAGGGGAGGGGAGCGTAAATTTAAACTTTGTCTCCTCTTTCTGCGTTCCAGAGCAAGTTCTGATGGTCCATCGAAGTCGCTGAAGTCAAAGCCACCCTCTGGGTGACACTCACTACAAGTGGCTTGACGACATTCCCAAAGAACCTGCTTTGATCCAAAATACAGCGTGCGTGTTGCAAGAAGTCGTTCTTGGACGACCCAAGCGCGTTGTAGCAATGGCTCTCTGTCGAAGTAAAGGTTCCAGGCTGCGCTCTTTTCCTCCACAGACCTGAATGCTCTCTCATCGTCGTCTTCGTGGACTCTGAAACGAACAATTGTCGGTCCGGTCTTCGCTGGATCGCGCTGGAAGAAGCACCCGCCGTCGTCATCTTCGGCTCCGAGCGCCGAGACACTGAACTTTGCGTATCTGTATACATCTTGCATTGTCGAAGCCTCCTTTGACCAATCCTCGGCTGAATCCTGGAAGATGCATAGACGATCGATCCATATGTATTTGATCCCAAAATGCTGAGCGATGCTCATGGCGTCCCTGAAGGTCTTCGGCAAAATGTCGATAGGCTGCTCTCGACCAAGACGGTCGATCGTAGACTGTAATAGCCGCAACAGACTACCTGCAGGCTTGGAACCCCAACAGTAGCTCAATGCCACGTACTGAGTGGTAGGGAGACACTCAGCGCCGTTCACCAACCGGAATGTCTTCGATTCAGTCAGCTCGATCAGACGAGTCGGTCGATACGAAGTGTGCACATTCGTCTGCATACACAACGCATGAGACTCCAGGCATGTTTTCATCCAATTGTCAATGCGAGACCACGTCATTGGGTCATTGGTGGAAGGTCCAAAGTCGAAATTGAGCTGTTTGTCATATGTCGGGACTGCCAACCCTCACAACAGAACATCAGCCGCTACCTTCAACCTTAATAGATTGTCTGCGTACCACAACGGGAGACTTACTTCCGTGGAGAATAAATTCAAAATCGAGAACGATGTTTGCAACGAAAACCCGCATTTGCCGAAAGTCTTTGTAAAACAGGGGCCATTCGCCAAGTTGCCATACAAAAAAGACCGAAAAATACCCATGTTGATCAATGTTGGAGTTGTAGACGTTTGTATTTGGGTAGGACGAAAATTGGTGACAAATAAGGCATCCTTCTCTGATTGAAGCCAAGAACGAGTCCTGAGTCTTATGGTGGCCATATAGATACTTTCCGTGATTCTTGATATCTGTTGATGAATATGTTGTTATTATGAATTACATCAAGTACAACGTGGCAATGTGACTTTAGGTCACCAAGATAATTGTGCTTACCATCATCACGGAAGTATGTCCCCTCTACAAGCCCAAGCCTTTCCGTGCGACCTGGGTCCCACATACCCTCAAGCTCATTCTTGCACACGTCGCAAATCATGACGACGAGAATGACGAGGAATTGGAGGAAGAAGTATGTTGTTTGAGAATCTCCAGCCGGAGATGAATGGGATGCATTTGTAAAGCAACGAGAACGGGGCGGCATCCGTTTCAATGAGACGTGCGGGGTAAAGGCGTCCAACTCTTGACTGACGTCCTCGGAAGAAGTAGAAAACTGGAAAATATCAGAAATCGACCAATTGCATCCACCAATAGGGGCCAACCAACAATTCAACGTCACGCATAAAAACATACATCTAGCCCACCTTATACCGGTGTGCCTAATAAAAACTTATGTGTGATGTTGCTACTAAGCAGCCGGGCATACGACGTCCATAGTAATGAAATTTGGTTTTATGTTGTAACTTGAACCTACACGAGCATAATCTGGGGCTGCGTTACACATACATTACAGACCTACCATTAAAGTCGATATTCACATTTGCAATTTTTCTTAGATTCTTTTACATGATATCTTACTGTTAAACCCTGCAGTAAGCAGTAGTTTCCTGAGTTGTCGACTTTTGCGGCTATTTAGACACCCCCGCGACGCGGACAACACTGGAAGCCAGAGACTTAAGCCCTTTAGTGTAGTCTGTTTGTGGCCCCTACATGAAAAGATTGTGGTAGCCACCAGACGTGATATCTATGTATCACTTCATGTTAGTAGCAAGACCTAAGCCGTACTGCCTTTCTATAATCTAATGTGTACGTCTGAATACGACCTTAAATTCCTTCTAGACTTTGATAAGTCTTCTCATCCGCCCCCGACCTTATTGTTACCTTCTCAAGGAACCCAAACTCTCAAGCAACACTCTCCGTGGCTGCTATTCCTATACGAACTGCCCGCCGAATCAGGCTTCCCAAGATTTAGCTTTTTATACCCTCATATGTCTTACAGACGCGATAGTTGTCAATATATAACCAGGAGTTGAATACCTTGAATGTTGTTTTGTACTGAGACTCGGTACCCCAGGCGATTTTCATAAGTACCTCCAATCTTCATCCGGTCCGTTTGGTTTATTGCGTGGCTTACGCTTCGCGCAGCTCTTGCAACTACCCACTATAAAAAGCAGTGAAATATAAGGTGTTGACAGTACCTCTGACCCATGCTAGCGCGCAGAATAGTATGGCAGTGAGCGGAATCTCCACATGAGCTATTGAATGGCAATGCAAAAAGCAATCGGCATTAGTGGCGATAGCTTCAGCCTCCGATCTTCATACACGTCCGTGATACAGTTGTGGGACTTAATGGATGTATTGTTGCGAGCCAAAGACCCAGCCAATGGCAGAGACGGTGAATACCTATAAGTGAAGAATCGTTGCTTAAAGGCGTAGGAACACAATGGTCCGTCATCATCTTCGTTCACAGAACACATACTTCTGTAGAATCACAGCGAAAAGATGAGTCTCTTTGAACCTCGCCTACTTCTAACGTATCCATGGGTATACTCACATTGCATCCGTTGATTCGTAAACCTCCCTGAAGAGAAGATTCCAACCCAGGCATAGACCAGACATTGGGGTGGGAGTATTGCCCGGCTAGCTTTATAGCAGTTTACTAAGTTGAGTTTCTTAGTTCTTTAATATAATTCTAGCACTTTAGCCTATACTATCTCTCAATATAATAAATAGATATAAATAATAGTTAAACTAGTATTATCTAATAAGCTTAGCCTAGCTAAGGTTGGGCGCACGTAAGTTCGCGAGAGCTATGGGAAAGGGGGAGACCAGACATTAAAAACATCACAAGTTAATTATGAATTGGAACTAGTGCTCAGCTCTAGATCAGCTTTACAGCGGCTTGCCAATACGTGCTCCACAGCTGCCCAACACATTACCCGCCCTCTATGAAACAAATGGATATAAACAACAGTTGAACCAACATGTCAGTTATAAGGTATGATTCAAACAGTAAGGAAGCACTCCCAAATCCCCTTTACACAGGGCGATATCCCAAATATAACGGGCATCATAAATGCTGAGTCGGCTTGAGGTGATGGTGCTATGCATAGATATATATTAGGCTGCTTATGAGATGCTGCATACAGAAGACAGAACACCGTATTTTCTTCTTCTTTAGTTCCCTGTTCGTAGTATCCTGGAAACGGAAGCAACGCAGTGATAGTAGTCATGCACTCACCCAGTGACGGGCTCACTTTTCTTCAGTGTCAGCAGACAGCATCCTCAACATCCCCTCTCCACCAAACACAAGTCATTCTACCGCCATACTCATATACTCCCTAGATGGAAGCCAAAACCAGTGATGACGTTTAGAGGATCGTGGAATACGCAGACAGAGAAACAAGAATACAACAAGATTTCTAGTAGAGCACGATTCCCAAGAATGCGAAAACGAGTCAATAGGCAGAAGCGCCACCATTGGCGTCTAAATGCAGAACCTGGGCGCCTGATCCACAAACTTGTTGAAGACCGAAAGTTGCATTTACACATAGTGGTGGCATACAGTTCTGGACCGTCTCATTGACGAGGCCGGCAGCGGGCAGTCGGCCAAAGGATTAAGGATGAGAAACCGGGACACTGTGCCTGTGAGAGAGTTCGCGAGCACAATTCAAGAAAAATCAAAATCCAGACGTATCGGTTTGCTTTCATAGTGTAACTGACCCTGTCAAGACTCCAATTCACAGGAAGTCTGCTGCTCGGACGCTAGAGAAAACATCACGATAACGCGATGCATGTCACCCAAGAGCCCCCATTGGCAGGAACCACACACCTCCCCCGAACAAAGCCCCAGCACCCAAAACACACACAAGGAAGCTCATCAAACAGACCGACGTCAGCGCCCAGAGTCCACATACCGAGTCACCAGTATGCAATTCCCAAACATCGCAGAAATGGGCAAAAGCTACGATGCCCGCTCCCACATCCCGAGATACAACCCTGATGGGCCGGGCCAAGGAGCAAGTCAATGCACCAAATAGGAAGGACGTCATTGGCCAGCACGCAGAGAACGCGCGTGCCCTTCCGGGTCCTCGAAACGGGGATCTCCAACCCGGACCAGACCATCGCTGCTTTGAATCGAGCTGAGCGAATAAATAGGAGCTGTCACCCGTCGTCGTCGCAGACTGGTCGTTGTCAGTTTTCCTTCGTCCGTTGCATCAAACATGTCGTCCGAACATTGCAAGTTCTCTGGCCGCATGTTTGGGCGTTGCAGACGCGTAAAAGTCAAACACAGCTACATCGGATGCGAGATATGCTTTTCATAACCCCAAAACGGCCTAGCGGCTTTTTATCCCGCCCTTCTATGCTCTGCGGCGTGAGTCTGTGAGCCTGTGAGCGACAGGTCGCCTCCGGTCGGCGCTGTCGGCGTCAGCGTACCCCGACCGAATGGTCGGAATTACCTTTCGGCTCAGGGAAGGGATGTGCCAAGCGGGCTCCCGCCGCCCGTCTGGGGGAGCTGAGGGGGCACAGTCGGATCTCAACAAGTGTTAGGATCAATCCGAGGAGCAAGCTCGTCCGATCCCGCGTGCGCCAAAAGATCTGAGAACCGACGAGCATCGCACAATCGGCCATTTACTTCTTTGACTCCAGAAAGCCAATTGCGGTACAACCACAATCATGGCTCGGTTTTCGAAGCCCGTTTTCTGGGTTCTGTTCCTGCTGGTGCAGCTGAGCATCGCGTCCTCGGTGGCGGAGAAGCTCGCGTCGGCCAGCAAGCCGGTTGCTGACCTGAGTCTCGAGGAGCTCGACGAACAGCTGCAGGTAAGCGCTGCATGCATTGCCTCTCTGCAATTGCGAACGGGAGATCAATGCTTCACGATCTAGAGGGAGAAACTGACAATTGACCCCTGTAGCAATGCTCCCTCGTGCAGAGCCTCACGGCCGATAAGCTGTCCAAGCTGAACGACAGCCCGTCCCTACTTTCCCGCGCCTTCGGCGTGCTCTTCCCGGGCAGCCCCGCGGTCAACGCCATCCTCGCAACGCTGTACATCTCGGGCCCGCCAAACTTCCTCTTAGCCCTGTGCCCGCCGAACATCGACCCCTCCTCGCTCTCCGTGATGGTGGCCTTCGCCGTCGGTGGTCTGATGGGCGACACGCTGTTCCACCTTCTGCCCGAGATCTTCCTCGGCGAGGACGAGCCGACCCGCGCGCGCCTGGTCCTGGTCGAGCCGAACAGGAACCTGCTCTTGGGAGTCGCCATTCTCGTCGGCTTCATGACGTTCGTGGCCATGGATAAGGGGCTGAGAATCGCGACGGGTGGCGAGGGACACACCCACGACCACGGACACGCGCACTCGCACGCCGAAGCCAAGGCCGAGGGCGTGTCGTCTGCGGTGGAGAAGGCGGGGGAGCTCAAGTCCCGGAAGAAGAAGGCCGACGAAGGCTCCAACGGCGCTGCGGAGAAGACGGAGAAGGAGATTAACCCCAGCGTGAAGCTCGGAGGATACCTCAACTTGATGTGCGGATGCCCCGCGCTGGTGAACGGGCCGCGAACCGCGAGCCTCAGCAGCAGCATGTCTTTGATGAATGACGGCTAACCTCTTGCAGCGCCGACTTTACGCACAACATCACGGATGGTCTGGCCATGTCCGCCAGCTTCTACGCGTCCCCGACCATCGGTGCGACGACGACGGTTGCAGTCTTCTTCCACGAGATTCCGCACGAGGTTGGCGATTTCGCGCTGCTCGTGCAGTCCGGCTTCAGCAAGCGGGCGGCCATGGGCGCTCAATTCGTCACCGCGCTTGGTGCCCTCCTTGGTACGCTGATTGGTATTGCCGTTCAAGAGCTCGGTGGCAGCTCTGGCGACGACGCCATGGCGCGGAACGCAGGACTCTGGGGAACTAGCCTGGTAAGTGCCGCAGCTAACGTGACGATGGTGAGATCTGGTGCTGACGAGATATTGGTAGACCTGGGGCGACATGCTTCTTCCTTTCACCGCCGGCACGTTCTTGTACGTGGGGACTGTTGCCGTCATCCCGGAATTACTGGAGACGGGACCGAACAAGATGGCCGAGTTGCGTAAGACAGTGGTCCAGTTTGCTGCCATTGCTGTTGGTGCCGGCATCATGCTGTACATCTCGTGGCACGACTGAGTAGACCGTTAGCAGGCCTCACGCACAAGATCCCGCATTTAGACATGTCTTTAGCGCCATCATTCCGGCAACCGGGTACAACAAAATAGAGGCTTAGAGATCGCAATTTAACTTGAAGTTACTCGAGCTGAGATGCTGTAAACGTTTGGCTTTGCTGAATGCAGTGGATTAGTACCATAGTGATCAAAGGATCGTAGAAAGGTGCATCTAGAGGCTGAGTGAGGCCAGCCCGATGATTTCTTGACCCGGCTGAGTAGTGCAACGTGGCGGCAATCGCTCTTTCTTTCTTGCTTCTCTGAACTGTAGGGCTTGGCCGTCTTTGGCAGAAGGGCGGGCGCAACTTGTGGCTTGAAGATTGACTTAGGTACGTGAAGTAGGCGAAGTACTGGGACTTGTCGACTTTGCCAACTGAGCAGTGAGCCTAAACGCCGCGATGGAACAAGCTTGTTCAAATCAGCTTTATGAGTTGCTTGATGCAGAACGTTTAAAGAAATCCGTTGGAAACGAATTGGCTTGTGATCTGAAGGGAAGCCTGGCTAACTTTGGGGTTGAATGACTAACAAGAGTCCAGAGGGTGGAGCACATAGAGCTCGGTGCCAGTTAGACTGGCGTAATCCAGCCCTGGAGATGGTGTAAGTCTTAACCAGGAGGAATACTAGGTATCAAAGGGTACCCTAGGTACAGCGAGGGGCAATACGAATCCTGTTAGACATGGGCAGCTGCTGTTCATCCATAGAGTAAGTTGGAACGTTGTTGAAAGTTATGGTTTTGTGCCACAAATCCAGTGTTCTCGAGGGTGACGTGCAAATGGATCTGTATGGCCGTTGCTAGTGCTTGAGCGGCGATGACATGAGGTGCGCTGCAGGGCGCGGTGTACATGTCTGCGCAGGGCGCGTGAGACAACTAGAGTTTAGCGCTTGATTCTTATGCAACAGCATCTCGTTGTCCGGGAATGACCTGGGACTGGTAGCTTCCATCCGATCGATCTCCCGTGCCGGTCGAGACGGAGAGACTGGCCTCGAACGTTTCGACAGTGAGCCCATAAGCGGAAGGGCGGTCGAGTGGTCGGGTCTTAGGTAATTGTTCCGGGCCTTGCTTCCGGGCGTGGGATGTCAACGAATACACGCCGCGCATCGTGGGTCGATTGACACCGAGTTCGAGAGACGGCGGCTGGGGGGCTCCACTTGATGTCGAGGCAAGAAACGTGCTCGTAAAAATTTTCCTCAAACGTCGTGGTCCCTTCCACCTCGCGAACATCGTGAGACGGCTGTGAAGACGTGAGCGTTAGCGGCCAGCTACGGCTCGTTTGTCGTCGGCTGAAAGTGGATATTGGAAGAATTGCACCATCATCCACAACCACAAGTCGAATCCACAGTCGTCTCCTGTCTCTGCCTGCAGGCTCCCAGCGTGTCCATATGCACCCCTGAGTCGGGATGGACAGTCGAACAGCCTCATGACATTAGTTACGTCGTCTGCGTTAAGCCGCATGGCATGTACCCGAGAGCCCCATCTTGTTCCGCGATGGAGCCTCAAACATGTTTGGAGATCCGCTTGCTTCCGTGCCTTGGCCTGACGTGCCTGGCAGTCCAGCCTTCCATCGAGCGTTCCAAGTGTTCTAGCGTCATCACCCAGATGGATCTCATCAGTCATAAGCTCGCCATCGTCGTGCGGCTGCGATGGACGGACATCCAATTATGCTACCGGGCGGCGGCAACGTGGTCAGCTGCGTTCCTCAAGTTTCCGACGACAGATTTGGCGATTCGCGGTGGTAATGTTGTGGACGGTGTGTGTGCATGCTCGTGTATGTGCCAACCACGTTGCCATGTCTCGACTTTGACGAATAGATTTGTTGTTGCGGCCTTGGAAGAGAAAATTTTCATCTCACGATGGCGAAAGTGGTAGCTCGGATGGATCTCATTACCGTCGGTTTCCCCTAACGTTAAGACTTCGCGAGCCCCCCATCACGCATCCTTGGGGTGGTGCCCATGCCACCGGGGCTCCACCGGGCGTGACAGTGGGAAACGACCGCTAACAGGAGGCCGTACCGGATGGCCGATGTGCCTCCGCCGCGGGCATCCACTCTCGACCGTGTACGTTAAGGGTACCCGATGGCATGGATCTCGTGCAATGCCAGCAACAAGCGCCAGGCACCTAAAGGCAAAGCGCCGCGCCCCTGGATGGATCCCATTAGACATTGAATCCGTGTACGTCAAGCCCAGCCGGTTGTCGTGCGTTGTTGAGATTTTTGCAACCATTTTAGTTTTTTTCGTCGTTTTGTCTGCGAATTGCGATATCCACAGGCGCACGTTTGATGATGGTTCTAGACGAGCCAAGGTAGCGGTACTTGCGGTACTTGACGCACTTCTGAGGCGGTTGTACCGTTTGTGTGTTGCCCAGGTCGCCCTTGTCTGCTTGACATGCTCAGAAATTCGGGCCATGGTACAGGTGAACTGGTCAGTTGGGCTGAGGAAGACAGTCGCTCGTGTGACTGGAGGATGCAGACATGACGACGCTATGTGCTGGGAGAGAAATCTGCACCCTTGCTCTTGCAGTGATGATGTAGGGCGAGGGTGGATGTTGAATGGCTGAGCGTTGGTGATTGCTATGGTGATGTTGGGTCGGGAGCATAGGTATTGAAGTTGATCGCCGCGGGGAATCAAATTTTCTCCTCGGTCAGGCAGGCTAGAGGCCGATTTCACAGTGAACCCGAGCCGGGATGGGTCTGTGGTTCGGTGCGGTGCATGAGGTGCCCTCCCGTAGATGTTGACGGCCATGCAACGTCAACCTTGGGCAGAGCGCAGCTGTGGTCAGGTCATGGGGACGCGATTCTGAATCCATCATGTCTCCCCGCGTGCCCGCATCCCGCTCTCATTTAAGTCGCATGGTGCGCGAATCCGCGGGGGCGGCTCTCTTAGCTCTGAATCCCCAGACTGGAGATAAGATTTTGGAGTCGCGGCTCCGATTGCCCCCCGAGTCGGCTTGTCCGCGATGACGCCGAGATCCATCCCCTCGGCTTTGCACATCGACGCCGGCCGGGCGTTGTAAATGCTTCAAATACTCGAGATTCTGATGAGATTTTCGTTCCGACCCTTGACGCTCGTAGCAGCAATTGCCAGGTGGTCAGGCCATTTTAGTGGCATGAATCTGCGAGTTTGGCGATCCAAGCGGGTGTGAAATGCTTGCAGGTATCGGCCGAGGTGACGGCCAAGGTCCTCGGCGGCGCTGGTCACATCTTGCCGTTCTTGTTATCGACATGAATGGGCAAATGGTAAGCCGCGTCGTCTGCCCAGAATGCTCGGGATTTCTGGGTATGGCAGGCTCTGATGTCACCGTCGTGAGCAGCGATTTCGGACAAGGGTGTAATCAAGCCAGGGCTGCGAATTTGCAGGCGTCTGGAACGGCGTAGGATTTTTAGCAGCTTCAATGTGAGACGAGAGTTTCCCGTAGGTCTGACGTTGGAAATGCTAGTCAGTTGAGGATGCGGCGGCGGTCATTACTGGTGCTAGTTTGGAGTTGAAGTTGCCGTCGGGGATTGAACGTTGACGGGCGCGTTCCACGGTTGCCGATCATCGGCCTTGACTGAGGGAAGGAAGGTCCAGGGCGCACGCAAGTGGTGACAAAGCAGAAAAAAAGCGGAAGGTCCATGTTGACAATAAGTGGGTCACTGCGCCTTTCCGACTTGCTAAGGCCCTGATTGACATGATGACTCCTTCGGAGAGCGCTAACAAGTCGCTTGAAGACCTCGTGGCTGACGGAACCAACACAATGGAATGGTGCAATTTCGCTGCGATCCTGGTTGGCTTACTACCAGCTGGATTATTAAGAATTTAATTCGTAATATCTGAACAGAAGAAGTTGAAGACCGCTTCGAAAAGAACGGAACTGGGTATACGTCGATACTTGAGATACTTTAACTCCAGGTGTAACTTAATCTAGAGACATGCTTCCAGTTCTGGCAAGCAACGCATGGTATCGTAAGTTGCATGATTTCTCTTTAGTGAATTCGGGTAGCATGCAGGCAGTTGCTACAGCGTACTGCATGAAGAGGTTGGAATCAATTCATCACGGTGGATATATGGAACTTGGAGTCATACGGAGTAAACACGATGCTTCGGAGAGCGAGAGCGTCAAGCCGGTGGACGGCTCGCAAAAATGCGGACTAGGAAGTCGAGATGGAGACAATTCTGAAAAAATAGCTGCCATTCACGCCTTTCACGCTGTCTAGGGAGTCATCTTCAAAAAGCTAGCCCACAACGACATCCATGAACCTCACGGGAAGGGACCGATGTTCAATTCGCCCTGTGGCTCCTTCCGGGAGTCGGACGCCCATCAGTGGAAACAGCCGACTGGACTGGGACGGTTGAAGGGCGTCACTGTCGTCCCGTTTCTAGGGGACTCACACCTTGTGAGGTACCTAAGGTAGGTACCTAAGGTAGGTGGACCCTTGCTTTATTCTCTGTTGGCGTCTCCACACCCTTCGACTTTCTCTTGTTTCTTCCTCCCGCGTCTGTGCTTCCATTCTTTCTTTCAAGTGAGGTACCTCCGCCATGTATCGCAAGTACCTCACTCAGGTACCGGTACGATGCCCACCTCCCTCCATCACTTAGGCTGGAAGCCGCCCTTTGCAAATCCAAGGCGCGGAGGTTTTGCTTTCGGCCCTGGGGTCGGTCTGCTTTCGCCATGGATTTGCTGCTTCGACATGTCAAACCAAGCAGTCACTCAGTCTCTTGGGACTGCACATCCTTGACGTTGGCCCAGCCTTAAAGAGAGCCCGCTCGCCCTCCTCTTCCCATCACGATACTCTTATTACTATCCGTACCACTCAAAGGCCTCTATTCCTTTCCCATTACCATCCCTCAACTCATCTTGACTCCATCAAGTTCCCATCATATTCTGGGGGATCTCCAATCGACTTGTCACCTATATACGAAAGTACCCACCGATACCTTACGACGCCGTCTGGACCTTCAAGTTCTAGACCACCAACGTCTCTGTGCTTCATGTTCGCCTGGCTTACATCACCGTAACCAGCGCATGTGCTTCTGCATCGCAGCCATCGACATCATCCGCAACAGCTCATCCGCCTTACAACAGTCACCATGTCGAGCCACAGTGACATGAGCTCGGTTGTGAGCTTCTCTCGCCAGCCCGCTCACAAGAAGCAGAGCATCGAGATCGTCATCGACGACCACTTCACCTCCAAGGTGTACACTTCAGGCAGCCCCATTTCAGGAAACGTCATCATCACACCGAACCACGATTCTCGATTCGACTATGTTCAGATCATTCTTCTCGGCACTTCAAGGACACGCCTCGATGCCGTCCAGATTCCTCAACTCTCTTCACACACCTTCCTGAAGCTTGAGATGCCCATTCCCGAGTCCGCCTACCCCGTGCCGAGGATCTTCGAGGCCGGCCGCACTTACACCATCCCCTTCAACTTCGTCGTCCCTCAGCACCTCACCATCAGCGCCTGCAACCACAAGGCGCAGTCTGATCTTATCCACGACTACCACATGCGCCTGCCGCCGTCGATGGGCAGCTGGGAGAAGGACGACATGACACCCGACATGGCCCAGATCCACTACGCCATCAAAGCTCGCGTTGTGCGACAGGACGAACTCGGCGGACGTCCAACAAAGGTCATGGAAGACGCCTATCTGCTGAACGTACTGCCCGCCTCCCCCGAGGACCCTCCCCTGAACATCACCAAGCAAGACAAGGGCTACACTCTCAGCAAGACCAAGAACATCCGCAAGAACATCTTCTCCTCCAAGCAGGGTCGCATCACCGCTACTGCAGTCCAGCCAGGGGCTGTGTACCTCACCCCCGATGGTCGCGAGGCATCTGAAGGTTCCCTGATGGTCAACCTCAACTTCGAACCTGCCTCTGCCGATATCCTGCCTCCCAAAGTGGGCAGCGTCTCCGCAAAGCTTCAGGCCCAGACGTGGTACGGCGCCACGCCGATGACGAGGCTCCCAAACTTGGGTGATAGCCACGAGGTTTACGCTTTCTCCCAGCAGCTCGCCTACCAGACCTCGGTCCCGTTGCTCTCGGCCACTGTCGACAAGATCAACTGGCGCCAACAAATAGTTTCAACCACTCGCCGCGACTCCGGATACTCAAGTGACGGATTCCAGGGCAGCCACTCTGATTCCGATCATTCCAACAACCGAGGCCGTCGCTCGACCAAAGACCGATCGTCACCCATCAACCACCTTGCTGCCCTGCAGATCCCGTTCAAGCTTCCGACGGAGCGCAAGACGTTCATCCCGACCTTCCACGCTTGCATCATCTCCCGAACCTACACGTTGCAACTGACGGTTGTTGTCGGCGATAGCAAGGTGAACCTGGCGATTCCCGTCCAGATTGCCCTTGAGCCGCCCGCACAGCTGGGCATGGGCCTGCCCAGCTTCGACGCGGCGATGGCACAACAAGAAGAAGCCGAGGCAGATGCATACTTCCAGCCAAGGCTGATGCAGCAACCTGCAGTCGAGTTCCAAGGCAACGCAGTGTTGCCTGGATATGATGAACTTGCCGGCAGGAGGACTGCCGTTCCAACTGCATGAGCGCATCCCCGACGCGTTTCCTACATGACGTCTACGACCGGCCAAAAAGTCCGCACACGATACCACCTGTCAAATTACATATTTTCCTTTGTACAATCTGCTCTTCCCTTCAATAGACGGGGATTAGGCCAAAAATGGCTACCACACGGAGTTTCAGGAACGGAAAAGGGCTGTAAACTTGGGGGACTTCTATTCTGGATACCATCGATTCGCATTTCAAGGATACCCAAAGAGAAAGGCAAAATGTATACATACAGCATATCATAATACCTAAATCTTGTGGAAAACAATGCATTGAGCCTCTTGTGTGATTTAATTATGTGGTAGTTCGATGGTGCATCGCGATCTGTGCTGATGAGTGACAGTCCAGTTCTTGCCGATTTAGACAGATGGGCCCAGAATTTCCTGACGGCCCCGGGTGGATGTCGTCAGCTGCCATCTCTCACTCCGGCGGGAGATGCCAAGTCCTCGGGGGTGGGATCGTGTGGCTTCGGGACGGCGGTTGAGTGAATTGAGAAGACCGGGCTCGGCTTCGGCATCGGATGCATACGGCGGGCGGGTGGAGCGCGGTCCGGCATAATGTTCTGGACCATTGGCTTTCATTTGCCAAGCTGCTTCCCCCGGAAAAACGCAGAGCTCGGAAATGGATTATTTGTGGAGAGACAGGCAAGAAAGAGAGGGGCTACAATGGTCCTCGTCGCACTGAGACTGGAGCGGGCGGGCTCGATATGACGATGTCTTGGTCTCACCACCCTGCGGACGCGAATCTCTCCAGTTGCGTTTCTATTGTTAGCCCAGCTCTCTCGCTCCTAGAAAGCTGCAGTATCACGCCGCCTACGCTTTGGCGGAGGGGTACATGTGGTAAGCGTTGATCTTCAACCCACATCGCGCGCGCTCGTTTTATTTTTTGGTGTCTTTGAGTCAGACGGGGGCTGAAGAAAGAAAGGCGAAGGCGCAAGGTCTGAGGTGAGCTAAGCTGGACCTGTAACGTGTTAGCTAGCTGTGAGCCTTCTAGATCGTGTTGGCTGGAGCAGAGTAAGGTATGCTGCAGATGATGAGATGGGGCCGGTCCGCCCGTTAGGATGCACGTGATGGCGCCAGACTCCTTTCATCTTGGCTGCATCCTGTCGAGAGCTTGTGTTGCGAGTTGGATGGTTCGAGGGGAGGACTTGATTGGTGGTTTTGGACAACGGGCAGCGGCAGATATATAATAGGGGTTGGGGAAAGGGAAATAATGAGCGAGCTGCCGCTGCGTGAGTGGTTATTGTGTTAAGAGCCAATTGGCCATACAGAGCTTGCAGCGAAATGTCTTGGGAGGAGATAAGGGAAACCGATTGCCGCAGTCCGTACAGATAATCAGATGCTGCCTTCCCAAAGGAGAAGGAAATACGGCAGTCCGTTCAGGCTTGATGCTCGCCGGATGATACTCTCCATAGTAGGAGTCTGGAGGTGCAAGGTGGTAATTAATGAATGACCTTGATCCGGGGCATCGCTGCTGCTGCTGCCGCCGTCATTGACATTGACCTTGAACCGTGCGCCTTCCCACCTTCACCCATGCAACTTCCCATTCCCGCGCATTCCGTCCCGTCTCCTCTCGATCGCCTCCCGTATCCCGTCTTCTCATCCTCTTCCTCCCCTCCCCTCCCGCCTCCGTCCCATCTCGGTGCTTGTTTTGTCTTCCTTTCTTCCCGTGTTCCTCGTGTTCTGCCCTGACTCCTGCCATTCTTATGTGTGTATCCCGTCACCTAAAGCATTGCTGCACAGTACTCACGTTCGCAAGTCAGCAACCCATCAGCCCAGGTTGACCCCGTCTCGACAGAAGGATTGCGGTGGCTGAGTTGCGTCACTCTCGACCAAGTGCGAAGCTGCTTCTCTGGTCCCGAACTTAAGCCTCTCTAAACCTTCCCGATTCTGGTACTTTGTACCGATTCCACTCGTTATTCCCTCCTTCTTGCCCTTTCGACCTTTTTCTTTCCCCCTCGAAGCTCACTAGCTCAGGGCCCCTCCTATTTGCGGCGGCGTGGCGCGGGAGAGACACCGTGCAGCCACGGACCTCGATTGACTAGACGCGACCGTCGGGTCTTACCTTTATTTCCATCCCGGTTTATCTTATCCTCGACTGCCTTTCCGGTTCCCTTCAATTCCCGAGTGACACACCGTCGACAAGTCGGACAGTCATCCTGAAGGACCTCTTCTCCTCCTCACACAAAGCGCAATCTCGACGGTCCATGTCAACGTAGTCGCCAGTTCACCCTCACACTCGACACAATGCGACAGGTGCTCAGGGCCGGCTTGGGATGCCTCGTCTCCCTGCTGCTCGCCGCACCGGCCGACGGTTTCTACATTCCAGGTTCGCCGCCCCAGCCGAACTCCAACAGGGACGAATTGGATCGTTAAGCAAGGGTGCTGACCACATCTCCAAACAGGCTGGTCGATCAAGAGCTATAGCGACGGCGAACAAATTCCGCTCCTCGTCAATAAAGTCTACTCCGACAACACCCAACTGCAGTATGCCTACTACGACCTCCCCTTCGTGTGCCCGCCGACGGGCAAGCCGAGACCTGGCACAGGACTGTTGAGTGGGCAGAGCATCCCTCTCAACCTTGGCGAGGTCCTTCGCGGCGACAGGATAAAGACGTCTGATATCGACCTGGTCATGGGCCAAGACAAGTCGTGCAACTTACTGTGCAACCGCGAGATTTCCAGGAAAGAGATGCGGAGGGCTCGGGACATGGTACAGGACGGTTACGTTACCGAGTGGATCGTCGACAACCTTCCCGGTGCGACGAGCTTCGTCACCGTCGACAAGAGCCGCAAGTACTACGCCGCCGGTTTCAAGTTGGGCTTTACGGACTATGCTTCCAGCAGCGGCAAGCCGCGATACTTCATCAACAACCACCACACCATCGTCATTCGCTGGCGCAAGGCCCCTGGCAAGGCAGGCGAGAGAGGCGGAAAGGTCATTGTCGGTTTTGAGGTCTATCCCAAGAGCATCGGCTCCGAGAACAAGCGTGACGAGAACGGCTGCCCCGCTGATCTGCAGAACATCGACCAGAACTTCGAGCTCTACCTTGCCCCGAATAAGTCAACCGACAACTCGGCGCAGTACGCCCAATCTTCATATCAGCCGGAGGACAACGAAGATCCCGATGACGACGCCAAGCTCACTATTCCTTACACCTACTCCGTATACTTTCGCGAGGATAACAACGTCGAGTGGGCGCGCCGCTGGGATCTGTACTTCGTCAACCAGGAGGAAGGCTCCAAGATCCACTGGCTCGCTATCGTCAACTCTCTTATCATCTGCGGCCTCTTGACCGGTATCACCTTGATGATTCTTGCCAGGACTATTCGATCCGACATCAAGGGCTACAAGGAGGTTCCTCTCGAGGACGGAAAGCCCAAGTTGAGGCGCAAGAAGACCGGAAACAGATCGCCTAGACTGTCGGAGAAGTCAGGAGGGCTACTCGACCAAGGAAACGACATCGAGAACGACGCCGACATTTCATCCGACGAAGAGGCATTGGAAGATGTCACGGGTTGGAAGCTGCTGCATGCCGACGTCTTCAGAACTCCTGCGTACGGATACCTGCTGGCGCCGTTGGTTGGTTCCGGTATGCAGCTCCTCTTTATGGCTGTTGGACTCGTTCTTCTCAGCGCTCTCGGCATCCTCAACCCTAGCTTCCGCGGAGGCTTCATCAGCGTCGGAGTCGGCCTGTTCGTCTTTGCCGGTCTCTTCTCCGGATACTTCTCTGCACGGGTCTACAAGACTTTCGATGGACAAGATTACCGCAAGAACGCTCTGGTGACTGCTGTACTGTTCCCTGGCATGCTCTTCGGTATTGTCTTCATTCTCAATCTTTTTGTCTGGGCTCAAGCGTCTAGCACCGCCATTCCCTTCGGCACCCTTGTGGCGATCATCGTCCTCTGGCTCTGCATCCAGGTCCCCCTGGTTTATGCGGGTTCCTGGTTTGGATTTGTTCGTGGTGGAAACTGGGAACACCCGACCAAGACGGCCGTCATTCCCCGTCAGGTCCCGCAACAAGCTTGGTACATCAAGTCTTGGCAGTCGATCCTCCTGGCTGGACTTATCCCGTTCGCCGTCATCTTCATCGAGCTGCTGTTCGTGTTCCAGTCTGTTTGGCAAGATAAGAGCGGTTACTACTACGTGTTTGGATTCCTGGCTGTGGTGTCGGTCATTCTCATCCTCACCATCGCCGAGGTGACAGTGGTGACCATCTACATCCAGCTCTGCTCGGAGAACTACAACTGGTGGTGGCAGTCTTTCATGGTTGGTGGAGGTAGCGCCGTGTGGGTGTTCCTGTACTGTGTGTGGTACTACTTCTTTAAGCTGCACATCACCGGCTTCATCAGCAGTATGCTGTTCTTCAGCTACAGCTTCATGGCTTGCTGCGTGTATGGACTTCTGACGGGAACTATTGGGTTCTTGAGCACGTACGCGTTTGTACGAAGGATTTATGGGTAAGTTGCCTTCTTTCGAGCTGTCAGATCGGAACGCTAACTCCCACGTAGAGCGATCAAGGCGGACTGAGCCACGGTGCCAGTGGACTTGGACACTGACTGAGTGCCTTAATGTTTTTTGACGGCACGAAAATGGGTTGACGGCGCTTCTTAATGCATTTGCCCGGGCGTCACGTTTCGGGATGTCCGCGGGGACAACAGGCGTTTTAACGGAAATGAAAAACTCGGTCCCATGATTTCGGGCGGGTTAGAGCTACTACTATTAGTACCATCGACCAAAGTATATATGATGACAGGATTCAACCAGCAGCGCGAAAGGAGTGGAATTTGAATAGTTGGGAGTATATAATTACCTTGTTCAGTCTCTACGGCACAAGAATAAAACCTTTTCAACATGATTTCGATCGTTCATCTGCATATGGGTGAAAAGTCAGCGTGTGCTTTCAGGTTTGACGTTTTGTTTCATGGGAACTCAACATCTGACGCAAAGTGACAATACTAGGCTAACATCGGCTTTGATAAAAGGTGCCTGTCTGCTCCAAAGGAGTTGGGAAGGCAGATCAGAAGCACCAGCAGCCGCGGCGATACAGCAGCTACTCCATAGTGTGAGCGAACTGAGCCACAAAGACACAGCGCTATCAGCTGTACACGAAGATTCGAGCAGGGTTTCATGAGGGTTTTTTAACCTGTTTGAGAGTTTGGTGACTGGTGTTTTTGAGGTATTCATATCAGCATGCACGAAGGGAGGCAGGGGAGGAGAGCAGGTGGTTTAGTAGATGATGGCACAGAGGGATGGAGGGAGTTGGGAGGCTCGGGGTTATGTGACGTTGCTGAGGTCTGGATGATGGTATAAATTGTCTAGATTGTTCATGAACTCGGCGCAAATCAGGCCGAGTTCTATGGATGTGGGAGCTTCATCGATGCTTGGGATCTTTCGGTACTTTAGACAATATTGAAGTAAATTTCCGAGTTATTCTTTTCGTTGCTAACTTGCATTCCTCTGTGGTTTAGATATGTGAAATACACAGCAGATGATGAGGGCTAGAAGCGGAGAAGGAGGATGTTGTGTCTTAAGGTGAGTTGGTGGGCTTAGTCTTGAGCCTGGCTTCACGAGGAATGGTTTATCTTGACGAATGAGCCTGGACATTTGGTATCTCAAAGATTGGTGGCTCCAGAATCGACGAAATGGCATGTTGAGAGATGAGTTTTTATATCGCTCGATGCACGAGTTAACCTTGCGATGTTTCCGTCAGCAAGACAGTCGCTGCGGGCTGAGTCTGGGAACAGGTTCTTGTTTGGGTATATTTACTTTGGAATTTCGGAATTTCTCACCGGCACAACAAGCAGAAGTGTTCTTCTTGCAGATTATCATGGCAAGGCGTTAGGAGGCGAGATTAGCCTGGGCACGGTGGAAGAGTGGTTGCGTGTTGCGTGTGATATGATGGTACTTCGTTCTGTCGAGGGATCTTCTGCCCGTGGTCTCTTTCTCGGGAGTATTTACTTTGGGATAAGCGAAGGGATTAGACTAAATAGGTAGGGAATCAGTCGTGGGGACTCTGGGTCGGCTAGATGCGCGTTATCTAATCACGTCTCACCGAGATATATATCAACGGGGAATACCTTTTCGCATCCCATCGCCTGCAGCATTGTTGGAAAGGTTCCCTCTTCATCTGGCGAGTTCTTAAATATATCTACTGCAGTCCTGGGGCTCCTGAAGAGAAAATGCGCGATTGGGGGAGGCGATTGTTTGTAATAAAGTCGGCCCAGTTTAGAGTCAACGCACACATAGGTACACAACATCAACGCAGGCGATAGGCGTCCGAAATTATTCAGTTCAATTGGTCGTTACTCTAAACATCTTGCCACGAGGCTTAGTCTTCGGCGGCTATTAGGATGGAAGGGTCGTTGGTGCCGGCCAACAGTTCTCTTCGTCCCTTGAGTTTTTAGTTGTGAATACACCAGAGGTATGTGCACGAGGACGATTTTCTGAGAGATTAATGAAGTTTGAGTCGCGTTTCGGTTCTCACTGTTACTCAAGTAGAACGGCAGTGATCAAGGTTCCTCTGAGCGCATCGCATCGTATCAAAAACTGTTCTTCTTGGGGTTTGACATCAAAGGCTCTCCTATCCAGCTTGCTTTTAACCTTCAACACCGCTCTGGACACATTTTGTATGCAACGAAAGACTGAACGATGTTTGCTTTGTCAGGACTTGAGGTGGAATATGAAATGAGGAGTGCCGGTGTGTTGAGTAGGTCTTGGTGATGTTACTTCCGCATGTCAGGAGAAGTTGTCGCAGAATAATAATCTTCTGTTGCTTCTACCATGTACTAAAGATTACGAAAGCATATCTACGCTGTCCAAGTTCGTTATTTAAAGAATACGAGACTTGTTACGACATCCTTAAACCCCAACATTTGCGTCCACTGTGTAGTGCGCATTTGGCCCGGCCCCGACTGAATCGTGTAGATCAGGTCGTAGGTAAGACGTGATCGGTCTGCAGAGAGTGCTCATTTGAGCTATAGATATTGTCAGCATCCCTTAGAGACTGTGGTGGGGTTTGGTTGATAATGTCGTCTGTCGCTGGAAAGAGTCTTCTCTTCTGAAGTATTCATAGATGTTTAAGCAAGAGAATCCGGGTGTAAAGTGTGATCTTGCTAAGCGGAAGTCTGGCGATTGTCTCAGATGTGTCTCTTCCTAATGGAGGCATATCCTAATCGAGGCTTCATTACATGTATAAACTTAGCACAACTCCGAAATCACCTGCAGAAGAAAAACGAGACACTTTGCCAGGTCAATGATTTTAAATAGCCGACCAAAAAGGGGGCTCTTCCCATGAGCTTCTCGTCCTTATCAAGTCTCAGCCACCGGAAAGACTCAAGAATGTTAATGGGATTTCCCCATACGAGATATGTAGTCTCTGAACAGGACGGTAAAAGTGTGTCATGGCAGCCCTCGATGCTATTTAACAAGGTTGTCATGCCACAAACGAACAGAAACTCAGGGAACTGGATTCAGTGTAACATTTATTGAACGGACACTGCTATAACCCTAAGGGATGGTAAATGCCTTGTTGAAAGGCGAGATATGAAGGTAAGGTGCTGCAACGTCGCAGAAGCTAGTTCCGAAGAACACTGGTCATACAATCACTTCGGGCCTAGTTTCTTGCTCTAGTGGCCCCAATTCCAACGGGTAACCATCAAGACCAGTGTGTTCGCTTCAAAATGATGACTGATCTAGCAGCGGTTCATGAAAGACCAAATGTGGTCGTTCAGGAAAGCGGGAACGGTGGGCGCGTTGCCACGTTGTTGCCAGCTGCTTCCCTGGCAGTCGCGCTGTCTAGTCGAGACGTTAGCAAGATGCGGTAACGATATTCAGTCATTGTATCCAAACTCACTGGAAGAAGGTGCTGCAGCCGGCGCCGCCGGTCACAGAGCTGGCTTTGTCGCCTCTGCCGTTAAGGTTCCCTGAGTTCCAGTTAACGGCTGGTGCTTTCCTTGGGCGAAGACGGGGGTTACTTACAGCATCTGGCCTCGTCGGGCTGGTTCTCGGCGTTGCCGGTTCCGCCGTAGTTGATGTCATCGTAGAGAACGAACTGTCTGGCGGAAACCACAGACGCGAGCAGGGTAGCGGCGATGATGGTGAACTTCATGTTGACGATGGTGTTGGTTGAGAAAGTAGACTTTGAGGCAATGGAAGATGTAAAGCTGTGTGTGCTTGATGATTAGAACAATCGTAAGGAGGAGAATTGGCGACTTATTTATACCTGAAGTCAGGCCATTATTCGTACGGCCATGGGTTTGAAGCTGTCGAAACAAGAAACGCTTGTGCTAGGCAAAGACTTTGCAGCTTTTGTGAAGGAACTCTCGGGCGCCGAGACAATGCGAGCTGCCCAATGAAATTTGCATGTCTATGGTAACATTCGCAAGTCTATTCTCTAAGCTCGCAGCAACTAGTTAGCTCAGAGCGTCATCCCTGGACAACTCGAAGATCCGACACTTACTGACCGAATACTATGAGGCCAATTGCATAGGAAATACGATAGCTCTACACCGAAATGCCAAGTCGAAATGCAACGCAAAAGCTTTTAGCGATTTATGAGGGGTCGAATGCGAGGTGGCCAATGGCATGTCAGCATCGTGCCCGTTGTGAGCACATATCTTCCGGATCGCGAAACCTCTGACTATGTTGTGTAAAGGTGCGGGTCCTACTGCCTGAGCTGTTGTTGTCAGGCCACTGAGTTATGAAAGGCTAACCGAGATCACACGAAGTTACGAATCACGGATGTCGGTTAGCCTTTCATATTTTAGTGTGTTCACGTCATAAGAGAGGATTAGACGTGAGGAAACCGCAATCCAAACTGACCGGGAGAGAGACAGAGAGAGATACTCATGAGCTGAGACCGACTAATACTCATAAATGATTAACCAAAAGCCGGCTCGAAATCGATCCTCCCAAATGCGAGGTGACGACTTACGTTAGAGCTTTCAACTCGAAACGAGAGTCTAGTATAATCTTTTCAGCTTCCTCTTGATGATCAAAATGCTCCGCCTCATCTCGGCGACGAATCAGATTAGAAAGATCTCGCGTCCGCATATGCAGAAACGGGGCGCGTTTAGTTCAGCTCTAGGACATGATGCACGGAGGATCCTCCCGGTGCAAATTTACTACTTCCAATGTGGAGTCAGCTTGAGAACCGTAGAGTCTAGCCTGCTCCGGACCCTGAGTTCTCAAACTTGAACGAGCCCTCACGCAAGCCTACGGAAGTCGCTTTGTACGTCGCAGTTAAAAAGTGCACAAGCCCTTGCCGTCTACATACATAAATGAAACGCGTGCCGATATTGCTTCTATCATTCGCTGACGCCCAGCCGATGATTAGATTGGGGGCGAGCTTATGTGCCTTTGCGTGAGGTTCTCAAGCTGCAACTGTGTGTTAGAGTTGCGAAGGATGACAACTTATTCGTTCCGGAATTGCCGGTAAATGAGAACCAATAAGCTTTGAATCCTTCTACAGCAATCTACGTTGTGAATGGAAGGCGGTGATGCCTGCTTGCGAGTTGAACGTAGTGTTACGGTGCTTGATTACATCCTTGGCAAACTCGTATCTCTAGCGTGATCCCTCTGCCCCGCAGGGTTGTATTTACATGACTTGGACTTTGGGGCAATACATAACTCTACATCCCAATATATGGAGTCGTTGTTATGGAAGTGAAGACCTGGCAAAAGACCAAGGTCTCGAATGTTATCGCGAAGTCACCAGTGGGGTATCTGAAAAGTTGTATCTTTTGAAAGCTACCGCAAGGAAGAACCCGTGTTGGGTGTCATTGTAGCCCTCTGGGTGCCATGGAAGGAAGAATTGCTTCATACACAGTACACCATGAGCAACCTGGTTCTCCCAGTATGCTGGCTGCAGTTGAGCACAAAAGTACAGTAACACAAGCAGTTGAGTTTGAGAGATGTGCAGGACGCTTCACTTGCATAGATCTACAAGGAATTTTTGGGACAGACTCGGTCTCCCCGATTTGCCAAGCATCATACTAAAACCCTTCCCAATTATGCCTACACGTTCTATGCTGTCCGCTGAAATCGGCCTGTCTTAGCTACTTATGTACCTCACAAAATTAACATGTGTTAAGTATTTGGACGTCGTTGAGTTTGCTGACTATGTCTTCATGTTCTCTTTGTGTCTTTTCACTACACTCTTCAACGTGTTGATCTCTCATCGTTACCCATCGAGCTAGTCTTCGTTTCAGTTGGTCCACTTGAACCCGCCGCCGAAGCCGAAAGCCTCAGCTCCTCAGTCTCGTATCAACCAAGGGCAAGCCGTTAAAGAAGTAATAACATTGACCAATCTCTTAGATTGCGCGGGAGAGATAACGATGAACCTGACTATGAGATCTCACATCGCGTTCAGTGGGACAGTATGCGAGCTTTACCTTTTCAAGCAAGTAGCATCACCCAGGAGATACAGCAGAGGGCAGTCAAAGGCTTCCGTCATCTTAAGGCTTCCAAGTCAGTTTGTATTGAACTCGAGTAATCTTCAAAGTGTGAGAAGTGATTGTCTCGACAAATTGCAATAGATAGGGAAAATTCCTCTCTACGCAATTCAGCTAGTCTTCTTTCGTGTCGTGTGAGAAGAGAGTAAAGCTACTACGAGCAGATATCGAAGGTCTAGCGCCTAAGTCCGCAGTGATCCACAGCTTTTGCTTGTCATCAATGGACCTATGGTGTCTGTAACGCTAACCTCTATCAGAGAAGTATTTATTCCGGAATATGTGGACGAGAAACTCAGCCAATCCACCGCACATTTGACACATCTAGCCCGGACAACGAGAGAGCTCATGAAGGATATATATCTTATACCAAACAGTATTTTAGGCAGCACTGAGACTGGCTCTTGCTAACGGGGCAGATGCGCCTGCCGTAATGTTTAAATTATCCATTGCTATCAGCGTTTGTCGCTGCCTTGAGTCAACTTGCGTTGCAGCGTTGTGTCCGCAGGTCCGAACACGCTATTAGAAAGAAGAAATCAAGGAGATCCTGGATGCAGCAATGATGAATGCGCAGGCATCTTTCAAATCGATACTTGGCGGACAAGAATATTCGATATCGGTGCATATAGGCATTTTAGGATTTTGATACTGGAACGAGCTTGCTGTGAACGTTGAGGATTCCTCAACGCAAAGTCATCTCCAGCCGTTGTCGACGTTTCTCGTTATTTCTCTAGTATTTATATGACTATAAAAAGAAATAGGAGAAGGGTGAGTATAGAGGTATGAGCACATTTCTTAGCGCTGTGATTATATAAATTGTAGAAGAGAAGGGAACAGGCCAAGAACCTTCCAAATTCCCTATCTTGAGAGATTTGTATAAAAGAATTGGATACATTGAGTCATAGTTCACGTCTGCTTGCGCCTCAAATCAAAGCCTGAGGCAACGCCGGACGACGTGAGATGACGACGTTAGATGTGGGCATCAGTTGAGTGCTGGTTGACCCCGAACTTATGGCCACCGAGAGTGAAAAAGCGATGAACTGATGTGTAAGGCTTGGCTTGGAAGTCTCACTAAGTTGAGACTTTCAATCCGTCTGGTCCTCTATGCGTTAAAGGTGAGAACGAAGAAGAACAGTAAGTCTGTGTCGTGAGTTTGCCGACAACAACTGGAATTTCGCTAAGCATCATCAATTCACCAGTCTTTCATCGTGCTCTGAAGACTGATTTAGAGATTTAGACGCGTCTTGCCATCAAAACCAATGAATACAGCAGGACGTCAGACGAGTGGAACATAGATGGGGTCACACCGGAGTCCGGCCGATGACGCCGATCCGACATTGCGGGCCGTTGCGAGGTGGGGGACCGGGACCGCGGTGGACGATGCTTCCGGCCTGGGCGTGAGTAGTCTTGCGGAATCTACGAGCTTCCAGGGTTGATATTCAAAACCAGTAGCTTTCATCGGCCTATGAATCTGATATTTATACGGGCCAAAATCTGGGCGTTGCTGCAATGGTCTCAAGATCCCTCTGGCTTCTGCTTTGCCGTTGAAGAAGAGGCATCTTACCCATTTGAGTGAAGCCATTGAAATGCGAGAGGAGAATTTAGATGTGTTGTCAATAGGGCATATTTGATGTTGAGAAATGCTTGTCAAAATCCTGCTTGGCTTCATTGTCATAATTTATATCAACTTTCTCGGCATGGGGATGTTTGGACATGGACGAGCCAAGCTGCGCGATGATGACTATCGCCTTGGCTGTTGAATACCAATTAGGCACTGATTCCTTTTGAGAAAGTTCGGGATCTTGGGTGTTGACAACATAAAACCAACGCGCAATGAGATCGACTCATATCGACGGTCGCAATCCAATGAAAACGACTTGAGAGACAGGACCTGCCTAATGCGGCATCTCGGTGCCTGTTCACTGATGCTGGGCGACCCGTTGTGGGGGTGGGAAGCACGGCGTTGAGGTGCCGAGAAGTCGGAAGAGCATGTGGCGGGTCGGGTATCATCTCAAGTTCGGGGCTATTGGATTCTGCCGAGCATAGAAAGAGCAGAGACGACAACAGGTTGACGTGGCGGGTGTTTGGAGAGGAGCGTTCGAATGAGTCGATGAGCCGCTCTCGAATATTGCAAGGTTAGTAGCGGTAAGAGAGAAGGCAGTTTGTGCTACCTCACCGAATTTATAAGCGGGCGGTGTCGGAGCTTGGGCGATGTGTTGTTGTTTCTGTTTCACCGCATGTTCCATTCCGAGAGAACCATGAATGACGCAGGCCAGGCGAGGACTCATCGACAAGGGCTTCGCATCTCACAGTGAGGATGTGGAATGCAGTCAAGCTTTGTTGGATCCAATGGGGAATGCCCCGGGGTGGTTTCGGTGAGAGTTCAACGCGGGAGCTAAAGGGATGTACGCAGTAGCTGGCAGACGCTACAGGGGATCACGTTGCGTTTCAGGGACTTGGCTATTATGTCGTGTTGGACAACAATCTGTTGTCTGTCGTTTAGTACACCGTCTCTTGGTGCTTCTCTTCTGTTCCTACAGTCAGTTTTCTTCTAGTCCAAGAGTCTTATTCAATATCTTACCTTCATATGAATGTAAGCCCAAAGTAATTGTTGGGTCTAACTCCTAATGAGTCACCAGCGTCAAGAGATGGAATTGAATCTGGAATCCCGTCTCATCCCAAATTCCAGGTTGTGCTATCGGGAAGTTCAGCTGGGCTCTTCCCTGAATTCCGTCCGCTGGAACAACCCGGCTAGCGCCGTTTGGTTGCAAACACCAGTCTTCACCGGCATCCGAAGCCGCTCCGACGTGTGCGTTGGCCCTTTTTACCCCAGTGGAAATCGCAATGAGGCATGGGCTAAACCCGCAACGGTCCCGAGACGGCCAAAAAGTAAGCCGCACGCGGGTGGCATTTAGCAGCGTCCAGTCATGCAAAATGCAATTGCAACATCTGGATGCTGTGGTCGCATCATACCAGTCATCCGGCAACTCGACCACTCACCTCTCGCGAACGTCGAATCGGCCCCTCCCCGGCATCCATCAGAGAGCAAAAGACGGATGCATCTTCAGTGCCTGCCTGGCCGGGGTCTACTGGGAACTCCGTTACCATTCGTGCGCAATCGATCCACTTCGTCGGCGGTGCCCCCCATGTTCTGCCGTATCTAATCAGTTCTTTGCGAGTACACCGTACGTACTCGTCCAGAACTCTTCGCCTTCGATTTAACATATCTTTTTTTTTCTGGGGTTCATTGAATCTCTTCTTTCTTCTTTGCCAGCTTGGTTTCATTCCTTCGTTTGATACTCGGAGCAAACAAAAGAGGGTCCCGACGTCGCTAGCATCGCTCTAGCTCATCCTTTACGAAGTAATTCCATCCATGACGTGCTCGTGACAGCTTCACTCAGTCGAATCCACTCAACTGCAGACGCGAACCGACGAGACGGGAACGAAGTGACATTCTCGTCACCTCAGCGCCCTTCGCGCTCGGCGCATCGCAGACCTCAACGTCCGCGATGACGGACCTTTTCTTCGAGAGGGCCTTTGCGCTCGCTGCGACAGCCAAGTCTCGTTCCCAGAGCTTCCTGGCCACTGTTCAGAGGTGCGTTCCTAGTCACGACTTTGGCATGGTTCCAGAGCCAGCTCTTTCTTTCACAGATTGCAACAGCTATCTGTGTTCAGCTGTCTGCCGGGGCTCATTGCGCATTTGTAGTTTGGTCAAATACACCATTTCTTATTCTCGAAACGCGGCGTCTCAGCTGTGATGATCCAAATTAGAGTGAGAATGTACACTGACAACCCCGCAGTCGCGAAGAATTGGCATGGATCGAAGATGTATCCCAGTTCGCCGAGTCGGGCTATCCTCAAATCTTCATCCTCGCCGTCTCAGTTCTATGGACCGTCACACGCCTTTTCCACCGCCGCGCAAAGCCCTCGTCACCCGAGTATCGCGCCGCCGCCATCAAATGGCCTTGGGAGCTATGCGCCCAGCTTTTCCACGCCTCGGCGCTGGCGTTCCTCGCGCTTGCTGGTGCCAGGGGACAGACGCCCCGGCTTAACGTTCTCGTTGTTGGGTACGCCTTCTTGCTTGGTCTCCTGAGACTCATCAACGACTTGCACTGGCGCCATATTGCGCTGCACCAGGTCAACTTCGTTCTATCGACCGAGCTTATCATCTTGGCCGCGGCATCTGCCCTTCCGTGCATCGAGGCCGCGACGGAATGCGCGATCGCCACGCCTGTGAGAGGAGGACTTGCAAGTCTGGCCGTAGCTGCCGTCATTGCCATTTCCACCCCAAGAGAATGGGTGCCCCCGGCCCTCAAGTACGATATCCCGGAAGGCTACGAGACCAACGAACCTGCGCCGGAGGAGACTTGTAGCTGGGCCAACTACTACATGACATTCGAATGGCTGACCCCGTTGGTGTGGAAAGGCACCCGTAGAGAGATCACCGTGGATGACCTTCCACGACTGCCCTGGTACGACGAGCCGCTTCTTCTACTCGAAAAGATCAAGGAAGCTCGCGTCAAAGGTAAGACGACGATTCGGACGCTCTTTTTGCTGCTGCGAAAAGAGATCACTCTCATGTCGTGCTACATCAGCACGGCGTATGCTGCTGAGTTGATCTCCCCTTACGCCCTATATCAGCTGCTCTCTTATCTTGCCGACCCTCAAGGCTCCATCATCCGCCCCTGGGTATGGCTCTTTCTCATGTTCACCGGGCCGCTTTCTCGCTCGGTACTCTTCCAGCAGTACGTCTTCACATCGACTCGTCTGGTCGTACGTCTGAGATCCGCCTTGACCCAAGAGCTTTACCACCGCGCCATTACTTCCATGGAACTTGAGGACGATATTTTCGCGCCGAAGGGAGAGGACGAGAAGAAGAAAGATGGAGAGACTCGGCGATCGACTCCCGCTGGACGTTTAGCCAACTTGATGGCTGCAGACGTACAAGCAATTTTCGGAGCCCGAGATATCATCATGGTTTCAATGGGTGTCTCTACGGGAACCGTAATTGGTTTTGTGGGACTGTACAGAATGCTGGGGTGGCCCGCTCTCGTCGGTTCGGCCATCCTGCTGTTCGCCGCGCCCATGACTATCGTCGTTGCCCGGCTGATGGCTTTGGCCACCCGGAAAGCTAGGAGAGCCCAGGATTCCCGAATCTCGCTAGTGTCTGAATATTTGGCGTCGATCCGAGCCGTCAAGTACTTTGCATGGGAGGACGCCATCATCAAAACGATCGAGGAAACCCGAGGAAACGAACAGCGTGACCTATGGCGTGTATCGCTTATCTACGTCACTCTTAATCAGATCACTGCCCTCATGCCCTACATCGCAATGATCACGATGTTCACGCTCTACGTGGGAGTTCTGGGACAGCCTCTGACGGCCGCCACCGCTTTCACCACAACTTTCCTTGTCAAGACTATCCGCCGCAACGTAACACAGCTGGGTTTTATGTCGAGGAATATCACCAACGCCATGATCGCCATTGGACGTCTAGATAAGTACTTTGAAACTACTACGCCGTTGGAACAGTACCCGGAAGGCATACTCCAGATTCAGGGAGCGACGTTCAGGAGGCACAAGACTGCCACATTTCTTCTCAAGGACATCTCCATTGACTTCGTTGAGGGCGGCCTCAACGTCGTTTCTGGTGTCAGCGGAAGTGGCAAGACAACTTTGCTCCTGGCAATCCTTGGAGAAACTGTGAAGGAGAGCGGCTCGATCACGCGGCCTAAGGATGTTGCATTCGCTTCCCAAACCTCGTGGTTACAAAACGACACCATCAAGGAGAACATCCTCTTCAACAGCACTTACGAAAAAGTGCGCTACGACAACGTCATCAACGCTTGCTGCTTGCCAGTAGACCTAAGGGAACTGGAACACGGAGAGCAGACTGTCGTAGGCGAGAACGGATCCTCACTCTCTGGAGGCCAAAAGGCTCGTGTGGCTCTGGCCAGGGCGCTTTACTCGAAAGCTCCCCTGCTTCTCCTCGACGACGTCTTCTCGGCCCTTGACGCCAAGACGTCAGCTTTGCTCTGGGAACGCTGTTTCTGCTCTGACTTGCTCAAAGGACGGACGGTTGTTCTGGTGGCTCAGCAGCCTTGGGTTGCGGAACAAGCTGACATCGCCGTGACCCTCGAGGACGGCGAGATCAAGAACGTGGAGCAGAACCTTGGCATTGTTCGTCAGCCAGTAGCTGTCGCGAAAGACATCGAAGTTGAGGAGGGTACCTCGGATTCTTCCGATACCGAAGTCGAGACACAAACAGACCCGTTAAACGACAGGACCAAAGTCGCCGACGATAAGAAAACTCAGGATGTGGTGGCTCAGGAGATGAAGAGCAGCGGCAAGAGCGGCCGTCTGATGTGTAAGTGGCCCACCATTGCCACACGAAGTGCAAGCTAATTATGTCACAGTCTTCAAGTATATGATCTACTTTGGCGGTCCGTGGTATGCCCTGTTCTGCCTGTTCATGATGCTGCTATCGCAAATCGCAGTCATGGCAGGATCACTCTGGCTTTCCGTCTGGGTTGAAGCCTACAGCAGCAAAGTCGCCGTCGATATCGCCTTCTACCTCGGAATCTACGCCGCCATCACCGTGGCCGAGTCCGTCATCTACGCAGGGGTATTCCTGGTCTTTGAGAATGGCGCCTGGCACGCCGCCCGCAAGCTGCACAACGACTTCATCCGCGCCGTGATGCGCGTGTCTCTCTCTTGGTACAAGAAGACCCCTGTCGGGCGCATCATCAACCGGTTCTCTAGCGACATGTCGTCCCTCGACTTGACCGTCAGCCCTCAGCTCCGAGCCTTCCTCGAAAGCAGTATGGCGTTGATCATCAGGATCTTCGCCATCAGCTCCATCCTCCCAGTCTTTATGCTGCCGGCCGCCGTCACCTGCTTCCTTGGCATCATCATTGGTGAGATGTACACCCGCACCGCGGTTACCATCAAGCGCCTCGTGGCCTCGGCTCAATCGCCCATCTTCACCCAGTTTGCCGACACTTTGTCTGGGTTAGCTGTCATCCGTGCCAGGAGTGGCATGTCTGATCAATTTGGCCACAATCTGGCTGACAAGTTGCGCGTGTGGTCTCGCGCGGCGGAGGCGAACTTCAACTGCAACCGCTGGGTAGCCATGCGAGTGGACGTCGTCACGGCTTTGGTGGGGCTGAGCGCCGGTATCATCGCCGTCTCCAAGGCCGGCGTCGTCGCTGCTGGTCTCGTTGGCTTCTCCCTCAACAATGCAACGGGTTTGAGTCAGACTATCTTGATGTTGGTGCGCAGCATGAACGATCTTGAGATTGAGCTGCAAAGCGTGAGTTTCCCATCGTACTAAAACTGGTTGTTTACTTACAGAGTAGTTTGGCCGCATCAAGGAATACGCTGGACTTGAGCCTGAGGAGAAGTCGGACGAGTCGTATCCTGAAGAGGGCGAGTACACCGACGAGCCCACGCATACTATCCCGAAGAACTGGCCGGCGACGGGCGAGATCGAGTTCCGCAATGTCACGATTCGATACGACGAGAATGGACCGAACATTCTCACGGATGTCAATCTCAAGTTCAAGGCAGGGGAGAGAGTCGCTATCATTGGTCGTACAGGTAGCGGCAAATCGACTGTATGTCAATCATCCTTTCACCGCTTCGATGTCGCTAACAATGACACAGCTGGTCCTGTCCCTCCTGCGCTTCACCCACATCGTTTCAGGCCAAATCCTCTACGACGGCATCGACATCACCAGGATCCCGCGCCGCCGCCTGCGTGAGGCCCTAACCATTATTCCCCAAGAAGCCGTCCTCTTCAACGGCACCCTGCGCTCCAATCTAGACCCAACCGGCGAGATCGCCCCGCCAATCCTCGAAAAAGCCCTCGAATCCTGCCAGGGCATCGCCTCGTTCCAGTACCATTCCGAATCCGACACCGACGACGCCGCCGCGGCCGCCGCGTCACCCGATACATCCACCCTCGCACTCACGACGACCGTCAACGCAAAGGGCGAGAACTTCTCCCACGGCCAACGCCAGGTCCTCTCGCTCTGCCGCGCGCTGGTGAGGGGCAGCCGGCTGATGCTCCTCGACGAGGCGACGGCGAGTATGGACTACGAGACGGACCGCGGCATCCAGGCCGTGCTGAGACGGGAGGTCGACCAGGACCGCACGCTCGTCACGATTGCGCACCGGCTGAGGACCATCGCGGACTACGACACCGTCGTGGTCATGGGCGCGGGACGGGTGGTCGAGGCGGGACGGCCTGGGGATTTGTATAGACGCAAGGGCGTGTTTTATGATATGGTGTATCATAGTGGTGAGAAGGATGATCTGGAGGCGCTTTTTGCGGCCGAGAGGGAGTGAGGGAGTGATTTATGAGCGTGCATATGGCTTTCATAGATTGTTATGACGATGCGCTATAGAGAGAGCGCTTAGAGGGCTTCATAGATTGCGCCCCGTAGCTTGTGGCATTTGCTAGTAATTGAAGAGCATTGAAGACATGCCAATCTTATGTGACATGGGATCTGGTAGCTGAACACATGGTAAGCGACGTGAAGCAGTCTCCAAGGACTCGAATCATGGCAGATATCAGACCACGCTGGCGAGGTAGACCTTGCCAAGGGGGGACAATTAAAAGCCATGAAGTCACACGAAGATCTTACTTAGCCTGAACGTCAGCCGTAATGCTCTCTTGCTCCTTGGTAGCAGAAGTGTCGACCAATGAGAAAGAAAATTAGCGCTTGTAAAAGCCCTTTCCGTGATTTGAAAGCCCAGCCCAGCTCTTCATATCATCCATCTCAACTTCTGGTGGCAAGAGGGTGTGACACGCCCGAAACAGCAGCGATGACAACCGTGATATCGAGTGTAATTCAACGGCCTTTCATGTATCGACCCATGATTCCTTGACTTCAATGATTCTAGATTGGGCGAACGGCATTGGCCAAGTTCTAACTTATCCTCACTTATTCTCAGCCTAAGCTTGCAGTCGCAACCACAGGGTTTTATGTATTACCGGCTACGTCTTTCGCATAGCAGGGGACAATGTAGATCTTCATTCTCGAAAAAGAACTTGTCTAGCCCGGTATGGAAATTGTGTTGAAGAATGATCCATAGGCTTTTGTTATCGCCCAGCACACACATCGACGAGCATCTGTCTATCTTGGATATTTCTGTGATAAATTATCATAATTAGTAGGAGTTGGACTTTTTGGTTTCATATTTCGAACTCCGGACACCTGCTCATTGCAGATGTCGGGAGCATGTTGTCCGTCCCCTTTCAGTTCAGGTATGTCTTATGAAATGAGAGGCAGGATTCAATACGAAAGACTTTCACATGAGCTTAAATCAAACTCTTCATCTGCCCCGTATTCCATTCGGTTAGGTACTTCAACGAGGATGGTGAAAAACGGAGACGGCTGTTTTCCGGGGATATGCCGCTCCTATACATGCAGATAAGTACTATCCCCTGAATTCTTGACGGTTTCACCACTCGGAAATCGTCTTAATGAAGTTGGGCCTCTGCCAACATATCGTCGTTTCATGTCAATCACTTCTGCTTCTCGTTGGAACACGCATAAGATGCTTGTGGTTCATGAATAACTTACAGGAGTCCGGGCAAAGGAATTACACGGCTGTGAATAAGCTTGAGACGGAAGGGAGTTATCTGGTGAGCTGAGGCAAGCCAGACGTGAAGATGCAAGTTACCCGGTTACTACCATCTAAGTTTTACTTCTAAATTGTAGCTTACAGTAGTAAAACATAACACAAGTACTCTATCTAGTAGCAGATCGTAGTAACTGTTATGAATGGATGCCATAATTAAGAAGTTAATCTAGTCTTCTTGAAATTTCGAATGACGATAGCTTTACTCCCAAGATTCTAGCCTCTCTCCGAATTAGAGGTGAGTTATGGCATTATATTAAATAGTACTAGTTCGTGTCTTCCGGGTTCCTAGCCACGTTGATAGGCGTGGTCGAAGTTTTCCTCTGATCCTGACCATCATTTTATTCCGTGCTGCCTCCCATCCCGCCTTGATTCTCAAAACGTCTGCCTCTGATGTCGCTATCCCTCTTGACGTCCCTGCCTTCCTACGTACCTTCTTACTCAACTTCGTCGCCTCCAGTGCTGCGTCCAATTCTGCCTTCCTTCTCAACATCTTCGCCTCCCATTCTGCTTTCCATCTCAACTGCTTCGTCGCCCACTCTGCTTCGCTTCCTAGCTCGACTGCGTGCGTGCGTGCCTCGTGTAGCATATCCAGTGCTTCGGGCGGTGTCAATCTCGTCGCCTGGAGGCGTGTCTCCAAGAACATATCGACTGCCGTGGGTGGAATCGGGTGCTGTGCCACCTCTCTGAGCAACTGCATCAATGCCCCGCCAGGGCTTGAAAGCAGCTCTGCATCGCGTACCGCAAGCATGAGTAAAGCTTGTAAACAAAGACGTGCGTCGTTCCCGGCGGCATGTAGACAGTAGGGACTGAAAGGGATCTGCAGTTTTTGGAGCAACCTTTTCAGGCTGAGGGTGCGTTTCAACTGTAGAGGAAACATAGCCATACTGTGTGTGAAGATGGTGTAGAGTGATCGATCCACAAAGTTGGGATCAATTTGCTGGATGGCTTTCAAGTCGTTCTCGCTCCCGTGTACCACAAGAACGATGTCCCGATCAGCATCAATGAGACTTGCAAGTCTCGGCTTCAGTTCCTCAATCGTACCAGACTCCGCAGTTCCGAACAAGAACCAATCCCGGGCCCATTCACAGTACTCGGCTGTCCCCGTCGCAAATTGATAGGAAGTAATGAGGTGGCTGCAGTCTTTGACTTTGAATCTTGAAGTAGAAAGTGCTTCTTTGAGATCTCGAGTGTCTAATATCGAGAGTCCAAAGTTAAGTTGTTGATTTGTAAGTATCTTGCCGTTTTGGAGCGTGTCGACGTCAAGTCCGACAAACAAAAAGTCTTTCATTTCCGAGTCTGACAGCTTAGTTCCAGGCCGTCTCAACCCAAACTTAGGTGGACGGGTCTTGACGCCGCCACCATATCCCAACAGCTGTCGGAGAACAATGTTCTCGGATTTCAAGGTGTCGGGAGGCTCAGTGAGTGATCTAGAACGAGAAGCATTGAACCTGAAAGCCACGGGCACGTCGTCCACGTCAGCTGGTCGCGAAGGCGAACTCTTCCGCGTTCGATCTTGCTGTTGCTCGAGGGTTGTCTCTGAAAGATCTTCTTCGGTTTGGACGACTCGCGATCGACGTCTTTTCCCGGCTCGGACTGACGGGTGCGTTGAGGCGTATGTTCTTGCATGCGCGAAAGCTTTCAGTTGCACGGCTGTCTGGTTGCCCCAGAGCGCGCCGAAACCATGGAGTCGCAACATGGGGGATTCATTCGGACGCGCGCGTAGCCGTATCGCTGGCAATACGCAGCAGAAGTCGCGTTGATGGGCGACTGCTACGTAGAGATAGGTGTGGATCTGAAAATCTGTAGGTCGGGAAGGTCGCGTTCCCCTGTCACCGCCCCGAGATTCTGCCGCTATTGCCACATTACAGGGCTATCCCGACACAGCATCCGCCAGTGATCTTACACTGTCACAAACAACCTGCCGCAACGAAGGCCATATTCAACTCCTGCTGCGGCTTATTCGCTGGTATAATATTGTGTGCTGGTAGTTCTCAGATCTACACAGTATTTGCAATATTTTTTTTTTGTATCGTGGCCGATTTCGATCGCCAGGACAAGCATAGTTCATTCAGTGACAGTATTGACGACGTTCGACAGGATCGATCTGTTGGCGCATTCCTTCCAAAGGGCCGTGGCAACTTCACATCAGGATTTTCATGTCAGAGGATTTTCAGTTATGACGTAAAGATCTGTACTATGTCGAGATTGCTTTGACGATAACTTTCATTCATTGAGCATTGATGATGGCCAACACCCTGAATACGCGAGAAAAGACGACGTATGTCGACGAAGCCCAACAGATGTGGGCTCTTTTCCAAAGCGTTGTCCACCACATACAAATCACGAGTTACCAACATAAGCGTATGACACTCAAAATTCTCAGATGTCCATGATGAAGCCGAAGCGCTGAATCATGCGATGGGCTATATAAATTCGATAAGGCTGTATATTTATATCGAAGTGCTTGGGGCGATATTTCACCCTCAAGCCTAGAATACCCTCGGCCCCGGCCCCAAGTTTCGCGCAGAATGTGATCTTTTGATTTGAAATGGCTTAGCATATCTGTTTCGCCCGTGTGTGTTGTGAGCACACGTAACTTCTGATGTGGCAGCCTGGCGTCTCGATCATGTTGAATGTGCTTCGAGGACTAGAAGGGGCGTGATTCCAGCCGCCTAGGAAGTGAATTCGGCCGTCCGTGCGACCTTTCGCCTCCCAGTAAGTCGAGCTGCGAGGATATAAGATGCAGCCAGGTTCCAGTCCATCTCTCGCCAGCAGAAGCATACATCCAAAATTTGAGTCCAATCTAAGCTCTATGTGGGTATCCTAACATTGACGATGCTTGATCGAACAGATCCCCATCATCAGTGACGAAGTCGAGCCCATCTGGAGAAATCATCGTCGTCCAGAGTCCTCGTCCGCTGCATATTCACGAGAACCACGGTCACCCTGGACGCTGGTATGTCGGAGACCCGTGTTCGTAGCAATTACGTTGCAGGGCACACAATACCGTCCTGGTGTCAACAAACAGACCTTCGTTTTTGTCAGGCGATTCGAAAACCCACTGGCGTCATGTCTGTTGGCGGTTCAAGTCTCGGGCAAGCTGATACGGTAGACAATATATACACAAATTTTGTATCGAAACGAAAATCTTGATGAGGCAGAGAGGTTGTGTTATTTCACACAAGTATCGCCATAACGTTGAGCTCTACGAATACAGGCGTACTGGGTCATCGGGACTTGAAAGGTTCGGGGTTGCATCTCATTATGCCGTGGCTGGAGATGTCTCGGTCCACTATTAAAGCACTTAGATCAACCGGAATGCTTTCGATCTACCCAAGCGGAATTGTGTCGATTGACCATGTCAGGAATTCCTATCTGGTTCAAACGACAAGAAGCTCTCTATCATCTAAGAACACCAAACCTCATGGCCAGATAAACTGTCCAGACGTTCAGGCGACCGTTTCGTCACCTCTACCCCCTCCCGGTAGTCAAGTATTGGAGACCGAATACATCGACGATGGGAATAGGAACTGCGAAGGCTGCTGGTCAGAGTGATGTTCGTTGCAGCCGGCACCCGCGTGTCTAGGGCCATTGAGAGATCTCGAGTTTTGAGACGACTTGTAGCAACACGGTGTGACCTGGGCAGAGTGATGTTGAGACCGACAGATTCGATAACACTAGATGACTTTTTTATATTATACCAAGGGCCTACAAGATTGGATCCAGTATTATCAAGGTCTCATAACCTGTCCCCAGTTACATTCTCCGTGTCAGATCCGCTATTCAGCCAGCGGCAGAATTCGATGGAACAAGCCATAATATAGATATATATATAGAGAGCCACTTGAGATTATGTAAAACAGCTGCTTAGGTACAACATCATTCACCCGGCAGTCGAAATGAATTATTCGTGGCCCAAAATGACAACGGTTCGTGCCAGCCCTTTTCTTCAGGCACCATCACCAGGTCGCTCAGTAATACTCGCCTCAGAGCAACCTCAATGCCAAGCTGCAATCATCGCCAATCTCAAGGGTGTTCCTAACAAAGACCTCAAACTCCCCATTGATAAAAGCCCCAAACGCCCTGTTCTCCGGTGTGTCGGCGGCCGTGGGCCTGTTCAGCCGCAAAAACGTCTGACAGAAGTCGTGCCACAGGGTCACCTCCTCTTGGCTCGAATGGAACAGCTGGTGCGCGGCCGCACCGGCGTTCCTAAAACGGGTGACTAAGTCGTCGGCCGCGATTTCGTCGCTGTGAAGTAACGCGGCAGACTGGACGATGAGCCAGCAGACGCAGGACAACAACTCGGCGTGAGGAAGGTTGAAGACGTCGACGGAGGTGCAAACCCACTGCGGCCAGATCCCAGTGGACCTGCCATCCGTCATGAGGATGTGCCAGAGCGTGCCGAAGACCTCGATGTAGTCTTTCCAGAGCATCTGGTCCGGGGTCGGACGGGCGCTGGTGTCGGGGCGGTTCGTGCGGTAGGCGTCGCGAGAGACGTCGAATAGCGCTTTGTGGCACCAGGCGACGCACTGTTGCAGTGATCTGAGAGGTGACGGGCTGTCTTCTTGCAGATGCGAGCGGCTGGTTCCGTTGCGAGATTCGAAATCTTCCAGGAGGGTCTGCAGACGTTTCGCGTCGATTGGGTCGAGCAAGTGTTGGCGATGATTGAGGTCGAGATTGTCCAGGAGCGCATAGCCGACCATGTCGATGGATCCGTCTTGCTTCGCCAAGAAGGCTTTCCCCTCGTTGAGAATAGATAAAACGGCGTTCCTGATGTGTGATAGCATACCCTCCTCAAGGTGATCGTTCATCGAGTCGCACACGAGGACGTAAAGCAGGCAATAGAATGGCCAGTGACTGCTGCCGGGCTGGGGAAAGATGCACTCCTTTAATGACTTCATCGCGAAACGACACTGCTCATCGGTTTCGGCAGATCGAGCGATGGCAGTCATGGCGTGGAAGTCGTTCATGTTGAGCTTAGCGTTGACGTATTTGTTGAAGGCGCCCTTCCCATCGCACACGGCGAGCTGGGTGTTTGCGGCCTCGACCATGACAGGCGTCTGGCTTTGGTGTCCGCCGATACTGTCGGGAATTTCATGCGATTTGGAGCAAATGTCCTCATCGTGGCCGACGCCATCCTCGCTGCTGTCGTAGTCGTCGCTTTCGATGGAGGGTGAGCTAGCAGTACCCTCTTCTCCATCTCCAGTGCTGTACTTCCTGCAGTTCCAAAGGTTCAATCTGTAAACGAGCTGGCGTTTGCTAGAGCTGGGTGAGTCTTCGCCCGTCAAACGCGTGAGGCATTACCTACGTGACCTTGACACCGTACTCTTTCTGGAGATAGACGATCACATCTTGGAGAGTTTTGTTCATGTATTGCTCGCAAATGGTTTCTCTCTTCTCCTCCCACCATGCTGGCGACATTCGGTTGGCCCTCTGCTTTGCCATCAGGTGGTTTCAATGTTGCCCTAACCCAGACCAGAATGATGGCAAATGTCGCGAGGATCGTTGCCGATGACTGCTACCATCATTAAGAAAGATTTAAGGAGACCCGAATACAGGGCAAAATCGCACTGCCATGCGGCTCCTGGGCAGAGTGCCTCATTGTCAACCTGATGAGGCTCATTGCCTTGTAACACACAGGCTTGGTGGTTGCCTTACTGGCCGCGGACCAGATTGTAAAAAGCACAATTGGAATTTGTGAAGTCAGGACGCGTGGTACTTCACGCACCAATAAACGGCGAGAGATTTGGTAACTTGCAGTCAGCACTGCCGACCACCACTGAGCTTCATTGGGCAGGAATGAAAGTCGTCTTCGAGCCCAAACTTGCCAGTCAGAATAGACAAAACCGCAGTGGGGTCGCAGTCATTGAGCCACCCCCTCGCGTTCGATTTGACAATTCCATCCGAGAGAAATTCCAAAAGAATGACCTGCTTGCTTTCGGAGCAGAGGACCCCGTACACTCGCATAAAGATGACAGTCGGCGCAGGCTCTCGAGGCGAGCTTGAACCTCTTGGGACAGAGGAGAACACCGCATTTTCAGTTTCTTTTACTCTGCGCAAATCAAGTCTCATCCGTCAGTCGGCTCGGCCACCTGGCAGTTCAGAACGTTATACAGAAGAACGCAAGAGAGAATCTCGGGCCGATCCTAGAGGGTCGCCTTCCGGCGCAGACATGGAGTTCGCAGCCTTGACGTCCCAAAACGGATCGCCGGCGCCGCGGGGTCGGAGACCGACGTCTTACCGAGAGATGCCTGCATCTGAGGCAGCTCCGTCCTGGATACCATCAAACATTTCGGAGAACAGCTCAATAGGAAGAGGACAAGAACAAATGAATAGCTTTGACGGTCCTGCGATAGAGCTGTGGCATTCGGGTCTCGAAACAACATCAAAAGTGCCAGGCCAGAGGGCTGCAACTGCAAAGAGCTTGGCCAGGCTAAACGCGGCCGGTGATCTTTATTTCAAAGTAAGTCCACCACTTTGAGCAAACTTTTCAGGCACGTAACTAACGCTGGCCGAAGCAGTTATCTCACTCGAAGACACACAAACAAACACAAGGGAAGCGTGGCTCAAAACCGGCCAGGATTAGTGGGCAATGAGACCAAGGCTTTAGAGACAGGAGTTTAAGCAGATGCTTAGGAAAAGGAGTCCCGGTCGTAGAGAAAAAATCCATAGATGATACCATGTGTGCGAATAGTCAGAAGAAAAAGAATCACTTGAACGATCTCCTTGGCCGCCACATCTCCGGGAAGCCGTTGGGGCGCCGCATTCAAGCAGCGTTTCCTTCAATGAAATGTAATTAGCATAAGCCTTGGTTTCGTGGCAGGCAATCGGTAGTTGCCGCGAATTCTCTCGGGCGGTAGGATCGCGAATGCTGTCATCGGGACGTGAGGGGCAGAGCAGGCTCGGGTGTGCGAGGATGGAGCAGGTGACCGTGGCTGGCGTGTGCCCCGCATTTAGGCCAGAGGCCGGAGGAAAAGGTGCGGTGACGTGTGGAGGTAGCGGCCGGGTAGAGGTACCTCGTGTAGCGATGGGAGTCGTTGGCTTCGATGCCGGCCGCGTTCCATGTCGAAGCTGCAGGAGAAACGAGCTCTGGGGGTCGAGACTGGGTCTATAGAGTCCAGATCTATCTAACAGCCCCTATTATTTTGCAAACTATAACGTCTTTATCGCTAAGCGGCTATAAATAATATATAGGGTCAGGGACGTTATAGATATAGTACTTATTACTAAATTTAATAAGTAGCTAAAGGGTATAGTTATCTCTTAATATAGTATTAAGTATAGCCTTAATATTAAACCCTACTTTAAAGTTTACTATATAGTAGGATTAGTTTTAAGATATTTAAGTAGTACTTCTATAGTTATTTAGGTTATTTAGGAAGTACTACTTAAAGAAGATAATTTAGAATAAAAAAGAGAAGAGATAGAAACTACCCTCTTTCTATATATTATACTCTATTTATAAGAGATATATTTAAGACTATAATAGTTAAAGCTATTTATAATAAAAAGTATATATACCTATTAGATTTTAGTAATTTTTCTTTATATTAAACTAAAATAAATCTTTTTATATAAGTACTAAGTATAGTATTAAGTTTATTTATCTTATAGTTTACCTACCTTTTATTGCTAGGCCCTATAAGGGTTTGCCTGGCTATAAGTACCTCGGTCGAGACTGGGTCGGTCTGCCAAGAATAGAGCTTGTGGCATGAGACGTCCAGTGGGCCGATGATTGTTTCTTTTCTTTGAGCTTTGAGCAAAAATCACCCGCTCGCAGGAAGAAAAGAACGTCTCTAAATCAGTCCGCGTGGGTGGTCGTGTCAAGCTATCGAACTGTTTCTGCCTCGACAATGAGAAAGCGGTGTGTCAGGAAGTCGGGATCTGTAAGGTAAGGTAGTTGACCAAGTTAGATGGAGGTGCTGGCCGTGATGGTGTGCAGCGCTACCATAGCTTCCGCCCCCTCTCGCAGGGCGTGCCGTTCCATTGGAGAATTGGACGACGGGTGGGCAGCAGTGACTGAAGGCTATCCAGATGCGATGGTTGCGCCGATGCTGCTTTTGCAGGAGTCGGGTTGAGAGAAAGAGGAAACGACACCATCACAGTGCAGGGTAAGCCCGTCGTCTGTAGTCGGACGTCAGCCCAGGAGGGCAGCTATGAGGTGATGATGATGCTGTTGGTGGATAGCAAACAAGGGCTCGGATTCTTCGAAAGTTGTCAGGAAGGTCCGCAGAAGATTTAATGCACGGAAACCCCTTGTACCTGCTGTCAGCTGTAAAAAGCAGAGTTGAATGGCGCGGCTGATGGCGGGTTGCTGGTCGACTGCCCGGATGAAAGCGGCCACGAGGAGACCACGACGTTTGGCTTGCAGTTGGGACCGGTTCCAAGCCCGAGACATCAATGCCATATTGTTCCAAAAAGGATTCGTAGTGGCAACAATGGAGAGACGATGGGCTCGGCAGCGGTTGCGCGAGGACGAATGTGAAAGACGGTGGTCTCCGGAGAGAGGCGATGGAGAAGCGATGGAGAAGTTTTGGAAACGGGAAAAAGTGGCTCTGAAGCATGGGGCCGGTGAGGATACCAGAAGCAAAAGTCACAGGAAGTCGTCATACTTGAGCAAGGATGACCCAATCACGGATGGCACTCCGCGCCCCCATCACCCCTGTCAGCCATCGGACTGCAGCTGCCCTGCAATGCGCTCCACACCTGCTGCGCAACGCCTGGCGTGTGCGCCAGCTTCACCTCATCTTTTCTTCACTTCATCCTTTTCCTAATGTCCAAGACCCTTGGAGAAAAAGCCCGGTTTACCAAGGCCGTCTGGTCTCATCCTGCTTCTACCGAGAAACAAGGTACATCCGGAGGCCAAATCCAGTCTCTTGCTTCCATGTGTCTGAGAGGGGTGTGGCTTGTTCTCCATCTCCGATCTCCCATGCCCCTTTTCAAGTCCGGGGCCGTTCCACCTCTTCACTGAGCAAGTGGCTGCCGTGTCACCCCATCAAGGTACGAATGACGGCGATGGGTGTCTGTGATTCCAACGGCGGAAGGAAGACAGCTCCGGATGGGTGGCTTGCTGGGGGAACAGCTCTGGCCTTAGGTTGGAGACTCGGACGCATCGTCAGCTCTGACGACGACCCGCGATCTGCCTTTTCTCGACTCCTGACCTCGAGTGTGGCTGCCAAATGGACAGGGAACAGCAACAAACAGGGTATTTGACGCTAGATCAGCCTGTCCGACTACCAATGCATTGGCCACGGCCAACAGGCTCCATGTATCATGTTGTTGAACCGCCAGACGCATGGCCGATCCCGATTCAAAGCGCTTGTTCGAGGCTACATGGCTACGACACCTCACTTCGGAAGGCGACAAAATAACAGCCACCGACCGAGCAGAGCAGGTCACCCATCCACCTGCCTTACGTGCTGCAGACCATGTCCAATCGGTAATAGGATGGCCTTGGTGTCAGCCAGTAGCCAACCCGTAACATACCTAGACAAGCGAGGCGTCCAAACAATCTCAGCAAGCATCCCATTTGCTTGCCGCACATGCTTGGGTCCTCCAAGCTTCACCTCTGCACTTCGGTACTTCGTAATGAGATTAAGGTAGGCTCTTAGCACGGACAAGCGCGATTGCAGGCGACATGCTCTCAGCGTTGCTGCTACGTAGTTGCCATCAAGGATTCATCTGCCTCGACCAAATAAAGGAACATCGTCGTGGGGGAGGCTTGGCAGAATGCTGAGGTCTTTCGTAAGGCAGCCTGCGTCAAAGTGCAAGAACCACCGTCACCTACTACTACCTTACTTTCCTTTCCGAATTGCAGCAGGGAAGGTAGGTACCTTTCTTGCATCCGCGTTACACGCTAATGTGCCTGTGGCGAGTTGCTTCCCCGCAGATTTAACATCCCATCTGCCACCCATCCTTCTCGTTTAAATGTTACCCGCCTGCACCCACCCAAGCCATTCTTCCACTTCCCACCTTCTGCCACCACGCAACTTCAACTTGTGCAACAACGGCGTCCAGACTGAGGATTGAAAAGCACCGGGAAATACAAAAAATTGGGAAACATTATTGGCTTGCAACCCACAAAATCGATTCACGATGCCTACTGCTTCAGAGCGTATTAACGCCTGTGAGTTCCGTCGTCTTCTCGACCCAACCCTGCTACAGCTTGCTGACTTCTATTGCAGTGAACCCCTTCTCCAAGAAGGAGTCTCATAGCGCTGGCTCTATCACGACATACAAGGTCCTGACTACTCTGTCTTGGCTCCTCTCCCTGATCGTCTCCGTCTACTACGTCGCCTACAGGGCCCACGATGGCCACACGATCGTCAGAAGCATCTGGGATGAGAACTGGCTGTACCCGACTGCCTTCACCCTCAACTCGGTCATCGTCGATATCTACTGGTGAGTGCCGCTGGAATCTGGAATCACTGGCGACCTAACCACTGACAACTCGCAGGATCGTGCTCTTCATCCTCCAAATCGGATATGTTGCCCACCTCTTCTCCAACAACACCGACTACGTGAACGCTGCGGCCAGCGTTGGATCCCACTTCATCTTCAACAACCTCTTGCACTTCGCTTTCGTCATGCTTTTCGTGCGCGAGCACTTCGCCTGGGCCGAGGTCATCTTGATCATCAACTTCTTCAACTTGTCGTCGCTTTACTTCCGCCACAACACCTACCCGCGCTTCATCCACTGGCCTGTCGTGTCCGCTCCTCTGGCTTGGACTTTCGTGGCCGTCTACTGGAACGGCGCCATCATGGTTCCCCACCCTCACTCACTTGTTGCGCGCATCTTCGGCAACATCTTTGTCTGGTCTATCCTTGTCTACGGCGGATTCTTCATCACCATCTACAAGGTAAGCCTACTAGCCCGGCAGCTCAATAAGTCCTGAATTCTTACTAACATGTCGTAGGACTACACCATGGGTTTCTCTCTCAGTGTGCTCTCCGCCGCTCTTGGTGTCGCGCAATTTGAGCGCCAGGTTGTTGCATTCCAGTGGATCTTCGCCTTCACCATCATGGCCGTCCTGTTCGTCGCGACGCTCGTCATCGCCTACCCGGCCTGGTCTGGCAATGAGTACTCCTGGCCCCGCCGTTCTGCCCCCGCCGACCAGGAGCGCGCTCCCCTTTTGGCCGACGACCAGTAAGCTAGGCATTCATTGCCTCAAACTTCTCACACAAAAGTCCACCCTGCGAATCGAACGGCATTCAAAGAAGCACTCATCAAACCAATGGCGAGCGATTGCAAGGATGTAATTGGGGGCCTACGGAGGAACGTGGGCATGGAAAAGTTGCTAGTCGAAAGATTGCATTGCTATGACAACTGAATTATTCTTGGGATGAAATGTAAATAGCATTCTTTTGGTCGCGCAGGAGAAACGGTACGATTCCCCATGTTGTTGGTCGGCTGGGGAGGTGCGAGACGCGGAGGATGACGTAGCAGCTGTCCTTATCGCTATCGCTATCGTTCCCAAAGACCTCTTATCGTTAGCACTAGTCTTGATAGGGAATGGTCAATACTCCCCAAACCTGAGCAGTGAACCTCTCAATATTAAATCCTCTGGTTTCGTTTGACGACGCTTCAACCGACTTGCGACTTCGCCTCATTCGTCGCAAGGTTGGACTCATGGGACCAAGGGCATTCCCCTTTCCCATCAACATTGGGACCGACATTTGTCAAGTCTCGCGCATCTACCGACTCCTAGCCGGGGACAGGGGAACGAGGTTCCTCCAGCGCGTCTTCACTCAGGATGAGCGCGCCCTGGTCCCCTCATTGAACGGCAAACGCCAGTCTCTAGATACCTTCCAAAACAACGATTTCGAAGCCTTGAAGAAGCATGACCCATCCCTATGGAAGACAGCTGCCCATGTAGCCGGGAGGTACATTTTCAGCTCATCTCGACACGCCATCCACCGAAGCTGACTACTCCGACGTATAGGTTCGCGGCGAAGGAAGCCGCGTTCAAGGCGCACCCTTTCAGACGACTTTCCTTTCACGACATCACCATCGTCAGGAGAGGAACTCTGGAGGATAGAAAGGATGTCAACGGCAGCGGCCCGCCGGTTGCTGTGATTCGCGGCGAGAGGGAGGGCGAGCCGGGGCAGATTGCCCAGGTTTCTATTAGCCATGACGGGGACTATGCTACCGCTGTCTGCTTGGCGTATGAGCCGCCTGCTAAGGGTAAAGAGACGAAGAAATCAGATCCGTGACCAGAATGGCTTCGCGGTGTGATTGATGGAAGCGTTGTGGTCTAGCTCGGCTTGCTCTGGAGTATTCTGCTCCAAACCCGGCGGAGGGGCCTTACGGTGCCCGGGGCGATGGTGAGGTGTCACGCTCGCCGAGACGGATTCTGCTCCGTGAAGAATAGGAGGGACACTAATCCCCCAAGTCGCATCAAATACAGCAACATTCACTGTCTCAACTCCGTTCCTGCGCATGCTATTCCCGCTGCACACTTGCCGACCTGATGCGTCATGTTTGAGCGCCCGCCTTGACCGAGCAACACTCTCCAACAGCCTCCAAAAAAGACCATTCGCTTCGCTTCCCACCGCGACCTCGCGCCGCCAGAACCGCCCACAGCGCAAACGCAAAAAAAAAAACGCCTCCATCTCCGACGGAACCCTCTCGCTCACTCAGAGCATTCCTCTCACGCGGCCCCCACTACAACACCCCCAGGGCAGCAGAAGCTTCCCCACCCAGACCGGACCACACTCATGCTGGGCCTCCGCCAGGCCCCCGTAACGCACGCTACTTAGGGCCCGAACTCGTGGTCGACCACAACAACGAGCAATCCAGCTTGTTCCAGCCCCGGCCGGCTGGCGCAATGGTAGCGCGTCAGCCTCCTACTCGGTCTTCGAGAAGTGAGCTGAAGGTTGTGGGTTCGAGTCCCACGTTGGTCGTTTTTTGGTGTTTTGACCACTTTTTGAATTGTGCATCGGTAGTTGATTACTTTGGTTGGGTTGGAGGGGGCTTGAGGGGTGTTGGTGTGGTTTGGGGAGGGGTGTGAAGTATTGGGTGCTGTGCTGTGGTGAGATGTTGGGAAAGTGGGGCTGTTTGGAGGTGGTGAGGTTTTGGTGTCGGAGTGAACTTGTGATCTAAGAGTGTCATGCTGCAGAATCTTGAAATGAGAACCGGACTTTGGGGGTTGGTTTTCTTTTATGATAATCATAAGGAATGGATTGTCCGTAGGGTTGAACTGACCTAGCCCAGGCAGTGCCGAATGACATGCACCAGTACTGAGTTGCAACAGCGATGTTAGCACAGCTCAAGTGAACTCAATTGCTGTAGTTGAGCCCTTACCGCCATGTCCAGAACAGAACACCGCAAATGTGTGCAAGTCCACGCCAAGAATCGATTCCTTGGGTTGCCTTTGGGGTTCTACATTCCCTCTGAAATCCTTGGGCACCCACGTGAGGGCGGGCTGGCAGTAGATGTACTGAAGTCACCTGTTGGCGATGATGGATATAAATACTTTTTTCAAATTCGAGTTGAACAACATACAGCGATGTGCGCTCCGCTTTGTGTTGGACCTGAGTATCGCTCTGCTCACGAGGATAAGGGGAGTTATGGAAGGTGGCGCTCAAAGCTGTCAAGTCACAAAGTTGGTGTTTGCTTCTCCTCGGCTCTGTTTTCATTGGAGTATAAGTTTGTTTATTCATTGGAGTAGAAGTCGAAGGGGGTTTTATATAGAATATCAAGAGCAGTACAGGCTCGACTATGCGTCTCTGGTTGTTATTATCAATGATGCTGCCAGATCCCGCAACAGAGGTAATCGAACGACAATGAAGGTTCAGGTTTGCCGTTGGAAACGTTCTAGGCAGCCTCTGTTGCAATATATATCTAACATCTTATAGGTAGTTATAGTCATGGTGAGCTCATTAATTGAAAGTTACAAGTTGTTATTACTGAGATATCGGTCGTAGGAGGGTGAAAGATTCTTGAGGAGAGGGGCTTGACAGGAGAAAGAAACAAGGTATATATAATCGTCGATTGAACACACCCAGCAAAACTTTCTCCTCATTATCATCGTCATGTACCACAGTAATACTGCTATTGTCTACTAATGCTGTGTAGACTCTTCGCTATTGGACTTGTCCCACTGAATTACGTGATACTTTGGTTTTTATTCCTAAGTTCAGGCGCTACCTTCAGTGATATAACATGATAAACGGTGTAAAACAACAGAGATGACGGTTTATGAAGATGGTGATGAGAAAATGCGATTAACAGACTTTGATAGATTTAATAACTGTGTCTAAGCCTGGCTGGTCATATCTCGCGACAATTTTATCGGTTCACCAAGTCCGATCGTTTTGGATTCCTGGGTATGTGATCAGACGGACACGAGCAATTCCAACTGATGGTTCAGTACAATGGAAGCCACTTATATGGTTCAGGCTCTGAAAAGCTGCTTCTAACTGGACAGTTGGGTGCATACATTAGACCCCTGCCTGTCAGCTGCGGCCGGATCACCTGCCTGCGCCACGACACAGTTGTTCTTGCTGCGGCATGCAGCCTGCATCTTTACACCTGCATTTCTGATTGGCAAATCTTGAGGAAAGAGCCTTGGAGGGCGGACACGTCGTGTCAGCACAACTCTGATCAGGCTGGCAGCGGATTTTCGGTTTCCCCCCAAACTTCCTCCTTCAAACTTCCCACCACGTCTTGAAGCATCACGCCAAACACCACTCGCGGCCGATTACGCGGGAACAAACTACGATGGAAGTCGTAGGTGCCGCAGCCAGTTTCATCGCCATCGGCCAAGCTCTGATAGCCGGGCGCCATGTCGTCAACGTGCTGCAGGAGATCCCAAGGATGGGGAACGAGCTAGCATGGCTCAATAATGAGGTTTGTGTCATCTTGATAACGTTGGGCTTTCACAGCATAATGGTTCTATTTCGGGTTACGGTTTGTACTGAGAGTCATCTGCGCAGATTGAGAGTCTTCGAGCAGCGGTCGATGCTGCCGAAGCCCAAGTAGCAGTATCTCTTGGAAATGAACCCGAACCCCCAGACATCAAGTTGGCTCGACTTCAGATCTCGAAGACTGTCAAGGAACTCGATGGAATTCTTCGGCGGAGCACCCGCAGCGCCGAAGATGGCAAGATCAAGCCACGAAAAATTAAGTGGTTTTTCCTGCAGAACGAACTGCGGGAGTGGCGCGACAAAGCTCGTGACGCGAGAGGAAACCTCCTATTCGCATTGCATACCCTGAACCTCAAGAATACGTCGTAGGTGTACCCTCCACTTACACGAATGCAAGGGCGCGTGCTGATTTATGGGCATTAAAGCCATATCAGGTTGTGCATTGAAAGCTTTGCCATCAACCCAAGTAGTCCAGCAAGCATTGCATCAACGGCCGTCTCAGAAAACCATTCGGAACTGAGTTCGCAAGACGAGATCATCCAGCACCAAATTCAAGAAAAACCTGTTCAGGAATTCGAACCTCAGCTGAAGCAGCTTGTGCTTTCCGACTATGGCCACCGAGCCAATAAGCCAGACGCAAGTGCTGAATCCGACATGTTAATCTTCAAAGCCAAGCTTTCAATGGCAAGTAGCTGTCAAAAGCCTTGTCGATGCCGATGTCATGCATCCCGCCCGCCATCCATCCGCTCCCCGCCCTGGGCTAGAAGCGTTATAGGCTCTCTCTTTATGACCTGCAGCCAACAGATGTTTTTCGACACAAATGCGAACTGCACTGAACCTGAATGTAAGGGGAATAGAAATGTCTCGGCAACGTTTGAATACCAGTTTCCTACCTGGCTGTGTTCATATCACATCTCGATGCGCGTCTCCCAGAGTAGCTTTTACGGACTTGGTGCGTCTTTACGACCTGTAAGAACTATATCCCGCAACAATGGAACACTGTTGGCCGCGGAACGTCAGGGTACGATAGTGCTAAAGCACGCCATGATGGAGCACGGCCCGTTATATCCAAATGATCGTGACATTTTCGGACTCACTGTGCTTGAGGTGAGAAGAACCCTTTCCACTTCGGCATATGAATACCTTCTTTGGCTCACGCAGGTCTCTTTTCATCAGCGTTTAATATTCTGGGGATTGCCAGGTGTTGTGGAGTTTATGACAAGACTTTGGACTGAGGCAATTCAGAAAGAAACCTATGACCCGTGAGTAAGTTCTAAAACCCATTTGATAAAGCTGATTTAGCTCAAATTTCATGTTCACAGGGCATGGTACTTCGCAGCAAATAATGAACTCTCAAGAACACCCAACCTGCTGCCTCATAGGGCAGCGGCACTCCGTCTCATAGCATCATTCGGAGAAGGCATTGTTGACTCTGCACAGACCGAAGTGCACCTAGCTATTAGTCTGGCGGACGACACAGATATACGGGAACAAATCAACCAAGCAGTGCGCCAATCCCCCTGGGTCATCGACCAGTGGAACCATCAAGGTTATACGCCGTTAATTCTCGCTTCACAAAGGGGCAACATCAGCGCTGTCAAAGAGCTGATTCGCCTGGGCTGCGATGTCGACCTGGTAGATTTCTTCGGACGTACTGCACTGTTTGAGGCCGCAAGAAACGGACATGCTGATGTAGTACAGTATCTGCTCGATGCCAGCTGCTCAGTCGATATCACTTCAAAGAATGGCTGTACGGCACTATATTTCGCTACGGGTCCGCATTCAGAGCCTGCGGGCGATCCAGGGTGCATTGTCGCAATGCTTCTTGCTGCTGGAGCATCGAGTACAGTACTAAATGGTTTTGGAGGTATTGCCATTCACGTGCTACATTCCGGAAGCCCCCGTGAAGTAGCAAGGCATGCTATTAGAACCAGATTACGGCTGCTTCTAGAAACCGGGCTCGATGTCGACGCCCCAGACTTTCAAGGAAGAACTCCTTTGCATGATTCTATCCTCTCCCAGAGGCCAGAAGTTATCAGGTGCCTCATTGAGGCCGGTGCTCGAGTCGAGGGCGTGAAGCGCGATAAAAATGTCCTGCACGCGGTAGCCCTGCACGGGAACTCTGAGGTTATTGAGTGTTTGGCAGACATGGATCTTCCAAGACTGAACGTAGAGAAAAGAGACGAAAGTGGTAACAACCCATGGGATTACTTAATATACACCCTACACGCTCCGAGGTGGAGACTAGGAGGTTGCAGGAGACCTACTTTGGATGAGGCGGGTGCATTTGCGAATTTTTACAAGGAAATGCGAGACCGAAACCTACAAGCTGATATTGATAGGCTGTACCGGGCGCGAGGCTATCTTGAGGACGAGAATTTCCGGGCAGCTAACGCAGCAATACAGTCTTTGATCGACGAGAAGGAAAAGTGGGAACAGTGGGAGTCGTTACAGACGTACAAGACTATCAGTCTTCAGATTCGGGAGAAAATGCTGGAAGCGGCGGTCGAATCGATCGAGGAGAATATCGAGGTCTTGCAAGAGAAGATGGAGCAGTCTCCATGGGACCAGAAGTCGCACTACGATTACCTCAAACCACCAGACTCAGATGATGAAACCGAGGAGGACACAGACAGTCGAGACACGACGGACCAGGAGTCAAATCACGGGTTTCTTGGCAATCCAGACTCGGGCAACGAAGTTGAGACTGAGGAGGATGAGGAAGTGGAAAGTCTTCACAGTGGTGATGTCGAGCGAAGATGACATTATCTAGCGGAGATGAAACAACGCTTCAGGATTACCCGAGGACTCAAGTTGGAAGTATGAAGGCGGCGTTGGTATAGGCGTTGTGTGGGTAGATTGGGCATGGGGTTTGTGGACTGCTACTGCTGTTTATCATTACTTACGGCCTTGAGAAAGTTACACTTCGAAATTGCGCACATTAGACAAAACAAACCAAATACGCTGACGCAAAAGTTCCATATTCACTTTCACAACTTGAAATAAACACGCCGAAGACGCGTAGCCTCCTCCTAACGATGAGGGTTGACCGCACACTCGACGAAGATGACGATCACGGTCGCAAAACAGCTACCGCGCCGAGCAAAAACACAGCTTAAAAACAACAGCTTTTATGTGTCTCTGTGATATAGCCGGCCTATGCTTGGTGCGCCTGTCTCGGTTCTACTTCTAGTGCTTCGGGTGAGCGCGGGAGAGGCTGGTACCATGAAAGACCGAGACGTGCCGATCGTTGAACCTCCGCCAACGGACTTCAAACCTGGCTGTCAAGCCGGACGATTGGGATCGCAGCTGTAATCCCGCCGGAATGGATCACGAGGGTCTCCGAGAGAACATCATCGCTGGACATCAAGAACCTCCCAACGTTATCATCTGGTCTCTCCCATCATTCCTTCCCAGGTATTCAGTAAGAATCGAAGAATGACGGCGGCGAGTGACCGCTCTCGGCGGCAGGCTCGTTCCTTTTGGTGGGCAACTTCGTTTCTTCCAGCGATAGATAGATTCCTTGTCCCCGCGGCTCTTTCACTCTTCAAGAGGAGCTAGTTTACCACGATGGCCCGTTCCGGTTCTTTCAGTGCCCTTCTGCACCCCCCTGACATTATATACATGATGGAGGTCCATGTCACGCAGTTCCATGATGGTCACGAGCATGGTTTTATGCCCAAAGGACGTGTTGAAGACAACATAATCACCTCTGAAGTTTCTAGGAAACCCCCGAAGATGCTATGTTCTATTCTCCATCTATCAGCGCACTAGTTCATCTGTATTCAAGACTGTTGGGAGACAAGGCATGTTGCATACCTCGCCGGTGAGACCATCGATTTCTCGTATCCTTCATTCGGTCTGTCTGCCTCATCTACTTGATTATTCTCTCATCGGAATACCGCAGAAACATCCAACATCCGTGGCCGTTGATGGACCCTGCGTACAAGGCCGACATGTAATCCGAGAACACAAGCAACCACGTCGTCCGCTCCACATCCGCCGCTCAAAGCGTCATGTGCGTGAAGATCACTCAGTGACGGAGCTCATCACGAAGCAAATGTCTCGCTAGGTTAGCCAATCCACTCAAGGGTTGGACTTACTTAAAAGGTAGATAGAAGGAAGTCTGTGGCTGAGGCTGATCATGGTCCGCAAACCAACTGCTCGCGTCGATTCCTTGGATAATGCCCTACTTGACTTTGTTAACCAGAGACGTTGAGCGCACTGGGAATGTAGAAAGTGGTGTGCTTGTCCATTGTAAGCTGAGCTGCGGATCAGCACCGACGGAGTCATCCCAGTTTCTGACGTTGGTGATGCGGCTTGTGTGGACGAAGATGTTCTCGGATATGATTGGGTGCACTTCTGAGTCGGAAGTCGAAGTGTTGAACGCTTTAGCGTGGTACTGCAGTGACTAGTGCCATGTAGTGACGCCTTGCTTGCTCTAGGAACCTTTGAGCGGCACATTTTGCCTGGTTTTCCTTGGCTTACACGGACTTGCATGTCTGCAAAGCTTGCCGCGCCGAATCGTCTTCCCGAAACAGCAAAAGACACGCCGGAGTTCGTCCGAGTGGATCACCCGGACCGGCTGCCGGCATGATAACATCCCACTAACGCCTGTGCGAGAGTCACGAGTAGGTTCCAGTCAAGTTTGAAGTCTTCAAGAGATCTTTGTTGGTAAAATGATACACAGTATGTACAAGAAAGGCACGAAGAAGACCCAATGCCCAAGAGAGAGAGAGAGATATGTTCAACCTCAAATCGTTTCCATGTCCCATGTTCCCGTTTTGACTTGTCACCCACTCCTCTCAAAAAAGGTAAAACCAGAAAATAATGCTACCCGGCCGTTTTGTGATTTGAATGTAAGATGCCCCGTTGTCCCGTGTCCTTGGACCCAAAAAAAGAGAAACCCCCGTGTTCTAAAGTGTGCTTAATGCAAGATGTCTGAATCGAAAGGGTTTGGTTTTGAGAATTGGATTCTTTTTTTTCATGTCGTCATAATGTCACAGCACGTCGTAAACGTGGAACGTGTGATGCCAAAGAAGGAAGGAAAAAGCAAAGAAGCGTAGAACGCTTAGTTGCTCTTGCCCTTCTTCTGGTACTTCTCCACGCAGAGACCGAAGGCGTTGTCGCAGCCGCAGCCGCAGTGACGCATGCTGCTGCCGCAGGTGCCCATGGGAGAGCAGCAGAGACCAAAGCTGCTGCCGCTGCAAGTGCCGTTGTCGCCGCCGCACTTGCCGTCGGTGGAGATCTTGACGCCGTTGCTGGTGCTGGGGGCGGGAGCGGCGGCAGTGGAGGAGGCGGGAGCAGGCTGGACGGGGGCGGCAGAGGTGGGGGCGACGGTGGGAGAGGGAGCGCTGGAGACGGGGTCCTCAGCGGCGTACTCAGCGGGGGCGGAGGAGGCGACAACGGGGGCAGCAGAAGTCTTGGAGGCGGCAGCAGAGGAGACGGGGGCGTCGTTGCTGGAGCTAGAGGAGCCGCCGAGGAGGTTGAGGTTGACGGCGGCGGGGATGGGGCCGGGAGCGGGGGTGGTGGACTCGGCGATCTGGTTCTCGGGGGGACCGTTGAAGTTTCCGGAGCGGCAGGAGGCCTCGATGACCTTGCACATGCCGGCGTTCCAGGCCTCGCAGTTCTTGGCACCGGTGGGGGGAGCAGAGTCGAAGCACTTCTCACCCTGAGCGTAGCAAGCGTCGACCTGGGCCCAGCAGCCGGTCTGAGTGGAGTAGGTCTCGAGGGGGACACCGCACCAGTTGGCGTTCTTGACGAGGCAGTTGGAGGGGATGGCGCCCTCAATGTCCTTGGCGGAGAGAGCCTTGGCGCCGGAGGAGGTGCCGGTAGGGCTCCAGACCTTGGGACCGGGGATGGGGTAGCCACCGGAGGGGTTCTGGGCGCTGTCGTAGAGGTTCCAGTTGTTGCCAACCTCGGAGCCGTCGATGTAGCCGGGGATGCTGACGGCGTTCTCGGAGGGGATGTTGAGAGTACCGGAAGGACCGTCCTGGATGTAGATCTGGGCGCAGCCGACGTAGTACTGGGGATCGTGCAGAGAGACGGCCTGGTGGAGGGCAACAACCTCGGGGCGGACCAGGTAGTAACCGGCGGGGAGGCCGGAGGGGAGCTCGACGGTCAGGAGACCCTTGTTGGCGATGAGCTTGTCGACGCACCACTCACCATTCTCGTCGAGGCCTTGGTCCCAGATCTTGAACCAGCCCTCACCGGCAGCAGGGGTGGTCATGATATCGTCGACCTTCTTGACGTAGACGGCGCAAGGACCGCGGTGGGAGGGGTCGATGGAGCCCTCCTGGCGAGCATCGGGCCACTGGCGGAACTCGAAGGTGATCTTGGAGCTGCCGGAGGCGGGGCAGGTGTAAGCGGCGGCGGTAGCACCGTCCTTGCCTGTAAATAGATCAGCTCATCAAGTTCTCGCGTGGTGGTGGTATCTGAGCGTTCCAAGAAGGACGCTAGAAGGAGGATGAAGACCTACCGCAAGCCATGTCGGGGCTGGTCAGGCCGGCGACGGGGGAGGTGGCAGTGTCTCCCTCCTTGGGAGTGCGAATGCAAGTAGCATCGCCCTGAGATTCACCGTTGATGTAGATCTCGGAGAGCATGGTGTGGGCGTTGGCGGCGCCGGCCAAGGCGAGGGCGAGAGTGAGGAACTTCATGTTGGGCAAAAAGTGGGTATCTTGTTGTGACTTTTGAGTGTACGATGAATGATAAGGTCGGACGGATCAAGCGTTTTTCTGTAGCAGGCCTGCTGAAATCGAAAATTCGAAATCGAGAAAAGGATCGAAGTCGGATGTTTCGAGAGTCTGTTGGGAAGGACTGAAAGGTTGGTCAAGCACTGGGCTTATGTTGATTGTTGGCAAGGAGCGGACTGTTCAACAGCAACTGTTCTCTGGTGTGGAGAGAAGAGTGAGTGAATGAAGAGCAACGAGGTCAAAAGACTTGGCTCAAGATTGGTTGTTAAAGAATGGAACGTTCGAATCAAACCGAAGCAGAGACGAACAAGAAGGGAGTGTGGTATCAGCGGCCGGCTGGTGTACAGAAGAAGCGCGATGGAGGGCGGGAAGAGCAAGAAGGAGGCCCGTTATCGAGGGCAGAAGAAGCCTTTATGGATTTATATCATCCAACCAACAGACGAGGGCCCCGGGGTTCCTTGACAGAAAAAAGGGCCCCCGAAAAAAAGGGAGCAAGGGCTTCGGTGCGCCCTCGTCATCCTGTTGGATGGAGTCATTAGTGGATGATAGACAGGTACGGACGGATACCGTTGACATTGACCTTGACCATGAGAACTCAGCCGTCAGGTTCACTCAATCAACGCGCTTGCACCCCCTTTGAAGCTGCAGGTCCGCTCCTGCATGGCTCCAGGGTAGGGCCTGAATAGGGCCTTGGTCCCCATCTCATCTCGTCTCTGGCCATTGACCTTTCAGCCGCCCCCTCCCCGTGTTGGGATTTGGGACTTGGGACCTGGGAGGATCAGTGATGGCCCCTCCTCCCCCTGTTCCCGCCTTGCAGGTTACATGCAGTGGCGCTAGCGTGGAGTTCTGCCGAGTACCTTAGGAAAGCAAGCTTGATTTCGTGTCGTTTGCGACTCTGCGAGGAACAAATGCCGCTGAGACTGGGACCGACTGGGAAGAATGTCACTCTGCGAGAGTCCAGAACTCGGAACGGTATCCAGCACGGCTCCAGCAGAAGACGGGTCAGATCATGGCGCGCCGGGAAGAAGCTGCCAAGAAAACGAACAGTATCCTTGGTGTGGTGCGTACAGGGCCACTGATAAACAAGCATACGGGCTGGCTACCCATTTCATATTGCAGGGTGCCGTGGCGTGCGTTAGCGGCCAAACGGAGATGGAAAGATGAAACGGATGGGCGGCGCCCGGAGCGGGGCATTTAGTCGCCGCCAGCCCTTCACCCTTCTTCTCGGGGAATTAAACCGTAGGATTTCCGTTTGGTGGTGTGGTGGTGTGTGAGTGTTGCGATTGGGAACCGTAAGGTTGCAGTCGCAGTGAGGAAGGTGGTGAGGATAAAAAAGAACGATAAACAAGATCGACGCAGCACGGCTCGGCCTGGCGAATAGACGCAGACGCGCGTGTTTCGCAACGTTTGTTTTTAGGGTTGTAATAGTTGGGATGAATAACGGACGATGCATTTTGTCTGATGTAATGTTTCCCTCCCCCTTGCACGTGCGTACAGATAAACAGCGGCAGGTAGGTATGCTGAAGCCAGGCAGGCAGGCACCGGGCATGGGACGAAATCCCGCACCTTCCTTCCCTTCACCTTCAGCCTTGGGGTCCTTCTCCAATTAACAACTCTCCAAATTCTCTCACATTCGATACCGCCCAGAAGCAGATGATCGTCTAGACTGCGCCGGTAGCTGCAGACGGGATGCACGACGCTAGAATTCTTGAATGCCCCGATGGAAGAGGCTGAAGCGGCGTTTGACTTCCCTTCCCCTTCCAATCCCATTCTCATTCCCATTGTGCCGCCCGTCCACGGTCCTTGCACAATCGGACGTCGATCCCTGGAAGCTTGTCCCAGCAATATCGAAACCGAAATGACAGATTCGGAGCGGGTCATTGACGATTGATTTTCCAAGGAACACAAAAGAAAAACACCGGAGCAACGCACGCGTCCTCCCAGGGAAGAAGTCTGAAGACCCCAACCCGACGGGACCAACGGGATGGGTGAGGTCGTCTCCCGTCTGCTTGGCTTCGCTTGGCCAACATTTGATGACGCCGTCGCGACCAAGGGGCGCCCCCAACGGCTGTAACCTATTGTTGGTTTGGTCGTGACATGACACTGGCATTCTGCAAGGGTGCGTGGCTGGGCGGAATTCCGTCGGCGGGAGGGAGGCGCCTTCGAGAAAATAGGCTGAAGTCGGAGAAAAGGGGACGACAAGCGAGGCAAGACACTGGCAATCAACTCCTGACTTTTGGCTGACGCCTGACGGCTGATTGTTCATGGCTGACCTTCCTTCCCGCCAGAGACACACCACCACGCTACGAATATTCCAGGCAGGCAGGAATAGCAAGTGGAGGGTAAGCTTATTCATAGTACGTTACGGTTACGGTACCTATTCAGGGGCGACGTCGGAAACAAAACAACGCAAGCACAGCGGCAAAACATCGCTCTCTCTATCATTCTCTAACACACTTAAGCAACTTAAGCCCTTAAGCTTGACTTTTCAGTGTACCCAAAACCGGGTCCGGCCCCAAAAGAAAACCGGACGAGAAACAAACCAAGCCAAAACATTCGACAGACCCCCAGCCTTTCCATGGTACTGGGCCTTTTCGAAAAGCACTCAGCGGACTCCTTGCTGGCGGACCGAGAAAAAAAAGGACTCGAATCGTGAACGCCTTGCTGCATTGGACACACGATGCGCAGCGCTTCGTTCCCTGCCTCTCCCAAGACGCCTTGCTGGACGCCATCCCGATTGGCAGCTAAAGCCACCGCAGCCGCCGCCCTCCCTGCTTAACGTACCCGGCTGCAGTCTGCACCGCAGCTTCTCCCTCCCCCACAACCTCCAACATCATCAGCCGCGCGCCCAGAGGTACCTCGCCCTGAACCCCTGAGCCGGATTTCAGATCAACGAGTCAAACAAGCAACCATTGGTCTCACTGCCTCCTGACAGATCTTCTTCTTTTTCTGTTAAGCGCAGAACAGATCTTTCTTCCCAAAAAAGTGTATCCGTACCAAAGTTGCAACCCAACCTCGCCCCCACAGCGGACACGGCTCGTACGAAATTCGATTCAAATCTCATCTGAAGAGAGGGAAAAAAAAAGGGGTGGAACCTTTCATCTGGGAACTCCGGGTCTCCCGTCCACTTCGCCGCATCGGCTCCCACTTCTCGCTCACTCACGACCTGCTCCGATTTGTTCGTCCCGTTGATTACCCAGTTGCCTACTGGAGGGAGAGCTGGTGGCCCATGCCACTGTTTTGTTTATCGCGCAGTTCCAGTCTGCGGCGGTTCGTTTGCCCACTTTCGCAAACCATGATCCATACCTCTCGCCCATGATCATATCACAGCAACAATCAAAACGACCTCTCATTATTCGTCCAGCGCTCTGACTACTCACTCTACTGTAATTGCCTACGCACTCCTACCCGCTGCGCTGTAAAAGTCCGCTTCAAAGCGATTGTCCACGCACAGCAACACAGCAACACAACGCTCACGCAAGCAAACAAAGGTGGTGAAACTCATTGACTCGGGCACTCGCCGAACCACAGTGCAGTACCCATTCACGACTCACCCATACCGGTTTCCAGCCGCAGCAAAGCGGCTGTGTGTCACCCTCATTACTCGGTCTTCCCGGCCAGATCGTCTCAGACACTGGAAACCCTGGGGTACGGTAGAGGCAAGACAGCAAACGAGACGAGACATGCAATCTATCGAAGCGAATAGTGAACTAGTGACCTGCCGACCAAAGTCCCTACGCAAAATAACTAAACGTGCGAGGCTCCCTCGGTCTTAGCAAAAAGGGACAAGCCGTCAACTGCAGCCAAGTAGATGACGTACGTCATGTCGTGGAACGTCTGTTGGGGAAGACACATAGGCGCATGGGTAGTTAAGTAAACAGACGTGATGTGAGAGGGGAGAGGTTTCTCATGATTCAGACCGCGGGTCCGGGCAGGATACGCAGGGAAAGCAGACGACTGAATGAAGAGAGTCGTCGTCGTCAACGACTCCTCCCGTCCAACGTCTCCCTCGTCTCTGCGCCGATCTCTTTCGTAGAGACAAAAGAACCCGCGGAACTCTACAACAGAGCTAACATTACATCCCACCAAGTCTATGCAAAACAAGCTTTACAAGATGACAGCCTCATCAAACATCAACATCGCTTCCTCCTCGTGCGGTCTTTGGGCCAAGAGAGTTTTTGTACATGCGTGTGTCTTCAGTTGGGGGTTGGTTTGATAAGTTATTTCCTTTTGATACAGATAGGTTGGTTTGGTTATTGTACACGCCAAGAAGTCGTTGGAAACTCGTGGGGTATCGTTCATGTTTTTGGAGGGATGGATTCTTTAGATTTTTGTTACAAGGTTTTTTTCTTCATCAACGGTCATTTGCCTATTTCTCGCTGATCTTGGCGAGGATCCTGTTGCACGGTGTTGTCAGTCCATCTGGTTCATGCAGAAACGTCCCGGACCGCCGCCACTGCCGCAGCTCACGGCGTCCATGTGCGGGGCATCGTGATCTGGTCTGAGGGCCCGGGGAGGGAGAGGGAGAAGTTGACTTACTCGCTGTCGCGGAAGAGGTGGTACTCCTCCTCGCCGACCTTGACGGGGGAACCGCCAAACTGCAGATTTTCGTCAGCCATTGTCGCAAGCAGATCAACTCAAAAGCAATCGTCATCTCGTCATCCCCTCCAGTGACACATTGCGGGGGAAGAGCACGTCACAGGATATGCGATCACACCCTGCACTGCACCGTCCCGCAACATGCATCAAGACGAGGGGAAGACTGCCGATGCCCACACGGTTGAAAGTAAGGACATATGACATACCTGGGGGATCAGGACGCGGTCGCCCTGGTTGACGCCCATGGGTAGTCTGTTGCCCTTCTTGTCGAGGGCGCCGGGGCCGACGGCGAGGACCTTGGCCTCGTTGAGCTTCTCGACGCTGGACTCGGGCAGGAAGATGCCGCTGGCGGTCTTGGTCTCGGCCTTGACGCGCTGGACGAGGACGCGGTCCAGGAGGGGGACGAGGGAGCGGATGGAGCGGACGGAGGTGGCCTGTCAACAGCAGAGAGAGAGACACGTTAGCCATCTGTGATGTTGTGTGGGTATTCAATTGTTGTCCAGTTGCGTCCGACTCAGCAGCAGCAGCAGCAGCAGCAGCAGACCGCCGGAGTCTCGGATGCGGAGGAACCAAGCTGGATGCGGGCGTCGTTTTGCCCTGTCCGCAGTGATGGAGGGATTCATACCATTGTGACTGTTGAATTGTTCGAGACTGAAGCGCAATTGCAACGTGAAGTGATGTGTGGGTGACGATCGACGGAGGAATTGGAGACGGGTACGGGGACGAACTTTAAGCCTTGAAGCTATTCCAAGAGCTTCCAGAATGTCAACAATTTTTTGGGCCGATCGGCCAAAATATTTCCCGATGCCCCCACCACGTCGGGCCGAGGAACCACGGCACATTCCGATCTCGCAAACCCGGACGGCATTCGCGATAGTGAGCCCGGTAAGCCACGAGATAAACACGGCGAAATGGAACAGAGCAAGGCGAAACGTCTTGCACCAACTAGTATTATCTACCTATCTAATATTCATCTGAACGATACAAGCCCGTAGAGGAGCCGCTGGAGCATCTACACTTTCCTGAAGGCAAACACCTAAACCACCCAGGCTCTAAAGAAGATAGTCATCGCTGTGTCGTCACCCTCAAGGCGCTTATGCCATGCCGATTCTCACCCTCCACCGGATCCCAGTCCCAAACCTCTTTCCTTGATATCCTAAAACGCCTGGATAAACATGCAATTTCGAGTCAGTCGGCCGACTAATACTTCGTCTACTTCTGAGGCTGCGGCGGTTCAAGAGTGTGAACATGATCCTCCGCGTGAATGACACGACCTGGCTCGGGCTGTTGGCAAATAACAGTATTCGCTACCCAAGGCTCCTCCAGAATCTCCTGCATCGTCGCCCGCTGCTTCACTTTGATTTCAAGCATACGCCCAATGATGTGTCTGCTCTCTCTAGGAAGCAGCCGCAAGATGCGCCAGGGACCCCGGATCACTTCCTTCTTTTCAGGTTGTTGCTGGCCGTCGGTGCGGCCCGAAGAGATTGTCGTCGTCGTCGTGCCTTGAGGCGCTTGTCCTTCGCTTTCTTTTTGTTCCGACTTCTCCGACTTCTGGTGCTGCTTGTTTTCATGCTTGCCATCCTCAAACATATCCCGTTGTGGTGTGCTTGTGAGATCATTGGTTGACTTAGACGGCATGATCAGCTTCTTCGGGTCGTGCCCCGGAGTTGGCTCCGCCGCAAATAACTTGAAGGAGTTGTCCGTCATACGAGGGACTTTCCAGGGGAACCTTCGCAGGGTCATACAGCAGTAGATAATGGCGAGTGACCAGATGTCAACCGCCTGAGGGTCGTACTTTCGCTCATCGTAGACCTCAGGGGCCAAATACGGATCAGAACCCACAATGCCTGCTTATAGTCAGCCCATGTGTCATAGTTCGCAGATTGAAATACTGACCTGAAGCGAGCACGATATCGCTCTCAAATGGGTAACTGAAGACATGAGCGCTCCCAAAGTCGATGATCTTCATGATGCCATGCTCACTGACAACGACGTTGTCAAGCTTCAAATCCCGGTGAGCAAGACCCATGCTGTGCAGATATGTCACTCCGTTGAGAATCTGTAGGAAGCAGCATCCAACCTCCTCCCGGGTCATCTTGCCAGTCATGACACATGCAAAGAGATCGTAAGGAGCGTACTCCATGACCTCATACCACTTGCCCTTCTCCTGAAGAATGTCCAGCGTCTCAATGACATTGCCGTGGTGAAGAGTGGATCCGACGCAGAACTCAGCCGTCAACTTCTTGACGTACTCCTTTTCGGTCTCATACGAATGTCTCGGGCGGAACTCCTTGACGGCAAACACAACACCATCTTCGCTTCGCTTCATCAACCTCACAGATCCACCAGCACCGGAGCCTAGCACCCTGCCAAGCTTTCCGTACTTCGAAGTTAGGCCGTGATCATCACCAAATGGAAGCTGATGTGATGAGGATTTCGCTGGTGGGGTCTTGGCACCGGAACGAACTGACGACGGCGAAGCTTCCCGCTTCATCTTGTGGTGACCGCCGACCTTGAAGAAGCGCTTCAGGTCCGCAAACGAGCCCGGTCGGCTAGAAATACTCGCCGCGTCGTCGTGAGGAACCTGAAGCTCATCTCCATGCCCCTTCAGGTTACCCAAAAGACCGGAGTGACGTTTCTCAGAGGCACGGCCCAGACTAGAGGTTGAACCTGAGGGAGATCCATGCTTGTTCTTCCTCCTAGAGAAGACAAATCTCGAGTCAATGGCACCTTTCTGGGGATTCGGGGCTAGCGGTTGACGCTTGTGGGCAGCGTATGGGTCGTTGGCGTCTCCCCCAGGAGTCATTGGCTTGGAGTAGTACATTGAAGCCCGGGACGGACTAGATTCTCGAGAGACAGGTACGGATCCGCCGGGCCCGATGGAGAACATGCCCTTCCTGTGCGACCTCGTGTCGTGATCCCTATCTTCGGCGGAAGCTGACCTCTGAGCAACGTGCTCGCTGGACTTGGCTCGGACGGGCAGGGCCTTTCTCGTTGATGAGGGCGGCGAGGGGTCGTGGGAGGACGAAGCCTGCGGGGTAATAACCTGGGGCTCGCTCGAGGGAAGCTTCTTGTCGTCGTCATTTTCCGCAGCCTTCTTGGCCGGATCCTGGGGGTCGGTACCCGCCGGGGTCAGGGGAGGTGACTGCATCGGGTGCATCGGACCAAAACGCGGCGATTTCGGACCACTGGAATTCGGGGTCGGCAATCTGCTGTTGTCGGATTCGTCTTCTCGGGAACAGACCTGATCAAAGGGGAGATGTCAGTGAGTGTCGGTTTTGCAGGTTGGCGTGTGCGACGCGGTTGACATGACAAGTTGTGATACCTGGTGTAAGCAGCAAACGGGTCGACAGAACCTCCGCTTAGAGGCGCCATTGGGACCATGAGCAGACGGTTGTGCAATAGACGATATGTCCGGGGAGAAGGGGCCTAAACATTGAGGCGGTGTTTGGTGGGAAAGACAGAGGGGAAAGTCAGGTAGGAAGGTGCTTTGAAACGCAGGGTATACGGGGCGGAAGCCCAAGCAAAAAGCAAGCGACGTCAAGAGGCCCAGGTGCTAAGCATAAAGAGGATTTGATGGGCATAACAGGTACATACGCGTGATGCAGGCAGCGAGTATGGCTCATAGCCGCCGACGACATTCATCCGACGCTTCTGCAACGGTGCTCCTTGAAGGGATTGTGAGAGGGCTCTAATGTCGTCAGGCGTCACCTCTGCGATGGAGTGTTCTCCGGTAGCGGCATCGGTGGGGGAGTGTGTTTCGGTCGGTGATGTCGTGGTGACGGTAGGTGTGATCTCTTCGACGGAAGAAGCGAAGCGGACGGCGGGCGCATCCTGAGGGGGCATCTTGGAGTCTTTGTCGGCATCGGACGTGTTGTGCTCTTCGCGGGTGATTTCTAGGCATTACGAAAAGCGCAGCGGTCAGCAACGAGATTCGGCTGGGCATATGCGCTCTGGGCTTTGAACGAGGGTAAGGGTGGGTGAGAGAGTATGCGGGCGGGCTGCGCTGGCTGGGAGTGTTTGGCTGTGTGTGACTGTGACATGCGCAACAGACGAACCGAGGGCGGGGTTGCGCGCGCCGGAACAGACGGAAGGGTAAGTAGAGCGGTTTGTACCTGGGAGTTGTTGAACGTCCTTTTGAGGATCGCGAGGGGTAGACGGGGTAGCCATGGCCCCGACAGACTGGATGACGATGTTGATGTCGGTCGAGGCGCGTATAAAAGAATATAGATTTGGTGTTTGAGGCGGGGGAGAAGAGCAAGTGGGAAGGGAAATCGAACAAATTCACACAAAGTCGGGCTTGAGAAAGAGAAAAGTACGGATACCCAGGACAAGGCGTGGGAGGACAGGAGGACGCAGTGCGTGCAGTGTGGATGCCACCAATTGCGGATGGTGGGGCCTCGACTCTACCTTCCAGCTAGAATGCAGCTTGTGACTTGTGACTTCCCGGGAAGAGGTAGGTACCTTCTCTTACTCTGTATCCGTCCCTTAAGCGTTTAAACACATGGTCTGTGAAGCAGAGATGAGGTACTTTCCTACTAATCTTAACAGACATTAGAAGCTCTTAGTGCGTGATGTGTACTGCCTTGGGTATCGTGACGATCTAATACGCAGGAAGTGCTTACGGGTCCTTGATGTTGCCCGTCAACCCGCCGCCAGTAAGAGCAAGACGCAGCGAAAGAAGAGAAAAGGATAAAAGCTGACTGGTCAGTCCGATTGTCCCTTATCGGGGAAGCGGTGGACGGGATAAGACACGGTGACACCGGAATGGAGCCTTGGGACCTTTTTGGGGCTGTTCTCTGGTGTCTGGGACATTTGGCACCGGGGAAGAAGTCGGGAGTCGGCTTGAGACCGCCTGTAAGACGGGATCGATACTTGGCAGCCCCCCCAAAAAGGACAAAAAGTCATGGATGCATTGCGCGTATCTGCATCAGAACCCGGGCGGAAGTTGCGAAAGGCGGCAAGGCCCTCTACTGCCCTTGTCTTTCTGCCAGCCTGCCAGCTTCTTCCTGCCTGTCCCTGCGGTGATCGGAATGTTCTATTTTTCCAACTCGGCTCTAGAATTGTCCATTTGTCCATTCATGGCCAAGATCTCCCCCGAGCCTCTCACCATCAGGCGGCGCGGTCAGGGATTTCTCTCGGCTTTGCATCCGTGACAAATGCAACCACAACCGAACAAAACTGTTGGTCACCTTTTGACACTTTTTTTTTACGAATCTCACAGGAACTGACTCTTGGTACTGCAAACCAGGTCCGGGCTGTTTGCTTTCTCGGTCCGTCCCACAGATGATGACTCCAACTGGAAAATATTTTCTCTTTCCTCGCCTCCAGCTCCCGACGTGACTGTGTACTCCCGCGTGCGGCGTACCTGACCGAACACCACATAATATTGCCAGCCATATTATTTGGCAATGCGTCTTTTCCCTGCGCCCGGGATGAACGAGTCAAGCTCGTCGGGAAAACAAACAAAGCCAATCCCAAACCGCCGTCGCCCTCCTTCACAACAAACCAAAAGACGCGAACACACGTCCCATCTCCCGCCATTATCCCGTCATTCATCGGCTTACACGAGCCGTAAGGAGCAGCTCTCAGTCAGCTCTCGGCTAACAGACGATTTGTGGTTCTGATGAAATCATCGACAGGAACAGACGAGTCTCTTTTCTGCCCCCATACTGCATGTTAGGCCCGGCCATCACCTCGCATGCTTCCGTGCTACATACCGAGACGTACCGCAGTACCGCCGCAACTCTGGTTCCAGCCCGAGTCCAGCACAGTGGCGTACCTTTTGTCACTTGGTTTTGCGGCTGGCTTGCAGCATGAAAACGGCCAATGTTCCGTCACAACGCCGGCATCGAATCGGTTCCACCCTCGCAAAGCCCTGCGAGCAGCCTGTTGCAGATGACAGGTCGATGCTATGGAACCCGTTTGCTCCAGGCACAGCTTTCCAGGGGCAATGTGGGCATCAAGCAGCCAAGGAGAACAGCTTGCTGAAGCATTGCCAGGGCCTAGACCTGTCTCCTTGTCGCACCCAGCGGGGGAGCTGAAGAACTCAATGCTGAGTTCCGGGAACTCTGAGGTAGAGACGTACGGAGTAGACATTGCTGATGTCGTCCTTGCTCCTCTTACATGACCGTCAGCACCGCCATACGTCAGCACGTCAACAACTGCTACTGGACCAACTAAAAGATGCGATCTCGATTACGAAGCTTTCGGCATGCTCTAAATCAGAGACGCTCCACTGGTGTGCTGGCGTTGACGCTTGCATCCTGATTCTGGACCGCTGATCCAACTGCTCACCGAAGTAAAGCTCAGCACATTGAGAGTTCTCAACGTTAGACTCTAACCAATCCGCCCTCCGCCTTATGTCTTCCAGACCGTCTACTTGCAGCTTGACTTTCGTCATAGTTTATTCCGTCTCCTGTCAACCTCTGCGATTTTGAGCTATCCCACATGCCGCTAGCTGTTTCCATCGCCCACGGACTGTTGACCATTCACACGCAGTGGGGATACTGGGCAGAATCCAGGAACGGACTTCCCTTCCACAATACGGGACAATTCTTTTCAACGACGCTGCCTAGTTGGTGCATCTAGACACGCGCACTGATCCTGCAGCCTCCTTTCTAGGTCTCAAATATGCCACGAAACCACGCGACACCAGTGTGTGAAGCTTTTCCCAACGTTCTGCAGTACAGCTTGGCAGTGAAATTTTGTCTTTTCATCGTACAACGCCTCCGGCTGCTAATTCAACCCCGATCTACCTCCGATATAGTACAACAACAAAGGCGCTTTTTTCGTAGAGGGAGATGGTATACAAGTGGATACTATCCGCGCCTGACTCCGTTCTTGATGTAGGTGTGTCATGTAGAAAATTGTTTATGTTGACGGTTGTGACCAGTGAGGGCTTCATGGTACGACGGCGACGCCAATCGACTTGGCTTGGAAGATAATGGACCGGCAGAGGGCCTCAAGGCTGAGGCCGGACAGCCGCGTCTCGGACTGCTTGATTTTGGCGATCTCGTAGACGTGCTTCAAGCTGACGGTGCCGACCGTCTCTTTCCCGGGGCTCGCTGCGCCCTTCCTCTTTCCCTTCTTGCCGGTAGGCGCCTCCGCCGCGTTGAGGAGAAGCCATGATGTGTGCGGCGTGCGGATGTCGAAGTGGAATGATCGGTCGCCGCGCACCGTGACTCGGCAGGGCATCGGCGTGCCGACGATGATGTTTTGTGTCCTTGCATTGAACTCCTACAGACGAAGCGGCCCGTTAGCATTGATGTCTACCATGGCATGACCGAACGAACGACTCCTTTGGAAGACAAAAAGGAACGAGAGCACGGTTGTTGGGCAGAAGGTGGCCATGTGTTCGTCGCAGCATTGGGATCGAGAGCGAAGCAGCCTCACCTTGCAAAAGTCCATCGACTTCACACCCTTGCTACCCAGCGCGGGACCGACTGGCGGACTGGGACTCGCCTGGCCGGCGCCCACGATGAGCTTCACGACCTGGTCGGCAACGGCCGCTCCTCGCTTCGACATGATGGGCGGATGTGGTGAGTTCGTTGACGGTTCGGGGTGGTAATTGATCGTATGCGCCGCGCGAAAACCGCTTTCCCATCGACTGGCCAGCCGAATCAGACTGAACGCTGCTGCATGTTCGGAGCTGGAAAATTTAGGAGCCTTATGCACTAGCCACCGCTAGAGGTCCAAGCGACCGGGATGCTCGGGGGAAAGCAAGCTCCACTCAGCTCCCCCTAGCCACAGTTTCACCGTCATTGGGTGGTGGGATGACCCCTCCGCCCCTCCGCCAGTTGTTGTTTGGGGCGGTCAGCTCCAATCTTAACTTCCAACTCTCTGGACTGGGGTTTTTCTTCCTCTTCCTTCATAATAACTCAACGAGAAGCTAAGTTGTTGTGTCCTGTCAAGACTTTGCTGCCTCAACCTCAGAATCGCCTATCCGAACCGCACCTGTACATCCTATCCGCCCTTCCCGTTTCCCCCCGCAGTCCGCCATCGCAAACATGTTCAAGTGGGCGCAACAGAAGTAAAGGAGCCCGCCCGCATTCTGAATGCCCATTCCCCCAAAGTCGCCAAGGCTAATCTTCAACCCTGAACAGGCTCGCCGATGTGGCGGGTACCCAAGAGCCCATCTACGGACCCACGGCCATCAAGTCCGTCGCCGAGGAGGCCAAGGAGACGACCTTCACCGAGCTCACCAAGAACGATCTGAAATGGATCGCCGCCGACTCGACCTCGGTCGAAACCCAGAGTTTCTACTTGATGGCTGATAGCGGACACCTCGGGCTGGCCCAGGTCATTTACAGTAACGTCGGGTACGTTGAACCGCCCCCACGCCCCGCGCGCGCGACGATGCACGTCATCGCCACCTCGACCCCAGCTAACCTCACCATCTCCAAACAGCGGTATTCGTACGACCTGCCAATTCAACGCCAAGATCTTCTACCCCGAGAACTCGAAGCCCACGCTTTGGGAGACCTCGCAACTCAACCACTATGAGATCAGCGAGGACCGATACTCCTTCTACGCCGATGACTGCGCCGTCGAGCTGTCCGAGGACGGCACCTACTACACGATCAAGAGCATGAACTCGGAGAACGCTCTGGTCAACCTCAAGGTCACCCGCATGTCGCCCGGCTTTCACGCTGGCAAGACCGGCAAGACACTCTTCGGCACCGACATGTCGAAGCCGTGGGGTACCATGCGCCACGCTTTCTGGCCGCGCTGCGAGGTGGAGGGCACCATGACCACCAAGGACGGGCCCGTCGACTTCAAGGGCAGAGGTTTCTACGTTTATGCGCTGCAGGGCATGAAGCCGCATCACGCCGCTGCCAAGTGGAACTTTGTCGACTTCCAGGGCCCCAACTACTCTGCCGTCATGATGGAGTACACCACCCCGCCCTCGTACGGCTCCACGACGGTCAGCGTTGGCGGTATCGCCAAGGACGGCGAGATGATCTACGGCGGCGTCACGCAGACCGCTAAGCACACCAAGTCCAAGAACGATAGCGTCAATGAGTGGCCCGAGCCCGAGGAGATCAAGTTCACCTGGGCCGGCAAGGACAAGGACGGCAAGGTGGTTGACGCCTCGATCGAGGGCGCCCTGGGCGAGAGGCTCGACAGAGTGGACGTCTTGGCCGAGGTTCCTGGCTTCGTCAAGAAGATAGTAGCGGGAACGGCCGGTACCAAGCCATACATCTACCAAGTGAGTGCTGCCAGACATACTTCCTTTGAACAACGCTGACAAGACATTAGTTCTGTCCGACAAAGAACAAGCTCACCCTGAAGCTCAAGATCGGAGACCAAGAGATCTCCGAAGAGGGACTGTGCTTCAGCGAAGCTACTTTCATTTCTGAATAGAGGCGGAAGAATAGGCGCTTTGGCAATCGCGGCCGCCGGACTGGTTAGGCGTTTAGATGGGACTCAGGTCACTCGTTCCTATTTGGTTACTTGTTCTATAAGACTGTTCTAATACAAATAAACCCTTTTTCCGCTTTCACTGTGGACTGGTCTCCCGTCTCGCTGGTGAATTGGTTGCCTGTGATGTAGCCACTACAAACTATCTCTTTCTAAAGTGTTGATACATGTCGCATGCTTGGAGCTCTAAGTTCTGATGAAACATGACGCAACGTGCCGACAACCTAGGCCTTGAATGCACAGTGCAAATATAAGACACTGTGCTCACACACTATGCCCCCTGGTGGGGGTGTTCTTTCCCGATAAGGCTGATAAGGAGGGACGCGCCGTCCTGCAGTCCCATTTCCCCACGCCAAACGGGTCTCAAGCCAACCGGCAGTCGCGACAACAACTTATTACTTCCCTGCCCATCAACATTTACACCCGACGAACCATCCGTCAACCCACCACGGGTAGTCAGGGCGTCTTCGTTCAACAAGTCGCACTTCTATCTGCCTCCCGTCGACACAATGCCTCCTGCCCAGCCTAGTCGCGGCGGTCCCAGTGCCGCCAAGAAGGGCACCGCGACGAAGATCCCATCAACCGGTGGAAAAGGCAAGGGCAAGACCGTGTTGCCCGGCGCAAAGCGTCGCAGGTAAGTTTTTCTCTCGATATTGTTTTCACCTCTCACTTGGTGTTGTTTGGCTTCTAACCCGGTGAACAGGAAGATTATGAAGGACACGATCCGCGGCATTAGTGAGTACCTCGGTCTCATTGGGAACCCCACGCGTGCCTGGGAATAGTGGCTAATGTTATTCTCATTCTAGCCAAGCCTGCAATTCGGTAAGTCTTACTTTCTTGTTTTGTTTGATCGTTTTCTTTTTTTATGTTTATCTCTATTCTCCTCGAGAGAGCTCACGAGCTCCTGCTCTAGGAGGTTTAGATGGGAAGGAGCGAGAAAGTGCTTGCCTCCTCCTACCTTACCATACTGCGTCCTATACCGACCTACTCCCCAGGATTTATACCCAACTAGACTATATTCCCGGTTTCACTTAGCTGAGAGAATTATTGTGCTGACTTTTCTACCTAGTCGTCTCGCTCGTCGTGGCGGCGTCAAACGTATCTCGGCCATGATCTACGACGAAGCCCGCGCTGCTCTGAAGGCTCGTCTTACCCAGGTATATACCTACTCATTCCCTTTATAAAAGAATTCGAGGGATTCGATTTGCTAACACCTTTTTCAAGATCCTGGGCGACTGCGTTGAGTACACTGAGTACCGCAATGCCAAAACGATTACCATCTACGAAGTGAGTCCCGATCATCTCCAACTCGCTCACTCACTAGCACTCTTGCCTCCACTACCCATGTCATGGAACGCGTACTGACAACAAGCCAGGTAATCCATTCTCTCCGCCGCATCGGAACCCCGATCTACGGTTTCGATCCCGACACGTACACCGACCCCAAGAACCGCAAGGGTGGCGCTAAGCACCACCGCGGCGACGACTGAAGAGACCTCGAGCCTCTTTCTTTCTTTACTTGGTCAACATCATTTGATCGACGGCATTATTTCGGTAACGCGGCGTTTGGCTTGGTGATTTGGTACCGCACGACACATACCTCGAGTGGATTTCAGGCAACGGCGACATAGCATCCGGTGGGCCTTGTTGTGGTTTTGAACGCGTCCCCCGAGACGTACACGGTCTGTTCTGCTTTTTGAACTGGGGAACTTGGGACTTGGATGGACGGTCTCTGATGGATTTTGGGAAGCAGGGGATGACTTCGTTTTGCGAAAAGAGTGGAGTGGGTTAAGCGTGTTTGGTGTGTTCTCATATCATGACAACACGACCTCACAGCGCTTGTATGGCGGAGGATGTAACATACTCGATCAGATCAGCTGTGAAGGGAAGAGCGTCAGAATGTGAGGACATGGTATTAGTGGTCCTTGGGACGGCAAGTTCACGGGCTGATGTACAAATGCAGGCCGAGAAGCGCAGTACATCTGGAGATTGTATTTCGACAGACAACGTGTGCTACTACAGCACTGGAGAAATCACATTACATGGCATCACACCATCATGACAAGCAATAGCAGACATTCATGTGATAAATCAAACGAAGGGATTATATTAGGCAGAGACGAGAGGCTCAGACATCCCGAGTCCTCCCCTCCTCTCCGCACATCCGGAGTGCCGTCGACGGAAGAGCTTCATCTCAAGAAGATCCTGGCCGATGACATCCGGTTACTATCTTGCTTTCTATATAGGTAAATCGCCATGATAAAAAAAACGAGGGGTATCCAAAAAGTTAAGGTTCGAAAAGAATTGAATGAGAAAATGACAATGAAGAGATACTGCGTCACCGTACATCGTTTGGTTTGCAGTTTCTGGGGGTATAGTTTCCACCTCTTTCCGTCCGTAGACAATACACGATTTCCTTCCGTCCCACACATACAAAATCCAATTTCTTTCAAGTTTAAATGGTAAAAAGATGGGTCAAACGACCAGAAGTGAAGTGAGCTAAGTGAAGGATGAGCAGGCCATCTTTCTTCACCTCTTCTTCTTGCTCATCTCCCTCTCGGCCAACACGCCGTCGAGCGTCTTGGCAGCCCACCTCTCCCTCTTCCGGAAGACGCCGTTGAAGAACTCGGGCAGGACCATCTGGCTGTTGGCGTGCTCCATGGCGAAGCCGACCTCAGCGTCGCGGCCGCAGCGCTCGCGGGTGATGCGGACGGCCTCGTGGAGGAGGTCGGTGCCGACGCCCTTGCCGCGGAAGCGCAGCCTGGTGGTCCAGGCGCGGATGAGGCCCTTGCCGCCGCGGAAGGAGGCCTTGTTGCGGCGGCGTCCCGTGGCGCCGGAGACGGCGACGGGGACGGGGGGTTCGAGGCGGAGGACGAGGGCGGCGATGATCTCGCCGCCGAAGCGGGTTCCCAGAACGAGGTCTTCCTCGGAGGGGGAGGTGGAGGTGGCGGAGGGCCGGAGGAAGGACCAGGAGACGGACTCCGCGAGGGGGATGTAGCCCGACGTCAGGTAGCGGATGCTCAGGAGGTAGGTCATGATGATGCCGGAGCAGAGGGTGAGGGTGGTGCCGAGGTCGCCGGTGGCGGGGGCGTAGGCGAACTGGTAGGCGGCGGCGAGGGCGAGGAGGAGGGCGGCGAGGGGCACCGGGTGGGTTACGAGGGCGAAGGAGGCGGATTGGCGTTGTTGGGCGATGGAGTCTGCGATGAGGTGCAGGGCGGCGGCCTTGTCGTCGCGGGAGGAGAGGATCTCGAGGGAGAGAGGCGGGATGTCGCCGTCGTCGACTGGGTCGAGGGATTGAGAGTTTGCGAGGGGGGAGGGGGAGGAGGGCCGGTGTTTGTGAGAGTGAGAGGAGGTGCGGGATGGTGGTGAGGCGCCGCCGAATGTGGGCTGGAGCACGGGGGTGCTCGGGTTTGAAGACATGGCTGAAGGGTTGAGGACCAGGTTTGCGCGGAGGAAGGTGAAGAAGGCTGCGATGTTTAGTTAGTTTTTGTAAGGTGTTGAGTGAGATGTGAGTTTGAGGGGATGAGAAAAATTTCAGATGAGATTGGAACTTTTATGTAGACGGGGTTCTGGATCCCGGCGTCGAGCCGAGGACCCGTGGCCGTTGTCTTCTTCGTGCCTCTTTTTCTGAAATATTGACTCCACACACCGAGCTAACAATCAGGCTATCATGAGAAGAACGCCGAAGGGGATGAGTTGACGATGCTTGGTTGAGACGTGGTGATGAGATGTAGTCAAAGCGAGATTCGCCAAGACGGGACGCTGAAGACGAATAGCCAAGGAATGAACGAATTGAAGCGAGACAAATAATTAAGAAAAAGAGCCTCAATTGAGAAAACGCAGAAAGGTGAAAGGAACCCTGTCTCTTCTTACCTGCGCTTGATTTGATGGCCGGGACGGCGTGGTTGAACGTGTTCAGCCCGTTGTGAGCGTGCCAGTTGCTCACATTGAGCTCCCGGATGCCCATGTGGTGAGGGGACTCCATCTTATTGGCTCGTTCCGTTTTACTGGGCGGGCAGCCTAACTACGCGTGCTTCCAAGTGGCGGCAGCTGGCGGCGGCGGCGGCATGCAAAAGGCGGCAGCCTCCAAGCCGAAGATGGATGCTGGTCTCGTGACGATGATGGAGTTCGACGTCTGGAAGAGGAGGACCCTTTTTTTTCTCGGTTGGTCCTTATGGTATGAGAGGGGCCGGGGACATGGATCGAAGGGGAAGTCTCGACTATATAGCCCTGCAGTTGCGAGTTGCCAAAGTCCTTTTTTTGCCTTTTAGGTCTTTTCTGCACTGCACTCTTTCTTGTCTGAGTTGGTTGGTGGGGGGGTGGTTGGCGGTAAACGGCGTTGGTTCTCGTGTGTATTGCGTGCGTTATGCCGTTGGTATTAAGTATCACCGGGTGAGGGTAAGGGTCCGTTGGTAAATTCCTTGCGGTACGGTCTCTTTTTTCTTCTTCTCTTGGTGTGTGATGTGTGTGGTTGGTCCTTGCCGGGGTGAGTGAGAACTGACTTGCACAGACAAGAAATCTTATCGCCCGCGCGCCCGTCGTCGGGGGACCCGTCCGAAGTGGCTGGACGGGGGAGGATGAAGAAGGTTTTTGGGTGGAAGACTGAGAGCAGAAGAAGCAAAGTGGGAACAAAAAGATTAAATAAGAGGAGATGTTCGTGTTTCCTCCTCTTAGCCAGCCCGATATGGGAGAGTGGGAAATGAAAAAAAGTGAAAGAAAAAAAAAACCAAGTCCAGGCTTGGGACCTAAGAAAAATCTGCAGAAAAAAGGAAATTTTTTGAAGAGTGGGTGGACTTTGGTTAAGTACCTCGCTCCGTCTCCGTGACGAAGGTCAAGGTCAGGCAGGCTGGAAGGTCCGGGGGAAGAGCAGCAGCAGATGTGGATTAAGGATGGGATGGGGGTGTTGATCAATGAATTTGGCGATGGGATGGGGTCGTGGTGGTGCGCGTGCGAATGGGAAGCTCCTTCAAACCAACGTCGAAACGGAGGCTAAGATGTTTTTGGAGGAGTCCTTTTTTTCTGTTCTTGTCTCGACATCTTTTTGCTTCTCAGCTTGGGGCCGGGGGGGCTGTCTTAAAAGAGGGACGACGAGCTCATGTCATGCGAGATAGGAAACTCGAGGGCTCAAAGATGAGAGCGTTGGTGGCTTGCTGCATCATGAGTTGAGCTAAGGCGAAAGGAGAGCGTTTCCTGTCCATATCGGGGCCGTATTATCATCATTCATCGGATCGACTGGCGAGTGATGTTGTGTTTGACCTCACTCTCTTGTCTATCTCTTGCGGTGTCGACGTCGGTCTTTGCAAGAGATACATGGACAAGCACACGGAACACAGCGCATTGCTCGGTACACTCACTAGTACCACGAATTGGCACGAGGGTTGGTTGCTGGGTCGCTGGTACAAGAGCTAAGAGCGTTAGCAGCAGAGAAAGAGAAAGAGAGAGGTCAAATCCGCACCCGCCATCTTTCCAGATTTCTGATAAGGGTCCACGGATCCCCAACGCGTGGACGGCAGCAGCAGCAACAGGAAAAGCAGGGCGCCTTTCTCGGGTTCTCACAGGTTCGCGATAAGGCGGGCCTGCCCATGGTCATGGATGGGTGTGCATCCCATGGCCCATGGCCCATGGCGCGGGTGGCCCGTTGCCAATCATCTTTCACTGAGAGGTGCGCAACATGTTTGATGGCGCGGGGCCCGCCGCCATGGCTTGTCAAGCCCAAACAAGACGAGCGTCTGCCAGCGTCTGGGAAGTTGGAACCAACGACAAGGTTGGTCTTGGCGGAGGTGTTCAGGATTGAAGGGTGGTGGGGGGACTGGATCATGGTTGCCCGTTGCTCCAGCTCCAGCTCCAGCTCCTTGGAGCTAACGGTGGGAGGGGTCCTTGTCAGTGTCAGTCCGTTGTCAAGGATCCAATCCAACCCGTTCCAATCCAACGCGACGTGATCCGATGCTGCATCATGGGTGTGACTGGCTCCGTTGGACTCTCGGCCCCGGCCAGGCCTTTTCAGCTGGCTGGATTGTGCCTCCCCCCTGCTGCGGGCATCTCCCTTTGGACGACCGGTGATCATTTTTCACTGTTGTTGCTAGGTTTCGTCAGTCGTTGTTGAAAAGACGGCCGAAGATGACGGTCAGATAATACACAACAGCGTCAAAGGTGTTACGAATACGTGCGTCGTACGGACACAGTCGTATCTCTCTCTGGTTATCAGAGTTCCCGAACGCCGACGATCGGTGTTGCGCACGGGGGTGACATCGGCGGAGGCTTATTCGATTTCTTGCGATTCTGCAAGATGCTGTGTCTCTGGCGTCACTTTCTTGGGTCGTACGTGGTAGGCCGTCCGCCCGTTGGGGTGTGGGCGGGATAGGGCGAAAAAAAACGTTGGAGTGGGATGGATGGTGGGATGGGTTGGGATGAGATGAATTGGCACGACGGCGCAGTGTCTTGGAACTGATAGCGAATAGGTACGCCCGGCAGACTGGCACGGCTGCTACGGCCGGACCGACGGTGATGGAGGAGGTGGTGGTGACCGTGAGATATCTGCCTCGGCGATGAGGATGTGAACGAGGAAGGCCCATCGATCGATTTGGCTTCCTTCATCAGTGTGACTGAGCTAGCTGCTTTCTGGAGGCGCCATACGCAAAGATTCTTGATTTCGGCATGGCGCTGATTCAGACAGAGGCTCTGCTGGCCATGTGCTTCGACTCTCCTCCACCTCGGTCTGGCATTTATCAAACCTAAGCCGGACGGCGTTTTCGGGGATGGCATCGGGGGACAAGGTTTACTGTATTTGAGACGATGACAGAATCTTCTTCGCAACGTGATGACGATGCTTTTTTGCGTCTGCCATCTCCACGCGCATCCCCAGACTGATGAGCCTTCTCTCTCTCCGGCACCATCCTTGCAGGCGTGAATGTGATATGTGTGACCGACCCGCGCCCGCCGCGAGAGCGGGACGATTTACTGCTCGTTGACGGGTACGGCGGGAAGTCTGGAGGAGAAGACGTTCGTGGTATCCGTTGATTGTCGGGATGCCCCACTAAGTGAATATGCGCGTGCCAAGTGCCGGCTCTTATCTATTCGCAAGATGCAACGCCACATGCAAGTCGACGTGATGATATCAATGCAGTTGTTTTTCTTGCATATTGTTGGGGCACGCGTTGTCGGTGAATGACCATCCTCTCAACGGCGCTCTGCCAGAAGTTCTCTTCCGGGAAGTATATTCGTAGTATGGTATTATTTGTTTGTTTTTAAGATTTTCTGGCGTTATTATTATTGGGTTTTGTAAATCCCACGCCGTTAGATCATCATGTAAATAGGGTCGTCCAATCTTTAAAACGCCGCTCATGCATTGGCAACCCGACTTTCAGACCACCGTTGTAGTGCGCGGAAGCAGCGTCGTCTCCCCAAACATCCAAGACTCAGTGACAACCCTGCACGTCTCCCCAGCCGGGCTTGAGAAGGCGCTGCCTCCGGGATACATCCCCGGCGGCAGCGAGAGCGTGCCGTTGATGACGGCGGAGGAAGTCGGGACCGCCGGGGTGTCGGTGGGGACCCCGGTTATGGGCCCCGTGAGCGTCGTCTCGAAGCTGCTGACGGTGCTGAACACGCTGCCGTCGGAGCCGGTGCTGACGATGGTCGTAGGGAGGGCTGTTACTCGTCCTGACACTTGTCCCGACGCTTGTCCCGACGTAATTCCCGCGCTTGCAGCAGACGTGCCTGTGGGCGGTAGCAGACCGCTGGGTATAACAGAGCCGCCCTGGCAGGTTGACGCTTTGGTGAAATGTTAGATTGTCACTTCCATATCACGGTCAAATGATATGTTCACGCACCTAAGACGGGGCCGAGTCGAATAGCGGCGCAGTTGGCCGGGTAAGCGATGGCCGGGTCGGCGAATGTGGCGTAGACCTGGCCCGTAGGGTCCTGGCAGAAGCCGGCCTGGCCGCCGAAGAAGGCGTCGTTCGACCACGTGAGGGCGCCGTTGTTGAGGCTGAAGGTGACGGTGATGCTGCCTTGCGGGGTGATCGGACGCAGGGCGATGAAGGGCGTGCCGGGGTTCGTCGAGAGCACCTGGCCATTGACTTCGAGCTGGCCGAAGTTGTTGAGGCTGAAGCTCGCCGCGTCGCCGCAGTTTGCGGTCGTCGTCGTGCCGGGATCTGTGTCGAGAAAGCCGCCGGTGACTTGTCGCTTTCGGTTGTGACCGGCCGGGATCGAGGGTAAAGGCGCGGCGCCGTTGCCGAGATCTGCGCGTTCAATGAGGCCGGATATGTCGCGGATAATTGCTGCTTGGGCGATGATCGGAAGGGATGCCACGGCAAAGGCGGCCGCTTTTTTGGTCCACACCATCTCTCTGACTTTTGTAATGTACGATCGACTCGACGATGCCTAAGGTATTCCTTAAACCAGTGCAATAAATATTCAGAGAAAGACGAACTTAGTCTAGAGTCGCATTTGAACTTGACGAGATCAAATCATTTCCGCCGTCTGGCCACCCCCAGGGCGGAAGAGGTTCCCATATAAGAGAAACGTTGAGCATGTGTTTATATTGCCATGGCAGACAGTTGGAATGCTGGAAATGAAGGCTGACACCCAACAGGGAGATTTCGACTAGCGGTCCAGAAGAGAAGCATTCCTAGACTGACGATGAGGAAACAAATCCCCAAACAGTAACACGTGCCTGAGAATTTCAGGTACGAAAAGATGAATCCTCGGCGAAGTCCCCAATGAACATCTGAGGAGCTGGATCTCAACTTGGTTAGTTGTGATCTGGACTATCCCGGGCTGTTCTGATGCAATACAAGATGAGTACAGGTAGATACCCAGTCAGGGACTCCAAAAGCCTTGATCAGCACAATAGTTCTCTATTTGTTAGTTCCGGCAGCGATGGTCTGACACATAACCGCCGTAGTTTTTGGTGAGCCACGCAGCGAGATGCACATCCGGAAATGGCTACCAAGACTCAGAAAACAGTCGTTCCTTTTCGGTAGTCGACGTTGGATGTACCCCGGCCCGAAAAGCGATCCCTTGACCCAAGCATTGATATTTCCAGCCCAGATATTGACGAGACCCAGTAAAGATGAGCTCACGGCATGAAGCCATGAAGCAAGCCATTTACAGACCAGACGTTCCTATCGTGGAGCGCTGACAGGGCTGTGACACGAAAGCAAGCTTCGCAAAAGCTGCTGATGGTACAGGGACTTTTATGCCATGCAGAGATAAGTGGTCACTGTCTTGAAAATACGGCGATGATGCCACAATATCTGTAGCACATCGCTGGCGAAATGTGGTCCTTTGATCTCAGAGCTGTGGAACTCGATGGAATTTTGAGCCTCAGCTCTGCCACGGCTGTGATGCACACGACGGTTGTTCGCGAACTGCCTCGGCGCCTCACGCAGTTTAGACGCTGCAGCCGGCGTTTACCTCCAAGAGGTTCAGCAGCTCCCAATGTTACTGACTCAAGAGACTAGGTAGGCGGAGGGCAACCTCAGTAGAACCATGTGTTGATGTTGGATTGTCGAATATCGGTTTATCGTGGCTCGAAAGTTGAAACCTCGTCGGCATTAGCCTAAGCTGGTTTGTGAAAGTTGCCGTTTTGGCATGCGAATTGCTGACGTACTTCTTCCAACGTTGCCCCAGCCATGGGTGAATCTGTAACGGACTTCTGCATGTTGGAATCCGCTAAAACAAAACCCCCGCACCGGACCAGCCCCTGATGGACGGTCTGGGCAGGCCAAGATTGTTTTGGAGGCCCTGGGATTGGCTTATGTTCGCCCCAAGCAGCTGGTTCGCGACATGCGAATATGGCATGACAAGCGAGCACTACGGCGGAATGGGTGATCGATAGATTGACATGGACCGCCGTAGCCGAACCTGGACCGCGGATGGAGTGCCTCGAAGTCTCCATAGAGTTGCATCTCGACTCAGCAATGCTTCGCCGTTTGGTAGTGAATTTGGCCCAGTCTCGACTTTCGAGATGCCTTGTTGGGTCGTGCCAGACTGCAGGAGGAATCCTTTAGCCCTGCGATACTGAAGTAAATGGGCGCACAAAGGCGTCGTCCCCGACGATCCGCCCACACGCCCGATATCTGAAACAGCGGGTAAGGAGGTTGCTGCAAGAACGCCGTGCCCCCGCCGAGATCGTCCCCGTACTACCGCCGTCTTTGTCTGTCTGGCCCGAACAGCGTCCACTCAGCGCTGCTTGTGCGAAGTAAAATGCTGTCGAAGGATGGATTCCAAGACACAACGTCGTCCCGAATAGGCCGGGAGTCCCATAACAGATCGTCGAAACGCCCTCGAGGGCGCCATTCGTAACGGAGTAACGACACCGCCTGACGCTGCCGTTGATATGCCTGGTTTTGCGGTCGAAGATTGGTCGGTCATGCCGCCCGGGAGTTGCTGCCGCCCCGAGTCATCGTGGGATAGACAGACGACTGGCGATAGGATTTTCACATGGGCTCTAACCCAAGCCGTCTGCTTTCCCAAGAGAGTTCGAATGACAGTCCAGACAGAATGTAGCTTCGGATGGCGTCGATCGCATGACCAGGTGTTGCCATGTTGGGGCGCGTTGATGTGTCAAGACAAACGAATGATGTACTCTGGTTGGCGATAACCAAGCGGTGAGTCGCTGGTGGTGGTCCGAATCGGTGCATAGAACACCACGAATTGGCTCGAGGATGAACTACTGCTGAGAGGCCGAGTTTGCGTGATTCCAAGGTAGAAGCTGTCGGCGGGAGCCTGAGATAGCATCGCAATTAGTCGCAAACGGCTTTTCGACATGCTGCCCTTCGTCTGGACTATTCGCTCCCCTTTGGTGGTGAAGAACGGACGACAGGTCGGTGTTGGCCGTCCCAAGGATCTGGCCTGAAGATCATGACCGGTAAATCCCTGGCTGGCAGATGGACGACGACCGTATCACATTCAAATGCCATCGATTCTGCATTCGATGAAAAAGTGTCGGGGCTGTTTTTCTTGACGTTGTCTGGTTTTTGCACATATTGAAGAGCTTCCTGCGGAGGGGCAGTGCGACAGTGTGGGTTTCCCGTCTTTAGCACAGTACGCGATGGCTTCCTTCTGTTTAGTGCTGGTTGCCGCCCTCTGGCTCTTAATGTCCTCTCCCCGCCGAGACCGGGTGCGTGTTGATATGGCAGCAGATATGAGCGTCGTCATATGGGTGAAGAAACCTATGCCTTGTCGTCATCTCGCTAATCTCCTAGTGCCAGTGTTTTCCAACGAGTTATTTTGACACGCAGGACGTGGCCTTCAGGATCTTGCAGTGTCATCGTCCTGGTTCGTCAAGATCACCATGCCATTTTATCCTGCACTCTCTCCATTGCAAGGTTTCTATTGCAAGGGCTCTGCCAAACGTCATCGGCGGCTTAGTTCGGTCTCGGCGAATCTCGTATTCAACGGCACGTTGGATTGTGCAAAGCCACAGTTACCCTGCCACGTTATTGAATCATGGTACGTCCCTAGCCCAGGACTCACCCATCTGCGGCGCAATAATCTGATTCTGGAGTCCTTCAGTACATCACATTATCCCGGCCGTGCTGGAATGGCGTTCTTCCACCTCTGTCGGCTCCCTCACCAATCATCCCAGGCTGTGTGTCCCTGAGGTAGAGATCAAGGCAGTTCTCGGACGTACACATGGCCCAGTACCTTAGCTCAATGTTCGACGCAGAAGCAGGACTTCCTTGAGCCTCCCTGCAAATGCAAAGGTGGCGGTCCGGCGACCAGTCATCGGCGGGAGACCATCGCAGCTCAGCTGGGCCGGGTTAGGCGGATTGGCTGTGTGCCTTGCCGGCGATTGGCGTGTGGCTTCGCAGGAATCGGGTCTGCAGATGTACGAGCCATTGCGAGACTTGCCTCGCTCACGCCTCGGCTTCCTGGAGAGTCCTACTTGGCTGTGGTAGGCCGAGCGGACGCCTCATGTCGCGTGAGATGCATCAGCGCGTGGCACTTCCCCCGTTTTGCTGGAATCGATAGGGGGGAAAAACGATACTTGTTCCAGCCAGTGATCTGGGCTTGGGAGGAACGTTGACGATTTGAAAGTGTATGAATCTAATGATGGTAATGAGCTCTCGGGACGTTCGTCCGCCGACGCCGCCGCCTGTTCGATTAGATACGTAGACGCAGGACCTGTCCTGCTTACATACTTCACCGCGTACCTTGGCGACTCTTACTCCCCCTCTCTGACCACCTCACACACAAACCCGCGCACAGCATCTGCCGGGGGAGACCACCTTTTTCAGCCAGTCCCGACCCGCAGCTCAAGTCCTAGGATTACTACCAAGTCCTGAATTCTAGGACAACCTTTTCTTGCCGGCTTCACCCCATCCTCAAGGTCAAATAAATCAAAAATGGGTGGCGGATTGGATTTCATTTGGTCAACCCATCGCTGACCGTTTTTCTCTTCGCGCTTGTCTTCCTCGAACTCAACCCGATTGTACCTGACCCTGAGGTACAGAAGGTAGTGGTATCGGGACGGACCATGGAGTCCAAGACGTCGCTGTCGCCCTTCGGGGATGACCGCCGTTCACTGAACCCGAGTCCCTCACCTTCAGCCCTACGAGCTCTCACTTCGTCCCGCCTGTCCCTCACCCGCAGCCGACCACGACGGGACTCATGCTCCACGAGTTCGACCTCTTTTTCGTCCACCCGTTCGTCCATCGACTCCACTACTTCTCCATCTTGCGTGTAAGTTTGTTTGTTTCTCGGTTCGCTCGAAGGTTTTTCGGCGTCATCCCTCACTGTGCGTGAGCTAATCATCATCATAGGACTCGTACCGTCTCTCCAGACCAATGTGCCCTTCACAGATTCATCGTCTGGGCCGCTGTCCAGCGCAACTCGTGCCAGAAGATGACCTCGACTGAGCGTCTCGAGTGTCCGCTTTTGCGCTGTCGACAGCGCTTTCCGAACCACGAGGCCATGCTCAAGCACTTGTACACCTGCGAACAGCTTTCCACTGGCGAGTACTGGTGTTATGACTGCGGCAAAGCAGAGAAGTTTACCGACGGAAAATGTAAACGATGTCTAGGCCACCCGGGTAAACGACGCAAAATCATGGCTGTTGCTAAGAACTTCTTTTCCTCCTTGGGTCAAAAGTCGAGGAATCAGCATGTCCCGGACCTTGGCATGGACAACGCGGTAATTCAACCACCGCCTAGCTACGATTCCATCCTCGTCCAGCCGCAGCAGGTTGAACTGTCCTCTTCGTCAGAAATCTTGGAGATCGATTCCGTGGAAGTACCACTCCGTCCACCGACGTCTGTCTTTGCCTCAACGAATGCCTTCGGCGACGAGGCGCCCAACCCCTTCGGAGTTCAGTCGACGGCACCGAATCAAACCGTTTCTGTGATGCCGGATCTCAATTTCGGTTGCGACTGGGGCACACACAACAATTTCGGCATGGTTGACATGACTAGAGGCGACAAACCATCTCTGTCCGTTGACACCTATGGTCTATCCCAATATCGCAAGCAGCACAAGCCTACAACGCGCACAAAGAACCTGTCGCCCAGTAATTCCCTTAGATCAAATGCCAGCACCGATACCACCGCTAGTTACCTTGTTTCGCCCGCCTCTGTCTTCAGCACCTGGACCAATGCTGATACCAACATCACGTCCCCTGCGCCGGGCAGCATAGGCTATGGCGGAAATCTATCCCGAGGTTGCTCAAATGCAAGCAACTACTCAAACGCAAGCCGGTATTCCAACAACCCGGCTCTGCCTTTGCATAACTTTATTTCAGAGCTACCGGCAGAAGATATCATGTCTCCCGTGCCGCAGACACTTCCGGACGATCTGGGCGGCGAGAAAGAGATGTTCTCTTTCGCGGCGTCAACATCCGCTGGCCCAGTGACGGATGCAGCTACAGTGGATCATGTGGAAGGGACGCAAGCTGCAGTTGAAGCAACAGAAACTTTCAAGCCAGCCTGCTCCATCGATGCCAACTCACTTGTCGCATCAGCATGGGACACGCTCAAGGCTCACGTCAGCTCATCAATGGAGAAACTACAACATCTTTCGCACAACCCGCTTGTAGCAGAACTCCAGTTGCTGTCACCACAGCAGATTGCTCACAGAGGCCTCGAGACACTGAGAGCGTTCCTCGACAGGAGTCAACCCATATCGACGATTGATACCCTTTGTTTCGTCCACGTCACTTATTCGCTTTCTCTGATCGTCCACGAGGATGATGCTTGCAGCCGTTCGACGCAGCTCTACGCTCAAGCCTGCCTTTACTCTCAACTGTTTGTTCCTAGGGAGAGGGAGACCTACCTCGAGGTGGCCTCTGCAATTTGGCAGCCTCTAGACTTTCCAATGGCCGAGTGCGACGATCTCTTGGACCGCCATGGGGCATTCTTCCATCCATCGTCCAGCCTCAAAGGCAAGGAAAGGGCACATCCCCTGAAAGCTCCAAGACGCGATGTTTTGGTGGATGTGGCACAATTTTTCCTTGACGGTATGTTTTCCTCAGGTAACCTGTGCGCTTATACTAATTTCGACTCTAGAGCTGGAGTTTAGGACTTTGTCAAACAAGGAAAGGGGCTCTATCGAAGTCCTTGGATCGAAGATGTGGAGTCAGCACTTCCAAGACGCTTCCGTACATATCAATCCCGTCTTCACGAAGACGGCGAATGCGTTTTCTAGCATGCTTTGGCAACAGCGTGCTCAATCAAACATTTTCGGATCGAAGATGAAGCGTTTCCAACATCGCATTAGCAACGGAAGCATCCGGACAGTGAGAAGAGCGGAACTGGAGCTCATGCAGGCCGGAAAGGTGAGGTCTACTCGCATTGATTACGAAGACAAAGTGCTGACTTTGCTATTAGGGATGCATGTCATCGGAAGACTACTTCGACAACTACGTGCTAGAAGTCAAGGAGAAGTTCACTGCTCACTGCGAACAAGCGATCCCTGGATCTGTATCGCGTAGAGAGTACCAGGTATATGGCATCGAGCTTATGCAAAAAGTCATCGACAATATTTGCAAAAAAGAGACGACTGCGTACCCCACGAAGACTTCGTCAGACGCGACAGGGGACGCCAGCCTCGACGAATTCATCAGAAGTCTGACGAATGATACACCGGCATTACCTGGCGACCTCCTGATCCAGGACGTCTCTGCGTTCAAGGCGCCGTTTCCCGACATTGCGGTTTCCGTGGACTTCGCCGGCCAGTCAAATGCCATGGAAGCTATGGTATCAATGTACAGCGGCAGCATAGATCAAGTAATGGATGTTGTGCAGCCCTTGCCGACACCGGACAACAGTACTGCGAACACGTCGCCTGACGCCCAGGCTACCCAGTCTGATTCTGGACCCGTCCACGCATATGACCGCTGCGACCTTTGCGATTATCGCCCGAGAGGTGATCCGCAGTGGTTCAAGGGCAGCATGGCGAAACACAAGAAGCTACAACACTCAACAGCGCCACCAAAGATATATCGCTGCCCGTACCCTGGTTGCACCAGCCAGTACAAGAACCGGCCAGATAACTTGAAGCAACACCAGCAAGACAAGGGCCACTTTGTTGACGGAGAGACTGAGCGGAGACCGAGCAAGAGGAAGAAGAGGGAGTGAATTCTTTGGGTTTTGTGGATTATTATTAGGGAGTTTATTGGATGGGAACAGGCGCACAAAGATACCACTTTTTGGCTATATCAGTCACCACGAAGCGAAGTTTTGGAAGGACCAGATTATGTTTCCTCTTATACTGTACTCTTAATAAGGCAGATAGCGATTCCTGCCACAGCGGGAGCCAGTCCCAGCTTTTTGAGGGACAGCAATTATTACCGATGAATTAATGTCAAATTCATTTCCTTCAACAAACACTAATAAATGATAATCTTGTTAGCCAAGGCCTGATTCTCACGAAAACATATCCACAAGCTTACACGTGATTCGGGTCCTGATAATTTGTTTTCGCGAACATGGCGTGAAGTGGCTGGGCTTGTCAATGCTGTCTTTTTGAGTTCGACTTTCTATGTGTTATGTTCTCGGTGTGCTCGGTGTGCGTCGGTGAAGGTTGCCAGGGATGGCCCCAGTGCCAGGCGGAACACTCCACTAAAAAAGCACCCGCGGAGCACAGACGGGCCACGCAGCAGCTTTCATTTTTGCAGGGCCCGGGGGCAAAGTAGGGCTGATTTGCGGGCTTCCAGGGGGAGCTTGGTGCTGTAGCGAACCGACGACTCGCTGAGGTGGCCTGGAGATGACGGAAAGATTCAGCGCTGGATGCTGCCTGGAACTGGCTTCGATTGACGCGTAGACGTTGTGGAGAGTAAGGAGTACCTGATATTGAGTGACGGGAGGCTTTCATTCTCGAAAGTGATTCTGTGGTTCCATTCAGGGTCCAAAGGGACTCGAAGGTTGAGCAGACGGCAAGGTGGACGGGATAGGCGTCGGAGGGAGGGGGCGTGTTCCCCCGAGAGAAGCTGGAAATGGAAGACGAAGGTGCCCTGGGGGCCTGGGGGCCGGTACCTGCAAGAGGTGGTACAAGCGCAACCTAAGCTCACCTCACCTCCCGTCACCTCACACTCAATGCCCGCCCATGAACACCTCAGCTGGAGCCCAGGAGTGCGGATAGAGAAAAAAGGGCATGCACAATTCTGGACGGGAGGAGTGTGAGTGTGAAGTGAGGACGGGACCTCGACCTCGACACCTCGACCGACACCTCGACAGCACCACCTGAAGAAGCCGTGCAGTGACTCGGCTTCGATGTTGTTTTTTACAGCCACACGCCTCTGTCCGGGTGGAGGACATCAATCAATCAGTCCATCAATCGGCTCGCGAGCTGTCAATTAAATGAGGGTGTTGAAGTCGCGACGTGACCTGTCATGTTTTTTTGAGCCTCGCGATAGCTTCATATTTTCGCAGTCTTGTGAAATCAAGGAAATGCAGAAGAGAGGCGCTTGCTTGCTTCGATCCGATAAATTTTCTCGTGTTCCCTTGAACGAAACACGTTGCTTGTTCTCCTGTGTCTGTTTTTATTTTTTATTTTCTTTCCCTGCTGAGGTGCGCGACGGCGACTGGACCGGGACGCGGTCAAAGACAGAAACCCGACGAGGGCAGACAGCCAACAATTGGGCAAAGAAGGGACCCGCTCCCTTGCCGATGACATCATTCGTCACCAGACATTGACCCCAAAGATCACGTGCTCGTCTCAGTCCAGTTCGCCAGCTGGCTGCTCTGGCTGGCTGGTCTAAACACGAAGAGGGAAGGGGGCGTCTCTCCCTTTTGACTTTCGAGTCCACCGTCCAGTGTCTCTGTCCAGTCCCCGTCCGTCCTTGTTTGCCGTCCTGTCCTGCCCCCGCCCCTTTTCCAGCCCAAACAACCCAAAGAGAAAAAGTGTGCTGTCCAAGGCTCACGCCATTAAAAAAGATTTTCCCGCTTGCCTTTTTAGCCTTTCTACAGGCAGCCTTAGGCGCAAGTGCATGTTCCCGGGGGCTTTTTGGCACCTGTGGCACTTTTCCCGGCGCTGGCTCTCAGGTCTCTCATCCCCTCTGCCGGCTCCCGTATCTGCCAGTCGGGCTGCCATTCTGCCTGAAGTGAGTGAAGGGTGAAGGCGACCCGTCTCCTCGCTCTGACCTGGACTCTCTGGCTTCCGCCCAAAATTTCTCACACACGTCCTCGTCCACGTCCCCCCTCCCCCCTCCCGCCCAGGTCTCTTCCATGTCCGCCGCCCTCTCTTCCTCGCACACCACCCTTCACCTCGCAGGTCTGCCTCTCCCCCTTCTTTTTTGTGCACACCTCCCAGAACCCACACACACTCCACGCCTCTCCCTCCCCCCATTATCGACACCCCCAGACCACATTCAAGGGTTCGTTTGTTGCATCCTTTCTCGCATCTCTGGGATTCGGGTTACGATAGCGGAGGCTTCGTAGATTTCGAGACTCGACGCCGACGCCGATACCGACCCCGATCAGCGACTTGAACCTCGACCGTCCGTCACGCCGTGACCGTGAATCGCCGCCGTTCGTCTTGCCCTTCGCGGGCGACTCGGTCCTCGCCCTCGCCCTCGCCCTCGCCCTCGCCCTCGCCCTCGCCCTCGCCCTCGCCCTTGCCCTCGCCCCCGACTCGTCCACACTCGATACCATCTCCTCCTCTATTCCTCCCATCCTCACCCCTTCGAGTCTCCTTCTCTTTGAGCCGGAGCCGCTTCACTCGACAGAATGTCGAGCCTGGGGCAGTCGGGTCCTAATAGCCATCCCGGCCTCGCCTTTCCCCAGCCAGGCATTCGACGCAGTCACGGCCCAGGCTTCCCGCCTCTACAACACGCGAACCCGTCCAACAAACCATCGCCCGGCCCTCACAACGCGTCTCCCTATCAACAACAAGCCTACACCCCTCAGCAGCCTCCCCAGGCCCAATACCCTCATCATCTCTTCCAAACCCAGACGCCTGTCAATGGCAACGTCAACGGCACCTCGCGTCCCCCGAGCCACGTCCCCAATGCCGCCGCCCTCGGACGCCAGAGGGGCCCTCCCTCGAGGCAGCAGATGCCCCAGCAGAGCGCGCCTTCCATGTTCCTGCCGCTGGGCCAGCAACAAAACCTCGGTCACCAGCAAAGCCTGAGCCAGCAGCAGGTTTTGGGACAGCCGCAGGGCCTCGGGGGCCAACAAGGCCTCGGAGGGCAACAAGGGCTTGGTCAGCAGCAGGGACTGGGTCAGCAACAAGGACTTGGTCAACAACAAGGTCTCGGCCAGCAGCAAGGCCTCGGTCAGCAGACGGGACTTGGGCAACAGAGTCTCGGTCAGCAGGCTGCTCTCAGTCAACAACAAGGCCTGGGACATCAACAGAGTCTTGGTCAACAGCAAGGACTCAGTCAGCCTCAAGGGCTTGGTCAGCAGCAGCAACAGCAGCATCAGCAGCACCAGCACCACAGCCAGCACCAACAACATCAGCAACACCAGCAACATCAACAGCACCAGCAGCATCAGCAACACCATCAACAACAGCAGCACCACCAACAGCAAAGTCTGAATCAGCTGAACCTGGGCCAACAGAGTTTGAGCCAGCAGAGTCTGAGCCAGCAAGCCTTGGGCCAGCAGAGCCCTCAGCAGCAGCAGACTCTCACCCAGCAACAGCAACAGAATCTCGCACAGCAGCAGCACCAACAGCAACAACAACAACAACAGCAGCAGCAGCAGCAGACACTGAGCCAACAACAAAAGCTGAGCCAACAGCAGAACCTGAGCCAGCAGCAACAGAACTTGAACCAGCAGCAGCAAATCAAGAACGAGCCGGTTATATCCCACCAGCCCCACCCCCAGGCTCAGCAAACGCTGTCACAGACAACGCCCAAGCCAGCAGTGCAACAGATTCCCCAGGTGCAGCAGGTCCAGCAGGTTCCGCAACAAGTTCAACAGGCCCAGCAGGTGCCCCAGGTCCCTCAGGTTCAGCAGGCTCAGCAGGTCCAGCAGCCTGCCCAACCTAGGCCTGAGACCCCGGCTCAAGCCAGCGAGCACCATGGAGACAGCATGGAGGTGGAAACCCTCGCTGAAGATGGTGACTCGCTGGAGCCCAAAATGGTTGATGGCGGGCCCTTCGTTCCCCGCCAGCCAATGGGCGAGATGATGTCCGCTCCTCCTGAGGGAGGCAGCTATCCAACGCTGGAGGCAGTTCATAAGAGCGTTCTGGCCTACTGCACGTCTGTCGGCTACGCGATTGTCATTGGGCGCTCCAAGAAGACCGTACCCGGTCTCAAGAAGGTCCTGTTTGTGTGCGACCGCGCGGGCAAGCCTCCCAGTCGCGTCAGCCCCGAGTTCCGCAAGAGAAAGACGTCGTCCCGCAAATGCGATTGCCAGTTTGGCTTCTTCGCTATCGAGCAGCGAACTCAATGGACGATTCGATACCGTCCTGATCCGCAGCACCTGTCGCACAATCACGGGCCGAGCGAAAGTCCCCTCCTCCACCCGGCCGCTCGCAAGCTGGACAGTAAGATGGTTGCCGCCGTCAAGCAGCTGAAGGACAGTGGTGAGCCGGCGAAGTCAACAACGAACGATAGAGCAGTCGCTGACTCTTCGACAGGGGTTAGTGTAAACGAGACACTGGAAATACTGCAAAACGAAAACCCTCACGTTCCTTTACTTCCTCGCGATATCTACAACGCCCGAGCGGCCATCAACCGCAATCCTCAAAAGGTTGCCACGGGCTTGGCCGAGAACCGACCGGCCATATACAGCAAGCCACACCCGACGGCAGAGGAACGAATCCGTGCAGACCTGCGAAAGGAGCTGGCCAAGGCTCGCGAAGATTTCGACAAGTACAAGGAAGAAAAGGAGAAGGAGATTGCCGGGCTGAAGAAGACTCTGGAGGAGAAGCAGCAGATCATTACGAGATTCGAGATGTTTATCGACATTTGCAATCAACGTGTCATGGTACAGCGGGAGATGCTCGGCGGGGAGACGACTGGTCCCGGTGCTCCGAGGTAACTAGGCCCCGTCGAAAAACTTCTGGTAACCAGATCAAGAGAAGGACGTTTGCATGGCGAGCCGGAATGGGTGTCAGGATTGTGTAAGGCTTGTACGATGCTTTCCTTATCAAAGCATGGTCGTTGGTCGTTCGGAGAGAAGGGCAGGAATGGGATCAGGTGTTTGACTTGGACGGAGTAGTTTGGTCTTGCTTTTTATTGGGGTCCCTTAGAGTTTGGGATCGCATGGTATCGGTTGTTCACTTTATGGACGCTGGGATGCATTGGGCGGATTTCAAGTAGCAGCAAACATTGCGAACATGACGGAAGCAAGCATTCAAAATTTTGCTTTTGGCAGGTGATGGCTTCTTGACGCGACAGTGACAGCGCGGCAGCCGTGATGTCTGACTGACCGTGCGCGCCAGAGCAGCATCTGACAGTTGAGAAGTGATACGAGGTGACGGGAGGCTGCGAAAAGTAAGGTGCCCTGATGTCAGGTAAGGTAGCAAGCAGATGGGCTCCTAGCAGCCGTCCGGCCCACGGGCAGTCCAAGTCGGCTGGTGGGGCCAGGCGCGCGCGGGCTGGCGGGACGCTGCAGCTCAAGCTACCAGGGGCCGCTGCTACTATAAACACGATTAATGGTAAATTTGGGGTTCGGGAGCGGGCGTTGGTGGCAGATTAAAGACGACCAGTTCGTTCGAGACTCAGTAGCTACCTATATACCATCGTCCAGTGCCTGTGTTCCCGTCACGTCCAAAAGCCGGAGACGGAAGACAGGAGCAGATGAGCCGTGTGCGTTGTCGAATTCCCGTCAAGGGATGTTGTCGATTATTACCTAAGGTGTGTGTCCAATGTCGAGAGCCAGTCAGAATACAGAGAATGAATGGAGCTCTCTGAGTTGTCAAAAATGTAGGGGATCACTAGCACGGTCAGCGCCCAAGCCGCGCAGATGCACTTGCAGATGCAGAATTCATGCTTTTCCAGGACACGCACGCTGTGTCTGAGCTCCTTTAGGGTACAGACACAGGACAAGAAGGAAAAAATAAGGGCAATATTGGCATTTCGGAGCTTTGATTTGGTGAGACGAAAGGGACGTGATGCCTCTGAATCTGATTCCCGATCCCCTGCTTTGGCCAAAATCGGCCAATCAAATAAGCCCCGCAATCCTCAGTGGAACACGGCTTCCCATTCGCCTTTAGTGGCCAACACCTCCTGACACATGCTGTCGCGACAAGGGTCCGACCTGGTCGCGTCAAAACTTGGGCTTCAGAAGAAGGTACCTCTCCGCCGTTTCCTCACTGCAGATGCACTCAGAGTACCTGAATCACTGCGTGTCTTCCCTGCCCACGACTGAATTAAGGCGAACGTGAAAGTGGGCCGTGGACAAGTCGACTTTCTGGGGGATCCAGAGGTTGAAAGTCAACACTGCAGAATACCTCCGGGGACCGTGCTAACTCACAGATACCTACCGACGCTTGAGGTTGCAGACGACAACTTTTGGCGCAGCCGCGAATAATCATCCACCTCACCAACAAGCACTGCGAGCTTTTTTTCGACTACCTTACCATAGACGATACCCCCAGAATCCACAAGGATCCCGTACCAACAAGCACGCTCCTTTAGCATCTTGTCTTCTTTTCTCTTTTCTTTCCTTGTCTCCCCGGTTCTCTTCACCGCGTTCAGCTTCGTTGATCCTGCGGCCGACAACGCTCTGCTCGCCCCTGAGGTCGCCTCTGACTCGACAGACACAGCTGTCTACCACCACCTTTTCCGTGCGACAGTCGTACCTACGATGATGCCGACTTCGTCTCTGTAAATACCATCTTCCCGTCCGAAAACACGTTTGCCGCCATGGAGGTGGCTTCACCCTCGATCCCGGGCGCCAACGGCGTCGCCTCGCCCACGTCCGACATCTCGATCGATCCCATCCGCGTCGTCGACCACATCACTCTGGCATGCAAGATAGCTCTCGGCGCCACCCCCGAGGAGCTCGAGAGCCCCGGCAGCTTGCTGCACAAGCATCGCTACTCCGATACCGTCCAGCGCTGCACCCGTTTCGCGACCGATACCCCGAACACCCTGTACATTCAGAAGGATATCCTACCCGCGTCCACGATACAGAATGGAGAGGACTCAAGTACGTCCCATCGCGAGCTTCTCGACGGTTTGAATCTCGCTAACCGCGTGAACACAGAGCCTCTGTCCTATACATACTCCCTGACTACCGAGATCTCCTCGTCCCCGACGACCGCGTCTGTCCTCGTCCTGCTGAAGCAGAGACCCGGCCCCATCGACCCCGTGCTCCCTCTTACCTCCCAGATACTTCTCACTAATCTCCCAGGCCCTGCTACTCTGAATGCCACCGCCGGCGAGCAGGGTCCTTCGACCTCGCCCTTTGAGATTCTGCACTCTTACGTTCACAATGCGCTGGCGCCGTACTTTGATGCCAATACCCGGAGCCAAATCACCAACGGTACTAGGGGCAGGGCCGACGTGGACTCCAAAACTGGTATTCCCGTCACCAAGAAGAGGTGGAACGATCTGGAGTTGAGCTTGCTTCACCTGCAGCAGAACGTCGAGATCCCCGAGGTCTCCCTCATGTTCCACACCATGGTCCAGAACGCGTTGGAGGAGGCCGATTCGCGACACTCCAAACCGACCCTCGACCTTATCCCGGGCGCTGTGCTCTCCGACAGTACTTTCCTCAACAGCTTGCAGAACAACGTGAACAGCTGGATCAAGTCTATTCAGGTCATCACGAGGATGACGCGCGACCCCGCGGACAACGCCAAGGACTTCAAGTTTACTGCCAGCCAGGAGGTCAACTTTTGGCTGTCGATGGAGTCTGCGCTGGAGGGAATCGAGGGACAGCTCCGCAGCGAAGGAGTTTTGTTGACGTTGGAGATTCTCAAGCACGCAAAGCGTTTCCAGGCGACTGTCAGTTTCACTGCCGATACTGGTCTGAAAGAGGCCATGGAGAAGGTCCAGAAGTACAACCAGCTCATGAGAGATTTCCCGCTCGACGAACTGCTCTCCGCCACGTCCTTGTCCAAGGTCAAGGATGCCATCGTGCAAATTTTCGGTCACTTGAACAGGAAGCTGAGAATCTGCCCCTATCCTATCCGTAGGGCATTACCACTTGTGGAGGCCATCTCTGGCGACTTGGACGAGGTTCTGCACAGACTGCTTCCGGGAACGGAGCTTGTCAACCTCGACTACAGCGAGTTTAAGGGAATCATGAAGTCTTGCGACGACATCTTCACGACTTGGGATGAGAGCATCAAGGAATTTACCAACGTGGCTCGTGAGGTCACGCGTCGCAGAAACGAAAAGTTCATTCCTATCAAGGTCAACCCGAAGCACGGCGAGCTCCAGGGCCGCCTGAAGTATGTTAGCACCTTTCGTGACAATCATGAGCAACTGCAGCGCACCATCGTCAACGTGCTCGGTCCCAAGGCTACCGTAAGCGGCCTCACCGAAACGACCAGCACCAACGGCGTCGTTGTCGTGGAGGAGATGGGCGATGTCGACGCCGTTGAGGAGGTCAAGCAGGCGTGGGAGGCACTCAAGAACGTGGATCTCCTCGACGTATCCTCCGAAGGCACGGAGAGATGGGCTAAGGCCGAGAACATGTACAACGAGCGGACTTCCCGAGTTGAGAACTCCATCATTGCGCGTCTCCGAGACCGACTGGCCACTGCAAAGAACGCCAACGAGATGTTCCGCGTCTTCTCCAAGTTCAACGCCCTTTTCGTGCGACCCAAGATTCGTGGTGCCATCGCCGAGTATCAGAACCAGCTCATGGAGCACGTCAAGCAAGCCATCCACGGCCTCCACGAGCGTTTCAAGCAGCAGTATGGCCACTCCGAGGCTCACGCCATGGCCCAGCTGCGTGACCTCCCGCCTGTTTCTGGTGCCATCATCTGGGCCCGACAGATCGAGCACCAGCTTGATAATTACATGAAGAAGGTTGAGGACGTTCTCGGTGTAGAGTGGGCAATTCACGCCGAGGGTCAAAAGCTCCAGAGCGAGAGCAATCTGTTCCGCAAAAAGCTTGACACACAAACGATTTACAAGGCTTGGCTCGACGATGTTCAGCGTCGCCAGATCTCCATCTCTGGCTTCCTCTTTGATATCCGGCGCATGCGATCAACAGGAGGTAACTACGAACTCCTGGTCAACTTCGACCCTCAAGTCATTACCCTGTTCAAGGAAACGCGGAACCTCATGTGGCAAAACTACGCCGTGCCCCATTCGATCAACAATGTGTCCAAGGATGCCAAACGTGTGTACCCCTTCGCTGTCAGTCTCATGGAAAGCGTCCGCACCTTTTCGCAGATCATGCGCCAAATCTCTGAGATGGGCGAAGAGGCAGTTCTTGTGTACGGATATAGGAATGATGTTTACGCGCTCGTGTCCAGAGGTGTCCCCCTCAGGTGGGAGTCTTTCGTCAACTCGCACGAGATCTTCTTCTCCACTAAGAACAACTCCGCTCTTCCCTCTGTCTCTGAGTTCGGACTGTCCAAGCCGTCGGAGAGCAAGCACAGCCTTTTCATCCGCGAGTTCGCTGCAGCAGTGTCCTTGCTGCAGGGAAAGACTGCGACACTGGCATCAATCCATGCGACCGTCGAAAAGGCCCTTGCCGAGCTCAACACATGCCCTTACGAGGCCACCGCCTTCACCTCGCGCTTGGAGACCATTCAGACAGCTGTTGACCAGCTTAACTTGGAGCAGTATGTCAATCTGCCCTACTGGGTTGAAAACATGAACCAAAAGCTCAAGGATGTGCTCCTGGCTCGTCTTCAAGACGCTATCCTCGCCTGGATTCAAGCCTTCGAGGACGAATACCTTGACGACGGCCGTCGGAAGCAAGTCACCGAGCACGGTGAGGAGCCCGCTTCTGAAGGACCGACGATCAAGCGCTTGGTTCATGAGTTGTCCATGCGAAACCAGGTGATCTACTTGGACCCTCCCCTGGAGTATGCTCGCTCCAGCTGGTTCGTCCAGTTGCATGACTGGCTCGGAATTGTTTGCAACCTGAAGAAGATCAAGGCCACTCGTTACCAGATGACCCTTACGACCACAACCCTGGACGAGCCCCGCTTCGACGATCTGCCCGGTGAATGCACTGATCTGCTCAGCCGCGTGTACGTCTCTGTTGAGAAGAAGATTGAGGAAGTCGGCACCTACGTCGACAAGTGGCTTCAGTTCCAGTCTCTGTGGGATCTCCAGTCAGAGCAGGTGTACGAGGCTCTTGGTGACCAGTTGGCCCGCTGGCTGCAGCTTCTCCAGGAAATCCGCAAAACTCGGCAGACATTCGACACTCAGGAAGTCAGCAGACAGTTTGGCCACACCACGATCGACTATGACCAGGTTCAGACCAAGGTCAACGCCAAGTACGATCAATGGCAACACGAAATCTTGATGAAGTTCGCTAGCAGACTCGGCAACCGCATGCGTGAAGTCCACGCTGAGATCGAGAAGGCCCGTCGTGACCTCGAGAGCCAAGGGTTGGATGCGTCGTCCACTGCCCAAGCCGTCCAGTTCATTACTGTCGTGCAGGCCTGCAGGCGCAATGTCAAGCTCTGGGCACCTGAGATTGACATGTTCAGACAGGGACAGTCCACTCTTGTGCGACAACGCTACCAATTCCCCAACGACTGGCTGCACATTGAACAGATCGACAGCTCTTGGGAGTCTTTGACCGAGATCCTTGAGAAGAAGTCCAAGATTGTCCAGGACCAGACCGATGCGCTCAAGTCCAAGATCATTGCAGAGGACAAGATCGTCAATGACAGAATTGCGGAGGTTGCTGTACAGTGGAATGACGAGAAGCCCGTTTCTGGCACTATCCAGCCCGACGTCGCGTCCGCTACGCTCAGCTCTTTCGAGAGCAGAATTTCCAAGCTGCAATCCGACTTCGAGATGGTCGCGAAGGCTAAGGAGGCTCTTGACATTCCTGCTACCCCCGACACCTCACTCGGTATTATCCTGGAGGAAGTTCAAGACTTCCAGTCCGTCTGGTCCAATCTGTCTACCATCTGGGCCAGCCTCAACGAGACGAGAGAGATTTTGTGGACGGCCGTTCAGCCGAGAAAGATCCGCTCCAAGATTGACGATCTTATCAAGAGCACTAAGGAAATGCCCAGTCGTATGCGTCAGTACGCTGCCTTCGAGCACGTCCAGACAATTCTTCGCGGTCTGCTGAAGGTCAACTCTGTTCTCTCGGACCTCAAGTCCGAAGCTATCAGGGACCGCCACTGGAACAAGATCTACAAGCAGATCAAGCCTGGCAAGCGCTACTCGCCAGTCTCCATGACCCTCGGTGACGTCTGGGACCTCAACCTCGTCGCCACGGAAGTTATCGTCAAGGATATCATCGCCCAAGCCCAGGGTGAGATGGCCCTGGAAGAGTTTCTCAAGCAAGTTCGCGAGACTTGGTCTAACTATGGTCTGGAACTCGTTAACTACCAGAACAAGTGCCGTCTCATTCGTGGCTGGGATGATCTGTTTGCCAAGTGCAGTGAAAACCTGAACTCCCTGCAGGCCATGAAACACTCTCCTTACTACAAGGAATTTGAAGAGGAGGCAAACTCTTGGGAGGACAAGCTTAACCGTGTTCACGTCCTCTTCGACGTCTGGATTGACGTCCAGAGACAGTGGGTGTACCTGGAAGGTGTCTTCACCGGCAACGCCGATATCAAGCACCTGTTGCCCGTTGAGTCCTCCAGATTCCAGAACATCAACAGCGAGTTCTCCGCCGTCATGAAGAAGGTCTACAAGCAGCCGTACGTCCTGGACGTTCTCCAAATCCCCAACGTCCAGAAGTCCCTCGAGAGACTCGCTGAGTTGCTCAACAAGATCCAGAAGGCTCTGGGAGAATATTTGGAGAAGGAACGTGTCTCGTTCCCCAGATTCTACTTCGTCGGTGACGAGGATCTCCTCGAAATGATCGGTAACAGCAACGACACCCTCCGTATCGCCAAGCACTTCAAGAAGATGTTTGCCGGCCTCTCAGGATTGATCATGGACGACGAGACCATTATTTCTGGTTTCACTTCCAAGGAGGGCGAGGCCGTGCGTCTCAAGAAGGAGATTTCTTTGGCCAAGACACCCAAAATCAACGACTGGCTCGCCCTGCTGGAGAGCGGCATGAAGAATACCCTTGCCGAGCTCCTTGCTGAAGCCGTTGAGCACTACACGCCCATCTTCGAGTCCGAGAGCATCGAGATGTCCGCCTTGAATGAGTTCATGGAGGCTTTCCCCAGTCAAATCGTCGTCCTTGCTACCCAAGTCGTATGGACGACTGTTGTCGACAAGTCTCTCGCTGACGGTGGCAAGACTCTGCAGTCGCTCTACGAGCGCGAGGTGCAGGTGCTTCGCCTCCTTGCCGATACCGTCCTCGGCGATCTCGAGGTCATCCAGCGCAAGAAGTGCGAGCAGTTGATCACTGAGTGTGTCCACCAGCGCGACACCATTGAGAAACTCATCAACCTCAACGCAACGACGCCCACCCACTACTTCTGGTTGCTCCAGATGCGTTACACCTACGGCACCGAGGGCGATTTCCTCCAGCGTCTGCAGATCAAGATGGCCAACGCCAAGCTCAGCTACGGTTTCGAATACCTCGGAGTTCCCGACCGCCTCGTCAGGACCCCTCTTACCGACCGCTGCTTCCTCACCCTCACTCAAGCCCTCTGCCAGCGTCTGGGTGGTTCTCCCTACGGACCTGCTGGTACCGGTAAAACAGAATCAGTCAAGGCTCTTGGTCTCCAGCTTGGTCGCTTCACTTTGGTCTTCTGCTGTGACGACACTTTTGATTTCCAAGCCATGGGTCGTATCTTCCTTGGTATTTGCCAAGTCGGTGCCTGGGGTTGTTTCGACGAGTTCAACCGTCTTGAAGAGAGAATCTTGTCTGCCGTCTCTCAGCAGATTCAGAACATTCAGCTTGGTCTGAAGCAGGGCGCAGAGGATGAGAAGGCTCAGATCGAGCTTGTGGGCCGTCAGCTTCACGTCAACGCCAACACCGGTATCTTCATCACCATGAACCCTGGCTACGCCGGCCGTTCCAACCTTCCCGACAACTTGAAGAAGCTGTTCCGCAGTGTTGCCATGTCCAAGCCTGACAAGGAGCTCATTTCCGAAGTCATGCTGTACTCTCAGGGTTTCAACCAAGCCAAGCAGCTGTCCAAGCAAACCGTGCCTTTCTTCGACCAATGCTCGGCCAAACTGTCGAAGCAAGCCCACTACGACTTTGGTCTTCGTGCCCTGAAGAGTGTTCTCGTCAGCTCTGGAGGTCTCAAGCGTGCTCGGTTGGCAGCTAGCGGCGGTAGCATCGGCGCTGAAGAGGTCGTCGAGCCCGAGATCATTGTCCAGAGTATTCGGGAGACCATTGCGCCCAAGTTGATCAAGAGCGATGTCGAGATCCTCACTGATGTTGAGGAGAGTTGTTTCCCTGGTGTCCAGTACGTCCCTGCCAACTTGGAGGCGCTTGAGGAGGCTATCAGAACGCTCGCCGCCGAGAGACAGCTGGTTGTCAACGATACCTGGATGACCAAGGTCCTCCAGCTCTACCAGATCCAGAAGATTCACCATGGTGTCATGATGGTGGGTAACTCTGGTACGGGTAAATCCGCTGCTTGGACCCTTCTGTTGGATGCACTTCAGAAGGTCGAGGGCGTTGAGGGCGTGCAGCACGTCATCGACTCCAAGGTCATGTCCAAGGAGGCACTGTACGGAAACCTCGACTCGACCACCCGCGAGTGGACGGACGGTCTCTTCACCAGTATTCTTCGAAAGATCGTCGACAACCTCAGAGGTGAAGACTCCAAGCGCCACTGGATCGTGTTTGACGGTGATGTCGACCCCGAATGGGTTGAGAACTTGAACAGTGTGTTGGACGACAACAAGCTCCTCACCCTTCCCAATGGTGAGCGTCTCAACTTACCTGCCAACGTCCGCATCATGTTCGAAGTTGAGACCTTGAAGTACGCTACCCTTGCCACCGTCTCTCGTTGCGGTATGGTCTGGTTCAGCGAGGATACCGTGTCGCCCAGCATGATGCTTGAGAACTACCTCGAGACTCTGCGCTCAAAGCCGTTCGAGGACCTCGACGAGGACAACGTCGCCGCTGGACAGAGCCCCGCCAAAGCTCTGGCTGTTCAGTCTCAGGCCGCCGATCTTCTCCACGCTCACCTCAGCGGAGAGGACTTCCTTGCCCAGGCGCTCAAGGAAGCGGAGGGCTTCAACCACATTATGGACTTCACTATTGCCCGCGTTCTCAACACTCTGTTCTCTCTTCTGAACAAGGCCGTCCGCGACATGATTGAGTACAACGCTCAGCACTCCGACTTCCCCTTGGACCCCGAGCAAGTCGAGGCTTTCATCTCCAAGAAGCTCCTCCTCGCTTTGGTCTGGGCTCTCACAGGTGACTGCCCTCTGAACGACAGAAAGTCATTTGGTGATGTTGTTTGTGGACTGGCGAGCTTTGGCAACCCGCCTCTGGACGGCACCAGCTCGCTCATCGACTTTGACGTCACTCTGCCCAAGGCCGAATGGTCTCCTTGGCAAAACCAAGTGCCCAGCATCGAGGTCAACACCCACTCCATCACCCAGACCGATGTCGTTATCCCGACACTCGATACCGTTCGTCATGAGGACGTCCTCTACTCTTGGCTGGCTGAGCACAAGCCCCTGCTTCTTTGCGGTCCTCCCGGTTCGGGTAAGACTATGACGCTCTTCAGCGCTCTTCGCAAGCTCCCCAACATGGAGGTTGTTGGTCTCAACTTCTCCAGTGCTACTACTCCGGATCTTCTGATCAAGACTTTCGAGCAATACTGCGAGTACAAGAAGACACTGAACGGAGTCATGCTCTCGCCCACACAGATTGGCAGATGGCTCGTCATCTTCTGCGATGAAATCAACTTGCCTGCTCCCGACAAGTACGGAACGCAGCGAGCTATCTCCTTCCTGCGTCAGCTCGTCGAGCACAACGGATTCTGGAGAACTTCGGACAAGTCCTGGGTCACGCTTGACCGCATCCAGTTTGTCGGTGCTTGTAACCCTCCCACCGATGCAGGCCGTACTCCCCTCGGCGCGAGATTCCTCCGTCACGCCCCTCTTATCATGGTCGATTACCCCGGAGAGCTTTCACTGCTCCAGATTTACGGCACCTTCAACTCCGCCGTCCTCAAGATCATCCCGGCATTGCGCGGATACTCTGAGCCGCTTACTCAAGCAATGGTCAAGTTCTACCTTGAGTCTCAACAGCGGTTCACTCCCAAGATCCAGCCCCACTACGTATACAGTCCTCGTGAATTGACGAGATGGGTGCGTGGTATTTACGAGGCCATCAGACCCCTGGAGACGCTTTCCATCGAGGGACTCGTCCGCATCTGGGCACACGAGGCTTTGCGTCTCTTCCAAGATCGTCTTGTCGCTGAGGACGAGCGGCAGTGGACCGATGATGCCGTGCGACGCATCGCTCTTGACCTTTTCCCCACCGTTGACGATCAGAAGGCCCTTGGCGGACCCATCCTCTTCTCCAACTGGCTCTCGAAGAACTACGTCCCCGTTGACCGCGAACAACTTCGCGACTTCGTTAAGGCCCGACTCAAAACCTTCTGTGAAGAGGAAGTCGACGTTCCGCTCATTCTATTCAACGATGTCCTTGATCACGTTCTTCGCATCGATCGTGTCTTCAGACAGCCCCAGGGTCATCTCATTCTCATTGGTGTCAGCGGTAGTGGAAAGACCACTTTGTCCCGTTTCGTCGCCTGGATGAACGGTCTCAAGGTCTTCCAGATCAAGGTGCACGGCAAGTACTCCGCCGAAGACTTTGACGACGACCTCCGCGATGTCCTCCGCCGCTGCGGCTGCAAGGGTGAGAAGATCTGCTTCATCATGGACGAATCCAACGTTCTCGACTCTGGTTTCCTCGAGAGAATGAACACTTTGCTGGCCAACGCCGAAGTCCCCGGTCTTTTCGAAGGAGACGAGTTCGCCGCCCTCATGACGGCCTGCAAGGAAGGTGCCCAGAGACAGAATCTCCACCTTGACTCGCCAGAGGAGCTGTACAAGTGGTTCACTCAACAGATCGTCAAGAACCTGCACGTTGTCTTCACCATGAACCCGCCCGAGGATGGACTCGGTTCCAAGGCCGCAACCAGTCCCGCCTTGTTCAACCGTTGCGTTCTCAACTGGTTCGGAGACTGGTCCGATCAAGCCCTCTTCCAGGTCGGCCATGAGCTCACTACATCTATGGATCTGGACCGTCCCAACTTCCAGGCGCCGGACACTATCACGGTGGCATACCGCGCACTCCAACTGCCTCCTACGCACCGCGAGACTATCGTCAACTCCATGGTCTACATCCACTACTCCCTCCAGCGCTTCAATGCCAAGCTTCTCAAGCAGCAAGGCAAGGTTACGTTCCTTACGCCCAGACATTTCTTAGACTTTGTCGCCCAGTATGTCAAGCTGTATAACGAGAAGCGCGAAGACTTGGAAGAGCAGCAGCGCCATCTCAACGTTGGTCTCGAGAAGCTGAGAGACACTGTCGACAAGGTTCGCGACCTGAGGGTCAGCCTTGCCGAGAAGAAGACTCAGCTTGAAAAGAAGGACGCCGAGGCCAACGAGAAGCTGCAGCGCATGGTTGCCGACCAGAGAGAGGCCGAGCAGAGGAAGAACACCTCCTTGGAGATCCAGGTCGCTCTGGAGAAGCAAGAAGCCGAGGTCGCGTCGCGGAAGAAGGTTGTGTTGGACGATCTTGCAAAGGCCGAACCCGCTGTCGAAGAGGCTAGGGCCAGTGTTAGCAACATCAAGCGTCAGCACCTTACCGAAGTTCGATCTATGGGTAACCCCCCTCAGGGTGTCAGACTCGCTCTCGAGTCTGTCTGCGCTCTGCTTGGTCACAAGGTCAATGACTGGAAGATGATCCAGGGTATTATCCGCCGCGACGACTTCATCGCCAGCATTGTTAACTTCGACAACGAGAAGAACATGACCAAGGCTCTGCGTCTCAAGATGCGCAAGGAATTCTTGTCGATCCCGGAATTCACATTCGACAAGGTCAACCGCGCCTCCAAAGCATGTGGACCCCTGGTGCAATGGGTTGAAGCGCAGGTTTCGTACTCCGAGATTCTGGACCGTGTTGGCCCCCTCAGAGAGGAGGTCGACCAGCTCGAGGAGCAAGCTCTGCAGACAAAGGCAGAGGCCAAGGCTGTTGAGAACACCATCAACACTCTCGAGTCCAGCATTGCGCAGTACAAGACGGAGTACGCTGCGCTCATCAGCGAGACGCAGGCTATCAAGTCTGAGATGTCCAAGGTCCAGTTCAAGGTCGACAGAAGTGTTAAGTTGCTCGACAGTCTTTCGTCCGAGAGAGTCCGTTGGGAAGAGGGCAGCAAGTCCTTCGAGACTCAGATCAGCACCCTTGTCGGCGATGTCCTCGTTGCCGCTGCCTTCTTGGCTTACAGTGGTCTCTACGATCAGACTTTCCGTAAGTCGATGATGGACGACTGGTTGCATCAGCTCCAGCTCTCTGGTGTTCAGTTTAAGCCCCACAACCCAGTCACTGAGTACCTCTCGACTGCCGACGAGCGCCTCAGCTGGCAGGAGAACAGCCTGCCGGTCGATGATCTGTGCACTGAGAACGCTATTATCCTCAAGCGGTTTAACCGTTACCCTCTCATCATCGATCCTTCCGGCAGAGTCACGGAGTTCCTGCAGAAGGAGAGCAAGGACCGACGCCTTACTGTCACCAGCTTCTTGGACGACTCGTTTACGAAACAGTTGGAGAGTTCGTTGCGTTTCGGTAACCCCATCCTTATCCAAGATGCTGAATACCTCGACCCTATTCTCAACCAGGTCTTGAACAAGGAGTACCAGAAGACTGGAGGTCGTGTCCTCATCCAGCTTGGCAAGCAGCAGATCGATTTCTCTCCTTCCTTCAAGATCTACCTGTCGACTCGTGATCCCTCCGCCACCTTCGCTCCCGACATTTGCTCTCGTACCACCTTCGTCAACTTCACTGTCACGCAGAGCAGTCTCCAGACCCAATCACTTAACGATGTGCTGAAGTCGGAGAGACCTGATGTTGATGAGCGACGATCCAACCTCATCAAGTTGCAGGGCGAGTTCAAGATCCATCTCAGACAGTTGGAGAAGCGTCTTCTTCAGGCTCTCAACGAGTCTCGCGGCAACATTCTCGACGACGACAACGTTATTGAAACCTTGGAAACTCTGAAGACCGAAGCAGCAGAAATCTCTGACAAGATGAGCAACACCGAGGGCGTCATGGCCGAAGTCGAGGAAATCACCCAGCAGTACAGCATCATTGCCCGCTCTTGCAGTACTGTTTTCGCCGTGCTGGAGCAGCTTCACTACCTCAACCACTTCTACCAGTTTTCGCTCCAGTACTTCCTCGACATCTTCCACTCTGTTCTCCATGGCAACAAGAATCTTGCCAATGAGACTAACCACAACATTCGGCGGGATATCATTGTCAAGGATCTGTTTGTCAACGCTTTCAAGCGGACTGCGCTCGGCCTGCTTCAGAAGGACCGAATCACGCTGGCCATGCTGCTTGCTCAGGCTTCGCCTTACAAGATGGACAAGACATTGATCGACATCATCCTTGATGATCGCGTGGAGGGCAAGGATCTCTCTACCGACTTGGAATCCCGCGAGGACGCCTGCGCCAGAGCTGGTCGCATGAGCGTGCTCAAGGACAAGTTGGAGCACATCACCCCCGAGCAATGGGAGAAGTTCTTCTCCGAGGAACTAGCAGAGAACTTCGTCCCTAAGATCTGGGAGGATAACGTTGATCCTTTCGACCAGGCCTTACAATCTCTCCTTCTCGTGAAGCTCTTCCGCCTCGACAGGTTCGTTCCGGCTGCGGAGCGCTTTGTTTCACTCGTCTTTGGCGCCGACATCTTTGACGTCGTCGAGGACCTGAAGGAGACCGTCAGCCAGGTGCCCGCAACCCGACCTATCTCCCTGGTCTCCAGCCCTGGTTTCGACGCCAGTTACAAGGTGGACAATCTCGTCGAAAGAATGCGCATCAAGTGCACCAACATTGCCATGGGTTCCAACGAAGGTCTGGCAAGCGCCGACAAGGCCATCAGCAACGCCGCGCAGCTCGGCAACTGGGTCTTGGTCAAGAACGTGCATCTTGCTCCTACTTGGCTGCAGAGTCTCGAGAAGCGCATGGAGTCTCTAAACCCTCACTCCGACTTCAGACTATTCTTGTCGATGGAGTCGAGTCCCAAGATTCCCGTCAACCTGCTTCGCGCCTCGAGAGTCCTCATGTACGAGCAGCCAGCTGGTGTGCGCGCTAACATGAAGGATTCCATGTCCTCGCTTTCCACCAGGGCCACCAAGGCGCCTGTCGAGCGTGCCAGACTTTACCTGCTGCTCGCGTTCCTGCACGCCGTTGTTCAGGAGCGTCTTCGCTACGCACCCAGCTTGGGCTGGAAGGGCTTCTGGGAGTTCAATGACAGTGATGTAAGTTATCTCGGCAAGCCTTTTGTCACAACATCTGCTAACATGCTCTAGTACGAATGCTCCGCATTCATCATTGACACCTGGGTCGAGAACGCCGCCGGTACTCGCACAAACATTGCTCCTCAGAGCATCCCATGGGAGATGATCCGCTACCTCGTCACCGAAACCTACGGTGGCAAGATCGACAACGAGGGCGACTTCAAACAGCTCAACCAGCTTGTCCACTCATTCCTCACGCCGTCTGCCTACGATGTCGGACACAAGCTCGTCGAAGGCGAGGAGAGCAGCCTCGAGGTTCCGTCAGGCACTTCCCTGCAGGATTTCATGACTTGGATTCACAAGCTGCCCGAGCGCGAGCCGCCCACGTACCTCGGCCTGCCGGCCAACGCCGAGAAGCTGCTCCTTGTCGGTCTCGGAAAGAGCCTTATTGATAATTTGAAGAAGGTTACGGAGTTGTTGGAGGAGGGTGAGCAGTTGATGGTTGAAGCCTAGTGAGCTTCACTGATAGTGTGGTGGAGGATGGACATGGTCGAGTCCCGCCTGAGAAGGGACTCATTTTCCTTTTGTAAAGACTTGAGAGCGATTCCCGCCAGTCTTCCACTACCTTTCCTGTTTAGATCGTTTAGACCGGTGTCATCAGATATCACAGAGAACATCTCATTTTCACACCAACGGCGTATCAGTCGGGCTTTGCTTCATGTTTCGGGGTGTAAACGGGTGGGATTGGAATCGGGATTAGAATGGTCATGCGTCGTCCAATTTGTCACACTGATACCCTGATACTCAGTCCCCATTTTCTTTGCAGTGGGTTCTCATCTCGTAATCTAGAGGTCTGAAGAATAGAATGGTTCAATGGCAATGCAGACTAAGCTAATCGCGAGGAAATATGAGATTTTTTGTTTCGTATTGTTGGGGTTTCATAAATAAATGTTGAGGTCTGCGTATGACCTCTGGCGTTCAGCCGGCAGCTGAGCGCGTAGTTTGGAGATGTCTTATATGCCTTGACTGAAAATACGGTATATCTGGATAACTGGGGTTTCGCGTGACGTCTTCTCACGGGTTGAATGAGTTACGGGACTTACGTCGTTGTTCTGGGTTTGTTCTGGCGTGGATACTTGCGCAGAAGGCGTGACGGGCGGAGATGGGGGGTGATGGGACTTGTGGAGGGTTGGTGAGGGTGGGCGTGAGTGAGGTGCGTTGGAAGTAGGTAAGGTCAGATACTTGATGGTCTGGAGGATTTGGATGGAAGAGACGAAGGATCCGGAATGGTGCTCTTTTGCAACATGGGTTGCTCTGCTTTTCGTCATTTGAGACGGTAAAGGCTGTTTATGTAGTAATTGAAACGACCTGTTGTGTAGAATGCCTCGAGGAGACGGGGAATGGAATACGGGCGAAGCGCGACTTTGGCGGCATCGGTTCACACAACCTTGGGCCGGATCATCGGCTATCTGCCATCAGGATTCGAAAGAGGGCTCAGATATATTATGTCAACGATTTGAGACTGACGCGCCCTGAAAACCAGACCGCAAGAGATAAAAGGCGTTCTGGTTGAATCCGCTCTTGATCGCACTACCTCAAGTTCTGTCAGTTGGAGCCGGCCAGAGCGTACGGTGATGCGCGTCTATCATTGCAGGGGGGCTTTCGGGACGATTTTGTGGTGTTCGAGTATTTTGGTGTAATACTTGGGAAGAAGGAGTGGTGAGTGGGGATGAAGAGGAAAAGGCGACGTAGTGATGAGTTGGTGTTGAGATGAGAGCGAGGCTTAGCAGAGAACATGTCATGCGGATGATGGGACTCACTCCTCTGATCGGCGCTCGCTTTCTAGACATCTAATTGCACGGTGTTCTGCGTTGTTTGAACAAGTGGGCGGGCACCATTCCGTTTTTATATCATTTTACCGAAACGAATACAGCTGGCGTGACGTTAAGATATAATCATGCTGTAGAACTTAAGCAACGGTGTGAATTTAGTTTGATGAAAAGTCGTCAACGTCCTGGAGATTTATTCATAGTAATGTGTCGTTGTAGACGGGAAAATATAAACAGAGAAAGAGGGTAAGAGGTCTACTGACACAACGCAACCATCCCTATAGTCGGATGTTTGCGGAGAGAAATAAGGGTATTTGATCATGTCGACGTTCCTGTGGGTCTTGTTATAGAAGACTGAAGGAGATGACTGCTGCGGTTTGGAGGAGTCGGTTCTTTTGGGATGTGTTCTTGATGAATAAGTTGGAGGTGGTGGCGAGAAGGCGTGATGTCGGGTAGGGAAGGGGTTCTTAGCTGACCTAACTAGGGCAGAGGATGAAAGCTTGAAGTGTCGGCGGTACGATGATTAGGATCTTTTGCATCTTGTCCATTCGTATCATTCTTCGTGCTCGTTGCGTATCTGCAATCGAGTTGTCCGACCTGGTTGGAGAACTAAGTGTCTTTACCTCAGGTGCTAATAGATTATATACAGCTGGGTCCGGTGCATAGTTACACGGCGCAGTTGGTCTAAATGCTTATGGTTCGAATTTTATAATGTGATGTTGTTGAGAAACATACTGTAGTCATTTGGGCAGGTATATTAATGTATGTTTGTGCCATTATTTCTTGAATCTGTACCCATGAAGTGATCGGAAAACTCGTCATTTGAGTCTTTCATTGGAATAGTTATTCGATGTTATTGGATACTAAGTCATCTTAAGTGCTGAGAAAGAGAGAGAGGGAGAGCTATATGGGGTCAGCGCTATGGCTGATGAATACGTCGAGGAAAGCTCCGAAGTGCGAGAGGGGATGGAGGACGCTTTAGAATATCTGTTCCCTCAACTGTATATGGAGATTATGCGCGAGATATTCATGACAAGAAAGTTAGTTGACCATATATGGAGGAATCTGGCCTTGTACGCTCATGAATATCGATCTTAGCAAGACAAGGAAAGAACACGAACATTAAGAGAATAAACTAACCTATATTCACTCCGTCTTCTCACTGTGCCGGGCTAACGACTGACATCCTTCGTGCGGATGCTGTGGAGGGTATTCATGTTCAATCTTGATTTCAGGAGAGTTATTCCGCAAGTTAAAGGCACTATATATAATAAAATATGAGTCTGTTGCCTGATTCTCTTTCAGTCAAGGCCGCCTTACATGCGACATTTCTTCCTGAGGTATTGAACACACAGGTACACAGAATAAGCGCCCGAAGATTCGTCTGATGAGGTATTCAGTTAGATGTTACGGGGAAAAAGTAGACAATCAGCTCGGGGTCATCCTCGCCTGTAACTGTCATCTTTGTCGTGTTCCTCATGGAATTCACGTCACCACCCGTCCTTCTGATGGTCGTTGCCAGACGAAGTCGCGTCTTCAGCGTCTCCAAGTTGGCATCAAGATGAAATCAACATGGAAGATGTCTGATTTACACCACAGGCGGACGCAAACGCCCTCAAAGGCCTCATTAACCGCTTCAAACATGGCGTGGCCTGGATACAGTAGTCCACCGCCTTCTACGGGGTATCATAATTATCAAAAGAGATCGTTCTTGAATTCAAACGCATCATCTAAAACAAAAGTAAAGAGTCCGGTCCGTGGGTATTCAGTGATCCTAAATTCATTGCTTTCGCGTCGCAACCATCACTGAGGAGTAGATGAAGCAGTACGCAATGCGGAGACTACATGCAGCTGGCCGATTGCGCCCAAGCCAGTCTGCCAAGCGCGCGAGTCTGGAGGAAACGTGCGATCCCGTGGGCACATCAGCGGCGGGGCTGGCGGCATGAAGTGAGCACTAAGTCTGCACGAGAGTGTTGGTCTGGTCTGAGAACACACCAAATCACGTCGCCAACAAGCCTGATGTGGTATTGTGAGCCACATAAGGATGACGCGGGCGCCTATCGGATTAGAACAAATCAAACGAGGCAAGTTTCCGAGATTCCTCGGATGTGATGCAGCCTGGTGTAAATAAACATTGATTTGTGTTTGGCTAGGTACATAAAGGAGACTCAACCCGACACCTTGTGGCGAAACCACATGCAGCCTCTTATTTCATCATCACGAACTATATATGTAAAAGTTGACGGCTTCCGCCTATGATACCCGATCAATTATTCCATCAGAGAACACCTCAGCTTCAACGCGACAGAAAACCATGGCTGTGGAGTTGGTTAGCCTAGCCGAGGGGTTCTCCTGCTACACCAGCAGTGAGATTGAAGCCCAGTTCATTTACAACGAAATCTGGAACGACCATTGTTACGACGGGCCAAAGGTCTCGGAGACTCCTTTCATAATTGATGCCGGCGCCAACATTGGACTCTTCTCCATATACATGAAGCAAAAATACCCAAACGCCAGAATCATCGCCTTCGAGCCCGCGCCGGATACGTTCAAGACTATGCAGCGCAACTTTGAGCTGCACAAAATCACTGGAGTCGAGACGCACCAATACGGCCTGGGGCCCAGAGCCAGCACTGAGAAGTTGACTTACTACCCGACGTTCCCCGGCAACTCAACTCTGCGGCCTGAAACCAAGTTGTCTACGATCGAAGCGGTCACGGAGAGATTTGGAAGAGACTTCGCGGAGGCGAGATTCGGCGATGCACAGGTTTTGGATGTGGAGATTCAACCTTTGTCTAAGGTTTTGAAAGATATGTCCGGAGTTGAGAAGATTGACTTGCTGAAGATTGATGTCGAGGGAGTTGAGCTTGGGGTCTTACAAGGTCTGAGTGACGTTCAATGGAATAAGCTGCAGAATGTGGCGCTGGAGACGACGGCGTCTTCTGGGGATCTTGAGCCGATTGAGGAGTTGTTGAAGTCAAAGGGACTTGCTGTCGAGAGAGAAGAGGCTGTCTTTGATGATCGAGGGGCTCATGAGTTCTTCGTGGTTCGCGCGTATCGCGAAAGTAAGGAAGTCTGAACCGTCTGAAAAGGCAATTACCGAGGAACCTACATCCATGTCAACCCAACCGCGCGTCGCTTTCTCAATGACACTTGATTTTGACATGAACCTACGCAGATGGAATGAGTCCGAGTAGGCATGTCGACGAAAGTCTAAAACCAAAGCATTGTCAGGTAGCAACGTTACCCTCACCCCGGCGCTTTTCTCCATGGGCGACATATAAAACCTAACACAGATTTCGTATCGTCAAACGCCATAGATCCTGGATCTGAAGTAAACGCAAAAGCCATCGGTTTCGGTCTCGCGTTCGTACCAAATGCATCGTTTCCGCTAACTTGAGAATTCGTATAAGTGCAGGTTGCCTTTTCAAGAAGACGACATCATTCCACCCAACAGAACGACACGATATCCTTTCCCCTCAGCGAGACATTTGGGCTTACACAATTTACTCGATAAAATGGCTGTTGCGACACTCCCCGCGGCGGGTGCTGCATCGATTCCCGGTATGAACTTCGGGGGACTCACCTACGGCGACCCGAAGAGCAAAGAATTTGAATCGCTCGCGTCTGAAGTAGTCAACATCATCAAAAGCAAACTTTCGGTACGCCTACCCGTTCCGGATCTTCCACCCTTCATGTCAGTCTGTGCTGATATCTCACTCCATTTCAAGGCTCTCAACAAAGCAGATACGTTGGCACAACTAGTTCTTACTGACAAGCTACCCGGCGGCGAGCTCACCAAGACACTGTATATCGACGCCCGACCCAGTGGCACACGTCTTCTTGAGTCTTTACCGGATGGCACCGAGGTAGAAGTGACTGTGCTGATGCGTCCTGATATGATGTTCGGTTTGATGAACGGTAATTTGGACGTGAACATGGTTGCCCGCGTCGGTTTTAATGTGTCGGGCAAGACCCCTCCGAAGGGACAGTGTATCTTGGATCTCTTGGCCCCGAGACCTTCCACAGTCATGGATTACGCGAACTACACCTTCGCCGAAGATGAGCTGCCGAAGCCGACCACCGACATCAACGAGGTCAAGCGCAACATCAAGAAATTTGGATATGCGTACGTCTCCCAACTGAGTTGAACTCCTTTGATTCCAGATCAGATGATCAGAATTGCGTAACTGATCCGAACTCATAGTTTCGTCAAGGACGCATTGACGCCCGAACAGGTTCAGATCATGAGACGAGCGATTCTTGAACAAGCTGCTGGGGAGCGCCAAGCTGGTGTCGCTGATCTCGAGGGCGGGACAAATCAACGCCTGTGGTGAGTACATGAACGCCCATTCATAAAAGCTATAAGATGGAATGAGGACATGTGCTAAAGTGCCTCACCAGGAATGTTCTCAACAAGGGTGACGAGTTTCTTGACATCTTGAATCATCCTCTCTTTGATGAGCTTCTCAGCTGGTTTCTGGGCGACTATTCTTACCTGACCCAGGCTTCCGTCAACATTTTGGGACCAAACAATATTCCAATGCCTTTCCATCGTGACCAGATCCCTATGAATCCTTTTACGGACGATCCCATCGGCCTGAGTTTCATGTTTTACATGGAGGACAGCAGCAACGTCAATGGAGCTACTCATGTGATTCCAGCTTCTCACATTGGGCACGTACGCCCATGGGATCCCAATAGTTTTGTACGTATTACTGGTTTTCCGGAACTTGTATCCGCTAATATTGAGATGTTTACTAACACAATATGTGAATAGGATGGCTCTATTCCGGCTGCGGCACCCGAGGGCTCGTGCCTTGTCTTCAACACCACCATCTGGCACTCAACTGGAATCAATACCACCAGCCACGAGAGACCAGCCCTCATCTACGCATTCAGCCGGTACTTCATGAGCTCAACTGTCAACCCTTACGTCAGCGTGAAGCAGGAAGTTCTGGACAAGCTGAGCCCGCGACAAAAGCAGCTTATTGGCTATGTTGTACGCCCTGCCTTCAACTGGGTTGGGAAGAAGAGGTCTCCAGGTGACGTTCTCGAGCGATTTGAGGACGATGTCGGTAGAGTCAGGGCAGAGTACGTGCCGATTGGTGGAAAGGCTACTGGCATAGCGAGTATCTCCGAACGAACTATCTGAGCGGATGTGGCCGGGGTTTTCAGAAGCTGGACTTTCTGTTATCTAACTGACGTTGTACTTCGTCGAAATGATGATGCATGTGAAACCAACCGAGCGCGTTCATGATATTTACATGAATCTCTCAACCCCAGATCTGCCCATCGGTTCGCTCGTGTATTTCACACATAGTCAAAAGTGTGATATCAAGTTGATTCCAATTTCGAAACAACACTAAAAGTACGGACAAACTCTACCAAACCGCTTGAAACGAAAGAATGCTATGCTTCGCTCTCTTTCAACTGCGAAAAGCACTTCAGAAACAGATCTTCACCACCATCGAGCAACTTCACGTCCACATCATGCCCGGTATTGAAACCAAGACTTCGTTCAAGCCGCCATGCTTCCCTCAGATCTCTCCAAAGCTTGTCAAAGACACCGTCTTGGTGCGAAACGACCGCGTCCATGGCTGTTAAGATCATGCGTCGCACAGCCTCAATCCGTCCCTCACTCCCAACAACATCTTGACCAAAGCATGCTGTGTCGTACTCGAGTCTCAAAACCAACGTGTCTTCGTCATATGCCAAACATTCTACCATCAACTTGAATTTGGCGCCATCGCTCCACACAAGTTGCGGCTCCACGCCACCTCCCCAAGCTGCCTTACTCCAGGGGCCTCCTCTTTCCTGGTTGTGCCGGCCTGCGTCTTGCCCACGAGCATCATGAAAAGAAGCAACGCAGTCAAAAAGCGGGTGGTTTGGAAGATGGGCACCAACGTCCACATTGAGGTGCTTCAGCAGTTGATCCCACGGAATAACATGCGCCAGAGCACGCTGTGAAGAAGCCTGTGCCGAGGCAAGGAACGATTTGAGGGAAGCGTTGAGGTCACCAAAGCGCACGCGCACTGGCAATGGCTCTAGGAAGAGGCCAACCGCTTTCATTTCCGTCTCGGAGTGACGGTTGATGAAGGGCATACCCAGTGTCAGATCAATTTCTTCATCTTCAGCGCTGAGCGCCATGGCAACCGCTGCAACCAGAAGTTGCTGAAGTGTGACGCCGGACTGTTGAACGCAATTTTGCATACGATGCCAAAGTGAGGTAGATACGAGGCCTGTCAGCGACCTGCCATCGTAGCTTCTTCGCTCACCACCGTTTCCGAGGTATGCATGGCGATTGTGCTTCACATCCCCCAGATACTCAGACCAGAAGTCGAGACAAGCAGGATCAACCGTATTTGAAACCACTCGTTGGTGGCAGGGCTGTGGCCGTAGCGGCATTAAGAGCGAGGGACAGCATTGATAGGCGGTCGCAGCTTCGTGCAGAACGAGGCCAAGCGTTGTGTAGTCGCAGACAATGTGAGAAAGTACGGCCACAACGGTGTTCCCCGTCATGATCACCCGCACTGGAGCCTCTTCTGCGAGATTGAATGGCCGATTCAGTTCCTTGCGAACGTCGATGCGACGCCGTTGCTCGATACGGGGTGGAAACTTGGCCAGAACTCTTTGAAGACCATGCTCATGATCGCAAACATAGCGAGCACGGAAGATATCGTAGCTGGCCAGCACCATGTTCCAGGCTACAATCATTCTCGACTGGTTAAAGATATTGCCGTCGTACTGTGCAACCCAGCTCACATTGAAAGCAGATGTGCCGCGGTTCAGCTGCCCCTTCTGCCACCATTCTTTCTCCATTGGCCCAGGCTCAGAATGCTGAAGTCCATCGATATACTCTCTGCCAGGAGATAAAGACGGTGGCAAGGACGGTGCTGGCAGAAGCCCCTTGTCCATCTGATCAATCGCGGCGGCCAGGTCTCTCAAGGTCGGCAAGGTCAACAGCATTCTCATCGTGATATGTGTTCCAAATACCGCCCTTAAACTGGATGTCAACTTCAGCTGCTGCAGAGAATGACCGCCTAGTTGTATGAAGTTGGATTCGGGGCCGATCTTGACGGCTGTGGCAGCCAACTCAAGTACTTTGCTCCAGACAGCTGCGACGGCAATTTCGGTTTCCGTCCTCAGATCTTCGTCCTTGACAGCTCGTTGAGCAGACTCAGTCATGACTGAGCTATCAGCAACGTGAGCGATAGCGCGGTAGTCCACCTTCATGTTTGGCGTCATAGGCAGACTGTGCGCGACTGAGACGCATTTTGGAACGGCAAAGGCAGGAAGTACTCTGCGGATGGTATCCTTGATTCCGACAAGATCTGTAGACTCAGTCTGAATCATACACACCAGGTCGTCCATCCTGTTCGTCATGGCCACGGCGCGAACCCCATACTGTGTATTACACGCTCGAAGAATGCGTGCCTCTAGATCCTCGAGGTCGACCCGGAATCCGTGAAGTTTGATCTGTCGGTCGGCTCGGCCGAGAAAGATGATCTCTCCGTCTTCACTCCAGTAACCTCGATCTCCGGTTTTATACATGAATTCCCCTGAGCCATGGAAGGGATCTTCAAGAAAACGTTCTTTGGTAACCTCAGGTCGCCCGATATAACCGCGAGCAACCTGAACGCCGGCCAGATAGATTTCTCCGGTCCTTCCAGGGGGGACTAGACGTCGGTGGTGGTCCAAGATGTAGATCCTTGTTGAAGGGTTCGGACCTCCTATCGTGACAGGCTCTCCTGGACGAAGTCGTTTGATGGTGGCACCGCAAGTCGCCTCGGTTGGCCCGTACATATTGTAAACGGCTTTTCTGGCTGACCAAGTGTCGCAAACTGTCTGCGGAACAATCTCGCCGACGAGGTAAACCGTTTTGAGCCTCGGGAAGTCGCCTGGATCGAGAACCGAAGCCAGTGACGGAGTGAGAATAGCACAGTCAACGGTCTTTAAGTGGCTTAAACCGGCTTCCTCGCCTTCTTTCCGCAGGACCAAAGTTGAACCATAAGAGAGGGCCGAAAATAACTCATGAATGGCGCCGTCAAAAGCCACGGACATGATCTGGGCAATTCTGGTTCCAACTGACGCACCTAGACGAACTTCAAGGTCGCTTTGGAAAGCAACGAGACCCTGATGGGTGCACATGACGCCTTTTGGCTTGCCAGTAGAGCCAGATGTGAAACAAAGGTAGGCTCTGTCTTGCGGTCGTGGTTGAGCTCTCGCAGTGAAACATGCATGGGAGGAAGAACCGGAAACATGGCCGTCAAGTATGGCTTGGATATCAAGCGCAACTTCCGCTGTCGAACACCTCTTAGACATGGATTCCGTATTGGTGGCCAAGAAAATCTTTGCCGTTGATGACTCGAAGAGAGAGTCTCGGTAATGTTGTGGATGTGCCTTGTCCAAAGGACAGTAGATTCCTCCGGCGCGAAGAATGCCGTATATTGAGATGATCCAGTTGATAGATCCATCTGCGTGTACCGCGACAACCTCTTGACGCTCAATCTGGCCAGAAAGAGCGTGAGCAACCTTGCCGGAAAGGCTTTCCAGCTCGGCATAAGTGACCTGTCGACTCCCTGAGTCAATCGCTACGGCAGAGGGGTAACGTTCCGTGGTGCGCTCGAATAGTGTAACAAGATCTTCGGTGATTGAAGAAACGGTGGTCTTTTGGGACTGCCAGTTTCCCATCGAGCTGAGACTCTCGAGGTAACTGCTGGGAAGAACACGTGCTGATTCCAGAGGAGCTTCGGTCTCGCACAACGACGTCAAGGCGACTTTGAAGACCCCCGCAAGAGTTTCCATCGCATTCCGACTAAAGCGCCGGGAAGAGTACTGAAGGATCATGCCGCTTCCATCATCTTTGACGATGGCATTCAACGGCAGGTTGGTCGTGTGCTTGAAGAAGGAGGATCGAACCCCGCTACCCTCTGCCCACTGCTGTTCGTTCGGGGTCATAGCCATCAAATTGCACTTGATACGCGTGAAGCCGTTGTCCGGTGTCGTCCAGGAGTAGTGCATGAGGCGCCGCATACGGTCGAAGACATCTTTGACGAAGTCTCGCACGGAAACTTCCCAACAGAGGTCAACTTGAAGCGGCAGGGTATTGACCATGGGTCCGATGGTCTCGAAACTGCCAGACAGTCCAAGGTTCCGAGTCGACAAAACGGCTCCGACGACGACGTTTTCTGAGTCTGTATACAAGCCGAGACATAGTGCCCAAGCAGCATAAAAGAATGTGGCCGGAGTCACACTGCATTGCTGGGCTGCATTCTTGATGGATCTATACTCTTCAGGCTTGAAGGTGAGGTCAATGTGCATCTGGTCGGCAGAAACATCGACACCCTCAACCCCCTCCATGCTGGTGGTTGGTCTTTCAAGGAGAGGTTCGTCTCGTGCCGTTTCCAACTTGGCCCGCTGCTCAGCCCAGAAACGATCGCCTTCGGCTTTTCGAAAGAGTCCGTATTCTCTCTGCGCTGCGAGAATCTCAATGTAAGACGGTCCTGGCTGTATCGCTTGCCCTGACGCAACCAAGTGCACCTTTCGCACCAGAAGTCCGGCGGACCAGCCGTCTATCAGGGCGTGGTGAACGGCCCAAACGATTGTCGAGCAACCTTTTTCGGGTGATGATCCTTGGTAATGGATGACTGTAAAGCGCAATGCTAGATCCACAGCTGTTTTATTGTTTGACCATGGTAGACCGGGACCAGTGGCTGCCAGCAGCGCATTTTGGTACACCGCCCAGTTGCTGGTCTTAAACTCCCGCCAATGCAGTCGAGGACACATCAGGTGGCCGTCTTCTGGGCTGCGATATGTGGCACAAAAGATTGGTTCCGCTCGGCAAACCTCACCCCACGCCTTCTTGAGGTGGACAACTTGACTTGGGTGATGGCTCTCAGCATAATAGATGATATTTGTGCCAGCCGAGTCCATGCTACCATGAAACAAAGAGACTTGAATGTCTGATAGCTCGTGGACGCTACCAAAGGCGTCGCCCAGGTCCTGCACGCCCTTCGAAACAAACAAAAGCTCATTTTGGCCGCTGGGAGTGGACGATATAACTGCCTCATGCGATCCTAGTGCGGAAGTGCGTCTTTGGCATTTGTTTTTTCGAGGTTTAACATTCTCGTCCAAGCTGTTGTAGCCGCTGTCCTTCCGGACATGAGTCCTCTTGCTCGGTCGTGTTAGGCGGTTGTTGATTACTTCAATGTTAGGACCAGTTTGTCCTTTCTCGGTACAGTTCAGGCGGGCTTCGTCCGATGGGCGGATTTGATGTAGAAGTTGAGATACAGAAGGGCTCGAAAGAATAGAGTCGACAGGAATGAAGATGCCGCGTCGCCTACATTCCATCGAGAATCGGAGTGCCGCCATCGAATCGCCGCCATGGCTCGTGAAGTTGGCATCTGGGGCGATCGAGTTGACATCAACATGCAGAGAAGAAGCCAAGATTTGCAAAATCAGTGACGCCGCCATGCTTGCAATGTGATTACAAAATGAAAAAAGGAATACTTGAAAACGAATCTTCCGACACGTTCGCTCACAATCTTGGCACCTATTACTTTAGCTACATGTATATGGCTGGACCGACGTCCCAATGTCTCCGCTCCGCCCCGGGATCGGAAGCATCCCGTCAGTAGTGTTTTGCGGACTTCCGCGTCGTTTTGATTTTTCGCATTCTTTCCTAAGGAAAGTTCTTTGCTGGGAGTTTCGGAAATGTGCCGGTGTAATCGCGATGGTCTAATGTTTGAACAGACCAAGCTGAAACCTTTGATCAGACGTCCGAAACTGATGCATAGTTTAATAGTAGCTTAAGGCAGACGTCCAATCTGGACTCCCCCATCGGATCAGCGCGGTAGTTTCTATGACGTACCTTCGAAGCGAAACACATAGTTTCTCATCTCCAAACGACTTGAGCCACTTGAAGCGTTCTGTAATCTACTACTTTCGTCCAAGTCCAGAAATTGTTGAGTTCATGTTCATCGCTGCGGCTTACAAGCTAGTTCAGACCCGTCACAAATCAATTCTTTGCAAATAAGCCTTCATTACATCTCAACGCGACATGGACGGCTACGTCAAATTCACGAAAGATCGCGACGATAACATGTCCGAGAAGGCGCGTCTGGGAGATCAGCACGAGATACTGTTGCACGCGATGAGAGGACGCGCCATTTTGGCCCCCGTCGACCTTTCCAGGCCTTCCTTACGCATTCTGGACTCAGGTGCGGCAGATGGTCGCTGGTTGACGGACCTTCGCAGTTCCATAGGAGGTGACAGCCATGAATACGTCGGGACGGACATCGATCCATCCCTGTACCCTTCGTCGCCCCCGGAAGATGTTTACTTTTGCAACCAGTCCATCCGAAAACCATTCCCAGATGAGTGGCAGGGCACCTTCGATGTGGTGCACCAGCGCCTAGTCATGGCTGCGGTTGCGCCGCCCGACTCGACCATCACGTCTGCGACCTCAAATCTTGCAGGCCTGCTACGGCCGGGTGGCTGGTTGCAGCTTGTTGAACTGGACAACGAATGTGTAAACGACAACGGACCGGCGATGCGAAGACTTCTTCGTTATCACCAGCAGAATTCTGCCGCTGGTGGGCTGGGTCCTAACCTTTCGGTCCACTTAACAAGAGCCATGCAAGACGCGGGGCTAAAGGGCGTCGAAGAACGGTCGGTAGACGTGATGTACGGTGCCCGGAACAAGGGGGGTCGAGATTTAAGGATGAAGAGCATGATGAGTCTCTATGGTGCTGTAGGACCAGTGCTGGCTCAGGCGAAACGTACGTATATCTATCTTAGCCATTGCGTTGGTATGAACAATGACCCAGAACTGATCAACAAGTATACTTCCAGTGGCAACTCCAAAGAAGTTTGACGAGTACGATGCACGTACCTTGCCATCCCGATTGTGGGATGAGCTCGAAGTTGTAGGTGGAAGGATCAGGTTCGTTGTGGTTTACGGTCAAAAATGATAAGGACACGGAACCTTGCATTGCGTGTATCTTTCATTTAAAACACCCTTTCCAAAACATCATGTAAGTAATTCGATTCTCTTAGTACATGTAACTGGATAGTATAGCAATATGTAAAGGGTTGAATAAACGGAGAGGCAGCAAGCAAAATAGGCTTTGAATCAAGCAGACCTAATATTCAATATCTACTTATTCTCCAATATTCTCCTGGTACATCGCAAATTCAAGCTGGGATGGGTTATCCAGCACTCCTGATTTCTCGCCCAAGAAGACCCGTCAAGGTGGTCTTCGGGCGACAGCAAATCGAGTTGGTAGTTGCGTACGAGATGAGCCACTGTGGTTCTGATAATGAGATCGGCTGCATGCCGTCCCATACACTGCCTTGGTCCAAATCCATATCTCCAGAACAAGTAGCGCCGATCCCGCGCGTCCTTTTCGTTGCTGTTGAGAAATCGCTCCGGCCGGAAGGACTCGTTGTCCGGAGCCCACGCCTCATTGCGTACATTGAGAGCGTAGGTGTCTACCACAAAGCTGGTGCCTTCGGGGACGACGTACGTGAGCCCTGGACTGACTTCGAGGCGACGAGGAGTAGGAGCAGCTTGTGGGACGCTGAAAGCTGCCAATGGCCTCAGGCGGCTGGATTCGATCACGCAGCAGGCGAGGTACGTTGACCGACTATTGTCGAGATAGCGATGTAGCGTTTCGGGGCTAGTGGCTTCCCTTTCAATCTCAGTTCGCAGGCGACTCTGCGCGTTCTGATGTGCTGCCAAAAAGACAGGGACCCATGATAGACCTCCCATGGTGACGTCTAGATTTGCGAAGAGAGACTCGTCGAGAGTCTGAAGCAGCTGCTCTTCACTAATGTTTCCTGACGCAACAGCTTCATACATGCCAACGATAGGCTGCTGCGGGTCAGCATTCTGCTGTGCATGAGCTAGGGCCATTTGATTGAATATTTTCCACGCCTCCTTGAATCTGACAAGTTCTTGGTTCGCAGAAGTCGGGAGGAAACGAGCCCATGAAAACCGGTGTAAGCCTCCTTTGATGACGTGTTGATTGAATATGTGAGTTCGCAGAGGGATGAGGTCATCTAGTTGCGTCTTGAGCTGTGGCGGCAGAGGGCCGTAAAACTGATAAATACTTCACGTCAACAATTGACATCAAGTTTGATTACCGAAAAGTCTCGGAATGCTATGAAATACCACTACTAGATGCGTGCTCCGAGGTGAAATAGCCGGGGTAATTTCATAAACAGATAAAGGGACTGAGAAAATAGGGGGAGGACTAACCATGTCGGCGATGACTCGGAAGGGGAGTATCGCCAGGTCATCTACTGGATGTAGGAGATGTTCGTTCAGACCCCCGCTGCTTTTACCATGTAGTTGCTCAAAATGCTCCGCGACGCAGCGCTGAATATATTCGACCCGTGAACATACCGCCGCGCGTTGAAACGGAGGTTCGGCGACGGCTCTCACAGAGCGCCAGTCGGGGCCACTGAGCAGACCAACGCATTCGCCTAAGAGTCTGTTCATGTAGAAGCCCGAATTGTTTGCCGGCGCCTTGGAATGCTTATCTGAGTCCCTGAAAACGGTCTGCAAATGATGAGGCTGTGTCAGAACACTGAAAAAGCCAACGTTAGTATCGAACTTGATTTATATCAACGAACAATAGGACGCACATCTCTGGCTTCATTCCTGACCATATGCGATACATCCGGCCGTGCTGCTTCTCCCACGCTGCAGAATTCTCGACTCCTTTCAGAAACTTGGCGATGTCTCCTTGCCCATTCGGCCAGACGTATGGGCACGAAGGAATGCCAACCTTGTCACCATTCTCACCATATATCGGATGCTTCCAGTCCAAGTATTTCTACCCCAAGTTAACAATCAGCCATAATTTCGACTTCAATCGATGTCTACGTACATTGATGATGCTTGATATTAGCACTTTGAAGGAATTAGGTAGGATACCTGGGAATACGAGTTCCAACAGACTGAAGACCAGGAACGCAAAGAAAACAACAAGGAGATTAAACACAAGAAACATGACGGAAGGGCTTGAGGCAACCTTCGTCTCTAAAAGTCGACTTATAACTGTTTGCTGGCCTACAGTATAATTGTTCATTTTGAGGCCGCAGAAAATAGTCAATAATCAAATTGTGAACTTGTCGTAGACCGTAGCGTAGACCGTAGCATACACAGCCGTGGATCAGTCCATCCGCCTGTTGGAAAGTAAGACAGAGGACTTGGAAAACCTGGCCACATCGGACCTCCCCGCTGACCGCCGTGGGTACCAACCGAGGCAGTTTTACTTTTGGTGCAGTGTCTCGTCTGATATTTGGGCACAAGTTTCATATACAGATTCAGTAGTAAGATGCGTTTTTTGCTGCAATAACATCGGCCAAAAAAGCTCGTTGTTTGATGTTGTGTAGTAACTAGCAGCAGTCCACCAATTCCATGTTCAACGACTTCCAAAATTTCACGGCCGCATATCGATAGCACTTACCCAAGCATTTCTCAAAGGGTAAATCTTGTGAATATTCCATCCAGATGCCTTGGCGACTTGCTGCCAGTCCTCTGCTGTTCGCTCCCGTCCCTTTGCCGTCATCAACATCTGTACATCACCGTACTGTGCTAAGCGTCCCATAGCACCGTCCTGCAGCACGGCATCCATGACGACTAGTCGTGATTGATCCCCCGGGACTATGGATTCTCGGATGTTGCGCAAAATCTGTATTACCTCTGGGTCTAGCCAGTTATGCAAACACCACTTGATAACGTAGACCTCGTGACGAGGCAATGGGCCGGTTAGGAAGTCCCCTGCGACGAGGTTCTCGGGTGATATGCGGCTTCCGACGTCGGCATACTGCCCGTCCGGCGAGTGAAAGAAAGGCCCTGTGTGGTCGATAACCGCGGCCATGTCTAGAATGCCACCTCGCACTAGAGAATGAGTCTTAGTTCACGCAGGGGAACTCAAAAGTAGTGACAACATATAGGGAGGGAAATCGCCTACTTTTTGGGTGTTCGCGAAGCAATGATGCCATCAGTGCCCCTCCACCCCCTCCTACATCGAGCACAGTCTTGTCCCCGATCTCGTGCCAGGGATAGTCTGTAAGAATTCCAGGAGCCTGGGCAACCTGGCTAGCACTGAAAGCGCGATGTACGCGGGGCAGCCACCCGCGCTTCTCAAAGTAGGCGAATATGCTATCGTCTGTGTCATAGTTGATCTGAGCCGCCGTACGAGTGGCACCGCTAAGAAGCGAGTCCGGAATTCCACGCGCCATGTCATAGAACTCGGTAGCGTATAGCTCCACCCAGGTGTGCCATTGTGTCCAGTGGTCAGACCGCAGAAGATCGGAACGAGCGTTGTTGGTGTAAGTATCGTTCGAGGCATCGTAGGTGAACAGCCCGTTATTGTAAAGTAGTCTCATGACAGGCCGAAGTCGATCTTCACGTGCTCCAGCAGCCTCTGAAAGTTTGGCAACGGTCATGCCCGGTGACGATGATAGAATGTCCGGGACTTTGAGCGAGACGACTGCTACTAAGCTTTTGCTACTCAAATAGTATCCTGCGCGACCCCGCGGTGGCCAAGCCATCAGCAAATAGACTGAACATGAGCGAGTAAAGATGAGAACAAACCCATGAAATGATCAGCCAAGACAAGTTGAGCCGGTTGCAGTATTTGCTTGGCTTCGTCCAGCAGATCTACTGCTTCTGCCGCCAGCGACCCGATCCTCTTATCCGGCAGCGTTTTCGCATCGTGGAGCTTGGAAGCGAGTTGGGCTTGCAAGTTGGGCTGTTTCAAACTACTAAGAAGTTTTGACAAAGTCTCGTTGAGAGTCTCTAGTGTTTGTTCAACGTCAGTTGCAGAATTTGTCGAAGTAGAAGCCATCGTTTTTGTCGACCTCTTGACGTCTGGTGAGAGGATCTAAGATTGCACTGATACCGAATTTAGGTAGGAAGGAAATGAATTTTACAATCGAATTTCAATCAATAACTAGCCGACGTCATTCTTCCCTTACAATTGGGTTCTACTTTGACCTACTGCAGTGCAATCAGACGAATTCTAGATGCCAGTTATGTCATGCACGCCGGGGACACGGAGGCATCCGGGGTGCATGCACTAAGGTACTCAAGGTTGGTAAGTTTAAGGTAATGTTCTTCACTGTCCGATGGGGGCATGCCTTTCCTCAAAGAATGTCCATGGGGAAATATTAAGACGATTCACTTTCCTTTTTCGAATACTCAATGCCATTTGAAAATGGGTTTGACTTTCCGCACCGGATGTCCTGGGTCTAAACACCGGACGAGAGAACGAGGATATTCCGTCCGATGTTACTAGTCGAGGAATCGGTTTCTCATGTATTGCACTTTGCCATTTCTCGCATTCGGGGGTGCGAATATGTAAGAGTAGTTGCTATTCTCGTCATGTGGCGTTACACAGGAACAGAAACCAAAACGCATGAGAGCAAGAAACGTTGAAAGAGGCGTCGGACCCACTTACGACAGTATGCCTCTCAAAATCCTCATCTCTGGGGCCGGCGTGGCTGGTCCCGCCCTATCCGCCTTCTTGCTCCGCGCCAACCCGTCTCACAGCATCACAATCGTCGAGCGCTCTCTGGCGCTGCGCAAGGGAGGCCAGCAGATCGACTTGCGTGGACAAGGAATACCCGTAATGCGCAAGCTGGGGCTTTTGGATAAGGTCAAAGAACGAGCGGTAGCCGAAGATGGTATTGCTTTCGTGGATGCCTCATCTGGCAGGCAATGGGCAATCTTCGGCAGAAATGATTCTGGTCAAGGCCGACAGGCCTTCAGCAGCGAGTATGAAATCATGCGACGCGATCTCGTTGACGTGCTGTACGGCGCCAGTCTGGACGAAGGACGTCGAGGGCGGAGCCGGGATCGAGGTCAGGGTGGCCTCAAGTACAAGTTCGGAACCTACGCTACTGGCATTCGCCAATTTGAAAGTGGCGCCCAAGTCAGCTTCTGCGATGGCAGTACTGAGGACTTTGACTTGGTAGTCGGTGCTGACGGGCAGTCGTCGAAGACACGGCGGCTCGTGTTTGGCCAGGAGGCGAGCGACGCGGCTTTCAAATCACTTGGGGTGAACTTCGCTTACTTCAGGATCCCTCGGGAACAGAGTGACAACGCAACGGCGCAAGCGAGCTTTTCGTCCAAAAAGCGATTCATGGCTATTCGAACGGGTGACAGACCGGTAGCTCAGGGCTATCTTGGGGTCAAGGCCGATATCCCTGAGTTGACAAACTCAACAACTCAAAGCGCGTCAACCCAGAAAGATTTATGGGCACAGATTTTCGAAGGAGCAGGATGGAAATCGGAGCGTTTGATACGGGACATGTTGGCGACGGATGACTTTTATGCTCACAAGCTGGGCCAGGTCAAGATGGATACCTGGTCCAAAGGGCGCGTTGTGTTGTTGGGGGACGCAGGATACTGCCCAAGCCCAATGACCGGTATGGGAACCGCGTGTGGTATGGTTGGAGCTTACGTTCTCGCCGGCGAAATTTCAAGATTTGGACATGGCAGCAATATCAAAGCTGCTCTTGAGTCGTACGAAAAGGTGATGCGGCCATTCATTGTCGAAGCTCAGAAGCTGCCGGCCATTGGTCCAGGACCATTGTATATCGAAACGGAATGGGGCATTTGGTTTGCTAACCGGGTTTTTGGTGTTATGTCTGCTCTGCAAATCGACCGTTTGCTGAATAGAATCATGCCGGAGGATAAAGGTGGATGGATAGTTCCTGAATACCCGGAGCTCAACGGAAACACATAAACGTATCTAGCCAGGCAACCTTTACGATCTATCTATTCTACGAAGCAAATCTAGGGTCGCACAGCACATTCAAGCTGTAGCTACAAGCTCCGATTTGAAGGCTGTCGTCTCTTCAGTTCACTATCGGCTTCACGACATTTGGTCACAACTCAAGCGAAATATGTCACGTTCTTCTCAAAACGGCTTGTAGTACTAATAAAGTTGTACCGATGGCGGAAATCCGGGGCGTTTTGAGTTTTGGGGGTCGGGGACAAACCCGCTGCCGCCAAACTTGGGAAGTCAATGGGGGCAATGTTCCGATGCGAGTCCCGACCGGACAACCATGACACTGTCCGAACGGCAGGCCTCCCCAGTCACCAAATCTAACGGTGAACACCCACTCTTCTTGCCGCCATGAACTCACGACTCTTCATTCAGCCAAGCAATGGGTATGGGCAGATAGAGTGAGAGAGCCCACCGCGATGGATCCTTCGAACGAAACCATCAGTATAACCCGAACACAATCGAAAGAATACAAGAACAAGCGCGACACATTTATCGATGTAGCGGTTCCGTCATATCAGTTGGAGCTGCCTCACGACTTTCCGCTAGAAAGGGCGCCCTGGGACGATGCCTCTAGCGAACAAACCAAGGTCCCGACGAGTTCCACGGATGAGTTGTCAATTGAGAGTAACAATGTAGAGAAAAGAGGCGATACAGCGTCGGATGCTGTTGGTGATTTTCCTCAAGGTCTCCAACTAGCCATGATCGTGTTAGCCGTCATTCTCAGTTTCTTTCTTGTGTCACTTGACATGGTAACGTCTTGTCAGCCCGTGAGACCACAGGCAATGGCTGACTTCCACAGACCATCGTAGCAACCGCGATACCGAGGATAACTGACGAGTTTCACGGTATTGCCGATGTGTCGTGGTATAGCTCGGTATTCTTCATGACGACTGCCGGGTTCCAGTCGACTTGGGGCAAAGCGTATAAGTACTTCCCGCTCAAGACGACGTTTCTGGCTTCCATTACGGTCTTTGAACTGGGCAGCCTGCTTTGTGGAGCAGCTCCAACATCCCTCGCCCTTATCATCGGGCGTGCTATAACCGGCATAGGGGGCGCAGGAATCGGATCTGGCTGTTACACCATCATTGGTAAGTATAGCTCAGACTGAATTTGGCCACAAGCTTAGCCAAGAATGATTCAAAACTGACATCGACGCAGGCTTTTCTGCCGATCCGAAGAAGAGACCTTTATTCACTGGGCTTGTTGGTGCATCGTACGGTATAGCCAGTGCACTTGGCCCCTTGCTCGGCGGCTTACTTAGTGACAAGGCATCGTGGCGTTGGTGAGCTTTCATACCTCACGACATTGGAAGCTGAGAAACCAAACATTTCCCTCTAACTTGTCCACAGGTGTTTCTACATCAACCTACCAATCGGAGCCATCTCCATACTGGCTATTGTTCGTTTCTTCAAATCTCCGGCAGCTGCAAATCCGCAGGCAGCGTCTTGGATGGAGAAAATCGTACAAATGGATCCTCTAGGATCTTCTCTCATGATGTCTGCTGTTGTTTCTCTGATATTGGCTCTCCAGAAGGGTGGACAGACCGATTCTTGGGGTTCGCCAAAAGTTATTGGCCTCCTCGTTAGCGCCGGCGTTCTTATGGTTCTCTTTGCAGTTTGGGAAAGTTTTCAGGGAGAAAGAGCAATGATAGTTCCTCGGCTCTTCAGGCGTCGCGTTATATTCTTTTCCTTCATGTTTCTCGCACTCTTCGCGGGCGGCTACTATACACTTATCTATATCCTACCGTTGTACTTCCAGGCCATCGATGGAACAAGCCCAATCGAATCTGGTAAGTGTTCCGTACCACAGACACAAGCTTTTCATGAGAAACGATTTTGACAGAATCTCATAGGAGTTCGTAATCTTCCGCTCATAATCGCCGTCTCTATTGCATCCATCCTTTCCGGAAGCTTGGTCTCATCCACCGGCTTTGCTGCACCCCTCATGCCCATTGGCGCCGCCACTGCCACAGTTGCGGCCGGACTTCTGTTCACGCTTGACATTGGCACCGAGCCGATCAAATGGGTCATGTACCAAGTGCTTGCAGGCATTGGCTTTGGTATCGCTATCCAGGTGCCGATGATCATAAGCCAGTCGAGCATCGACTTGTCCGATCTTGCTTCGATCACAGCTCTGATGATGTTTAGCCAGACTACTGGAGCCGCTGTTCTTGTTTCGGCAGCCCAGGCTGCATTCGGCAACGTCCTCCTTCAGGAGGCACAGATGACTGCCCCGGATATCAAGCCCGAGGCTCTGATTATGACAGGCGTTGGCTCGTTGCGGCAGGTGTTTCGTCCCGATCAACTTGCAGGGATTTTGGTTGCTTACATGAGAGGTTTGAAGATCACATTTGCTATTGTTATCGGAGCGGTTGTTTTGGCATTTAGCATGAGCACCTACGTGCCATGGAAGCGATTGGGACATGGCAGTAAGAAAGAGGTAGCTGCCGAGGAAGTTTAATGTACAATAAATATCGTTCCAGAATTTTAAAAAGCACCTTCCTGCGAAGAAAGATAAAGTCCAAGTTTCTACAATCAAGAGTAGCGTACATGTTTAATTTGCGAGTTGCGTACGATTGGTAAAGGACACATAGTTATACACATTCAAACTGAATGATTTGGAAGCAGTATTATTCAGGTTATCATTACGTCACATTACAACAATGTCATGTTTTCATGGGTATGCTATGAAGGCCAGTTATCAGACAGTAGGTTTCCTTCTTCGTACTTTCGCACGTATGGGCCCCTCTGGGTGCATTACACCAAACATGAAGTATCTAGGGTCGTCCCTAACCCAACCATCCCTAGGCTCGAGCACGATATCAAAGACGGTAAGAAACATCGCCATTGTGACAATCAATTCTTTCTTGGCGAAATGGCGACCTGGGCACATACGAGATCCGCCCCCGTATGGCACCCAGGATCCGAGTGTACCGTCGAGTGAGAAGTGTGGATGCGATGGCTTCTCGTGCGTCTCTGATCGGCTCGCAAGGCGAAGGTCTGGAAGTACAGGCCCACTCGCCGGGTCCTGTGGGTTGACGATGAACCGTTCTGGCCAAAAGTCGTCTACGGGATGAGGCTCGTCTGTTGTGCCTTGGTTCCAAATGGAAGGCACACGAGCCGTATCATATGTCGAAACCATGATTGGCTCGTCTTTCGTAAACTTCCAGCCTGCGATGGAGAAGTCGGGTGTCTGAGGCACGCGGGCGACCACTGTCCCGTTGTGAACACGCAGAACCTCCGCATATATCGACTGAATCAGGGTCTCTTGGCAAAGTCCATCAATATCGATTTCAGGTGGGCTTTCGTTGGATGAAAAACGCATGTGAGGAGAGATTTCGGCTCGAACCTGCTCGAGGAGTGCCGGGCGCTGCACAACTTCCAACACCATCCATCCAATCGCAGGAATTGCATTTGCAGTGGCTCTGTTGCAGTTAAATGGTTAGAACATGTTCTGTGCAGGTAGTATGATATGAAATTCTCTGGCACTTACGCCCAAAGCAAACCCAAATCGTCGGCTGCGACTGTGTCCTTGCTCAACGGCATCTTGTTGAAGAATGCGTGCCGACTCCTCATCAGCTTAGATCCGAAGTTCTCTTCCCAGTTCCGCGTGTCTGTCGGGCTTTGGCTGATGTCGTAGCTTTTGTGAGCAAGTTCATGCCATCTCTTCATGTTCTCCTTCATCTTATCCCTAGCCGTATACGAAGCCGGAAATAGCCATCGGGGCATCTCTCGAAATAGGTTGGGCAAGTGACCGTCAAAGTCCCAGAAGTCTGGCTCGATATTCGGGGCAGCCTCAAAGATACGCGGCCCGCACAGCGATGTGGTTGCTGCTGTGAAGCAGACTTTTCGAAGAAAGGACCCGTACAGATCCGGGATGTCGGTCCAAGAGTCGTAGCCGATCTCTACGCGCGCGAGCTGGGTCCAGAGATTCGAGATGAGCTGGCGCTGCATCTCTTCAAGCCTTTCTCCGCTCAGGCCTTCATGTACACTTTGATAAACATGATGGAAAATACGATGTTCGTGTGGGATCGGATTACTCTGGGCCACAGGTTGGTTACTGATTCCTGTGTCATCAGCATGATAGAACGGCACGTCACTCGTGTTGACACCGAAAGCAGTGACCAAGACCTGGACAAGCCAGCGCTCACTGCTCAGCCAACGAGAACCTTTGAATAAGGTGACGATGTTGCTGGCACCATTCAGAACGGTCATGCGGCGATTCAGAAGTTTCAGTTGCACAGGCGTGTTCGGTCCACAGCATGTCCTAGGTTTCATTCTGTGAGAAGCTTTGCGGGAAGATAACGAAGGAGGAGTCTTACGAAGCTTTGGCAAGCAATCGTTCCGTGTTCCATAGAAACTGAATCAAATGACCGACGACAGGAAGTGCAGATGGCAACGTCGGTGGTGAACGTTTGTCCCCATGGCGAATCACTGGCGACTCCCAACCCGAGAGCAAGAGACGTAAGACACCAACTGACACGAGCAACGCACAAACAGCAGTGGGCGAGTAGAAGTCCATGTTGACACCCGGGTGGCTGAGGTGAAGGAGTGACTCTGGGATGAACGGAAACAAAGCAGCGTTAAGGGGTTAGTCTGGTTAAGACTGCGCGCAAGAGTTCAACTAGACCATGAAGCTTTGCCTGAACCTGTCTAGTTCCAATATGTCAGCCCCGCCCGCTCAGCGAAGGAAGGACATCCATGGATGCGTAGGATCGCAATAAATTATTGCTTTGCAGCGGGTAGCAGCGAGTAATGACATGGTTCAGCTCATAGACACCCGGACTTTGCGGAAACTTCGGTGGCCTGCCTAGCGGCCGCAAAGTGCACTGTAAGCCAATAACCTAAGAAAGACGTCAAATCAACATCTGGACCATCGAAGATTACGATGCTTGCTTGACTTGATTGGCACCAAATGAGAAATTTTCTTAAGTGTTTTCAGACTTTCAAGGTACTCAAACAACTAATCTTACACCACCTGCAGCCGATTCTGACTGCACACACGCCATTATCATTTTACTTGTGCTCGTTGATGAAGTCCACATGGCTCCCAACGCTCGTAAAAACGATAGGCCAAGTAACACCGCGCCAAGAACGACTACCGCATGTCTTGATGCCACCATCGGCCAGAACCCCCACAAAATTTCCAGTGACGGCGCTCACAAGAGGCGCGCCATTGTCACCAAAGCATGCATCTCGAAGCTCCTGTATCCTGACACAGAAAATGCCTCCCGGTTGATAAGCTGGGGCAATTACCTCTCCACATCCCTCCTTTGGAAGAATAGGTAGATTGATTCGAGATGCTTTCTGTGCAGGCCATACTGAGTCTCGGACCGTAGCTCCCCTATTCAACATCTCGTCAGTAAGAGATATCAAAAGCCAGGCGCCATTTTCGCGGATCCCGTACCAGCCTGCCAAAATACCCTCGGTGTTAGGATTTGGCAGTGTATCCTTGTTTGGCAGTTTCGCATATCCAGTCGAGTCCGACTCTTCGATGTCCTCAGCCAAGCGTAGAATGGCAATGTCATGGGCCGAGAAAGTCTCGTTGTAATCAGGATGGACTGTAATTTTGGCCACACCAACTTTTCTGCCAGCGTAGATATCCTTCGTCATGCCTTAGCTCGTCAATAACGTTGCAGTAATGAGACTTGTACTCACCACATTCCCAGCCACGACCTGAACGTCCGAGGTTGTCATTCCAGGGTAGCTAACGCAGGACGCCGCAGTAACCACTGTCCTTGCGTTAATCAGAGTGCCACCGCACCTAATACCGCCAATAAGCGCAACCAGAAACGGCAACTCTCCAGGCTGGACCTCTGTGCCGCCGATGATTCTAGCTTCAATCGCGGTATTCCCATCAGCCTCCCGGAGTCGGTGGTGCACATGACTAACTGCAATGACACCTCTGAGGAGGCAAGCAAGAATCGTGCTGAATCTCATGCTGGCGACTTCCGAGGTTCGTGTTAAGTGAACTGAGAGAGAAAGAGAAAACAACTGTCTTCTTGGTCTGACCAAACGAATCATCGTCGACAAGGCACAATGGCCCTTTTATGGGCTCGCGATCATTGTGTTAAGCCCATCTAGATATTTTGGAAAGGGATATCTTCCTGACGGCAAGGGTCAATATTCTAGGGTGTCTTGGCTCCTGCCTACTACCCTGCTCAGAAAGGAGACGTACAAAGGCGATTGCTCTTGTGTAAAATTGCATTTTACGCAACACATGATTCCAAGCGTGCTAGCAGGGTTTGTCGTTGCTTCAAACTCCGTCGGGACCGGCTAGCATTGGAATTCTCCGTTGGCAGCTCAACATCAACATCGTGTCCGTGCCCTGCTAAGGAAGAAAGGGTTCATAAAATCTAATTGCATCCACGTACGTTATGTCAGTGGAGAAGATATACGAATAGCATATTAACCAGACTGCCCAAACGCTGAATCCTTTAGCAGAACGTCACCGATCTCATTTTTGTATCGCGACAAGAGCCGAGACTGATCATCACAGAATGCCTGGAATCCGATCCTTCACCGCCATCCTGGATCCTCTCATGGCATTGGCCGCGCTCTGGATGAAGCCGTTCTCGAATCCGGAGATCCGGCGGTTGCTATTATTTGTAGACGGCAATCGTCACGGCTTGGTGACCATGCACGATGCCGACCAAGTGCTTGCCAAGGAGATAAAGATGAATGGCCAGATGCAGGTCAGATGCAGATTAGGTGGAGGCTCACCTCCAGCTTGGCCGCACCGATATACTCATCGAAGATAGATGTGCAGGAATACTTTCGGCGTAAGATAGAGCAACTAATCTTTCTGCTCGTCTTTCTGCTTTCTTGGCACTTTTTATGTTGTTAAGAATATCTTTACTGCTTTGAGTTGCAAAAAGAGGGCTCAGAACGGATGTTTCCAATTGTACATGTAAGGGCTAATGCCCGAGCCAGAACTCCAAGGCTACCTATGAACTTGGCCTTGGCGGGATCTTCTATCGCCAGAGGGCCAATCAGCTATTAAGCGGGCTGTGCTAACAGTAAGAAATGCTAAGAAGCGATTGGGATATACTCCAATAGAGTGAACTCGCCGCAGAAAACGGCAAAGGTCTGGTGATTCAGCTGGCTTGTCCAAATAAGAAGATCCACCATTGAAACTGATAATGCTGCTTGGGGCTGATTCCCTCATTTAGATGAGGAACGGAGGGACTTGAAATCATAAGATAATTGTGAATAGATCTACACTTGTGTTTCTGGACTGTACGTGATTGTGGTTCCCACGAAAGGAGCGGATATACTGCCTGTCTCCCGATGGACCCTGCTTCTGACGAATCCACGATCTCCGTGTGGTGAACCAAAAGTACCCGCTTAGACTAAAATATTCGCCGAGTCGATATTATCCCTTAGACTCAAGGAGTTTAGCGTAGTCTGGTTGCCATGTTCGATGTCAATTTGTTGTGTCAGGCTCTTTGATATGTACTAATAACGCTGTTTCCCATTTCGTACCGGAAGGATCAACTTTGGAAGAGAACATCGAGTTTCCACTAAGGTCAAGTCAGCACGAGACAAACAGCACACGATTACAGAGCTTGTTAGTGGCATTTCATATCTCCTTGATCCATGAATACACACTGCACAGGTCATTTGCCTTCGCAAATATGTCAAATCTTACAATGACCTCTTTGGAGTCTTTGATGAGTCTAGCTAGCTGAATAATGCAACGAAGGGACCCTATAGCGAAGAAAGCTCCAAACCTTTCAATATCACCCAATAATGTAGTCTTTTGTTATTATTGTAATCATCCGAAGAGCCAAACGTGATGATTCGATTGTGTCGTTGAAGGTAGTGTTGTTTGGCATCATTCAGAACTGATGAGATGTTTCATCACTGAGTCGATAGCAAAGTCTAGGCTTCCACTAGACCATACTGTATCTCCCAACACAGAATAAGAAATGACGTCTGCTGCGTGTTCTATGCTAGATCGATGCTTAACAAAATCCATCTACCTTTACAGCATAGACAGTACTATAGTGTTGTTTCACGCCTCACATTTATTCGCCTACAAACCTTTCCTTTCCATTTCTTGGAGCCTTTGCAGAGCACTTCAAGATTTCTGGTCGCAATATGTTCAGTTACATTTAGAGTTGTGTTTCCGATTGTTAAGATGATGCAATACCTTGGACTGCCAACACCGCCTCATTGATCTTAAATGTTGTATTATCCGTGAAGCCTGGAGGGAGATGTGCATTTTTGTCCAAGATTGGATAAAATAGAACGTTAGCCTTTATCTTTATTTACTGGTTCGTTATAATGACTAAAGTTTCTTCACATATTCCACGGCGATAGAAGACAATCTTCCCTCAATCCGACTCGACGGGAAGACCGAACGAGCTCATTGCTGCCCACTGTTGCTGGCGTCGTCGCCTTTATCATTATTGTTATCGTTTTCATTGTCGCCGTCCGTTGCCGTCGTTTATCCGGTCAAAAACACTTGTACTTTATTCGTTTCTCTCCATTGCACACCGCGAATTGCCTTCTATTGTCCGGTCTCCATCTTGAATATTTACAGAGTCTTCATAAACTATAACAAATACAAATCAGTCATTAAGATTACTTGAACAACTGTTTGGCCTCTTCTCGTGTCAAATCCGCCGGATGTAGTCGCATTAGTTTCAGTCTCAACAAACGTGCTATCCGCAATGCTTTGAATAAATTCTTCCCACTTGGTCTATTCTATGATGAATTTGCGACATGAGAAATTTGCCAATTGCCATCTTCTATGATTCCATGTTCAGATCCGTTTGGTTTGTTGTGTGGCCTGCGGCTCTTGCATCCACCCAGTGGTCGGTCAGAAGCAGTAAACCGAGGTAGATGGCACCTCTGACCCATGACAGTACGTTCGAATACCGGATAAAAGCAGGCATACCTTGAACAGCAGGCTTACCAGGATGTTTAAAAACCATTCTTATCCCAAATCGATGCTTCACCGACATATCCAGTTGCCTGTGGGATGTGACGTCGTTCTTAATAGCTCACTCACCTCGGCTTTAATGTCGGAGAATAGTTAAGCTACAGTAGCTGTTGCCACCCCAAGTCCCGAGACGGTTCTAGATCATGCCTTAGCGCATGATGATCGCCTCAACGTACGAATCCTTTTTGAAAAGAATGGGACGCAGGATGCCATGTGGATTGAAGCTAAACCTATAATTGATGAATACTCGTGCGGTGGGAACCCGCGAATCGTTATCTACTCGGACAGGTTCCCCCACAATGCCGTGAATGCTCCGGGAATTAAGCTCTTTTTGACACCGTAGCCACGTGTCTGGTAGTCTTCACTCATACTTTTTGCTGGAGACATGAATGGGACATTGCAGCCCATGACTTCAGAATGCGCTTGATTCGGTTATGTAAACAAGATAAACCGAATCTTTCACCACATTAAATAATTACTCTAGCCGCGGCTGCCCAAAGGCTGAGTATACTCTGATTTCTCTTGCGTCAAACTCGCAGTGACTCAGAGATAGCACACAGAGAACCAACAACGTCTCGAAATGCTTACCTATCTGTTGTGCGTGGATGAAGAATGCCTTGAGTCGTTTCTAGCATACGAGAGGCCAGAGCAGGGAGGCTCTAAAGAGATGCTCTACCACATCAACATTACGGCAATCAACGCTGGGTCGGAAGGTCGTTTGATGATAAAGTCAACACAGAAGTCACAGAATATGACGAGGCCAGCAGTGATGAGTCTAAGGAACACAATGAAGAGGATCATAATTCATATAACAAGATGACGATGTCGACAGTAACGGCTACATCAAGGTCAATCGGTCCCACGGGCTCAACGAGGTCGAGTATCATGCCGATAATGAGTGCGAGAGTGTGGACAATGACGCACACGACGAAGCGTATCCAGTCCCAGGGACTACGACGGTCAGGACGAGTCTGCAGGAGACATGGAGGAAGAAGAATACGCCCGGATGCTTGTACTCTGCAGTGAAATTGTATTCACTTGGAATAGGATGGCTGCTCGGTACATTTTGGGATACAGAAAACCTGAGATGCCGCGGCGACGGAGATAGCAAATGCGCCTGGCCAGAGGCGATCCCCCGAAATACAAAGTAGTACTATCCGTAGCATGTCTATCGGGCGCATTGTTGCCTCATTGGAGCTGGACGTACACAATAGCATCTATGATATTTCCGTTTAGTATTCAGTTGGGTTAGCAAGAATGCTGTTTCTGAGAGAAACGTCTTTGTTTCTTACATGTACTCGCTCGGGGACACACTTCGACATCTATATTCCACTGGGACACTGGCTACCCACGGAAACCACTGTTGAGAGCCGAGTTAAGCGCTGGGTCGATGAAAAACTTCAAGTTACTGGTGATGTATGCCTTGCTGATTTCGTTATTCTCAAGGCGAAAATCTCTCATCTTAGCCGGAATGTGTGTTCGCCCCCACGTCACGGGCAGCACGCCAACTCCGATTTCAACCAGGACTTAACGAACATGTTCAACCGAGCTTCGGATGATCGACATGGGATTGGCCAGAACGTGGTGTCACTTGTCAGCGCAAGTCCCATTCAGAGTGGGGGGATACCCTTGAAGAACGACGAACATGAGGAAACGGAGTCATGGCACCGCTTTTCGTACTCGAAATTGGCTTGCCCAACGGGCATCCAGGGCCCAAATTAGAAGGGATTTCCGCCTGGCCCGCAATATAGTCTACATTGCACGGCTGTTCAGATCCGTTTGAAGCAAATCCATTGCAAGCATGTCACCTGTGCCGGCCCCTTGTTTCACTAGAGTATTGACCCATTCTTCACCTGCCTCCTTAAGCCAAGCTTGTTTCCTCCACTTTCGTTGGGCTGAAGAGAGAAAGTTCTCTTCACTCAAAAACTCCATGGGTTCGCTTCTAGCCCCGTAGAGCGGCATTCGTCTTGTCTCCTCACGACAAGATGGCCGAGCCTATGTCAACCGCCGCTGCGGCTGGGCCGACGGCGCCGGCTGGTATGGCGCCTCCCAGCCAGGAAGACTTCGTCTACAGCGCGAGCATGGCTCGGGCGACGGTCGCCTTTGGGGCGATTGTGACGGTCATCACCACTGCGTCCGTCGTTGCGCGACTTTACACTCATAATTTCGTCATCAAAAAAGTCCGAATAGACGATGCTTGGGCTCTATGCGCAGTGGTATGCTTCACTTACTCTTTGCTGCCTCGAGCAGTGTTATTAACTCTATTTAGCTGAGCGTAATCGCCGTCAACATCATGCAAAGCGTCTTCGCAATGCGATATCTTCCCGAGATGACATCGATGATCTCAAACTCTGAGGGTTCAAGGGTATGTGCCGCTGTTCTCCACATCATTCTTTACCCTGTTGACATTGTGAAAGATTCCGTACGCAACTGCAATCACGTACAACGTTGCGATGGCGTCCTTGAAGATAACGTTCTTGTTCCAATTTTACCAGATCTTCAGACACGTCCGGGTTATGAGGATTGTGTACTTGGTCGCCATCTTCATAGTCGGAGCTTGGAGCATTACTCAGATCCTTCTTGCGGTCCTGGTCTGCGTGCCCATCGAAGCCAATTGGAACCCAAGCGTACCAGGTGTTGTCACATGTCTACCGACATTCGTAGCGACATACATCAACGCCACAGGGACAATGGTGACGGACGTGATAGTTCTCTTCTTGCCGCTTCCTACCCTGTGGAGTTTGAGACTGCGCGGGCGGCAAATCTGGGCTGTGTTCGGTGTATTTGGCATTGGTGCAATGTGAGTCTCAGTCTAGTTCCTTTCGTCATCAGACTTCATTCTTGTTTCGAGACTGACCAAATGGTGTGCAGCGTCCCCGTCATCTCGGCCGGTCGCATTTGGAGCCTGAGCCACCCACCCCCGAAGGGGTACATGAGCACAGCATGCTGGACGATTGCAGAGATTGGTGTCGGCGTTATCACCGCGTCTTTGGCAACCATTCGGCATCTTCGAGATCGCAGGGTAAACACTCTTCTATCAAGAAGCCAGACAGGCCGGAGAGATTCTCTGTCAGAGGGCGTCTCGACGCAAGATCCAACACAGGCTTTCTCTCACCAGAGATCTGGAAGCGAGGTCGATCTAATAGGTGTTGATCGCACAGGCACAAGCGGTTCTTTGGACAGCAGCTTCAAGTTGTTTGGTAAAAAGAAGGCTCTACAGGCGTCAGAAATAAGCGTTCCAAATCACGCAACAGATTTGACACCGAACAAGGGCTCAACGAAAACCAACATCACATCATCTCGAAACAAGGAAATACCAATGTCGGAAGGTGCGGCTAACTTCCTTGGGGAATTTGGAATTCGTGTTGAGAGGACGTGGGAGGTGCAAGAAATCCGCATGGCATAGCGGCATTATCTTTTAGGTATTTTATTTTATTAATGATAGTAATGATAAGTTATAAATCATATGAAGCCATTCAATGACGCAAGATGCTGATGAAAGAGCAACTGACAAACAGATTATTCCAAGTTATCAGCTGAGGACGCAGTGAGGACGATGAATGCAGTAAAGCAGCAACCCTTCGCGAAACAGACTCTTTCCAATACTGATTCCAAAGCAATTCTTTGGCGATTAGCTGATCATTAACCCTTAGCGATAGGGCTTCAGTTCCGGATCTATCATTTCCACCTCAGACTGCAAAGATGCTGTGCCACGTCTGCTGCAAGATTTGCGATAGTGTCCAAGATTCATCTAAAATCGGACGCATCTATTATCAGCAAATGCGATATGCCGCGCAATACAATGCGTCAACCCTTATAACCTGGTCATTAATATCATCTCACCATACCCAATGAGTACACATTTGCATCTATTATCAGAAACAGACAGGGCGACGTTCCCACATGTTTGATCCCAAAGAAGCAGCCGATAACGCAGAATTTCTCATCGGCAACTTCAAGTAAGACGGAAAAAGTATCAAGCAATATATTAAACCTGGCTTATACATAAGTTTGTGGCTGAGCTGGTCAGTCAAATTTGGCTCACTTCCGCCAAATACGATCAGTTGCAGACTAATTCGCTCACCTATGGTGGCTGAGCTGCGAGACAAGAATTCGGGAAAGTCCCAATTTGACAAACACCGATACAGTCAGCACGATTCAAAGACGGCTTCTCTGCCAAGGCTTTAAGTTAACGACGCCTTACTTATTAATAAGCCGAAATCTCGCGATGGTGCACTCCGCTCAGAAAACTTGGTTCATGCAGACAAACATTTTCATTCGCAAAGATGAAGTCAGACATCTTTTCTTTTGCGGCAGCGGGACTTGTGTTCCTGAACACCGTTATTGCAGCACCAGCCAACACAACATTCAACTTGCGTCCGTTCAAGATTAATCTCGCAAAGGATGTGCCGCGGATGTTAAATCTCGTAAGAGACAGTCGTCTCCCCGAGAAGCCTCAATATCACGGCGTAGGATCTAATTGGGGCATTGACCTGGACGTGCTTAAAAGCCTTCGGAAGCAATGGCTTGAGAAGTTTAACTGGAAAAAGGAAGAGGAGTCCATGAACAGGTCAGTGAATATGTTTCTGTCTTCATTTTTGGACAGCCAGGCATGCTGACTTCAGCTCATTCAGCTTCAAACACTTCAAGGCAGATATTGAAGGTTTAACTGTTCATTTCATCCACGAGAAGTCAAAAGATCCAAACGCCATTCCCCTTATCCTGAACCATGGGTGGCCTGGGTCGTTTCTTGAGTTCGCACCCATCATCAAGAAGCTCACCGAGAAGGCCGAAACCTCGACTGGCAAACCCGTATCCTTCAACGTCGTTGTGCCGTCGCTGCCGGGCTTCGCATTCTCAGCGTCGCCCCCAGGAAACTGGACCCTCGATGATACCGCTCGCGTTTACAACACGCTCATGACCGAAGTGCTGGGCTACAAGACGTTTGCTGCGCATGGAACGTCTCACGGAGCGCCCTTGACTTTCACGCTCTATGATGTCTTCAACACCACAACAAGAGCGGCTCATTTTGTTTTCATCCCATTTCTCCCTACCCCTGCTGAGCAGATTTCGGCCATGAACATAACTCTTTCGCCACTGGAGCAGTTTGAACTTGACAGGTCTACTTCTTGGGGCACGACTGGTAACGCCTACTTTCTTGAGCACACCACTAAGGTGAGTGGAGATGAGGACTCTGCTGATGTGAGAATAACAAGCTGACGATATCTCTTTTGCAAGCCGAACACTATTGGTCTAGCACTATACGATAACCCAATGGGGCAGTTGGCATGGATCGGTGAGAAGTACATCGATTGTAAGTATTGGCCCATCTTTGAACAACGCATCCAAGTTCATGTTCCCATCGAAATAGACTGACGCGCAAAAACTTCTGCAGGGTCCGATCCTAACGCCGGAAAATTTCCCTCCGTTCTGGATCATAATGAGATCTTGCGCTGCATATCACTCTATTACCTGACGCGATCTTTCGTCTCGTCTGTGTACACATATGCGCAAGACCCTGGCGCTTTCGAGAGAGTCTACCGCAGAGCCAGCACGGATGCTCCGATGTTAGTGAGCTACTTTAAGTACATGGTTGGATTTTGGCCGAAGGAAATCTTGCATATGCTCGGTAATTTGACCATGTACCGAAGTAAGTATTTTTTTCACAGCCTTGGAAGCGATTCTCTGACGTGACTGGTAGATCATGAATTCGGAGGCAACTTCGCTGGCCTTGACAATCCGGCTGCCCTCATCGAGGATTTAAGAGAGATTGGAACACATTGGTCCTGAGTGTACAATGATGTAAATTAACCTCATATATCGACGTCATGTTGTCCGATGTACTGAGTTAAACGATATTGACTATATACCTTGTTTGACCATGTTTGCTTCATAACCTCTAACTGGCGGCAAGGTGCTTCTTTACCTGAAGAATCAGGAGTCCTCATCTTCCGTGATCCATTCTTAAGTAGGAGGCAAATGTTGCAGCCAGACGCACGTAGCGAAGTATAGGACCAAAAGTGCAGCTTCAAAAAGAGATCATAACCTTTCATTCGCTACATGTATTACACGCCTAATAGTGAGAAATAATGCACTTGACAAAACATTCCCGAATCCCGTTTAACAATTTCAGTCGCTTCGAAGATGTAAGCTTGTTCCATTGCATGGCATATTAGTACTCTGTCACTCTTTCGGGCAGTCATCAAGTAAATCCCACTAGAAAAGAGTGTGGAAATAACAGAAGGGACTACGCTCGGCGAAATACTAAGAATCACACATGGTTGGGTTGGACATGTCAAATGTTATGTCGTTCTTGATTGGAGACGAATATCTGTTGAATCTTACATGTACTTCAACTTTACTATTCTGGCTCCTGTCCTGGCCACATTACCAGCTTTTGCGGTAAGATACCCCATAGATACAATCAACGTCCAATGCAGTCAGCACCTACTGCAGAGTCTTGGCACCTTCAGGGTCGTAGGCTGCGACCTCGACTTCAACACGCATCCCAGGTTGACCAAGCTTCGTCACACCAACGCCGGTGAGGATTGGGCAGTGATCGGGCGCCCACTTCTTGACGTTCTCGACCATGCGGCCGAGAGCCTCAGGGGTCATGGCATCATCGAGGGCGAACAGGCGAATGCGATAAACCTGGGTCCAACCCTGGCCTCCGGCATCCTTCAGCGCGAGGTCAATGTTGGTGAAGACCTGGTCAATCTCCTCGAGGAGATCGGAAGGAATCTCTCCCGTCTTGGGGCACCATCCTCCTGCATGGTGCGTTAGCCTAGGACAGGTTTTTCGAGGTTTTTTGCGCGCGTATTGGTGCTTGAGCGGCGAAGTTGAACGGGGGGCGGGCGAGCGAATTCGTGCCACATTCTGCGAAAGGGGCGTTGTTCGGAAGTCGGTAGTCAGGGGTCCTTCCTTACCTTGACCTGCCGTCTCAATTCGGTCGCCTACGCGAACGGCTTGGTTGTAGTTCATTTGCTCAAGGAGACGAGCTCCGTGATCTTTGTAGGAGAAGTAGCGAAGGCCTGACATTTTTGGAAAGTCAACAAGAAAGACTCAGAAAACAGTATCGTTGAACAGCGGGTCGATTGTGAGCCGGAATAAACAAGAATGTAAGAGATGGATAGAAGTAGTTGTAAATTGTAGTGTACGTGTGAGTTCGACTGGTTGAAGGTGTATCTAGCGGCTTCTTTTAAGTCACATCCATGACTTACAGCCCGAGTGAGCTTTTGATGCGGATCAGGTACATCCCATCCAAATCAGGCAGAAAGCTTACTAGGTCTCAGCCATCCTTTTTTCTCAGACGGCGAAAGACAATACGGGAAGGATCATGCAATTGAGCGGGCGGCAGAATAGCACAGCGGAACCGGCCCAACAGTTGCAACTCGCTTCCGAAGCCCTGCAGGAGTTGCGAGAGCGCCAAGGAGGCACAGAGATGACACGTAACCGTCATGGATAGAACAAAACAGCACCAACGTCCAGTCACAAATACGGTATGTTTCATTCTTGGCGGCATAATTTCAGACCCCAACGAACGTGAAGTTTTCAGGCACTTTCAATTCACGTCGGACTCATGTAGTTGCCAGCGGGGCTGCTGTGTTTCCAAGGGCGCATGTATGCGGCTCAAGTGTCGGTGGTAACCAGATCAAGCCGTTCCCGATGATTCTCGAGGTCTCGCTGTGTTGTAATAGGTCAGTTATCGAGGAGGGGAAATGCATCATCCATCCTATTTGACTTGGCAGACTTGGCAGTCAGCTTAGCCACGACTCTACTGCCTAAGACTGTCTTGAATCAACTGATACAGTCAGCTAGCGGAGTAATTAACACAGCCAGCCATTCAACTGCACTGACAAACGTAGCTGATCACGTTTGAGTTAACAGACACGACAGGGATGCAAATGGCGCAAGTCTAGCATTCATACACCGCCCTGAGCCGGGCTAACTTGTCACACGGAGGAACACATCTCTCCGCTGAATAATGCTTTGAGAATTAGTTTGCAACAAGCGCCTCAGACATTGCTGTGATTCTCGGCAGACGGCCCGAATCCGACTTCGACTTGGCGAATGAAGCCTTCATTGTCTCAGACTCTGCATGTAAGAAATACAAGAGACATGTTTTTATGGCTTCTGATTGGACCTAAACCGAAGTTGCCAAGGCCTCGGTACGTTGATTATCGAAGATTCGACACTCTCAAAAGGGCATTGCACGGCATGATTGGGGTCTCTGACGGGAATTCAAGGCTGACTTAAGGTTGAGATGCAAAGGTTCGGCTTTTCCTCGTTGTCGAAGTCCTAGGCTGAACATAAGATTCCGCCATCCTCCGTCATGGTCAGCATCTAGTTGATGTGCCGTTGTCACAAAAGCGCCACCATATTACGCATTAACTCACCTTGTGGTGCATCCTATAACCTATCATCCCTCTATCACACCAAGAAATCCTTCGTCGAATCATGGGTGATAATATTCAGACGCCTCACCCTCGATCCATCTCCGTCTTGGTTATCGGGGCAAACGGCTACCTCGGACTAGCTGTCTGCCGGGCATTCCTCCGTGCCGCAGCGCCAACCGACCCGGAACATGATGACGCAGAGACCAACCCATGCCCGTATCGCGTTTACGGATTGGTCCGTCGACCCTCTGCCGCCCGCGATCTTTCAGTCAACGAAGTCACACCCATCGTTGGTGAGCTATCTGATACAGAGAATACTCTTCGAGAGATTCTCTCCCATAGCCCGAGGTGGGATGTCATCGTGACTTGCACGGAGCCCGCCAAGACGGATTCCGTCGCGGAAGCTGAACACTGGAATGCGATCTTCAAGTTGATCGGCGGCCTTACCGAAGCTTCAAGTTCAAGCAATGTGGCGTCTGCTGTGAGACCAAGCAGACGCCCAATTGTACTCTGGTCCTCAGGATGCAAGGACTATGGCACTACCAGTGTTCACGGTACCCTGGGGCTGAAGCCCCATACTGAGACTTCATCTCTCGACGCGCCTCCTCCCATCCGCGGTCGGACGGATGCCGCGTTGAAAGCTCTGGAGATGGCGCAAAACAGCCATAACGGTATCGAGTCGGAAGGATTCGACGTTGCCGTCATTCGCGCGACACCCATATTTGGATACAGTGGAAGCTACTTTGGAGCAGGCTTCGAGTATGCATCCCGCGCGCTTAGCGCCAAGGCAGATGTGTCATTCGGTGAGGACAGTCAAGCACTCAAGTTTACTGCAGACGCAGGAACTATCTTGCACTCCCTCCATGTCGACGATTGCGCAGAGGCATACGTGGCTCTGGCAACGACCGCGCTGCTCCTTAGGGCCGATGGCGACATCAAAAAAGCCAAGATCGCGGGTGAGGTGTTCAATATCTCCGGCCGGCGTTATGAAACGTTAGAGGAGGTCGGGAAGGCGTTGGCGGCTGAGTACGGCTTCACCGGCGGCGCTCGCTTCGGCCTCCGCCCGGATGAGGTACCAGGGCCAGCAAACGATATGACAGGTATGTTGGTCTTTGGTTGGAGCCAGTGGGTTTCAAGCGAAAAGATCAGGAGGATTACGGGGTGGGCGGATAGACGACCCTTGTTCTCTGAGAATGTAGGGGTCTATCGGTCGGCGTACGAGGCCGCGAAAGCCCAGGGCAATGACAACGTGGGGAGTATCTCGAGGCGGATGGCCGGGGACTGGGGTGAGAGGAAATAAACTACCTACTTGATTAGTCTTAAAGCATTGCTAGACTTGACGTGATGAACCCTCATTCGCCCAATGGAATATCGTTAGCGAACTTAGACAAGAATGTGTCAGCATGGAATATCAACCGAGACCTGTTAGGCCTCGTATATCTCGTATGAAACTGGATGAGCGTTTTTGCATACCCACAACGCCAAGCTGAAGATGGGATGATTTGGGAATTAGCCCATGGGAATGCAAGACGGAAGCGAGGGATCCGGATGGAAATCTTCGCGGCCCCCAATGACCAAAGTTCCCTGATCTATCTCCACCGGAAGCAACCGTATTGCCTGGAATCCTTCCCGGGGTGTGTTGCTACTTCTTCTGAGGTAATTCTTATGGATCTAATTCTGTGCCACCCCGCCGAGTCCGAGTCGTCGATTCCTCAGCCCTACCTTGTGGCATATTGCCACAGCTGCAGCAGGGAGCGGTGCGGGTGCGGTACGATGCGGGTAGAAGGGACGGTGGCTTCCATGTACGTGCGTCTAAGTCCAAAGTCCCCGGAAGAATGAGAACCAATACCTGTATGCACAAGATCCTGTCAGCGACAAAGGTGATGCCAAGAGCGTGCCCCCACTCCCTCAAGTCTAGAAGCGTGAACATGGCTAAGGCACAGAACCGACTCAGCTCCGCCTCACGAATCTCTGCCTGGAAGGAGCTGAGTTTGTTCTGGATGATCATGCCCGAGACCCTTAAGCTGCCGGTTCCCCTAACTGGCCGTGCATGCACTGGGTGATGGGACGGCCTTGATCGGGTTCACGATCATGGTAGTATCAGATCTTTGCTCACCATGTTCGGCACGCTCATGCACGAGCCGGAGAGAAGGCCGTTGATGTTCGTTGAGAACACTGATATCTCATCGGCCCTGAGCCGAAACCGTCGCGACAAACCACGTATCTCGTGCGAGCTGTGCAGAAGTCGAAAGGTGAGTCCGACATGATTCCCATCATAGGGTCGGCGTCAACTCAGCGACTGACTCTTTCTTCTTCCCTTAATATAGGTGCGGTGTGGTGGGCAGACCCCGAGCTGCGACCGATGTTCGGCTACTGGAGCCAAATGCAAATACCTGTCACGAGAAGCACGTCGGAAGAAAACCTCAGTTAGACGCAAGACCGAATCACCTGCTCCAGAAAAGATCGAGAGCAACAGCAACGATGATGAAGAAGAAGGACATCAGAGTCGTGAAGAAGATGGTGTATGGGAAGAACTCCCCGTGCCGAAGGAGGGTAATTCACCAAAGGCCACCACTCAAGTAGATGCTATCATGAATGATACAGATCCGGAGTTTGATGACGGACACAACGTTCCCGAGAATATTCTGGCGTCTTACTGGATGGCAGATGGCATTGCAGCTAAAAGCATGGTATGGGCTCTTACCCGCAAAAGGAGCGTCCCTTGATATTGCTTTTAGCTTTTTACTAATACAAAACCAGGAAGGAAACACCACTTACTTTGGTGATGGAATGATGGAGTCCATTTTTGGGGACTCGAGTGACCCTAGCAGTAAGTCAATGTGCTGTCCTTGAAGCAAAACCCGGTACTAAAGGCTTCGGGACAGTCTTTGATGACGACTTTGCACAAAACGGCTCAGACTTTACCATAGAAAGCATCCCGCAGTCCTGGAACATATCCCCGTACGAGGGACAAGCTAGTCGAAAGCATTCGCCACGTTCTCGAGAGGACGCGCCGCGAGCCGTTGCCAACCGAAGCCCCCTCCGACAGCCATCCCACAATCCCAGTCCACGCCACTGGTCGGGAGGCTCACCATCAATCTCTAACAAGCACCGACAGGTAATTCAAGAAGAGTCAAGACGAAATACACTGCCAGATTCCCACAAGGCGGATTTGCAGAAGAAGGAAGGCTGCCGTTGCCTACACATTACGGCCCGTCTTATCGAGGAGCTAGGCGCGAAAAGTGCCAACAGCGATCCTGTCGCGATAGATGTGCTGCTAGGTGATTTCCGCAAGTCGTTGGTCAACTGCGCATCCATCTTGGACTGCGATAGATGCACATCAACGAGCGAAACAAACATGTTATTGGCGATGGCGGGACGTTACATGAGCACCCTTTTCGAGAGAATCGTCAAGAGCTATCTTGAACTCCAACGATGGAACGACTGGCAACCACCATGGCCTTCTCAACCGAACACTATCCGCGATGCAAGTGCTGTTGATGAAGGACGTGGCGCTGTTGGGAAGCTGACGGGCGACATGTGGTTTTCGACTTATCGCATCGAAGGGGGCCATGAGCGGGCCGAGGTGCTGCGATGTCTCGTAACCGTCCAGTTGTCTGAGTTCTGTCGGCTGCTCGACAAGCTAAAAACGCGCTCTGGTAGTCGGAAAGGCCACATGGTGCTACTATCGGAAGCTGAAGGAAGAACACGAGCAGCAGTGACACTCCTCCAAACAAGCGGAGGGAGCCGTACGGATAAAAGATCAGTGATGATGAACTAGACATGTCTTCGACATTGGGGTGTTGTTTTGATATGATTGAAAGCGGCGTCGGTCCCGATAAATTTTAGTATCATTCAAAATATAGATTAGAGCTGTAGCATCGCTAGAGAAACACAGTCAGCAACGAAAACGTCTAGATGTACAAGAATATGACGTCGGGAACGGTCAAGACGAATACTAAATGCAAGTAAAGAAGTTGATGCCGTCTCATACCTACGTACCTTGACGGAAGACTCGTAGGCATCCGCCGACCCGATTTATCAAGGGGTGGGCTAGATCATTACCACAGGACAAGTCGACAACTTATCATTAGTGTTGTTGGTGTTGTTGTCACCGTTTATCGTCGTCGTCGTCGTCGTCGTCGTCGTCGTTATCGGCATATCCAGCATTGTTTCATTGTAGCGCGGGCATGCCGGGCATGAGCTTAACTTAGTTCCGTCATTTGTGAAAATAATTACCCCCTTTCACATGGAATGAAGGTGGATGCGCGCCAAATTCTTGTAATAATGGCCATGTCAATACAAACCATTCTTTTAGGAGACTATTTGCTACAAATGAACGTTTGCCATTCTGCTCGATTGCCCGATAGCCCATTCCATTGCTCGCACAGCAGCTCGCACTTCAGTCTCCCGCTGTGGCGGCTGATGGCTGCCGCTGTGCTCAAGCTTCTTCATCATCTTCTCATTGCACAGTCCCCGAGTGATTTCTGACATGTCCCGCATAAAACTCATGTCGCGTTTACCTGATACAAAGATTGTAGGAATGTTGATCTTTTCGCTGACAAGCTGCGGAACCATCAGTCGGGGGGCGTCTGTTCCATCCCCATCACTATAGACACCCAGGTCATGATCGGGCAGCATGGCCTGCGCCCGCTTTGCCGGCATGACGACCCGTGTGATTACATCGACGAAAGCGAGCTCTTTAGATGCAAGACCTAGGCTTTTGATTTCGGTCGTTGGTGCCGAAAGGTCGACTCGGCGAGCGCAGACTCCCTTGATGACGCTCTCGGTGCAATGTTCGTCCGCAGAGAAGGCCAGAACAGGCGAGAAACACAGAGCAAAGTTGAAAGGCACCATTCTGCCATGAACTTGTTGGTCGTAGATATATGCAACGGCGAGAGCGGCTCCCTGGCTGAAACCAAGGACGCCGTCGAATGGGCCAAGTTCGTCGATGGTCATCTCTAGATGCTCCATAGCATTCTTCATTTGGCTTGGCGCGTATCCTGCGGTGTGCGAGAAGAAGGGCCCCTCCAGGTGACTGCCCATTCCTGATGAACATTTCCAGTCAGCTTCTTTCTTTCACATGGGGATACGACAGCAGCTGACTTACCTGGACCCCGGATGGATAGTTCGGGACCATCGACGAAGATGAATTCATAACTTGGATCGGCAGCTCTAAGAAATGGGCCGAACTGGCTCTGGCATATTGCTCCAGAACTTCCAACGCCGTGGAGACACAAAATTCTCATTGTGAGATCCAAATGTACCGAAGTTGTGCGTATATTCAGAGTTCAGGAAAACAAGACTAGAAAGTTGAAAGAGTCGTAATGACATTGACAGACAATTTGGGCCCTCTGTATGTACACATGTGCGTAGACACTCACGTCGCTCTCCTAACCGTCCCGAAATTCCCCGAAGCCTATTGGCTCAGTATTCATTGGATGACTCCGTGGATTTGGGGGCGGCTTTTGAGCCTTGGGAGAGACCCGGAAGTGGTCAAATTTGGAAGTTGCCGAGTCTGACAACCAGATTTGGAACGGCGAGACTCAGCCACATTTCGCAAGACAGCTGAGCTGCGCGGAAGGAAACATTCTAACGTTGTTGCATGTAGTTTACTGGTCGAAAAAGATCGTGTTGCAAGCTTCGGTGTTTTGCAGATGCGTACTGCAAAGACTCCCAAGGCGTTTTCGGCGTTGTTACCCAGTCGGCCACATTTGATCTTGTCGAGATAAGGGCATGTAGCTTGGAATAGCATTTCAAAATAGCCATATCAAGTCATCCAAAAACCTGTTGTAAACCTTGTCAATACAGCTTTGTTCTCATCAATTCAATTCATCATAGACATACTAGAGCTTCACAGCCGCAATTGACATCGTCCCCAAGGCCGCAACCTAAACGAAGCAATTCATCATCAGCATTCAAGATGTCAGAGATTGACCAGCAAGAGCCTATCGCCATTATTGGCGCTGCATGCCGACTCCCCGGTGAAGTTTCGTCTCTGGGCGACTTGTGGGATATGATCAGCCATGAGAGAACTGGTCATGGCAAGATCCCTGCTGATCGTTGGGATGCCGATGTCCTATACCACCCGGACCAGGACCGCAAGGGATCCGTAAGTGTATTTCCAAAATCCTATGACGGTCATTATACTGAAACTTTCTAGATGGCTGTCAAGCACGGTTACTTCCTCAATCAAGACATCAGCCACTTCGATGCGCCGTTTTTCTCAACAACGGCTAAGGAGGCTGCCTCCATGGACCCAGTCAAGAGGCTTCTTCTCGAGATCAGTTATGAGAGCATTGAGAATGGTGAGTAACATGGTCCTTTTTACATAATGAGCGTGTAAAATGGCTTTTCGCAATATGTTCCCAGCCTCCTGTGAGTTGAGTCACTGACAGCGATGCAGCTGGTATACCTGTGGAGAGTTTGATGAACTCTCAAACGGGTTGTTACGTTGGCTGCATGACTGATGACTATGAGTTGTTGTCACTCCATGACATCTACGACCTCGGCCATACTGCTGCCTCGGCCATCAGTGAGGCTATGACTGCAAACAGGGTTTCTTGGTTCTTCGGTCTCCGTGGCCCTAGCTTGACGCTGGATACGGCCTGCTCCTCAAGTTTGTATGCACTACACTTGGCCTGCCAGTCGTTGAAGCTCAAGGAGACCAATATGGTAAGACTTCTTCGGATTTTATAATGCTTGCTACTTGAGAATCATTTCACTAAGCCTACCTGTACTAGGGTCTTGTTGCGGGAGTCAACCTGATTCTTAACCCGAACACGATGCATCAGCTCTCCGCCATGCACATGTTGAGCCCTGAAGGAATCTCTCACACCTTCGACGACCGCGCCAATGGATATGGCCGTGGAGAGGGTATTGGATGTCTTGTTGTGAAGCGTCTTTCTGACGCTATTCGAGACGGCGATACTATTCGTGCTGTGATTCGTCATACTGGTGCCAATGCGGACGGTAAAACGCCTAGCATCACCCAGCCCAGCTCGGACGCTCAGGCTGAGCTCATCCGGAGAACTTACGATGCGGCCGGACTTCCCTTGTCGTCAACGCAGTACTTCGAGAGTCACGGAACTGGTACACCCGTCGGAGTAAGTCTTCTTAAATGCTAAAGATGTAGGCGCAGTCGAACTCGAGACAACTTGGCTGACTTTCTCTTGTAGGACCCCATTGAGCTTCGAGCTATTGCATCAACCCTAGGTGCAGCTCGAACTGCGGAGGGACTTGGTCCTCTCTACGTGGGCAGCATCAAGCCTAGTGTCGGTCATACTGAGGGTTGCTCAGGTTTGGCTGGTGTTTTCAAGGCCCTCATCTGCTTGGAGAAGGGCATGCTCGTGCCAACATATGGAGTTGAGCGGGTGAACCCTCAACTGACCCTGAATGAGTGGAACATCAAGCTGCCGTCATCAACCATGAAGTGGCCCAGTGCCGGCCAACGCCGGATCAGTATCAACTCTTTCGGCTTTGGTGGCGCGAACGCACACGCCATTCTCGATGATGCCTACCATTATCTCAATACTCGCGGTCTGGTCGGTAATCACAACACCAGAGTTCACGTTTCTAGTGAGAACTCTTCCGAGTCGGGTATCAGCTTGGGACCCGAAACGCCAATGAGCGAGCTCGACCGCAGAGCAGCGTCTCAACTGTTCGTCTTCTCCACCAAGGATCAGACCGGCATTCAGCGCTTGTCATCGTTGTACTCGAATGAGCTCCCAAGCTCTAGCTTCGATAAAGAAGACACTCGATACCTCGGAAACTTGGCTTACACGCTCGCTGTTCGACGTTCGCACCATGACTTCCGCAGCTTTGCTGTAGCCTCGTCGCTTGCTGAGCTCAAGACACAGCTTTCCAAGGGTCTCCCCAAGCTGAAGCGCTCCTCACGCCAGGACAACAACTTGATTTTCATCTTCACTGGACAGGGTGCCCAGTGGCCGGCGATGGGCAAGCAGCTCCTCAGCAACCCTGTATTCGCAGAGAGCGTCAAAAAGTCGCAGACATATCTCGACCAGCTCGGGTGTGAGTGGGACGCTATCAAGGAGTTGTCAGAGGAGGAGCGCTCCAAGATCTCGCTTCCAGAGTTCAGTCAGACCCTTTGCACCGTCCTCCAGGTCGCTTTGGTAGACCTGTTGCGTCACTGGGCTGTCATGCCGAAGGCAACAGTCGGGCATTCAAGCGGCGAAATCGGTAAGTTGCGGATTCAGTGTTTTATGAAGGGTATATTCTAACTACGAACAGCCGCCGCCTATGCCGCCTCCTACATTTCTCACGCTGATGCTGTTAAGATCGCGTACGTCCGCGGTCTGAGCTCCAGTCTTCTCACTCGCAAAGGTGCAATGATGGCCGCTGGCTTGTCCAGGGAGGAAGCACAGGTTTATCTTGCCCGAGTTCCTGAACATTCAGCCGTTGTCGCATGCATCAACAGCCCCTCTAGCGTGACTCTTTCCGGTGACGTCGATTCTATCGATATCCTCGAGAAGATAATTTCGGCAGACGGAAAGTTCGCTCGCAAGCTGAAGGTCAAGACGGCCTATCATTCCCCGCATATGCTCGACGTCTCCAAGGGCTACCTGGAGCGCATTGGTCACGTCGAGGCTCTGGCCGGCGGTGACACCGTCATGTTCTCGTCACTTACCGGAAAGCAAGTCGACCCTCAGGAGTTGAACGCCCAGTACTGGGTGAACAACATGTGTGCCCCCGTTCAGTTCTCAGCGGCACTCTCGTCCCTCCTTTCCCACACTGCTGTCTCCGCCACAGGTCGTGGCAAGGCAATGCCAGTTCGCTGGAATGGTTTCATCGAGGTTGGGCCACATACTGCTTTGCAAGGTCCCGTGCAACAAAACATTGCCGCCAGCAACAGCAAAACGGCCAAGGAAGCCCCATACATGGCGATGGTTCTGCGTGGAAAGGACGCCAATGACACCGCCCTGACAGCGGCTGGCAAACTTTGGGCGATGGGAGTTGCAGTCAACCTCTCTGCCGTTAGCGGAGCTGACCGCACGTCTGTCATGATGGGACCCCAAGCTTTGACGGATCTCCCGCCATACCCATGGAACCACGGCAGAAGCTTCTGGCACGAGGCTTACTCGACTAAATCTAACCGCTTTCCGTCAGCTCCTAGGACCGACCTCTTGGGTGTCCCAGAGGATCTTCAGAACAGCTTGGAGCCCAGGTGGAAGAACTACCTTAGAATCACCGAGAACCCCTGGATCGAGGACCATAAGATCACCGGCACCATTCTATACCCTGCTGCAGGCATGCTTGTTATGGCGCTCGAGGGAGCATTGCAGATGTCAGACAAGTCGGTCAAGGTCCAAGGGTTCCGATTCAGGAACGTTGGCTTTGAGCGTGGCTTAGTAGTGACCTCGGGCGATGACACGCCGGTGGAAACTCGACTTAGCTGTAGGCCGCACGAGACCATCCCAGGCCAATTCCAGTTCACCATCTTTTCGACCACTACTGGGAAGTCCTGGACTAAGCACTGCGGCGGCACAATTTCTCTCGAATATGCCACTGCAGAGAGCGAAGTTGAGAGCTCCCCTGTGGATCCTGCTTGGACTCAGCAGTCTGAGGCTTACAAGAATCTCGCCAGAAATGGAGCCGTTGAGGAGGTGGATGTCGACACTTTCTACGACCATCTGCAGACTATCGGGATGGAATATGGCCCTCTTTTCCGCAACGTGGTCTCACTGACGGCAGTCCCGTCGCAGAAGTCTTCCTATGGGGAGGTCATCGTCCCCGACACGCTGTCAGTCATGCCGGCAAACTTCGAGTACCCGCACGTCATGCACCCCGCCACGATGGACGCCATTTTCCATCTCCTTCTGGCTGCCGTCAACGACGGTAAGCCTGTCGACGAGGCAGCGGTGCCTTACAGCATTGAGGATATGTTCGTTGCCGCCGAACAGCCCCAGGGCGCGGGCAGTCGGTTCTCCGGCTATGGCAACCTCGGCTATGTTTCCCAAGACGGCCATGAGATTGTCGGAAACTTGATCGTTTCTGATGAGGCCTGGTCTGCACCCAAGCTCATTGTCAAGGGATTCGCTCTGCGCAAGGTCACATCTGCCGATGGCCCTGGTTCTGATGCTGCGAGGGCCCAGAACAAGTGTGCTCGTGTTGAGTGGAGCGAAGATATTGACTTTATAAAGTCTGATCGGGATATTGTGAGGCTTCAGGGTCAAGAGCAGAGTCTTCTCGGTTCGTGGCTAGACCGCCTGACTCACAAGAAGCCTGTAGCTGAAGCTCTCGTGGTCTTCGGGGATGGCTCCGTCAACGCTTCTCACGTTCTGCATGACGTACAGACTCGTACTCGCCAACGCGAAGGGCTTACGAAGACCACTTTTGTGACGACAAGTGTTGAAGAGCTGGAGTCACTGCGGTCTAAGAACCCGGGATCCAGCCCAGATATTGGGCTCTGGAACATTGCGACCAAGGCTGAAGATCTCCCTGCTGGAGACAACACCCAGGACCTGGTTTTGATGGTGGCATCTAGTGTCGCCAAAGACACTCACACCGTCATTGCTGAGGCCCAGCAGATGTTGCGCCCCCAAGGGCAACTCGTCATTGTCTCAACTGGTGCATTCAAGAGCGAAGTAAAGGCCATTTTGGAGACCGAGAAGCTTTCAAACATCATTGAGGTCTCGCATGGCTCTGATGTCGTCTTCATGGCGGCAAAGAAGGCCTCCGAATCCGTCTCTGAGACTGAGGAGATACCCTCCGAAGTCCACCTACTCGTCCCGGCCCAGCCATCCGCCTCGGCATCTGCTTTCGCATCAAGTCTCACCGCGATTCTCTCCTGTTCCAATGTCACGGTGCATTCCACAACCCTTGACCCTAGCAACATGGGTAGCCTAACCGGAAAACACGTCATATCTCTCCTCGAACTCGAATCACCTCTCATCTACTCTTGGAATGAAGAACAATTCACTTCTTTCAAGTCACTTGTATCCTCTATGGAACACCTCTTCTGGGTCACCCGAGGCGGTGTCATTGAGTCCTGGGCTAACGGGGTCGAGTTTGCTCCTGCTCAGGGTTTGCTGCGTGTCATGCGCAATGAGTACTCCTTGTCGTCGTTGCCGCACCTAGATCTATCCGGCGCTTTCGACATTACCAACAATGAAAACGCCTCTTTGGTTGCTAATGTCTGGCGAGCATCGCTGGGCAAGGAAGCGGAGATGGAGTACGCCGAGTTCCAAGGTGCTATTCACATTCCTCGCGCACTCGAAGAGTCTGGTTTTGATGGCGACTTGCAACTGGCTAGCGGTCTTGCGAAGCCTGTGCGAAGCTCGTTGGCTGAAGTCGGGAAACCCATGAAGCTCGACCCAGCTGTTGAGTCTGACTTTCTCTGGGTTGAAGACGAAGAAGCCGGTTCGACACTGCAACCTGACGAGGTCGAGATCCGGGTGGAGTTTGTGGGCATGCCGGCCTCATCTTCCGCTGTTAGTGAAGCCGCCGTCCCATCTCCTTCCTCGGCCCAAGAAGCCGTTGGTATCGTTGTGAGCTGCGGTGACCACGTCAAGACCGTCAGCGCCGGCGACCGAGTGGTGGTTTTTGGAACGAACACGTGCAAGACTCACGTCCGCCAGCAAGAGTCACTCGTCGCACCTATTCCGGCCGGGCTTCTCCCAGAGCAAGCGGCCGCTCTTCCCCATGCCTTCATTGCGGCTCAGTACTCTCTCCTCAACGTTGCCAGTCTGGGCAGTGGACAGAAGGTACTCATCCACGATGCCGCCAGCGCGTTGGGCCAAGCAGCAGTGCAGGTGGCCAAGTCAGCTGGTGCTGAGGTGTTCGCCTTGATCGCGACCAAGGAGCAAAAGGAGATTCTCACCGAAAGATTCGGGATTTCTACGGCATGCATATTCGACTCCAACTTGCAATACTTCCTCGGCGCCATCGAGCAGGTCACCAACGGTCAGGGGGTAGACGTGATTCTCAGCGGCGGCGATCACGGCCCTTCTGTCTTGGCATCCGTGAACATTCTTGGAGAGTTTGGCTTCTTCGTTGATCTGGCTATTTCGACCTCGAACACTCCTGAAATCATTCTGCCCGCTCACAAGCGCAACGCCACCCTCGCCCGCATCGACATCGACCGCGTGCAAAAGGCCAGGCCCGAGGTCGTTAAGTCGTTATTCCAGAAGGCGTTCAGCGCCCCGATTGCGCCAATCAGCCCAACCGCTGTCTTCTCCGTGACTGACACCGCTCAGGCAGTCGACTGGGTCTCTCAACATCAGCACGGTCAAGCGGTACTTGCAATCAAGGAATCGGCTCAGGTCTTGACTCCCCCTGCTCCTGCACAGAAGCTGGCTTTGGATGAGCAGGGCACATATGTCCTCGCTGGTGGACTGGGAGCGCTCGGTCTCGACATCGCTTCCATGATGATTGACCATGGTGCCAAACACCTGGTCTTCTTGTCAAGGTCTGGCGGCAGCAAGAACGAAGCCGACTTGGAGGGATTCCGCAGCCGAGGCATCATTGCTGAGGCTTTCAAGTGCGATGTGAACGACACTGGTAGTGTGGTGCAAGTCTTTGGCAAGCTGAAGGATGAGGGCCGGGTTATCAAAGGACTGATCCAATGCGCGATGGTCTTGGAGGTAAGTACAAATGCCGTCCGACGATTTTGATCCAGCAGATTAGGGAGAACTGACACACTCTGCAGGACAGCATCTTCGACAACATGACGCACGAGAAATGGACCCGCGCATTCATGCCCAAGACGCGGGGATCTCGTAACCTCCTCGCTCAACTCTCGGCGAGTGACGCTCCCTTCTTCATCATGCTCTCGTCCATCACGGGCGTCATTGGAAACACGGCCCAGGCCAACTACGCATCCGGTAACACTTTCGAAGATGCGCTCGCCCACTACGCGCGAAAGCATCTCAACATCGCGGCGACCAGTATCGACGTGGGCCTGGTCTCCGACTCGTCGCACTTCACCTCGGCTGGCGAGTTTGGTGACCTCGAAAATTACCTGCACAAGTACCAGCACGGATGGAACGGTCTGCAATGCACGCTCGACGAGCTTCGGATTGCCCTGCGTGCTGTGATGAACGGATCTACCGCGGACGGGCAGGGAATTCCCCCGCAGATGGTCTTGGGCCTGGGAGACTCCTTGGCTCGGGAAGAGGGAGCTGTCGGATTCGAGAGGGACAGGAAGTTCGACCATCGCGTCGTCCAATCCAGCTCCGCTGCCGGCGGCATCGTCAAGGGCGTGAGTGTGGGCGAGAAGCTGGCCAAGGCGACCACTCTTGGAGACGCTGCCGCTGCCGTTGAGGAAAGCCTGAAGACACAGGTTGCGGCGGCCATCGGCGTCGAGATTGATGAGGTGGACGGACAGAAGCCGCTCCCAGAGTTTGGAGGTAAGCCGAATGCTCCAATCTCAGTCATTGAGGGAGTGTGCTGTCAACTGGTATTACAGATTGCTAACGTTTCCAATAGTTGACTCCCTCAAGGCCGTCGAGATGCGGAACAGAGCCCTGCGAGAGATGCAGAGTGACGTCTCTGTCTTCGAGTTGTTGAGCGCAACCCCGCTGACTGATCTGGCCGCTAAGATTGCAGCAAGAAGCACACTGTTGAAGTTGGAGGTCGAGAAGACGGATGTGTGAGGGCAGCCCAGTGGAAGGATGACTTGGAACTGGATTTGATTTCTTTCTTCTGATCTTCATATAGACTGGGCGTTTTCTCTTTTATTTGAAACTTTAGATTGTTCTACTCGCAATCAGACTGCCAATACTCTTTTTCCCTCACAGCCTTAGAGATATTCTATCTTACTGTGAGGTTACATACGAATCCAGCCTCGTCACAAATAGGAAGGCGCATGGGGACGATGGGAGAGAACCCATGATGACTCATTGATTCCATTCCCAGCTCACAAAGATCTCTTATCAAATGACTTAAGAAGCTGTAAGTCACACAGAATTTGACATAGTTTGTCAGAGGGTCGCCCAGCTCTTCGAACATGTACACAGACTGCTCACCTTGAGTTGTGGTCTTGCCCTCAATGGCCCTTCAAAAACATTTTAAAATCCCATGCTACCTGTAGCTGCGTGCTTGCCAAACATAGATATGTTGTTATCATTCAAGCCTTGAGAACACTCTGCAGATGTACCATTCACGCAAAACGTATTCCTTTTGCTCGTCGTTGTTCTTGAATAACATTTGATCATTCAGCCATTGAAGTATAGACTTAATTATTGACCTCCTCATCAGTGACGAACGATCCGAGGGATCACAGGTGGGTAGGAGAACACATCCCTTTCCTGCTTCAACGTCTTGCTAAACTGGCGATACATATAACCCGCCAGTACACAACTCATCAAAGAACCAAGAGTAAGAGCAGTACCAACGACGTGTATCAGGTCAAACTCCCCTTCTGTCTCCCCTCCACTGCCGTGCCTACTGGTGACATGGCTTCTCAAAGTGCTCCCGTATACCACCGCAACTAATATTGGGAGGCCTAGGGCGAGACCCCGCGGCAGCCATCCCATCGAGTTCAAAGACCTGCGCAGAAGGCCTGCGACCTGCCCGTTCATTTTCGACTTTAAAAGCTTGGTGTGCTGGGCTTCTTTGGGCGTTTCTGATGTCTTATTTCCAGCTGTCATCTCGACGTCGCTGGCGTCGGCCAATCGACCAACGAGAAAGCGCTTCATGGTATCGATTGCGTCTGCTGTGTGACCGGCGAAGTCAAACGACTCCGTGGCATCAGTGCCGGCGCATTCTGTGAGAACGTCGATTCCTCCCGGATGATCTTCGGCAAAAGCAGTCAAATCGTACACTGTATTTGTTGTTAAGCATTGCCATAGTGCTCTGATTGCTTCCTCAAAGTTTGCATACCTTGGCCGTACACTGCTACCCATAAGTCTTGTCGAGTTTTGTGTTGCTCGAGTTGACTAGATGTGATGGTTTCAGTCAATGAGTTTGTCATGATTGTGGTGGGTCTGAGACAAAAGGTTATGATGACAAAGATTGAGCGACTGCAGGTGTTCTTGCCCTCTGTGCACAAAATAGCTTTCTTCTATATGATTGCTTCGTGAAGATCCTTGGGCATGGGGTAATTTCGAAATATTCTGTCATTATACACAACCAGAAAAGCGCGAGTATTGTATCCTGTTTCGAATTTCTTAAACACTGACCCAAAGCCAAGAATCCCTTAGGGAGGCTGAGTTGGAAATCCTACTTCCATATTTGGCTCGGACCGAGCCAGCAACTATGATCTTACGTTGACGCTTAGCTCGTCTTACACGAAATTTCTGAAGTCTCAACTGGGGATAGCTTCCATTTGAGTTGCGACAAGCTTTATGGAATTGGTAGACGTTGAACATGAAAGCAGTGCCATAATGTCGTCCTCGACTGTTCATGATATGAACGATGGTCGTTCCACAAAACTTGCAATCACACCAAATTAAGCATACTTGCTTCTTAGGGTGATCTCTACTACTCCAGTGACGGGCAAAATGCAGCAGCAATTCTTCATCGGTCAAGGTGTTGATGGTCACCGTCGAGAAATAGATGTCTCCACGTTTGAAACGCTGCAGCAACTCGGTTCGAATCTTGGACGGCTGTTTTCCTTTGCAGACACGAATTGTACGCGCCCTCATCTTACTTCGTCTGCAAGCACTATGTCTAAGCAATGAATTGAGCTGACTAGTACTGCAACAGCTCTTCGATTCCATAGCAGCCACGATGGTGGCGAGCTCTCGTCCCTCGAGGATGTCAAATCCTGCACCAAACCAGTAGAGATTCGAGCTCTCAATCACGCTTCCGTCCGGCCACCGCCAGGGCCAAAAGGACTCCCACTCGTTGGCAATCATTACGAGATATACCCTGATCCTCTGGGCAACTACGACCGGCTATTCTCAAGATACGGCCCGGTCATCAAGACAACGAATATGGGCACCACGATCTATCACACCAACGACCCGGAAATCGCCCGCCACGTCCTCCGCGAGGGTGAATTCTTCACCAAAGTAACCTCCGACCCCTCGCATCCCCTCTTTTACATGCAGCTCCAGTCGTCCCTGTTCACCTGCGACAGCGACTCTCCCGCCTTCCCCGTCGCGCACAAATTCATCCCGCCGGCCCTCTCCCCGCGAGCCGTGGCCCATCACCTGCCTCTAGTCCAAGAGTCCGCACGGTCGATCTTCCCGGTGCTGGACCAGCTGGCAGAACGCGGCTTGGCCTTCAACGTCTATCACTACATGTTCAAGATGGCGGGCCAGGTCATCTGGCGGGTCGTGGTCGGACAGGACTTGGAGCACTTCAAGGCCCCCAACAACCCTCCCGCGCTGACCATTCGGCTCTTTGGAGAGTTCCTGTCTCTCATGAAAAAGACGAGCTTGCGACCGAAGTGGTACGGTAGCCTTCCTTTCGGTGACCCGGCCCGCCTAAAGGTCGTGCAGCAAATGCTATGGGATAACGTGGAGAAGGCGATCGACGAGTGCACGATGGCGGACGGCGGCACGCTTCCCTTGTCAGACCCGGCATCCTCTCTGCGCGCCTCGTGCGTGGCGGACTTTCTGAGCCGGGCACGCGACGACAAGGAAGAAGGTCTGCCGCGTGACATCCTAATCCCCAACGTTGTGGTCCTCTTGGGTGCCGGGTTCACAACCAGCGCCTCGCTGCTATCCTGGGCGCTGTATTCGCTCGTCAAATACCCCGGGAACCAAGAGCGACTGTTGCAGGAGCTCGTCGACCACGGCGAAGACGGGAAGCGCCCCTGGACGTACGACGAGGTTCACGCGATGAGGTTCCTCGACTGCTTTGTGAAGGAGACGCAGAGGATGCACAGCCCGAGCTTTCAGACAGCGCGGAACGCGAGGCAAGATGTCGTCCTACCTGGCGGCTACCTCATTCCCAAGGGCTCCGTGGTGATCCCGTGCTTTCCGAGTCTGCATAAGAACCCCGCTCACTGGGATAACCCGACGATCTTCAACGCGGACAGGTGGATGGAGGGAGGCGTTGCGGGCAATCTGGGGAAGAAGGGGGTGTACACTCCCTTTGCCGCGGGGCGAAGAGGATGCGTGGGTCTGAACTTGGCGCTGCTGGAAGTGAAGATGGTGTTGATCCAGCTTCTTTACAACTACCGCTGGGAGGACTCCTCTCCGGAGGCTGTGGTGTATGATCCGGAGTTCTTGGTTACCAGACCGGTAAACTTCTACGCGAGCGCGACTAGGCGTACCGAGTGGCCATCGCCATCTAAGAGGGCCGACTAAAATGGGCCAACATAGCAATTCGCATATCCTTTCTTAAAGGTGTTGTATAGTTTCGTGAATTTTGAAGATTATTCACTTGTTATGATCAAAGCTTTGAGCGCCTTGAAAACATTTCCAAACAATAACGAGTAGCTGCTTTTCGGTTTACAAGCTCCAGGCAGTTATGATTGGGGTAGATGTTTCACCACGACACTAAGGATACGTGCACTTTCACCTGTCAATTATCTAGAAATTAAAAGTGTGTATGTAGCATTATCATAGTTCTTCACCAATCATCTTTTCATAGTGTCCGCTTCACTTAGGACCAACATAGTCTCTCAAAAGCTTACGAAGACTTAGACAAGTCATGCTGACTCCGTAGCCATGGGAATCGTCAAACGACTTTAGCGTACTCGATGTCGGGAGAAAACCCAAACCATACGGCGATGGCTATATTTGGTCGAACTCGAGTGGCGTTCTCCCACAAGAGCTCCAGCGATCTCCGTTTGGGGAGTGATATTGCCCGATTTGGTTCGGGCCGAGCCCATCTACCAATCACGGCCAACGCCGCGATGTAGTCAGCCTTCGGGTTACACCAGCTGAGATGGAGGCTTTGACATACACGTGAAGACATCTGATATTGTAATACGATGACTGGGTATCCAACATAGACAGTCGCGATCAATGATAGAACTAGGCTTCGTGGTTTGAGGTCTAAAAACACCAAACATCCAGCAACCGTCTCCTCGTGATCAACTTCGGCTCTTGAACCAGATTGAGTGTCTCGTTGAGAAGATCCCAAAAAGATGTGCGGAATTACAGCAAGTATTGCACTCCCACGGACGGCTCGTGCCAATGAACACACCAATGGCAGCACCAACGGCAACGTCAATGGCAAAGCCAACGGCAACACGAATGCAAGCATCAACGGACATGTAAACGGAACCTCGAGCGTCGACAAACTCCGGAAACAACTCCACGCCTCCGTCGAGAAGATCAACCACCGCGGCCCAGACGAGTCCGGCGTCTGGGTGAGCCAAGACGCCAGCGTCGGCCTCGGCCACTGCCGCCTCTCCATCAACGACCTCTCCCCCAGCGGCTCGCAGCCCCTGACGAGCGACGACGGCCGGATCCACGCCGTCGTCAACGGCGAGATCTACGACCACGACCGCCTGCGCACGCTCTGCGCCGCCGAGCACGGCTACCGGTTCAGGGGGGAGAGCGACAGCGAGCTCGTCCTGGCGCTGTACAGGATCCACGGCGCGCCGGGGCTCTTCGAGCACCTCCGTGGCGAGTTCGCCTTCGTGCTCTATGACGAGAGACCCGCCAGCAGGCGCGTCATTGCCTGTCGCGACCGGTTCGGCATCAAGCCGCTGGTTTGGACCGAGGCTGGGGGCAGGTTGCTCTTGGCGGCTGAGAGTAAGGCGTTTTTGGCCATGGGCTGGGAGCCCGAGTGGGATGTTGCTGCGGTGGTCGATGGCGGCTGGATGATGGATGACCGGACGGTTTTTAAGGGGGTGAAGAAGGTCCTTCCGGGACATTGGATGGAGATTACGGAGGAGCGTGGCATTGAGACGCACAAGTATTGGGATGCTGAATATGCCGACAAGGTACCAGCTCCTCCTCCTCATTTTTTCTTAAATTTTGACGATGCTGACGTGATTATCAGACCAAGGTTGAGACTCGGACTGTTGAGGAGATGGTTCTCGGGGTTCGCGAGCGCCTGGTTGAGTCCATTCGCCTGAGGCTTCGCGCCGATGTGCCCGTCGGAATTTATCTGTCTGGCGGAATCGATTCCTCCGCTGTGGCGGGCATCGTCACCGAACTGGCTAGGAAGGACCACGTCAAGATCGGCAATGAAGCCGCAACACGAGTCGCCTGCTTCAGCGTGCGGTTCCCCCAGGAGTCCGGTTACGACGAATCAAGTAAGATTTACCAAGACCACGAAAACGACGGGACAAGCTGGCTGACATCATTTCGCAGGTATCGCAGATCGCACGGCAAAGTGGCTGGGCGTGGAGACCATCAAAAAGGACGTCACGGAAGAGTCCCTCGCCAACGACTTCGCCGACACGGCCTTCCACTGCGAACACCACCACTTCGATCTCAACAGCGTGGCAAAGTTCGCGCTGTCGACGCTGCCTCACGAGCACGGCGTCAAGGTTGTGCTGACGGGCGAGGGGTCCGACGAGCACTTCGCCGGGTACCCGTACTTCCCGTGCGAATACCTGCGCGAACCGGACCTGTCGCAGCCCGACTCGCTTCTGGCGAGGAACCACGAGCTCCGGAACGAGATGCAAAAGGCCGCGGGCGCAGAGATGAATGCCATCTGGCGCGCAATCGGAGCCGACGTGTACGAGAGCGCGCCGAGCGACGGCGGTCTCTTGGCGGACGTCAACGGTAACACGATGCCTCAGAACCTCCTCTCCTGGCACCCGTCAATGAGTCTCTTTGCGCCGTGGGTGAGGGAAGGGTACAAAGGACAGCTGGACTGCCGACAAACGGTCATGGCTTCTCACTCGCCCGAGGTGCGGGCCAAGATGCGAGACCGCTGGCACCCGCTTCATACAGCGCAGTACATGTGGAACAAGAGCTCCCTCGCCAATGTCCTCCTGTCCTGCCTCGGCGACCGCACCGAGATGGCCCATAGCGTCGAGGCGCGAACACCCTTCCTCGACCACCACCTGACCGAGTACGTCAACGCGCTGCCCCCAAGCGTCAAGCTCGCCTACGCGTTGCCGGAAGAGACGGGCGCGGGAGACGGCGACGGCAAGGATGACGTGCTCTGGAAAAGCGCCGGGTCGGCCCTGCGATCGATGACGGAGAAATGGATCTTGCGCGAGGCTGCTCGTCCGTACATCACCGACGAGCTCTACCTGAGGAAGAAGCACCCGTTCTTGGCCCCGACGAAGTGGCCCCGAGACGGTCCCCTGCACCGCATGTTCCGGAAAATCCTGACCCGAGAGGCGGTTGATGGTTTGGGCTTCGTCGACTTCGATATTGTGGAGGATGCGCTTGAGAGGGCGTTCGGGGACGGCGCCGATGCCAGGTCGTTCAGGGCTCTTTGCTATGTCGGATCGTGGGTGACCCTATCGCAGAGATTTGGCGTCAAGAAGGCGTCGGTACTTACCAAGATTGGATCTGGGTATTAGAGATCTTAAAGGCGGAAAGGGCTTATCTCGATTTCATGTTGTGTTACGTTGATGAAAGACGGATGACGGTCCTGGAGGATAGTGGTATAGAATGATGGCAACGAGACAAACGTATCTAAGGACTAAGTGAAGTGCGAGACAATGCGATGCGATGCCAAGTGTACTCATGTGCAACCCTGTAACTCGTGGGGCTAGAACCACGCGGGATGCATGAAGAACCACGCGGGATGCATGAGATCGGTCTGGACGTGAGCTAATCTGGATAAAGTAGGATCCTATGTTTTGCTGAGACAACTCAAGTAAAACAACAACACTCTCAATAACATTCTCAAAGGTAGGACATTCGACAAATCATAGCACCAAGGCGTGGGGACTAAGATGTCTAAACATCTCCAGCCAAGACATGTCCCCAGAATTGGACGACCACACCGCTTTGAAGACAGACTTAACGGCCTCAATAGACGCGAACCGCATGCCATCGTATACCACATCGGTCATTTCAAGAACTTCTTCCTGCTCTTGTGGCGACGTGGAATGGGCTCCGGCGACGAATAGCGGGAAGATGATGCAGTTGAGGACCTTCGCCTGCCGTGGTATCTCAAAGATGCACGCGAGGCACGAGTTGACATGCTGCTGGACCAGCGGGTGACGGGTCGGGAGGCCACAGATCGCCCTGTATAGATACAGCAAGGCGGTGTGTTGGAATATGCGGATGAGAGTGAAGGCATGTACAGCCTCGGCCTCCGTGGCGGAGGAGGATTCGGATGCCTCGGAAGGGCTCCGGCCGCTGGAGTCTTCGAGAGTCCGAGGCGCATACACGGGACGGAGTGCAGCCTCGAACTGACGAACACGCTCCATGGAAAACTCCTCGATCATGTCAGCCGTCGCCTGTAAATAGAGGCCCATGTTGGCGATCTCGCGAAAGACAGACGCAAGCGAGTATCTTTCCAAGGGGTCACGACCCCACCACACCGGCCCTTGATCAAGCAAATCCCATACTTCCGGGGAGAAGAACGGAGGCTTTCCTTGGATCATGGATGTCGTGAGGTCCGTCGTGGCAAATTCGGACAGCAACATATGCAGCGGCTCGGGGGCCATCTGCACCACGGCTTCGATACCACCCAAGCGTCCCAGGATGGCCAGAATACCGCTGTAGTGGCTCGAGGTCGAGGCCGACCTAACGATGCATCCCATGTACCCGTCGTCAAAATACAACAGAATGACTGCGTAGAGGAGTCCAATCAAAGGCTCATTGCCCTGTGCGTTAGCACAGCAGACTTCTATCTCGGTCCTCACGGCAGCGAGGCACTCGAGCCGCTTCTTGCCAACCACGTCATGGCTATGCTTGCCGTCCTGCAACAACCTGTGGGAGTCGGACAGCACGCAAGCAGCAAGCAGCACAACTCGGGATTCCAAGGCGATTGGGGTCGGAGGGGCGCATGGCTCCTCTGAAGTAGAGAGGAGGGGCCAGACTCGACAGTGAAAGTAATCGAGAGCACGCCGCTCGCAAACCTCGATAGACACGGTCAAATGCACGTCGTTCCGGGTGATGCTGTGCGCGGGAGGCACATGAGGGCTCGGACGCGTGCTCCATCTTATCAGGCGGCTGTTGTAGTCGCAGGTGGCGCCGACAGAGGCACAGCGGCGACAGACCGGCTTGGAGAGGTCGCATTTGATGCGTCGCTTCTTGCAAGGCCAGCAAGAGCCCTTGACGATCCTGATACGATTTGCGGGCATTCTTTGCGGCGATTGACTTAGAAATTGGTCATGCACTTGCGTTTGATGCCGAAATGGAACGAGACGGTGGGTTCTCCGTGGGTTCGGACGTTGCAGCAGGCGTTGATAAGCATCAATGTCTGTGGGAAGAGAGATTCAGTTCAGCATACGGACTTATTGCAACGGACCTCTCATCTGAAAGACGGGCGAGCTCGACTCACATCCTCCATAACTATCGGGCACTCTTTTTCGAGGTCGACGGCCATGCGTGTTGTTCAATTGGCAATTGCGATTTGGACGCTAGCATGCGGCAGCGATAAGGTGGATCGATCGGACGAAAGACGTTTCTCTGTAATTTTGGACGAAGATGTAGTTGAGGACTTGTCGAATGTCGCCCGCATCAGTGTAGGTGAAATGCAAGACGCAACTTATCGGCTAGATGGAAGGGCGGGAGGGGAACTTGTACGGTTCTAGAATGGACCTTCCCCGGATTACGGCCCAGGGAAGTGGGCAGGCCCGCCCCTGGAGCGCCTCTCAGAGCACCCTAAGCTCCACTAGAAAGATAACCGCCTTATCAGCTTATCAGCCGGATGAACCTCGGAGCGGATCTTCGGCCGAATGTTCATGCAGCAGCAGCCAATTACAGGATTATCCGGGAATTCCAAGCCAATGGAAAGTTCAACCGAGGAGATCATGGGGATCGTTCACTCCCGTCTCGTCATTGAAGCACCTTGATGGGATATCCTTGGCGCTTAGATAAGACCGCCAAGGGATTCCCGTATCCGATGCAATCACGTAACGACATCCTTTCACGACTCCACGAAGCACATCGAAGCTCACATCAACCAACAGTCGGAAAGCGTGTGTACCGCAGAGGAAGCACAAGGAACCACGAAAATTACCAATAATGATGGCTTAAATTGATTTTACTTAACGGAAAAGACTGTGCTAAAATATTCAAACTATAAGACAATCGACCCCGGTCTCCTATCAACTCATACGAAGGCCACATCCAGGCAGATCAAGGGCACTCTGTCACGAAATCCCCTACAGCTTGCTGTCTCTGCTACCGCAGCAAGAACCAGCGGTCTCAGACTTGGAAAACGCATCCTTGGAGGTCTTGTCGACAGCCACAATCGAAGGCGGCACCCAGAGCGCCGGGTTCTTCTTGAAGAAGTTGGACGCCCTGATCATGACGCCAACGGGCTCCGCCGGCATCACGGGGAAGTCCTCAGTGCGCGGGAAGTGCGTCAGGCCGAACTGGACGTAGCAGACGATGTCGGTGTTCTCAATCGACTCGCCTCTGCCCACCCAGTCCACCACCGTCTCGTTGTACGGGTGTCCCTCTTCGCCGCTTGACTGACACACGTAGTCGCCCGCCGGGAACAGTTCATAGTCCTTGTACGGGGTCACCCAGAGCGCCTTGCGCGCGAAGCCCGCCCGCTTCCAGACCATGCTTCCCGGCTTGGCGAGGATCGTCGGGCAGTTGTTGTTGAGGATCTTGTAGGCCACCGGCTTCTTGGCCACCGGGTTGATGCTGTTGGGGTTGATGATGTCCCAGGAGCGGCCCGTCTCGTGGCAGTAGTCGGCACCGCAGGCCGTCTTGAGGGGCGTCTTCTTGTTATAGAAGCCGTTGCCGTACAGGTTTCCGGGAGACCCCAGGGGCTCGTCGGCGGGGACGGCGTCGCCCTGCAGAATGGAGTTGTTGGGGCCATCGATCTCGGGGTCCACGCGGAGGGAAAAGATGTGCTGGTGGTTGTGGGCGTTGATGGCCGGGGCGACCTCTGTACCGAACGGGGCCGCGGTCTCGCTGGGGTGCATGCAGTAGGTGTTCAGCATGCCCGTCAGCTTGATCTCCAGCTTGTAAGTACCATCCAGGAGGAAGGTATGGTAGAAGCAGTATTCATAATTCGCAGCGGTGATGATTTGCGAAATGATGAGCTTACGATCGCGAGCCGAGATGACGGTGCCGTCGCGGTAGTCGGTATGCTTATACAGCAGCCCGTTGTCTTCCTCATGGATACAGATGGCATTTTTCACAATGGCTGCCTCTCCCGTGCTGACGGCCATGATAGCGTCCATGTAGTGGATGACACCCTTACAGTCGCAACCGAGCTTGAGGGAGTTGGTCATGAGACCAGTACCGTACTCGCCCACATCGAACGCGTGCTTGCGGTGGTGTGGGGGGTCCGGGTTGCCGTAGGGCACGACCATTTCGACGACGCTGATGCGGTTGAAAAGGCTTCTCTCGCGCCCCTCATCGTCAATGCGGACGTCAGAAAGAACAATACCCTCCCGGTAGTTGAATCCAACATGCATCTTCAACCCGGCCCAGGAGATCTCGTTGCCGGACGTGCGGAACGAGACGCCCTGAGGCTGGGTGATGTCGATGGGCTTGAGCTTGTCCTTCTGGTAGCCGTCACCAATGAAGGCGGGCAGGTAGTTGTGCTCTTCGAGGGGCACCTTGGTCCGCTCGCCGTTCACAAGGCGGATGTCAACAGACAAGACTTCAGCCTTTTCGGTGTCGACGACGACCGAGAAGTCGAGCGGGTGGGCATACTGGTTATCGTCGGGGGAGTTGCGGTAGTAGACAATTCCCTGCTGCAGACGGCGATCGGTGCCCCAGCGGTGATCGAAACCGATGGCCCACGCGTCGATGAAGACCTTGGACATGTCATAGATGCCGATTTCGCGGCACGCCTGGATGACACGGGGGTCCTTGCGCGTGACGCTCTCGCAGATGTCGAGGTCCTCCAGGGTGAGGGTGGGCGCGACATCCGAGACGTCCTTCCAGAGCTCGACGGCGGAGGTCTTCAGGTTGACGACGACCTCGGAGACCTGGGAGGAGAGCTTGTCGATGACGATGGCGAAGGCGCGGCGGTCCGGGCGAGGGCCGCGGCCGGCCTTGAAGGCGGCGTACTCGTTCTTCTTGGGCTCGCGCAGGGTCAGGCAGTTGAACTTGAGGGTCTTGGGGCTAGCATGGTCCTTGATGAGTTTGGCGGCGCGCTGGATCTCTTCAATCGATAGCTGATCTACGCGGTGAGGCAATGATTAGCCCGGCAACCACGAACGAGAGTTCCCGAGAGACTTACCCAGAGGATGTACTAGACCTTGCGTAGATAGATCTGGAACGGCGTCGTTGGGCCCTTCCCGGAAGATGGTGTAACCGGCTATAGAAGAGGTGTCTGCAATCATATTGGGGGCTGTCTGGGCTGAGCAACTCTGCCATACGAGTGGTGTTGGAGGCTCGACCTAAGGTCGATTGTTGGTGTGGAATGAAGTGAGGCCTGGAGGCTCTGTTCTGTCTGTTAGACGAAGCTTTGGTGAGTAGAGGGTAAGTGATTTTCTGGATTTAGTCCTTGGAGAGAAGGAGAACAAGTTACGTCCAAGACCAATTCGCGGCAACCTCGTACTTATAGATGGGCAGAGTGATGTCGGGCTCTCTGGACAGGCAACAGTCGTACGAGGGCTAGCCTGAGCAACAGTCCGAATTATCCTGATATCAAACGTAAAATAAATTCGACGTGCAATATCAGCCTATGATCCCGGCGTCCCAGACCGCGATCCAATCGCTATCGACTCGGATGCGTACCTCCACCGCTGGAGCTGGACCCTGCCTCCGGGTGTCCTTGTCCAACAAACCTCCACCTCCCATCGGTCTCCACCCCTTGCGAAGTGCTACTTCCGGCGACTCATGTACACCTCCCCCGGAGATTTAAATGTTAGATCGATACAAGCCCCGCATAGGCACACGAAGGCAGGAAGTGAGCCTTTGCAGGACTGCCACGGAAGAAGAGTTGACATTGATGATCGAGTGATGAGCCGTTCCGGCCAATATCGTCTATTTCTCATCATCAAGGTCGCGTAGGAGGCCGACTATCCTGTAGAGGTTCGTGCCATTCCACCAAGCCGATGTCAGGAACCTTGGAGGAACTCTGCTCGGGGCCACGAGTTCGGCGCTGTCCGCCCCTCCCCGCTCCATTCTGTGGTGGAACGCATAGGGGGAGGGGTCTAGCCCCCTCCAGTATCTCAGCGCAGCGGCGCCCGTGGAGTCTGGCGCCGACCGGGCCGGGGGTGTGCTCGACCGGCATTGTTGCCGGCCGGGACGTCAGTGAATACTAATCGAGCGCGATACGATCCAAGGCGAGGCTATCAAGCGCGATACTGATAAAACCAAGAGAAAGCATACCATCGAGGGCGGTTTGGGGCGTGCCCGGCCGCGGGGAGCGGACGCGGGCACTTTACTTACTCGATTAGGAAAGAAAATCGACCACGCAGATCGCGTGGCCCAGCGGCTGATTCGGCATTGATTTAGCGTGAGACGCTAACGGAACGGTGGGGCGGTGTGCCAAGCCCGGAGGTGACAACCCCACATCCGCCGCCACCGGAGCAGCATCGGTCGGCCGCTCCCTGGTTTGGAGACGAATTGGGCTGCTGAGATCACGACATGGGACAGCTTTAAGTTTGAATGTCTTTTCAAGAAACGTATTTGGGGCTTTATTGTTTTCAAAATTTGGTATCATTCAGATTAATCAAGTCGGATTCGCCACTAACGGTTAACCTGATTCCAAGAAAATGGACTAAGTGTACAAAAAATAAGATGCAAATTTCTGTTCTTCTCTTCCATTCAAGACTTTCGATGAACCGGCGCGGTCGTGACTTCTGCATTCTGCGCCTCGATGATCCGCACCTCGGCATCCGCAGTCTGCAGGTACGTGTACCGTCCCTTGACCACCCAGAAGCCCAGGGTCACGACCATCATGACTCCGAAGACGGCGATCGCGTAGTTCATGTCGGCCGGTGCCGGATTAGGCGCTGACGGGAAGAAGAAGAATACAGTGGTGATGGAGCAGTAAATGACCGAGATCCAGTTGATGACGGGGCCCAGGCGTCCCAATCTGAACTCTCCGGGCGGGAGTTTGTCGCGGCCGACGAGAAGGACGGTCAGGATTGGCATTCCGTAGGAGACGGTGAGAGCAATCGTGCTGACGCTGAGGATGGCTTCGAGCACCGTGTTGGCGAACGTGTAGAGGACACCGATGAGACCGATGATGCCTCCCTGAAGCCACAGGGCGCGCGCTGGTACCCTCCAGGTCTCGTTGACCCCGGAGAAGTATGCGCTCCACGGGATTCCGCCGTCTCTCGCAAAGCCCCAAGTCAGACGGGACGCGGTCGTGAGGATGCTGACAGCCTGCCCCATGCCGTTGAATATGAAGAGGGAGAGAAGCACTGTAGCCCCCTGAAGCCCCATGGCCTCGTGGAGGAGATCCATGAAGGGGAGTCCGGTGACCGGGTTCAAGATGTTGTCAATGTTTTGGATGGAGAACAGACAGGCCACCATGAAGATGAACCCGGTGATGGCTCCAAGGACGACCGAGAGCCAGATCACGCGCGGGATGTTCTTGCGAGGCGCCGGGATTTCCTCAGCAAGATGGACGGCCGAGTCGAAGGCAGTGAGGCCGTACGCGGCCTGGACGAGACCCGTGAACCAGGTCACCCCATCTCCCCAGCCGGTCTGGTTGATCCATCGACCGAACACAAACGAAGCCGGCTGGAACTGCAGGCCCGGCCTCACGCCCACGGAAATAAGGAGCCCGAGGCAAAAGACGAAAAAGAGCCCGATGAAGCAGACTCCCACGAAGTTGTTAAAGGCCGGCAGGATAGCGTCTCTTCGGCAGGCGACGAGGTTGACGACCGTGACCACAAGAGTAACGGCCAGATAGAGCAAAAAGTTGATCCATCCGACCCCGGCCTCGGCCCAGTCCTCGACGAAGAGGACTTTCATGCTCAGGATGAAGTTGGTCATGAAAGCGAGCTGCGATGCCGACAACGTCCACCAGCCAAAGGTATTGATCCAGGCGCAGAGGTAAGAGGTAAAACGACCCGCGGGACCGGGCCAGAGGCGGGAGATCCAGTACGCCTGTCCCAGAGCGGTCGGCATGCTGCTGCAGAGCTCGCCGAGCGAGACCGCAACGCAGATGTTGCAGAAGGCGACGAGTACAAGACCCCAGAGGATGGCGATAGGACCGCCGCTGGTGAGGCCGCTCGAGAGGCCTTGGGCGAAGGTGGACCAGGTGCCTAGCACAGAGACGGCGAGGAAGAGCATGCTCGTCGTGCTGAACTTGCGCGAGAGGGCCTGGTCGTGGCCGAGGTAGGCGAGGTCCTGCGCATCTTGGGCGGCCTGGTCTGCCGTGTCTAGATGCTTCAAGTTCGATTCCGGGTCATTCTCCATAACTTTGTTTCCTGAAGGAAAATCGTCAAGAGGGTCGAAAGAGGACTTCGGTTTCTGCGTTCGGGACGCTTTTGAGTTGTCTTCGACAATGAGAGAGACGGGCTGGTTGATGTGTCTTTTGCATAGGGGGTTGCGAGCTGGAGTTGAATGGTTTTTATATGAACTACAAGGATGGGTCGAGAACAAGGAACGGATGCGCAATGACCGAATACACCCTAGACTTTTAGACGTATTGGTGTCCAACTGATAAGGAGCCTGATTGTTGCAACGTTATTGCGGACTAGGTTGGGTCTGATAAAAGCCGCATCCCATTCTCATTGTCTTTCGTAGTAAAGTCGTGTGTACAGCAGTTTGATACGGAGATATTGACGTGTTGAGCACTGTCGAATTGTATTGTCTACTTGTCCCGGTTCTTCTCAGCATGTCTCGGGAAAGTGACTGGCCACAACTTCTCATCAAGGTCACGGTCCGGTCGGCGGTCGGTGGGTAGGTTGTCCTTGGTAGTCGAAATACCCAAACGACGTTGATCCTCCCGTAGGTTTCTCACCCACCATCACGAATATCTCATCACAGCATGAAGCTTTTACCCCAGGTTTACAGATAGCCACGCGATGGATTTCATTACGTATGAGTTGAAAGAATTGACAGTTTCAAATCGCGGGGTAAGACCCGTGGAACTGGTATCGACACTTGGCCGTGTGGGTGATCCGGTTGCATCGAGTCAGTGCCCTAACCTGAGTGGGATCCTGGACTGCAGAGTCATGGGTAGCCTGGTGATTTGCAACGGCGAGGACCAACTGATAATGACCCCCGCCCGATACCCACTCGAAGGCTCCGCTGAGCATGGGTGACTTGATAACGCGGAGGAACTGTGATTTTTGCCCTGCAATATTAATAGATAACTCCAACACGAGAGAACAGACGGGCCACAGTGATGGTGATAGTTGACGCGTATATTAAAAACATCATGGCAGCTGCATATAAGTGTCTTTTCCGAACTCCAAGGGCTAGGATGTTGACTACGTATTTGCTCGATTTGCGAACTGCAATAGCCATATTGTTAACATGGACTGTACGAAATTTGTGAAGTCGACTGTATGAGCAAGCTGTTTCTACATGTAACATCAGATAGGCATAAAAGTCAACGACTAGCTTGCTTTGCGCCGCAATGCCGGGTTGTACATCAGCTAGATGTGAAGTTGTGGCTATAACAACTCCCGCTCCCAAAAATGTCAGAAATGAACGGAACCAGACTCATTAAGCTCCGGTTCTGCTATGAATAAGTAGTTCTCCAGTTTCAAATGCGCTTACTTCTAGCCTTTAGGAATCAGAAGGTCATGCGGCTTCTCGAGAATACATCCTGAACAAGGTCCTATATTCAACTGTTCCTACAGGAGAATACATACGTGACCCAGCTAGCGCTGTAGCGACAATTGAGACAGCTCCGACCGGTTGCTGTTCATGCAAGTTGTTACTAACGAATTATTGTGATGTGAGATCTCAATTACAGCACTAGACGTCGATTAAGGAAGGACACATAAGCTTCCAATATGCGGAGAAGCATGGAGCATGCGGATTGACGTCTGACGGCAACCCAGGGAGTATCGGATAAGACGAACTGAAGGATAGTATAAAAAGTACCATGTCCCACGAGAGTTTGGCCCAATTTCTTTCCCTTTTCAGCATCGCGCCATCTGATAGCGGTTGCGCGGCAGTAGCATCCTTGTTCGGTGAGCTGGAAGACGGTTCCTGGCAGGGTGGGGTTTACGAGGCCGACGGCTTGCAGCTTGGCCGTTTTTCTTTCCTATTTGGTCATCTTGCGTTTTGGAGATGTGACCTCACCGAGGGACATTGCCGCCAAAGATCCTTCAACACCAATGCGATAATCACCAAGTTCGCAACTGATTGCACTTCGTAATCGTTGAGTTTTACGTATCTCTTTGACGTCGAATAGCAGCCGGTGGGATAGATACCGGGCCGGAGCACCTCCACGTACCTACTCCGCAGTACGGGTCTGGTTTCACGGTCTGCTTCATGGGTGATGCCACGAGATGCATTGCGAGGCATGGTGGGTAGCTGGCACTGACCATCTTCGCCCAAAGGCACCGGCAATGGAGATCCGGGGTTTGTTCGCACCTCGGTTCCGAGGACGTCGCGAAGAAGCTATGAAGTTCCGAGGCATCTAATGGAATATTTCCATCGAATAATCCTCCCATGACACATGAAGGAACCTGCTATTCGGGAAAGCACCTACCCTCATCGTCGCATCACACCGTCGCCTACCTCATACCATGGCATCCGTAAAGCTCACAGCCCCCAATGGGCGAAGCTACCTTCAACCTACAGGACTCTTCATCAACAACCAATGGGTAGAGTCTTCCGATGGCGGCAAAGTAGCCAGCATCAACCCCACGTAAGAATCTCAACACTCCGAGAAAGCCCGTCACTCTCATCGCTAACCCGTCCTCGCAGCAACGAACAAGAAATCGTCTCCGTCCACGCCGCGACGGGCAAAGATGTCGACACGGCCGTGCGAGCGGCACGAAAAGCCCTCAACCACCCGAGCTGGCGGGAACTACCCGCCTCGGACCGCGGGAAGCTCATGGCGCGCCTCGTCGGGCTGATGGAGGAGCACCGCGAGACCCTGGCCACGATCGAAACCTGGGACAACGGCAAGCCGTACCTGGTCTCGCTCAATGAGGACCTCACTGAGGCCATCGAGACGCTCAGATACTACAGCGGCTTCGCAGACAAGGTATTTGGCCAGGTAATCGAGACCACGCCTGAGAAATTCGCTTATACCGTCCGCGAACCGGTTGGAGTGTGCGGCCAGATCATCCCGTAAGGATTCCTCTTCCCCCCATCTTGGTCCTTGAGCTGGCACAAGAACCATTCCGAGATCCAAAAGGCTAACCACGTTTCTACGCAGTTGGAATTACCCCCTGGCAATGGCTGCATGGAAACTGGGCCCTGCCCTAGCCACAGGCTGCACAGTCGTCCTCAAACCCGCAGAGCAAACCCCCCTCTCCATCCTATACTTCGCCAACCTCGTCGTCGAAGCCGGCTTCCCGCCCGGCGTGATCAACATCGTCAACGGCCTCGGCGCCGTCGCGGGCGCAGCCCTCGCATCCCACACGGACGTCGACAAGATCGCCTTCACCGGGTCCACCGCCACAGCCAAGGAAATCATGAAGATGGCGAGCCACAACCTCAAGAACATCACGCTCGAGACGGGCGGCAAGAGCCCCCTCATCGTCTTCGACGACGCCGACATGGACACCGCCGTCCACTGGGCCCACGCCGGCATCATGTCCAACCAGGGCCAGATATGCACCGCGACGTCGCGCATCCTGGTCCAGGACGCCGTCTACGACAAGTTCCTGGCGGCGTTCCGGGAGCGGGTGACCAAGATCTCAAGGGTCGGCGACCCCTTCGAGGAGACCACCTTCCAGGGCCCCCAGGTCACGAAGGCGCAGTTCGAAAGGGTGCTTTCCTATGTCGACATCGGCAAGCGGGAGGGCGCGAAGCTCGAGCTTGGTGGCCGGCCGTTCAGACCTGATGCCGATGGCTACTTCGTCGAGCCCACGGTGTTCACCGAGGTTTCTCCCCAGATGAGAATCTTCAGGGAGGAAGTGTTCGGGCCGTTCGTCGTCATCTGTCGGTTCAAGTCTGAGGAAGAGGCCATCGCGCTCGCCAACGATACGCAGTACGGTCTGGGAAGCGCTATCTTCACCACGAACTTGACCCGTGCCCACACCGTAGCGAAGAAGATCGAGGCCGGCATGGTGTGGATCAACTCGAGTAACGACAGCGATTGGCGTATTCCGTTTGGTGGCGTGAAGCAGAGCGGAATCGGTAGGGAGCTGGGCGAGGCCGGACTTGCTGCCTACTCAAACATCAAGGCCGTCCATGTAAATCTGGCCATACCATCAAAGCTGTAGACTTTTGCTGGTCTCTACTCAGCTGAATAAAGTAATGATGTGTGTCCTGTGTGACTGACCACTACTCGTAATGCCTGCTGGCGGAGAACTTTGTGAAATCGAGTAGAGATGTGAAAGACAAGGGAACCGGATAACATTCGCAGATGCCTGCCGTAATCTATCTATCTCTTATAAACCCATAAGATGCCCATTACGCCAATCATACACGTCCCGTAGTTCTTAAAATCCCATGAAATCGTACAAGCAAAGACATCACCGACTCTCGAGCTCCAACGCGCCATCATCAGCATCGTCCTCGTCGCCGTCCAGTATCTGCGCCCCGGGCGGCCGGTGCCCAGGCGACCTCCGTTCGTCAAACGACGACAGCCGCACCCTGCCCCCGGAGGCGAGCGAGACCTTGTCGGACACCCAGCCGGCGGCGCGGCGCATGGCGCTCCAGATCTTCTCCTGGCTCTCGGCGAGCGCGGAGTCGTCGCGCGGGTTCTCGGCGTGCTCGGCCGTGAACTGGTACTTGAGGCAGTCCTTGACCGTGACGAGGCCCGACAGGCGGCCGCGGTACTCGACGAGGACGACGCGCGGGCCGATCTTGCGGAAGAGCTCCATGACGGTCTCGAGCGGGAGGCGGGGGTGGGCCGTCACGGGCGTGGTGTCGATGTAGCGGCTGAAGTCGACGGAGCTGGACGAGGATATCGAGTCGGAAAACTGGGAGACCGTCGGCGTGATGGGGGTCATGGAGGAGCCGAGCGCCTCCGGAGGCGGCGTGAAGACGCACTTTGCGCTGGGGTTGATTGGTCTTTCGCGTTTGATGCGGTCGATGGCATAGCGGAGCTCGGTACGGCCGATGTAGCCGACGAGGATTTTCGAAGTGTCGTCCTCGACGATGGGGAAGCCCTGGTATTTGTCTTCTTTGAGCAAGCGCTCGACATCCGAGAATGCCATGCCGTTCACTGGCAGTGATGTGACCTCGGTTCGCATGACCTCCGAGACGGGGACGCCGAAGTTGTGTTCCTCCTTATTATCTAGGAAGGGGAAGCCGCTGAACCAAATCATCCTATCAGCAATGCCGCCTTTTCCAAACAGCTCGCTGACGATCTTCGTGACTCCAACAACAATCATGGTCGGAAGGATATATGTTAAAGCGCCGGTGAGTTCGAACATGATGACTACCACGGACACGTAGATGTGCATGATTCCACTCAGTGCGGCGGCTGCGCCAAGAAATGCGTATGTGCCCGGGGTAATGCAAGGCTCGTCTGGCTTGCAAGCCGCGAAGAATGCACTGGTGGGGTTTGCTTCGTGGATCGCCTGGACGATGATGCCCACGGTGCGCCCAAACGAAGCTCCGATGGCCATGGATGGGACGAAGATACCAGCCGGCACCTTACAACCATAGGAAATGATGACAAGAAGGATTCTCAATATCGTGGCAATAGCCAGCGACATGATGTTCTTAAGCTTCTTGTCTGGCTCGCAAAGGCCGTGATAGTCCTCGGCCCCTTCGCACTCCAAGAACAAGATTTCCATGCTCTCCGTCATGTCGATTCTGAGAAAGACGTTGGGGTAGCAGATGATGGCAGTTCCGGCAGCCAGGATCGTCGCCTCCGCAATGGCGAACTTGGTCAGGTACTTCTTTCTAAACGCCTGGGCCCGCAGATTCCACTTGATCACGAAAGCACCATAAAGACCGCCAAAGATGCCCAATATGATATAGAACACCACCTCGAAGAAGTGCCACGATCGATCATAGTGGACCTGAAACATGACAAGCTGTCCCGTCCTGAAGGGGTTCATAGCCGCGAGAACAGCCGTCGCCACAAGAGCGCAAAAATAGCTGCGCCACAACGTCTTGAGGGGAAAATAGCTTGACATTTCCTCCAGAGAAAAGAGCACGCCGCCAATGGGACTGCCGAAGGCAACTGCTACACCGGCCGCGGCGCAGGCGCTCAGGATCTCCCGGGTCTTGGCGGCGTTGCGACGGTACTTATCGAAGAGGCGCGAGATGACGTTTCCAGTGCACACGGCGTAGTGAACACTCGGCCCCTCCTTTCCGACCGACAAGCCCGACGCGATGGCCAGGGGCAGACAGACCGACTTGATCAACAGCGTCCAAAAGCCGAGGAATCCCTTCATGACGAAGCCAGCGATGATGCATTTGATCTCGGATATACCCGATCCCGCGGCGTACGGCGCAAATGACTTGACGAGCGTCGCAGACGTAAAGGCGAAGGCCGTGCCGAATAGGATGTAAAGAAGGTAGTTGACGGGGCCGAATCCCGTCCACTTGTGCCATTCGGCGCAGCCGTTATCCTCGCCCCAGCAGCAGAAGTTCTCGTTCAGGTAGAAGGCCGTCGTGCAGTACCCCATCTTAATATCGGAGAGCCACTCGGTGATGATGTTGAGGAAGGCGGCGTTGAGGCCGATCGTGACACCGATTAGGGTGACGACGAGCCAGCCCTGCGCAGCGTCGTAGGACTCGCGCAGGCGGTACCTCCATCCAGCCTGTCCATTGTCGAGCATGCCAGCCCGTCGCCGCCGCCGCAGTTTCCGTCTCGCCTGCTCGCGAGCGGCATCTTGAACCCAGTCTATGGTGGTGAAGTCCTCGTAGCGCTTGATCTCGGCGATTTCGTCTTCGATCTGTTGTTGCTGCTGCCGCGGGCCGGGAGCGGCGCCGCCCGTCTGGTTCTCCTCCTCGTCATCATCGGTCTGCTCTGCGTTTGATACGGCGAATGAGAGCCTTGAGCTGATGGACGGCCGCCGGAGCCGGTGCGGGCTGCGTGTGAAGGATGTGCTTCGTGAAGTCATTATCGACTCGGCGCCGTGCTCATGTTCGCGGTTCGAGGGAGTAGGGATCAATTCGCGAGGGCGGTTGGGCCCTGTCCGACGTAGTTCGTGTTCGCTTCGTTCGTTCGAGGGATTCCGTGTGAAGGGTACGGATTGTAGTTGAATGCTGATCTTCGGGGAATCCCCAATTGCTGGTCGCAGAATGCGGGCAAGGCTACTAGATGCGCTGGCTGGAACCGGGGAATGGGGGGAGATTCAATGATGGCCGACCAGGATCTTGGAGTGACGAGGGGGCCCCCTGCAATTGGTGCTTAAGCTTCCCACTTCACCTGGCTGCAGGCGGTAGACCAGCCGCCAGCGCGTTTTTAGTGGTCGCGTCTCACTGGCTTTTTTGGCGCGACTCTATCAAACGTGTGAGCCTCCTGGACGACTACCTCTCTGGAGACATTTGAGCCGACGACGACCTTGACGACCCAACGGAGACGACCACCCTCATTCCTCAGACTTCAATCACGAGTGAACAGACGATCGGATTATCCAAGCCTCTAATAGCAGGAAATTCAACATCAACCAAGCTCCTACTGCCTCGCCCTCCTCGGCAGGCAGAGACACCGAGTCTCAACTTTGTGGTAGGTGGCGTCCGTTTTCCGTCAGAGAAGCGTGAACTTTGCCCTCAGAAACAATAAAACCAAGCGTTTCTTGGTGAATATTCGGTCTTTAAACCATCATAGTCAAGGTCTGCGAATCGATCCTAATAATGGACGAGTTGAGACACCACGAGGGCTGGAACATAGCAGTCTAGATGCAAGAGACATTGGCTTCTCTCAGCATGAGATCCCAAAAGATGTGTCGAACAAGACGATCATGAGCAAACTCGCTGACCTTCATACCACACAGACTCCTATCCCACTACTCAACAACACACTACACGCAAATTCCGTATCAAGATGCCTTATAACACAAACGCCATTCCTCCTCGGAAGGAGGTGACAGGCCAGCCTGCCTTGCCATGTAAGATACTGCCTAGAAACCCCTTCTCCAGTCCATCACATCTAACTTCTCGCAGTGGCCCGCGTAAAAAAGATCATCGCCCAGGACCCAGACATCGGCCTCTGCTCAAACAACGCAGCTTTCGTCATTACACTCGCAACAGCAAGTCCTTCTCATCCCTCAGACCTCGTCATCTCTCACTAACCAGGCCCAACAGGAGATGTTCGTCCAGTACCTCGCCAACGAGGGCCAGAACCAGGCCAAGCTGGACCGCAAACCCCGCCGCAACGTCCAATACAAGGACCTGGGTAAGCCTCTCTGCCATGAACCTTTCGTGCTCTAACGGAACTTTGTTGTTGGCCCCAACGAATACTCGAAGCTGACAAAACACGGCAGCAAACGCCGTCGCCCACAACGACAACCTCGAATTCCTCGAGGACGTCATCCCCAAGACGATCCCATACAAGCAGATCAGAGACCAGGCCGCCATCTCCCGCACCGCGCCCAAGAAGTCCAACGCGGAGCCCAAGAAGCGCCAGTCCACGAACGGCGTCAACGGCGCCGCCGCCGCCCACGAGAACGACCAGCCCGAGGCCCAGTCGGCGCGGGCCCCCGCCGAGGACGGAGACGTCGACATGACGGGCTAGAAAGCGTCGTCTGGCCCCTCCTCCTCATCATCAGCGGGCGTGGGATTCTACTTTCTCTAATAACCACAACCCCTCTTCTTTCTCGCAGAAAACTCAGTCGTGCAGGGTGTACGATAGCGCGAGGGAATAGTTGCAAAAACCAACGGCGGCATCACCATTGGGGGAAAAAAGCCAGATAGCATTGTTTTTGACGAAGCGTATGAATAATAACAAGGACGTCTCGATACGACTCGAAACTCTTCTTCTTTTATGCAATCCGCGGCTTTACGGCTCGCAGTCCCGTGGAAAATCAGGGGAAATTAACAACCAATGAACCTCTTTTTTTGTCGTGATAAAACGCCAGTCCATGAAAACCTTCCACATTCTTCCACCCTCCCCCTCCCACATATTCACACCCAGATATGTATCTCCGTCTGCCCTCGCTCAGCCCTCCATGGTGGCGTCCCCGTCCAGATGCACGCCGGCGGGGATGGTGCCCTCGGTGAGCATCTTCTCCAGCCGGATGATCTCCTGCAGGCTGTCGGCCTTCTTGATCATCTCCTTCAGCCTCTCCTTCTCCTTTTCCGTGAGCTTTATCCTCGAGAGCTTCGACGGGGCGCCGGCGGCGCCGTTGGTCGCGGAGACGTCGAGCGTCTTGGACTTGATGCCCATGATCTGTTTTGGAGTCGTGGTTAGCTTCTCTCGCTCTCGAAGCTACTAAGCTTGATGCAGGCGTACCTTTGATGCCGTGGCCGTGGGCTCGTCGGCTGTGCCGAACAACTCCCTGGCCTTCTCCCGCTCCGCCTCCTTGACCTTGTGGTAATCGAGGAACCGCACCGTCGGACACCGCCAGACGACCCAGTAGCGGTAGTTCTGTCGTAGCAAAGTCAGCGCTTTGAACCATCTAGAGCAATGACAAACGGGGAGGAAACGCACCTCCTTCTTCGTGACCGGGTTATCGACCAAGACCAGATGCGTCAACCTCTTGAACCCCGCCAGCGCGTCCAGGTCCGCCAGCTCGGCCACATTGTTGGACGCGAGCACCAGCTGCTGCAGGTTCGGGATCGCGTTGGGCAGCGTGGGCTGTATGCTCGAGACGCGGTTGCGCGCGAGCAGAAGCGTCGAGATGCGCGGGGAGAGCGGGAAGTTGCCGAGGATCTGGATGTCGTTGTCGGTGAAGTCGATGGAGTCGTGAGGCTGTGTTTTGAAAGCGCAACGTTAGCCTGCTGCTGATTACGCACAATTCCCCTAAGGAATGTCTTCTTTGCGTCACAGAAGAGGAAGGACGAAACTTACGCCCGCGACACCCAAGTTTTCAATCGCCGGAATTCGATGTCCTAATAACGACCCGACGCGAATGCGTCCCGCTATCAATTCTGCTCTCGCCTCGATCAAGTTTATTTTTTGAGTGTGTAGCATCTGCTCTTTTCACGCACCTCGGAGATCCAGCTCGCGCTCCTTGAGCGGGTTCAGGTAGGAAAGCGAGTCCCTGATGAGCTCCGCCGTGAGCCTCATCTTGGTGGTTCGTTTTACCTCGGGGGTGTAGGTTACTTATTGGTGGGGGTTGTGTTTTTTTCTCTCTCGGGTGAACGCGCGCGTACGCAAACTTTGAATTCGGGAGGGTTTCGTTTTCGAGGTTTTCGGGATCGCGCTGTGGGTTTGACGGCCGTCGCTTCGTTGTCGCGTGGGTTTGCGTCGTGACGATTAAGGTAGGTAGGCAAGGCTGAAAAGTTGGCGGTCGGCGAGGCCACAAAATTTGGTCCGCCGATAAGAGCTATCATCCCCGCAAGGAAATACAGTGCCCTAATTCAATCAGCACGGCCCGTTTGTCGCAGTTCCTCGGTCAGCGTACAGTGTGCGTACGATTGGCCAACATGTATGAACTCCGGAACATTTAATTCAATGTTTTCTATTTCGTTCCCTTTGAATTAGAAAAATATATCGAGGTATCTATGTGAAGCATCCATGACCCAACGCCTCTCCCGGCACCCTTATGAAAACACAAACACCACCCCAGACCTGTCAACCGACAGCGTCATGCTATACGGCAGCTCCAGCAAAGCCACGTCCATGATTGAGTCCAGGTGAGACCGCAGCAGCTGCTGGTGCTGCAAAGAAATAACCGTAGATCGCGTCGGCCTTCCACCAGTGGCTTTTCCCTTCGCTCCACCTGCAGCGTTCGTCGCCGTTGGCGTTTGTCTCGGAATCCTCTCCGTGTTCAAGGTCATGGACGTCGTGGGATGAGAAGCCGTGAACGTCGGTTTGGGATCGTCCACTTGAAGCCCGCTGAACACTGTCGAGCTCTCGATCCGTGACAGGTCCCAGAACCGGAGCTTCTTGTCGGATCCGCCCGTGACGATGAAGGCATGTCTAACATCGCGGGAGTCCTCAGTGGCGCCGGTGCCGGCAATCATTGCACGAACTCCACGATCCGTATTGCCAGTTCCGCTTGGCTCAATGTTAGTGGCGAAACGGCCCAGCATGCCTTCTGGCTTGTCTTCATCAACCTCCCAAGGCTCGTATCCCTTAGGACCTTCCTTGTTACCACCGACACGGTAAATCTCCCTGCACGTGGTACGTTCGAGATCCCAAACGGTAACTTCGCCTTGGCCCGTCCCGCCGGCGACGCAGACCCATTTACCTCGCCCCTTGCTAGGATGAATGCACAATCGATAAATTGAGCTCTTGCCCGGGACGCCCCATCCCTTGAGTCTCATGCGGAATCGCAGGTCCCACAGATCGAGAACTCCGTGTGTGGTTCCCACGCACAGCCAGTTTCGTTTGCGATCTACACAGAAACATGTCGGTGTTCCATGATGAACCGGGTTCTCTAACGTGTAGAGGAGGGTCATCGTTCGGAGATCGATGCCCAGGATTCGAGATCTGTTCGTCGCCAGGAGCAAGACCGAGGTGGATTCGATCTTGAAATGCTCGCACCAGACCGCGTGCTCGTCCTTCGGAAGTTGATACTCCCTCAACAGACGGAGCTTCCCGTATCGCAGTACGCCGCTAGCTGACACCGTCTCGACCTTGACGATGTGGACGCTCCCGTCGCTTGCGCAACTGACAAAGCAGTGCGTGTTCTCAATGAAGCACAACGCAAGTACCTTAGCGCCATCAGCATGTTTGTGTGTCTGTCTCGATCGGTGGGTGATGTTCTTCTCCAGGCGGGCACTATCCCACACCTTGACGTTGCCATCATCTCCACCTGTGATGAAGAAGACGTGGTCTGGCGCGACCACCAGGCGGTTAATCGCGCCGGTATGCTCAGCAAAAGTAGCAACCATGCGGCCGGCGGGCCGCCACGGCTCGTCGCCTGACTGGCCAACGGAGCGACTGGGTTTCCGACGAGTGATTGGGGTGACCATTGGCCCGAATTCAGCAATGTCGTGGGGATAGTTGTCCTGGTACATTGAGTCAAGCATCTTGAGAATGCTCGGGTCAGAGCCTTCGTATGAGTGGTTCGGTCTCAGCTTAGTGACAACGCTCGTAGTACTAGTCCGGCGGTCTTGCAGGTTCGGTCGCGCAGGAGGTGCCTGGGCAAACGGTCCTTCCACTTCGCCAAACGCGTTCGTACCAGACATGCCGGTTTCCGGGATGCTCTTATTGCCGTCTTTCCGGTCCAGTAGACTCAACGCACTAGACTGATGGCGAATCGCCCTCCGAGATGCATATGGCCGATCATGAACAGACGCCCCATCTTCTGTCGGGCTTCCGACCGTCAGCTTGCCCTGACCAGTAGACGAGCGTCTCGTTGGATCGATCGATCTCGCACGAGAAACATCCCGTGATGAAGAGCCTTGGTCTTCAACCACACGAGTGCGCAGGTTGTTGAGAGCGGCAAACTTCCTCTTGCCCGTTGAATCGTCGATGGTCATAGACGCATCCAAAAGAGCGTCTGCAATCGTGTATGGGCCCTTTTGGTCGGAATCGGGCTGGAATGTCGACTGCTGCAACGGCTCTTCGTCGAAGAAAACAGTCTGTGGAGTGATACCGAGACTCTTAAGGGAGATGACGTCGTTGAGCTTGGCCGGTTCCTGGCCAAGACCTTCTCTCGACTTTATCTCGCTAATGCGCCAGATGAACTCCCGCAAGGCGAGAAGCTTGAACTCATCATCTGGGCCGAGTCCAAGGTTCCTCAGTCGCCCGAGCCATAACTCGTCTTCGTCATTCTTGGACACCTTACTCAGCGTATCCTTAGACGCCCGGCTGGTGATTGTCTTCGAAAGCGATCCGTACGAAAAAGAACGAAGCTGCTGCGACAACTTCCAGAAAACTCCTTTCTCAGTCTTCAAAGCCCATATCAAGGCTTGATCAAATACAGCTCTTGACATCGGTCGTTTCAGAGCGTCCAGCAGGGCGAGTTCCGAAAATTCAGGTACCATTCCGGTCTTGAGATATTGCCTAACCATTGGGAAGACGATGCACCGAACATCTGCCGGAGACAGGAAGCGTGTCGCCTCAGAGAGAAACTCTGTCGCAGACTCTCGAATCCACATGTTGGGATGCATTGTGAATCGTGTGACACCGTCGATAAGCTCCCACAATTTCGTTTTGGAAAGCAAGCCGAGTCGAGCCAACTGCGCCAGTGAATGCAAGGCCGCTTGCAACACAAACTCTTCCGGGTCAGTGAGGGCCTGGATCATAACAGGAAGCATGAACTCCTCCAGACTGACGCTGCCCACCATACTGGCGATACTAACGATAGTCTCGAAGAAGGCACACTTGAGCATCCAGTCGCCGTCGTTCAAGTATGTGTTGAGATGTGTCAGGAGAATATCGTTGGCATCTGCCGGGCCAAAGAACATGCAGAGGTCGGATACCGATGTCAAAAACGCCCGCCGAACCGAGAAGTCGGGATCCTCCACAAGGGCCTTGGTGTGTAGCTCGAACATCTCGTACAGCTCCTTCTGTGCATCATCAAAAAGACCGTCAAAGGCGGCCTCCGCCTCGAGCCCCGGTTCGAGCTCAGGGTCAGCTACGGTGAGTGTACCGTCCGCCTTCAGTGTCGCCGCAAGCTCCAGAAACCGCGCTGCAGTGTGTGCGAGGCTTCCTAGACACGAAGCGTAGGTGGCTCTCACAAGAGGGCTGGGGATGTTTGCGTTTGCTATTATGGCACCTTGAAGTCGAGGGAGAATATACTCCACAAATATGTGCGAGTTCACGGGTGAGACAACCCGCACAAGCTGCAGCAGTTGGGTAATGGAACGAAGTCCCGCGATAACCACAAGATCCGACTTATCGTTAAGAAGCGTCATGAGGTATGGCAGCACTCGATCCAATTTTGCTTCGTCCGTGATTCTCTCCGAGAAGGCTAGAAGAACATCACAGGCTCTGACTTTTGAGGCCGCCCTCGCCGTGTTACGGAGAGAAGAAACAATCAGCGTCAAAAAGATCAGAGTCCCGTCATCTTCGGGTGGATCCGAAGCGCCCGTGATGTAGTGCTCGTGATTTGGTATGTTTAGCCGGATCGGGAAATGGCCCAGCCCAAGTTTTCCTGACAGGACCTCGTTCTGCGCAGGACGCTTCTCGCTCTGGTAGCCAAGGAAGTAGGAGATCTTATCAAAGTCGAGAAAGACGCGGTCGATCCGGTCATCGGCTTCACCCAGGTTCCTGGTCGCTCCGGAGATCGGGTTGTTTCCCGACGATGGGTCCGTGATGAGCTCCATATACTGATGGAGGAAGTTGTAAAAGTACTCAGGAAATACCTTCTTCTTCCAAAAGTCGAGGTATTGCTCCGCGGAGTATCGTCGCTCTGGGTCGAGCTGGATCATGTGCGAGATCATGTCGCGAAGGTCTTTGTCCGGAATGCGACTAATCTGGGAGATGACTGGATCATATTCGCCTTTCCTGTACTTGTATAACTGGCTCAGGGTAAAAATGGGCGTCTCCAAGAACATTTCTGCAATGACGCAGCCAGTACTGAAGACATCCATAGCCCATGTAAGCTTCGCGTTTTTGCTATTCACCTCATCGGCCGGGACGAATCGTTCGGGGGCGACGTAGCACGTTCGGCGACCGGATGTGTCGAAGTAGTATGAAAAGTCTCCAGGGTTGTCGTCGGGAAGCATGATCGGCTTGAACGGCGAAGAGAAGTCGGAGAGGTACAGCCAGTTCCAGGACGTCACCAGCGTGTTCTCCGTCTTGATGTCGCCATGGTAGATATCTCGAGCGTGGCAGTCGCGCAAGGCGCACAAGAGCTGGAATGCCAGCCATTTCTTCTCGATATCCTCCAAAAACGGCCGGGTGCTCATTCGGTCGTAGAGGGAGTTGTACAGGTACTGTCGGACTAGGTAACCGTTGGTTTCGGTCTCGACGATGCGTTGGAAGCCGAGAGCGTTGGGCACATCAGCAAGGGCACTGCGCTGCTCTGAATACTGTCAGTTGCGAAACTTCTGGGTCGTAGGTGCTCGGGTAGCTCACTCTCGATATCGCGCTTGTATCTGTCCAACGCCATCGGAGTGTACGGCTTGACCAGGACCTTGACCAGAGCGACTCCATCATGGTGCCTGGCGCGGATGCTCTTCATGAAGCGGGCGTTTCCGATGCTCTTCTCGTACATGAGATCGGAGAGCTCGGGAATGTCGATGCCCGCGGAGCCCGCGGAGGGCGTCGCGAGAGAGAAGCCTTGACCCATCGTGGGCAAGAGATAGCTCTGAAGCTACGGGACCTATTCGACTGTGTGTTCGTCGTGGCGAGAGCTTGTCATGTTGAAGCAGTCAGAATGGCGCGTGCTGTCATTTGGCTCGGGTAGCTCGTCGTTCTTGTTCGGAAGCCTGGGCGAGGTTCGTCGCAAGTTTGTCGCTGGCAAACAATGCTCGGGAGCTGCGATGACGAGAAACAATCACGGGTGCGATTAGGTCACCATTCCAGGTCTCAGCGAGGTAGGTACCTGCCACACGGCGGGATGCAGGCAAGCCGTCCACTTAAGCAATTAGTGGGACGTCGGGACAGGGGGCACCGCGGGGACAGCTGCGATGTGGTCCGTGCGTTATTGCTCTCTACCTCTATCAAGCGAACCTGTCACCTTCGTCTACCTACACAAACTGGAGATTTAAAGATTTTGTGATCTGAGAGTTGCCTGCTGAGCCAAAGGTAAATTAAGCAGACCAAAACGTGGCATGCCAGTATTAAAACTTATGCTGATGTTTTAACTGTATTTGACCTAATCTTGTTGTTAAAGAAGCATATTTCTACCCATGTTAGGTAATTACATTTAGAATCAAATGTACGGGCAGAAGAGGAACCGCGTAGCTCTTTAGACCTACTCTATCGTCCATGTATTCAGTCCCAAAGCAAGGAGAGCTCCATCACTCAGCTGAGTCTTATCATCATTCCTCTGGCCATCTTCAACCGACAACTAAAATCATCCACTCGAAATCGAAATCGAGACAAGGTATTCAACTCACCCAAAATACGTCACGCTCTCCAAGCAACACCCCAAACCATCCATACCCTCAATGACACCGCAGATCAACGCACCCAAAGACCTCAGGTGCTGCCAACCACCGGCACATTGCAACTGTGACATCGATCGAACAAATCTGCACACACCAAAACGTCAAAATCCGATACCTCACGCAACCCATTACCCAACTCTTAGCCACAGCCGAAACCTAACGATGACACATGCCAAACATCCAGCAACTCCCACAACAACCTACCCACATCAATCTCCCCGCCCTCCGATCCCGCACCGGAGACAGTTCCCCAAAAACATAAAGACGGGGGACCGGGACGCGACCATACCGTCTCGGCGTTTTCACCTAAGGGCCATCGACACCCAATCACCACCAACCGGACACTTTTCGACTCCCCCAGGTGATGAAATCAGCAAATAACCCGATTCTGGTATTGGCCGGTCCAAAGATAAGCGTTAACCTCTCTTCAATAAAAGCGAAACCACATGTCCTCGCTTACGTAGACGTCTTACATCTTTGAAATCCAGTTCATGACTTGGTCATGTCCCAAAGAAGATGGTGGTAGTTCGTCTGAAGAGTTTTGCGGCGCGCACAGCCCACGATGCCCCATGCCCACCACGTCAAGATCTGGGCCTTTCAAGTCTCAACTCCAAACTCAACGCTCACCGTTGGAGCTCCTGCACGTATCTCTTCTTCTGACCATTATTCCGAAGTTTTAATCACCTGGATCCAAGGACTTCGCTGACGGAGGAGGAGCTGAAAGAAGCTTCTCATGCGCGCGTGACCGCAGCGGTTTCAGCCCCTAGATCCGCGTGAAACCACTCAGGTGGTATCGGCGGCACAGACGTTGGAAACCAAGATCTGCCTGGACTCCACAGCGGGAAGCAGACGTTTTGTAGAGGAACCTCTTCGGTATTTGAGCTAAATAAATTGGCTGTCCAGTAAGACGCAGGAGTAAGCCTAATTGATGTTGCGATGATAAGTGTAGCAGGATAGGTTTCGCGCCCCGACGGCCAGAACCAAACATGTACCTGGGCCCTCTGAGATCCGTTCCACCCCTTCTTCGTTCCGTTAGCCCAAAGACCATCTACACCTCCCCAAAGAGGTCACCATTAGATCGCAGAGGCCTTCCCCGACCCCTTCCTCCCCAAACCCCTTTTCCACCGTCAACCCCTGGGTATATACTCGAATACGTGGTCGAAACGAAAGGGGAAGGCATGCATGATCGTCGTAAATAATTAGGATCGCGTATCTTCATCTAGTCGGAACTCGTCGCGCTAGGTGCTGGCTTTTGGCCGCCGAGCACCTCTGCGATCGTGGTTGTTTGAAGCTGATGCCGCGTCGAAGAGAAATAAGTCGCTCGTCTAGGACTGAAGACATTAGGCGTGTCGTCGCGAAAAATGTAGTTTCTCGTGTCTATGTGCAAAAAGAGTCTCCGAGTAAGCTTGACTTGACTGCTGCTCGTGATGTCGTGTTGTACGATTCATTAAGAGTCCCATCGAGTTCGCCCATGAGCGTGCCCGCTCTTTGGCCCTCGGGTGGACCAAAACGTCGAAGTCAATGCCGGAAATGAGCCAAACGCCGTACCCAATGCTGAAAAATGACAACCGCCGTCGATGTATTCAAAACTCGGGTGTGTTCACATATCAGGAAAGGGTAGAGTGGCCTTGATGAGCGCTGGAGCCTTCCGTCGAAACATCGCCTTCGATAGTCTTCCTCCAGTGCTCCGGCAAGCACACACATACGAGAGGGAAGGCTTTGATCTCGCCGCTGACTGGTGGTGATTCGTCTCGTCGGCCGGACGTGTTCGATACGCCGCTGTCTCGCTGCGCTTGTCGTCGAGATTCCCATTCATCGGCCCGCTCATCCAATAGAATTCCAGTCGCCCACCCGTCATCCCAAATTCCAACAATCTTGAGCATGTCGCCACGCTCTAGCGTAAACTCATCCGGAGCGCGGGGTTGATATGCCCAGAGAGTTGCGACTCTATCGCCGGGGTGGATATCGTCCTGAGAATAGTAATCCTTGAAAAAGGGTAGCTGCTCCGATTGCTGGCTTGCCATTCCTTGAGGAGAGGACATTCCGGCACTGGTTGGTGACTGAGGATCATTCATACCGGTGAGGACTGAGCTGCTTGACAGAGATCCCGTCCTCCGAATGTTAGTGGGAGGGGGTCGCAAAACCCCAGCTCTGACCTCCGATTCAGGGCTGTCGCCGAACTCAGAAGACGACGGGTCGTCTCCTCTCCTTCGACCTCCCATGTAGGCTGCTCCGCCTGCGGCAGCGGCTGCGAGAGGAGCATTGCTGCGACTGACGGGTGGCGCTGGATCCGATGCGCTCTCCAAGGCTGACATGCGCGCGATACGGCCTCCAGGCAACACTTCATATCCGGTCGTGGTCTGGGCTGGTGGGATCTTAACCGTGGCCGGCCCATTCCTAGAGGGTGACGGTTGGTTGAAGATGCTTCCGCTCTGGCTTCCACGTCTTCGTCTCCTAGCAAGCAGGATACACGCGTAGATAAGAGCAGCAAGCAACAGTGCTCCTGCCACGCTGCCAATGACGATACCAGCGATAGCGCCGCCTGAAAGACCCCCTCCTGCGGCCGGGGTGCTCGTCGAGGTCGGTGACGCAGTGGCGGTCGGAGGTGTGAATGTCATCGTAGGGAAGATAGACGGCAGGGTGACGCCCTTGCATCGCTCGTCGATGTTCGAGTTGTAGCAGCATGTGTCGGTAGAGTTAATACCGCCAGAAGCACAATACGAGCACAAGCCCACGGTGCTGTTGCCGTAACCACAGTTGTTGTTCTCGTTGCTGATGCCTTGAATGCAGTTAGACGAAGATAGAGATCCGGCAGGAAGTGCGCAGTTGGTGAAGTCAGCGCGAATCTGGTTAACGAGGTTGCTACTCGGGTTGCTGCAGAGACTGCTTTCTGAGGTTAGAAGCGCCTCACTTTGCGCATATTCAGCCTGCATAGTCATTAGCCTGAGATTCCCCAACGGTGAGGTAGGGTACTAACGCATGTGTCGGCGCACACGGGTCTCGAGTTGGAGGCTGTGAGATTACAGGCGTCTATCGAGTTCTGAACGATGGAGTTGCAGACGACTGTTGTCGTGAAACGAGCGTACAACTCGGTCGAATTTGTGAGATTGACGTTGCTGCAACCAAGTAGTGTTTGGTACCTAACCGATGATTAGCAAACAAACTTCCTAAGCTGGACACATCTATATCAAACTAACTTCTCGCGCACGTATGTTGTCTCGATGTACGACTGCAATTGTGAGTCGAATGTCTCCCTGTTGGAAACGAATTGCAGAAACGGGCTGCCCAAACCAATCAGTTACTGCAGCGATCATTGATACAGTCAACCTACAATAATCCTGCCACGAAACCCGTTGTCGAGACCGAGGCTGATTGGAAGGCCGGGCATTGTGTTGATCCCTGTATCGAGACGCAACCTGATTGCGCCGAGACAAGTGTCGAAGCAGACAAAAGCGACAGCAGCGCCGCCTTGCTTGCTTGGCCCACGGTCCGTCCTGTCCTGCCTGCGCGTGCTCCTTTCCGGTTGATGGAGGGGTCCATTGTCGTGTCGATGATAGCCACCAATTCGGTGGTGGCTGGAAAAGTAGTGATTGGTACGAGAGGCTCCTAGTACATGACTGCCTTCCCGAATTCTCAATGCTCGCGGCAATGTGAGGGGCGCGTCGCGAATGTTCGACAATTAAGGTAAAGAGTGCTGGATGCTGAGAGATGCTTGACGATTGATAGCCGTAACCAAAAAAGCTCTCCAACTTCAATTGAACCGATGAGAATGAGGGATGGTGTTTGCGAGCTGTCGTCGTGAGGAAACTGGGGAGTCCGAGCCGAGATTGACAAACAGCATCAGTCGAGTAAACCGAGGAAGGCGAGGTGCTTGACCGAGTCGCGATTGACGAATGGAATCGATGATGGGAAAGTCGTCGTCGTCAGGTTCAATCCGTTTGCGCGAAGAAAAGGCAGGAGGTTGGCCGGTCGAGGGGAGGAAAGCACCGGTGATTTGTTGTTGTTTTCCGGGGAATAGGTAGGTAGATAATTGGGAAACCGCAACAACGTAGTTGATGGTAAATAGGCTGAACGAGGGTGAGTGAAGGAAAAATAGAAAATAATGAGGTTCGGTTAGGTCTACTATTAGGGGGGTCGGATACAGCTAAGATCCGAGGCGAGGTAATTCGACGTGTCACGGTCGGGCTCGTGGAGACGAGTGAAGAAGGAAAAGGGCGATGGCGATGATGATGTTGCTTGAGGGCGACGACGGCAACGGCGACGACGGTGAGGGACGAAGACGAAGCACACGCAACACACAATGGAGCACCACACGCGCAGGAGGGAAAGGGAAAGGGACAAGAGAGCAGAGGGAAGTCAGGTACGACACCCGACGGGAGGTGCTTAGGAAAATAGGGAAAATTGGAGGCAGTGACCAACGTGGGAGGAAGGATGGGACATGGGCACAGCCTATCACTGGAGTTGGCAGTACTTGGTCGTCGTACCCTGGACCTTGTTCAGTCTTGACCTGGACCTTGACCTTGACCTTGACCCGACCGGGCCTGACTGGCGACGGCGCGCGGCGGGAAGGAAGGCGCAACTGGAAGTTGAGGGAGGTGGTGGTGGTTTCCTTCTGGATGCAACAGGGGTGTGGATGGTGGTTGGGGCCTGCCTTCTTTAGGTAAGGGAAAATAAAAAAGGAAAGGTTGGAAAGAGCAAGAATGGAAGTATTCGTTTGTATTGGTATAACTGCAGAGTGCTGTTTCTTGACCAGATAGAGACTCACTCAACTGCAGCAAGAGCGAAAGAGCACGCGGTGAGGGAGGAGGAAGGAGCACGAGGGGACTGGAGCAAGAACCACCCGCGCGACTTTTCGACCAATGGAATAGACGCATTGCCTCAAGACCTGCCTTCCCTGTCGGCTGTGGTCACTGTGACTGGTTGAGCCCGGTAAGAAACCACTCCAGTCCGGTCCACTCCACGTCGACGTGGGCGGTCGCCCAGGCAGGGACTAAAGAAAGTTGCAAAGTACGTACCGGCGTGCCTGGCGAGACACCAGCTACCCCTGCTCACACGAGGAGCAACGGCCACCGGAATCGTCAGAAAAAGGCAAAGCGCCTGGACCATTCAAATTTGGTGGAGCAGGGGAAATGGCAGGGGTCCAGGGTCTCCCCTCGACGACCACACTCCCGTCATGAATCAAACAACTCGCGAGAAGCGACGCCTTTATTTTTGCACTTGGACGGACTGCATTCCGTATCTTTTACCGTCGTCGATTTTGCATTAATCCCATGGAGATTGACCGTATCTGTGCTGACGACGAACCAGCTCCATGGCTCCAGGCTCACTTAGCACGGTAGGGCTGTGAACCGTCAGGTCGCTGCCCTAGGAATTCTGCGACTTGCCCAGACATTTCCATTTCCCATCCTGTCCCGGCCGTCTGGAAACTGCGCCGCTGCCGACATGGGCGCACGATTTCACCAAACTGGCCGGCCCATCTCGAAATAGTTACGGTACGGCGTCGATACGCTCCCCATACAATACACCCGCAAACATGGCATTCTCGCGTCACCCAGCAGCAGCAGAAGCCGCTGATCGGCGCAACAAGAAACACGGCTCGAATGAGGAGCCAACAATCATAGTGCTCTTTCGAGGAAGGGCTATGCCTGTTCGCCATGTCAGTGCGATGATGGGGAAAGTCAGTCACCGGTGCCACAGGTCACGATATACGGGGAAGTATCCGTTTGTCCCGTTGCCGCTGACCACAGAAATAGAGCCCGTCTCTCCCAGACGAGGGGCTCATCATGCTTTTTCTAGGCGTCCATCTCGTCAATGATCAAGCATCAACGCCATCTTCGCAGTTGTCAATATCCCAGAACCCAGTCTCACCAATCAACAACACTGCACCCGATCGGAAGCCTCTACCGCACGGCAATCTCAAGCGAGATCACTGTCTTGAACATCCATCTCCCTTCGCCATCACCAATGGCTTGTCTCACACCTGTCGTCTCGTGTTGATGACTTACGGCCAAACCATTACCAGACCCCGCTGGATATGAACGATCGCGACAAGATCAAGTATTACGCATTTCAATCGCTGCCGGATGTGGTCCTCTGCTCATCCGTCACCTTGACCATTCGTGCAAAACCACACTTCACGTCGGGGTCGAGCCCCGTGATGCCAAACAGCACTCGGGCCGCCGTATTGTTGCTCATGAAGCAGTCGAATGACGGCAGAGGCAGAGTCAGGCAACCGCATCCGCAGAAACAGGATACAGGGGCGTCGACGACGTGCAGCATATTCCGCACTCCCGAACGGCTCGTTCGTCTCGGAGGTGTGACGAGCCTCTTGCCATGAGCTTGCGCAGGTACTAGAGCAGTGCTGCAGTAAGCAGACGCAACGCAACTGCACATGCCGCGGGGCAAGATTGTCTGCGGTATTCCATTTATTCCGAGGAAGCGAAGCCAAGCCGTCAAACCCTCGAGACCCAGCAAACAAACATCCTGAATCACTGCCGATATGGTTGAAGGGTCCGCATGGGAGTTGGCAAACGAAGCAATTGGCGAAATTACCACTTCTTCTAGGCTGTCTCAGCTTGGCAGTCGCCAGCTGTGATTGGTGAGACTCAAAGATACGGCAAGGATGGCGGTAGAGTGGGGGAACCGAAAGCTGCTCTCTGACCCAAAAAAGAAAACGGTCCACTGGCTTGCGAGATGAGAAAGGGTCCCAGCGCTGCTCTCCCTGCCAGCACGGACAAGACTTGACCAAGATATGCCCGCTGCGTCGGTTCAACCATCATGGATGAACACGCCGTTTGGATGACCCGCCCAATGACAGCTCACGTCATTTTGTGGTCCGTCATTCAAAGAGTCGAGGCATGTCTGTCAAGCAGAACCACCAAAGTCCTTGCAAAAGCTATGGATGTTATCGATCTACGGATTCGAGCGAGAGTGCATTTTTGTCATTCAAGTCGGGGACCACTGGCTTCCGTGGACTGAACCAAGAACCCGACAGACACAACGTGGCCAACATGAGCCTTTGCTACACCTGAAGCGGAGGGGAGCAACACCGATCAGAGCGCGGGAGATCAACGGACAGAAATAGAACCGACCAAAGCACGATATCGGGCGGTAGTGGTAGCCGCCAAACCTTCGAGACTTACTTCCTTTCAATTCCGTCTGGATTCTAATCCAATCACTCGGTCTCAAATTGACTTTGCAGAGTCATCTCACGTCAGCCCCCGGAGCTTAAGATCTGGATTCGATTCAGCCAAGATCGGATTTCTTCCCTTGGCACAGCATCTTAAACCATCGTTTGATCGAGAATCGCCGCCTCTTGGACAACACTTCGAAACTGCTTTCACATCAGCGACCTCTTTTGTGTTCTTGAGTCACTGGTGCCCTATCCGCCAGAGTATCGGCGGTGGGATGTGGCGTCTGAGCGTGCACTGCTGCTGTTGAGCGGTTAGCTAACCCCAAGACTCACAACCCATTTGCCATCCACCGACGATGGTGCTGAGATATCAGAAGCAACAACTCCCTTCTTGAATAACGTGGCAATTGTCCGCTACTCCCGCCTCCGAACGCCTCACTTAGAATCGGCTCATCTAGACAATGAAGGCCAACAAAGAACTTCTCACTTGAGACCGTTATTCGCCACACCACTGCACCACAACGGTCTCCGAACCCGCTCATGGCATCCCTCACCTGCCCCACCGCACTCGACGGCCGTCGAGAAACAAAGTCCACTCTGGAAATGGGGTTTAGAAACGGCCGGAGGGCTTCGGCACTGGGGTGGATCGGCAGCGTGGACACAGCGGCGGGAGGAAGTTGTCTTTGATGCGAGCGGCCTCGCCGTTGAATTACCATTATGCGGCGCCGTGGCGGCTCAGTGGTGCGGCGGTCAAGAGGCCACGCACCTTTAATACCCAGGAAAATTGCTGGTCGGCGAATTCATGCGTTTCGAGGGTACGCATGATTCAGCCTCAAGTCAAATCCATGGGGGTAATTGGTTGCCCTGGTGCCCACATCAGGATCTGATTGGTTCTCGTTTCAACCACACTCCACGTTATCTTTGTCCAGCGGCATATTCGAGGCTTCGATATCGTCGCTTGCCCTGACCTCATGTCAAAACGGACGCCTCACAGTGAAGTTTTGTCTAAGAGTGGTAAATCAGTCGATGAATTTGGGAAGCCAAAAAGATTCATTCGCCGCAAGTTCGAATCTTGGTGCCGTAGACTCAAGTCTACCAAGAATGAGATTCTCTATCTATGCCGTCAGGTCTGCTATTGAGCTCGCTGACCGCGGCGCTGCAACTTGGTTTTCGAGACAGGCTGGACCTGTCACTGGGTTCTAAAGCTCGAGATCTACAAATCCAGTCAGCGCCTTGTTACGTAAACCACGGCACTGGGTGGACGCTTCAGTTCGGAATGTAATGGTTCTCGCATAACGCAATCGCCTGGCTGTTACTAACCAGTCGCCACCCCAAACCGATCTCCATCCTTTTCCCGGGCATGAAGAGCCTGGTTCTGGGTAGTCTTGCGTTAGCAGTTGCAGACCTAGTTGCGTTCTGGACTAAACACACAGAGTCCAGTAACTTGACCGGACTAAGTAGGCTCGTTGCCCTAGTTCATGCCGAAGAGTGACGTGGCACTCAGTTGGTTGAACGAGACGATACGGTAGAGCACGATTCGCAAGAACCAGTTTGGTTCGTGGCCAGTTTATATCCAATCGAGAAGTTCAGATTTCGGGCCCGAACATCTGCCCGATTAGGCCACTTTCAGGAATCACTAGAATTACGTCTAAGAGTGCGGTCAAGGCACAAACGAAGCGGTTCGTGATCAATGGCCGGCTCTCTGGCGTCCGCAACGACTACCGCGACATTGATTGACAGACACCGGCCTCAAGCTCAGACAAGCCTATTAAAGAAACTAATATTCTGGCATCGGGAAGTCGAGAATAGCTCCGTTTCTGAAACGTAGCACAATCGAACTTCTCACGCCGGAATCATTCGTTTGCGGGGACTCAAGGCTAGAACGAATATCAGCAACTTCTGTGCGGCTGCGATTGACGCTGACAACGGCGATAAAGTATTCCAAAACTGGATAAGTCGAACGCGAAAGGACGACTGGAAGCGAAAGCCTTTTGGATTTCGGTCTCTGACGGCAGTATTCGTCGTCTTAGGTTGTCTACACATTGCGGACCAGATTTCAACGACTCCACGAACTTTGTCCACGCAAGCTCAGAGCATGATTTCCGAGACGACACACATTCATACAATACTGAATTCTTCTAAGCCCTCGGTTCTTTTGCCATATTACCGCATGACTCAATTTTCGGGTTTCCTGTGATGATGGATTCTACCCACGAGTTCTCCAACCACCGCGGTCCGTGAGTAGCTCGAGCATCCCGCCATCGATTTTTCTGCAATCCGTCAGCAGCGCACGTTCAACAGACCTCAACCGCCGACATGGACTGTCCCAGATGACGAGAAGAGGAAACAAGTTTCCCAGCACTGCGCGGCCCCTGGGCGGTGCTTCGCCCCTCTGCCTCTCCGTCCGTCAATCGCGAGTCGTGCCAGCAGCGAGCAGTTCTGCCCACGCTTGGCCTGGCGTCGTTTGAACGACTGGCCATTACGACGCGTGCGTTTCCTTTCAAAAGATCCGGGACTATGGAGACTGTCCGTAGCCATAATTAGGAGTGTGTCTCCCAGGTCACTGCGAGGCTCTTGCTCGGAGTCCTTCCACGATTGCTTCACCGATTCCGACATCTTCAGGACGTCGTTCTCGAAGTGACCAGAGAAACAAATGAAATTTGTATCCAACTTGGATTCATGAATGCTGTGTCTCCCGAGATATGAGACTTTGTCCGATAAAACGGCAAACATGTGTCATCCTTTATTTGTTAAGATGCCGTTCCATCTATGAGATGGACACAACCACTCAACACCTCCCACAACTCTTCTCGAAAACCCAAAAGACCAGCTCAGCTTAACACTCACAATTGAACGTCTGACTTCCCTGACCGCCACGAAACTGAAACCAATCACTGTCTTCTTCGCATCCTTCCTTTTCCCTTTCTCCCCCCGTCTTCCAGTCCGTGCCGGAATACCCAGAGCCAACGCATCCTGCGCCGACGCTAACAAGCATCAAAACTCCAGACGAACCGTTCTAACGTTCTGCACAAACCCTCCAACCTGCGTCAATATCTTTGTCAAGCCCCCCCCTCCCATCCTTCAATGATAATGGCCGACCTCCAGAATGCCGTCTTCAGCCAAACCAATGGTGCCCAGCTCGTCCTCTGCCCTGCCATACTGCCCAGAGCGAGCATAGTCTGCCGGCCGAACGCGCCGCCGACAACGACCAGCCGCGAGCATATTCCTCTCCCTCGTTGATCGCGGCTCACTTACAACAATCTCCGCCGGAGAGAACAGAAAGCCAACCACTTGGATGGGGTTCACCCAAGAACCCGACATCATGTCGGATTTCATTCAACTCATCCACGCCCGCGACTTCGATCCGATACTACCAGTAAGTCGTCCTCCCTCCTCATCCTCACCAAAACCCTCACTAACACGGAACGTCTCCTCCAGAACCCTTACGGACCTCCATACCAACCCCAAGTCGCGATCCTCGGCCTCATCCCCGACGTCCGCGTCGACGTGCCCATCTGCATCATCCTCATCATCTTCTTTTTCGCTGGCGCCGCCCTCAACCTCTACATCTTCCTCCGCAACAACGGCAACGGTCACAAGTTCCTCGCCTCCGCCGTCCTCGTCGGCTTCTGCACAACGCGCATCATCGCCCTCTCCCTCCGCATCGCCTGGGCCACCCAGCCCTGGAACGTCAGCCTCGACATCGCCGCCACCATCTTCGCCGCCGCCGGCGTCGTCCTCCTCTTCGCCCTCAACCTCGTCCTCTCCCACCGCCTCGTCCGCGCCCTCCACCCCAACATCGGCTGGAACCCCATCGTCGGCTACACCTTCCTCTTCCTCCACTTCTGGATCTTCGTCTGCCTCGTCTGCGCCGTCGTCGCCACCACCGTCTCCTTCTACACCCTCGACCTCCGCTACCTCCAGCGCTGCCACACCGTCCAGCTCTTCTCCTCCACCTCCCTCGCCATCCTCGCCTTCCTCCCCGTCCTCATCGTCACCGGCGCCCTCTTCTACCCGGGCCTCCGCCGCCCCGAGCCCTTCGGCTACGGCAGCATCACCACAAAGGCCCTCATCGTCATCGTCACCGCCCTCCTCCTGACCGTCGGCGCCGCCTACCGCTGCGCCGTCAACTTCGCCGTCCGCCCCGCCTGGGCCCCCGGCTGGTGGCACCACAAGGCCTGCTACTACGTCTTCAACTACGACCTCGAGCTCATCGTCGTCTTCACCTACGCCCTCCTGCGCTTCGACATGCGCTTCCACGTCCCCGACGGCGCCTGCAAGGCCGGCGACTACATCAAGGGCCAGTACAAGTACAAGCGCGTCAGCAACCTCGCCGTCACTACCCGCTACCGCCTCTGCGACTACTGCGAACGCCGCGGCCACCGCCGCTGCCGATGCCGCCGCGGCGGCAAACGCACCGAAAAAACCACCACCCGGAGGCTCGAAGTCGACGTCGAGGAGGCCTCGTCCTACCGCGCCTCCCGGAGCGAGCGTTCCGGCGTCATCCACGGCCTGAGCGAGGTCGGCGACGGCAGGAGCTCCTACCTGAGCGCGTACTTCCGGAGCTCGTACGGGAGCAGCGTGAGCGGGAGCACGTCCTACTACGGGAGCGGCTCGTACGGGAGCGGGTCGTACACGGCGACCAACACGAGGAGTTCCGAGAGCGAGGAGATCGTGGCGGAGAGGCTGCGCGAATGGGATAGGAAGTCGAGGTCGAGTCGGCGGAGCAGGGGAGAGAGAGAACGGCACCACCACCACCATCATCACCACGGCCACCACCACGGCCATCACCATGACCATAATGCGCGACGGCACAGTCGAAAGACTCGTCGACGGTTGGAAATCAGAGAAATCCGGGATTGAAGTGGCGGTCAAGAAAAGTCATACGTTGTTTAATACCCCTTTCCCTAATAATGCTCGGAGATCGTCCCTCTTTTGTATACCATGATAACGACATAGACGCGCATCCTAGAATGACTTTCGACATGGAACCATATTAGCAAGATTCACAATACTAGAAAAATGAAAACTTCATTAGCATCGACACCTTCTTATTGCCGGCGGTCTATGAGTATCTAACGCGTTAATGGAGGCAGGGTCCGAGTCACGCCCAAAAAAAGCCGCCTCAGTCAAGAGGGGCTGCGCTCGCGGTCGTCTTTGTGTGCTGGCCCTCCTCTATCATGATGCTCAACGCAGAATCTCTCTCTTGGGAGTACATTGGTTTCTCTTGGCTTTTGTTTGTAATCTTACAAGATTAGACTCCCTCCAAGCACCAATGCAAGTTGAGCATGCGTACGCCCTGTCTCTTTCGAATCTCTTCCACGGATAGCACCCAGAAAATTGCTCCGAGTGACGGGTAGCGAGGGTATCGAACAGGTGATCAGAGGAAGTAGTCGGGTGTGCGTCTCGAGACCATCGGCTCGCCGGCTCTCGGGCAGGGATCGAATTGCAAGCTGGTAACAGTTAGTCGCTTCCTCCTGAGATGAGGTGTACAAGTACTCACAATGTGTACTTGAGATGTTCGTCGATCTCCATGATCGCCGCCTGGTTACCGCATCTGTAGCAGTAATTGGGTGCTACGGGCGCGTCAGTTATCGTGCACCACGCGAGAAGACTGGGGCGAGCTTACCAGAGAAGATTGTGACGACATTCCTGTCTTGAGACCAGTTGTATCCCTCCATCACAAGCTGGTGAGCACGTGCGATGAGTGTCAGCCCGTTGTTGTGGTTGAAAGCCTCGGAAATATCCTGGCCGAACGTGTAACCAGCACCACGGGGCGAGATTCCCCAACCGCAGCGGTCATCGGGGTCAGACCAGAGCAAGTCGCACATGGGGCCCTCGTGGGGAACTTCCTGAATTCTGTCCAGAGCCCTGATGTTGTCAAGGGTATCGATACTAGGCGACAGGCCGCCGTGAAGGCAGAAGATCTGGTTGTCGATGAGTGCGGTAAGGGGGAGGTAGTCGAAGAGGTCGGTAAAGAACTTCCAGACGTTGGCGTTGCCGTATTTGCGGAGGCACTCGTCGTAGAAGCCGTAGACTTGGGTGATCTGGCGGGACTCGTGGTTGCCGCGGAGAATGGTGATGCGCTGGGGGTATCGGATCTTGAGGGCGACGAGGAGAGTCACGGTCTCGACGGAGTAGTAGCCTCGGTCGACGTAGTCACCTAGTAGTCACAGTGAGCGCCCGTCCGCGATATCTCGCACAAGTTCCAGGGACAGAGCCGACGTACCCATGAAAAGGTAGTTGGTGTCAGGGTTGGGACCGCCAATCTTGAACAACTCCATAAGATCGTGAAATTGGCCGTGGATATCACCGCACACCGTCACCGGGCATTTCTGAAGGAAGAGGGGTCAGCACGGTTCGACGACCCTGAAGCGGCGAGGGGGAACCTACGACTGGTTGCACATTGGACTCGTCCTGCAAGACCTCCCGTGCCTATGAATTGATGTCAGCAACTTGCCAGGCCCAGGCCACGCGAGAGGGGCGATTGGGAGATGAATGAGGGGAGGCCATCAAAGGCTGGCTGGGTTTGCGGGCAGCTATGACGATAGCTGGCCCAGGAGAGAAACGCGCATCGGCATCGCATCCATCGAGGGCAGGAGCAAACTAACCTTCTCGCAAAGCCTCTGAACATCGGCCTCGACAAGCTGCTTGCAGCTCATGAGGCTCTCAATCCAGCCATCTAGGGTCGGGATCGTGGTGGGCTCGAGATTCTGGGTAGAGGGCAGATCGGCGGGGACACGCCCAACATCTTCCATGTTCGTATCCATGCTGAAAGGCGTCTAGGGTATCGAAATAGTTGGAGAGGGGATATTTGTATCGGTCGCGAGACGGAGTCGGGTGCTCAGAGCAAGGGCGGTCGTGTGGTCGGTGGTCGTGTCGAGGGGGAGAATGACGTTGTTTTCAGCAACCGGTCGCGGTTCTTGAGATTAGCACGACACACACACAGCACAGCACCTCAATCCAGTCTAGGTAGCGTAGCGTGGGGCTGGCGGCGGCGGCGAATCGTTGAAGGCGGTCAGAGCTTCGTCTGAGGCCACTTAATGATGGGAAGCAATGGAGCAATCGGCGCAAGGGAGCTGGTCGGAACGGGTGAAGCGTTCGCGCAAGGCGGGGCGGAGCGGGATTATAATTTCTGATGATGCGAGTGATGAGGAGGGCATCGATGTTGGGCTTGGGCACTGGGGATTTTTGCGAACCCAAGTGAAAGGCGAGTGCCAGTGCAGGTGCAGGAAGCGGGCGGCGGGCAGGCAAGGCAGGGAGGCTGGCAGGTGCGGGTGTTGGTGCGCTGCGTGGAGGTACGGATGGGATGTACCTTACTTCTGCTTTTGCTGGTTGCAGCAAGACAGGCCCAAACCGGGGCAAGGAGGTATCACTGGATGGCCTCGCTTCTCGCTTAATTCAATACTGCCATTTGTGACTTCACTGTATCTTCACGTGGTCCTCATCACTTCTTGCAACCTTCCTATGGTAATCAGATGCCATTTTCTTGCTCGAGTTATATTCTGTTCATTATCTCATCGTCCTTGAGCTACCACATGGACCAAAGCAGTCGTACAGTTATCCATCTCTTAACTAAGGCAGGTAACGCCGTCGCAGGTATATACACTGACATCCACTCGGGCCAAGGAATTGAGTCAGCCTCAAGCGGTCCAGAATCTTGGACACATGCCAGTGAGCGCGGCATCTCCGTCATACTGCGTCCAATGTCTCGCCCTCATTTACTTGCCTCCCCGATGAGCAAACGCCAGCGCCAAAGCTTCGCCTCTAGTCATTCTACATTACTACGAGTTTGTGATAACTCGAAATCGTTGGCCTCGACAGCGTACTTAGAACACACACACAGAACTGAAAATCTAGGACAACCCCAGACCTACGGGACTGGTAACTCCTAACGTGCTGTCCAGGTCCTTACCGACGAGGTTGCGGAAGTCCAACTGCACTTCGTTGAGCATCTGGGCGTGTTCTTGGGCGCGCTCCATGCACTCGTTCCATACTTTGCCGCCGCGTTCGGTGCTGCTAAGCTGTCGCGCGAGGATGCTGTTGAACGTTTCAACCTCTTCCTTGGCCCACTTCACGCAGGCGCTCATCATGGGCGGTGGGAAGCAAGAGTGAAAACAGCCCACAGTGTTGCGGATGAGGGAGAAGTAGACGAACGAGATCTCCCAGATATACTGGTGGAGGTCACCCTGGAAAATGCATTGCCTGATAACAGGTTAGAACTGGTTTGTAAAGCCACGGAACGGGCTCCTTACCTCGATCGTTTCTGGATGATGTCGTGCCGGGCAGCCAGATAGGCCTCACGTGCTCTGTCCTCGTACCCGAGCCGCGCCAGCCAGGAGATGTTGCGCTTGTTCTTTGTCGGCGCGTTGTGTGTCGTCTCCAACTCGCGGATGATCATGCCCGCCAGCTTTGTGTTTCGTTCTTCGACCTTGAAGCTGATGAAGTCCTGCGCCACCGTGTTGTTCTTCAGGCTTCGAGCGAGGTTCTTGAGCTTCTCGACACGGCCCACGGCCGGTTCGAAGTTCTGAAGCGCGACGTCGATGTCCAGCTCATCCATCTGGCTCTCTACCCATCGGAGGTTCTGTTGCTTTCCATCCACATCGATGAGCATGTCTTTGATATCGGACAGCGTCTCCAGCAGCTCCGTTTTCTGGAGCAAGCCAGGATCCCGAGACGCAAAGTAGTTGATCGTCTCCTTGGCTTTATTGTTCGCTTCCAGTTCTGACTGCCGTTCTTTTCGTAGCTCCTCGACCGCCTTGCGAATGTTAAGAAGCAGGCTGTTCTTCTCCGTGTCCTCGGGCTTTTCAGTGCGATAAATGACCGACTCTTGCCCAACACCTCTGACCATGACTGCATCGGCCAGCTTGTTTCGTGTCGTCGAAGAATCACTGGAACCTGCCATATCGACAACTTCGACGTCGAGCAAAGGCCAGCATCTATCGGCCACCAGCTTTACCAGAGGACCTGTAGCCTCGCGAGGAGGCACATCCGCCTTTCTCTTCTTGCGACTAGCAATAAGGAGGTGGTCATTCAGCAGGAATATCTGCATAGCGCGACGAGACTTGTAGGTAGCGTTGTCCAGTTCAATCCAAGCTCCAGCGTTCTGGATGACGTGACGAGTAGCAGAGTTAGGCAAGAACTTCTGGGATCCTTCAACGTTCTTGTACAGCGCCTGCATTTGGGAATTCCAAAGGGCACTTCGGTCGGCGACCGAGCTGCGCTTATCCCTCTTGCTCATGCCGGTCGACAGCTCTCCACCGAGGCCCGGAGACTCGTTATTATTGTTGTTGCTGGAGGCTTGCCTCAGTGCCGTGGTGTTCAGCTTGAGGTCCGTCATCAGGCTCTTCAGCGCTCGCATCTCGCCCTTGAGCTTCTCGGCCTCCTTGCTGATCTTGATGAACTGCGTGCGATTCTGCATGACGTTCTGCTGGAGATCGGCGTTGGCTCGGCTTTTGAGGCCACGCAGGTTGTCCTCGAATTCGCGGATCTGATCCTCGGATGCTTCGCTGAGCAAGCTGGCGACGTCTGTAAAGACCATGTTAGCGGCGGCCCCGTGGAGCCCAGGAGATACTATACTTACATTGATCCGGGGCCAAGTTGGGATCCCTCAGAGCCTTCACATCCACGACGGGAGCAGGACCTGCATCGCCTCCTCGGCTGGGAGGCGGTCGCGCGTTTCGCTGGCGAGTCTCGTACTTGTCGAGGGATGGCATCGACGGTACCGGTGGATTGTTCACATCGAAATCATTCGGAAGGGCGTTGAACCTGGTCGAGTATCGTCGCTTCACCAAGTCGGATGTCTGTAAAATGCTCTGGTCAGCGCGCGAAAGTCCATCTCGGGCCAAGGCCCATCCCTCCATCCAGACATCTTGAACTCACCTTGGATCCGCCGGCCTGCGGCGGCGGACGAGGTCGCGGCTGCACCTGTCCCGGTCCCGCGTCGGCCATGGGCCTCGAGCCGGGAGGCCGCACCGGACCTGATCCATCCTGTAGAATGGGCTCCGAGATCTGGCGCGGTGCACTGATCTGGGGGCGGGGGCCCTTCCTCTTGCCGCTTCTCAGCGAGATCTTGCTCCTCTCCTTCTCTTCCGACATTTCGTTATTCAATTGGGTCTTTCTTTCGTCTCCGTTCCACAGGTAGTCGTGTCAAGCAACCCCAGTTGTAAGTTCGGGGAGTTTACTCGGTAACGGGCACGACAAAGGCCCCCTCGTGAGGATGATGGTTGGGTTGATGTTGTTTCATGCACCCCCGATGGAATGGGAAGCTGCCGTGCCGGGTGCTGTGGCTGTTTGGGAGGCGGCACCCCTGTACGTTAGATGGATGCCCGGGACAGCCCCCAGCCCGGCCATCCCACTACGTAACCCGCCAGCACATCTCACGGCTGTGCTGCTGCTGCCAAAGAGCAAACAACAGCTGTCGAATCAATACGTACCAACCTTCCTTGCTGCTGTCTGGCCTGTGCTGGAGGACCCACCACGACAGCGGCGCTTGGCAAGGAACGCGAACCTGGGAACGACGGCGCAGAGCAGAGGCTAAAAAAAAATTGGTAGAGAAAGCTCCATCAATTCCCGATAGAGCTTCTTTCCTACGATATTCACTCCGTCAACGAAGGAAAACCCTCGCCAGTCTCTCCGGGCCTCCCCCAAAACACATCCAGCGCACCATCAATCCTCGAAGGCGCCCTCTACTCTCCAACAGACGTTTCTCCCTCTTCACACCAACCCCCTCCAGCCTTTCTGCTCCGCACCGGCAGTCAATCTTCAAAATGTCCCAGCAAACGATAGTGACGGCATCAGTCGCCGCCGCCGTTACCGGCTTGTTTGGTGAGTTTTGCATCCACCGAAACCCCGACGCGCCAGTCCGAACCGGGACATATTTCCAACGTCAATCGAGGACGAGGGCCATACGGGGCAATTGACGACATGGGAGAGCTGTATTCGCTGACGAACGTACGTAGCCTACGCCGTCTACTTCGACTACAACCGCCGCAACAAGGCCGAGTTCCGCAGAGAGCTGCGCCGGAACGAGCGCAGACAACACAAGGCCGAGAAGGAAGAGGCAGAGCAAGAGACGGTCCGCCAGCGCCAAGCGATCAAGTTCGCCGTCGACGACGCCAAAGCCGAGGGCTTCCCCACCGACGTCGAGGCCAAGGAGGCCTACTTCCTGCAGCAGGTTTCCGAGGGAGAGACGCTCTCCTCAGACCGTTAGTCCCGCCCGCCCGCCTGCTTGCTTTCTCCCCTCGTTCGAAAGAGAACATTGCTTTACTGACATGTTTGGCACTCGCAGCTTCGCGCGCCGTTGACGCTGCGCTGGCGTTCTACAAGGGTTTGAAGGTCTACCCTACCCCCGGTGACCTCATTGGCATCTACGACAAGACCGTTCCCAAGGTGAGAAATGATCGAACTCCACCAAAAGGCCTGACAAGATCTAATGTGTGCGCAGCCCGTGCTGGACGTTCTCGCCGAGATGATCGCCTACGACTCTTCCCTCAACATCGGACAGTTCACCGGCAGCGTCAACGCCAACCTGAGCGACATGCCCACCGTCGGCCTGGACTAAATCTCCAACACCGTCTTGGAGTTAAACAAAAAACCTCGTCCGACAGCAACCGTCCAGAATCCCCCAGAGTCCGACAAGCAGCCTTCAAGTCACTCCGACTTTCGAAAGACCAGCAGTCGCTCCACGGATGGCGTGATGCTGTCGACCAAACACACACCACCCCAACTCATCCGTAATCCTCCACCCCACCCCCGAACCACCTCCACAACCATCATCCTGCGAAGAGAAAAGAAGGATTCACGACGTTATCAATGTACAATACTCTGGCCGGCTGGGCTGTTTTGATAGAAAGGTTTTGTAAGAGGAAACCACATGTATATTGACGATCCTGGCAGGACGATTAAGCAAGAAAGTTTACGAAATTTCACAGTTTCACACTCTCCTCTCTCCCTGAAGAAGTCAAGCATGCGACCGCGTCCATTGTGTTGTGCCCTTGCGGAATCATTCGTCTTGTTTTTTATTTGCTCCTATCTGGCTAGGCCTCAATTTTCCTGCCCTTCCTATCGACTCTGTCATCGCGCGGGTCGAAGCCGCCGTTACCCCATTCAGCCCACTCGGGCGTCGCCTCGCCCATGTAGTCCTCCGGCTTCCAGTCGCCGTCCGCCCCGCGCTCCTCCAGCAGCTCGAAGAAACGCTGGTAGTCGATGCGGGGGTGCCACTTGCCGTCCTTGTAGAACCGGTCGCTCGCGAGCAGGACGCAGCAGCTGTGCGCGTGCTCCGCCGCGATGCCGTACTTGAGACCCTTCTCGTTGAGCCTCTTCTCGAGGGCCGTGACGAACTCGGACACCTCCCAGTAGAACGGCACGTTGGACATGCTCAGGCCGGCGTTGGACGCCGTCGACGTGCCGCAGTACGTGACGCCCTTGATCTCGACGAAGCAGGGCAGGCCCTTCTCGACCAGCTGCGCGTAGCCCTCGACCTCGTCGTCGACGTTGAAGCCCTTGACCAGCGTGAGGCGGAAGACGGTGCGGTGCTTGAAGCGCTTCTCCCTCAGGATCTCCAGACACCTCTGGAACCTCTCCCAGAAGTCGCGGTGCAGGGGCCGGTCGATCTTCCTCAGCGACTCCTTGTTGGAGGCGTCGATGGAGACGTACAACTGCGTCACGGCCTTGAGCGCGGCGAGCTGGTCGGGATGCTGCGCGTTGCAGACCAAAAAGGACGAAATGCGCTCGGCGTGGAGCATGCCCAGGAACTCGTTGATGTAAGGGTAAAAGATGGGCTCGCCGACGAGCGAAAGCGCACAGTGCCTGATCCTCATCGCCTCCGCGAACCTCTCGGCCCTGACGCCGGGAACGCCGCGCAGCATCTTGATCTTGTTGTAGTGGTTCGCCTTGACGCCGTCGAAGATGAGCTCGGGCGGGTCGACGACCCAGCGCCAGGTGGTGCCGACGGGGTTCGTGCCGTGGCGCCAGCAGAAGACGCACTTGTTGGAGCAGGAAAGTGACGGGGTGGTCTCCATGCACTGGTGGGAGTTGATGCCGTAGAAAGAGTACTTGTAACACGAGCCGCGACCGCGGAGGGCGGACTTGGTCCAGCGACAGATCTTCACACCCGAGTGCGAGCCGACGATGGAGTAGCCTTGCTTGGTGAGGGAGGCGTAGGTGGGCGAGTTCTTGGGGACCATCTCCTTGGCACCTTGTGTGGGCGTCTTCTTGGTTGCCGCGGACTTTCCGTAGGTGGTGAAGTCGACTGCGATGGGCGCCGCGCTGGGCTTGGTGTCGGCGTCGGGGTTGGAGTTCTTCATGATGCGGCCCAGGTCCTCGACGTCGTCGATGTTCTTGCGGTTCTTGAGCTTCTCGGGCTTGGCCTCGGAGTCCTCGATCAGCACCTCGTCGTCATCCTCTGCCGCGGACTCGTCGTCGCTCTCGTCAGGCGCGCCGCTCCCGGGCAGGCCCTCACCCAGGCTGCCGGTCTTGGCCACCATGCCGAGGACGTCCACGACACCCTCAGACCATTCGGATAGCCTCTCAGCATAGTCTCTTTTGGTGTCGCCCATGCCGACGGGGAAGGCCCTCTTGCGACCAGTGAGCTTGGCCATCCACTTGTCAACCTCCTTGGCCTGGAAGCAGAAACCCTCGTCCTCTGTCGGCCAGCCTTCCCTGTCTCCAAAGCCAAATACGGAGTAACCGAGGAGCGGGGACAAAGGCGCCGTGTCGATGCGGAAATCGTGATGCGTCTCTTGGAGGTGCTCGAGGAAAGTGTCGTTGATTGTGTCGATATTGTAACTGGGCAGCAGGAACAGGTAGAAGAGCTCGACTGGTTCGTCAGACTTGGGCGGCGTGATGAAGTAATCGTCAAAGTCGACCTCAGCAAGGTCGAGAACTTCGGGAACCATGAAAGAGCAGCCGGTTTCGGCAGCAGTCTTTTGGAGGTCCTTCTCCAAGCGCTCTGCATAGTCCTTTGCGATCTTGGGAGTGTTGGCGGTGATGCTCGAGAAAAAGATCAGAGGCCGTATCGTCCGCGCAAGACCGTCGCCATTCTTGAGTTCCTCGGAAGGCCGCTTGACCAAACCACCCTTTATCCTCCTCGGGCCACTCGACTTGGGCACCTTCGACTCGACGACGGGGATCGGCTTAACATCCTTCTTTTCCTCGACAGGCTTGGGTTGTGGCTTCGGCTTCGACTGGGGCTTTTCGTTGTTGAGTACTTTGGGGAATGCCTTCAGGTCGCCCTTTTCCTCAGCGCTATGGAGGTAGAATCGGAGGACGAGCAAGCCAAAGGCGGTGAAAAGGATCACCGGTATGCGAATTTCCTGCCATACATCGTGGAAGTCTGGGCACAAAAGATTCAAAAGTTAGCACCAAATGCGCACGGGCAACAGAGCAAATGCGACGATCAAGAGAATTTCCTGTGCTTACTATTCAGCATGGCCTTGAAGCCCGGCTGCTCAAGAGGGAGAGCCATGATGACTCTGGAAATTGGAAGAGCAGCAGTGCTCTAGTTCGAGCTTTCGGAAACCGCTGTGTCACAATTCGAAGAGAATCGCGAAATTGAGGCGCATGCAGTGGCGGGGTGTGGATTGGTCAAGGGCCGACGCAGCCAGTGGGGGAGACCGCAATTGCAATTCTTAGGTATTCGAACTTTCCCAGCGCCCACCCAGCTGGAGATGGAGTTGGAGGGTGGTGGTGCCCCGCAAGACGGGAGAATTTTGGAGGGCGTTGCAGGGCACCTCATCAACCCCGCCATTAGCGTCTTTTCGAGCACCTGTAATTACCCTGTCGTCGAACCCAAATTACCAAGCGAATTGAATATGCATCTTGGGTTCAAGAATACGATGAACTGAGAGAACGCAAAAAAGCTGAATATCAGTTAAAGAGCCGTGAGACGGCAATGGAACTCCGCCAGGTGAACGAATCCGCACTTATAAGGCATTTCAATAGCCCTCTGGTCCATGGAGTCGACTGAGTCCCGGAAAAGCCGAACCATGAGCCTATGTGCAAAGTTGAGCATAAAAAGTTATTTGTGTGATTTGTTAACTCAGGTTGAAGGAGCTTCAGGTTTCTATACTCTACGATCCGACCCTGCCTGCCCTGCCTGCGCTTGCTTGTCCCTCAAGTCTTTCAGACAGGGGGCGAAGAAGATTTCCCCAGAAATGGCCTGGTGGAGAGTTCTGATCGCAACTAACAGCCAGAGAAGGCAAACAGAAAGAGAAAAGACCTAAACATATCAGCAACTGTCAACTCGCACGCAACTCTTGAGACGAAGAACACATACCATGGTGGCAACTCTGAAGAAAGAGCTGTCCAGCTCCTGCGCCAACATCCCCGTGCAAGTAGCCATCACGCCAAGAGGGAACGTAAACCCCCACCAGCCCATGTTGAACGGGAACTTTTGCATCGTTGCGATGCTGATGAGGGCAAACGAAAGCCATACCAACGCAAATCCCCACATGATGAGAGCCAGGAAGATACCCAGGAAGTACAGGATTTCGCCGCCGTGTATAGCGCTAGGCGCAAGGGTTGTAAAGGCTGTGGTTTGCGGCAACAGCTTGAGAGACACCTTACCAAGTTGCTGAATGCCAAAGCCCCCTTGGCCGAGGGGCCCGATTGGCAGGAAAACCGAGACGATAGCTTCCTTCGATGGGAGACTGTGGATGGTCAGGCGATGGAAGTACAGCGCGAGGACCATGCCTGAGAAGCAGATCCCAATGCCCCAGAGGATGTAGGAGGCGATAAGGGTAATGAAGGCATGATCTGGGTTGGCCAAGGCCTCGGCGACGATACCTCCTGTCGAGGATGCAACTACAGTTGGCACGATTGGAAGTAGACTGGCCGCCGTGACTGCTTGTAGACCCGGACGATGTTGATGGATCCTGTCAATATTTTGTTAGAAGAAGTCGCGCATCAGACATTAATCACTTACATGACGAATGGCACTGTAATGCATGTTGCTAGAGACAGAGCAGCGTCAAGCCACCAAAAGCCCCATGCCCAGGACACTACCCAGTCACCCCACGCTGGAGCACAAACAAACACCATCATATTGATGATAGCTAGACACGCATGTTAGAAGCGAATATCTATTTGCAACACTATGTTGAGACATACTTGCAAAACCCATGGGATAACAGCCCAAAAACATCGACTGGGCCGGGTGAATAACCATAGCCTTCCATATCTCGGGGTATAACGCATATCGTAGAATTGTAATGGCCGTAAAAACCGTGAACAGACCGACGTTCAGAACGAAAAATGCTATGGCGAGTCCATGGGATATCCAAGTTACGTTGTACGGCAGGTTGTGGAGGAGAATTGACACGATGCCCGTGCCCATTGTGACCGCGAACCATCTGAGGGAAGTTAGAAAGCGCTTTGAGACGAACATTCGCTATGACCTACGATGGCGTGAAATTCCGTACTATTTTTCTCCAGCCAACATCCTCCTTGCAAGGCTGACAAGGAGTTGTCTCGCCATTCGATCCTCCAATTGTCTCTGTGCCTGGGAGTACCTGGAGGGGCCTGGACTGAAGAGTCCCCGTCGTGCTGACAGAGGTTGCCATCATACCGGTTCTCAGGTTAAAGTGCAAACGGCTGACGCAACTCAAAACAACTAAACATTAGATGGGAGGTTACACTTCATTCACCCAAACTTTCAAGCAGAAAACAATTCAACAGAAATTTGTACCCGTGGTGGCGGTACTTTTCTAGAATTCATGCTAGCTGAGCCATCGGTTTTAGTGTGAGTAATACGAACGAACCCATTCCGGAGGTCAGCCCCACAGAATCCGCCCAGCTGACTCCAGTCTCCAATCACATCCAGTACTGCGGCTATCGGGCACCTTGACGACCGGTACAGGGACAGTCGATTGATCTGAGAATGAAAACCGCATGATTTTCAGCTTGCATAAAGACATAGACTATGCAGTCTGCAATTGACTAGACGCTGCCGCCGCGAAACCCTAACAAGACCCATTTCGTCTTATGTTTGGCCATCTGACCGCCATAAGTTCGGGGCCGCCCGCCGCCTATCGCCGGCATTGCAAGGATCCCACGACAAAGCCTCCTTAGTTATCTCGTCCAACCAGAGAACCCCATTTTTTGGGGTCCCCGTCCACCAACGAGAAAATGCTCGCCGACCTAGGTGTGCCCGCTGCGCCGACAACGTGTTCAGACTATCCTGTCTCAGAAGAAGAGATAGGGTCTGATGGCTGACCCGACCCACAGTCCGAGGTCGGAACAACCAGTCGTTCCGTGATTCCCGCTCATTTCCATCAGGTAATGAGGTGCAAGCCTGTCCTGGTGACCGACCGGGACAATCGTATCACCATAGAGCGACAAGACATCGTAAACCCCGCACGTTGAGCATCCATTCCAAGAACCATCAACCATCCTCAGCATCAACCAGTACCATAGACCAACAACACAACCGTAGCCATGGCCCTCGACATCCTGACCAAGATCACCTCCGCCTTCGGGCACGAATTGAAGAGCGATGACAACCGATTCGACGAGCTCGTGTTGGCGTTGAAGGAGGCGTTGGGTCCGTCGTCGGGGCTGGACTCGGCTGACGTCGACGTCAAGGAGTTGATGAAGTTGATGGAGGAATACAACTCGACCGAGCACGAATGGATCCAGTTTGCGTTCGCAGAGAAGAGTATGGGATACACCAGGAACCTGGTTGATGAGGGCAACGGCAAGAGCAACCTCGTGAGTAGCGTCGACCACGACTTCGTGGAAGACAGTCGATACTAACATCGGCACAGCTTGTGCTTGTCTGGTCGCCAGGCAAGGGTAGCCCCATCCACGACCACGGCAACGCCCACTGCCTGATGAAGATCCTGAAGGGTGACTTGACTGAAATCCGATATGCCTTCCCAGAGGGCGACGAGGAGCAGCCGATGAAAGTCATCTCGGAAAGAACACACAAGGAGAATGCGGTGGCATATATGGCAGACGAACTTGGCGTCCACCGAGTCTGCAACAGGGGCAGCGACTTTGCTGTCTCCCTTCACCGTGAGCGACGCTTCATCGTCATTGTCGAAGCAACTTTGCTGACCAAGTCCACAGTGTACACCCCTCCCAACGTCGCCAAGGGAGGTTGCAACATCTTCAATGAGAAGACAAGCAAGAGCAGTCATGTAGCCAAGTGCGGCTACTACTCGGCGTACGGCCGCCGACTGCCGAAGCAGTAAGAGATGGAATGCCGATGGTGTCGATTTTCGTTTTGGGCGTTTGCGTATCTTTTCTTTTCTGTCTTTCGAAGATGGCTCAGCATCGAGTCGTCCCTGTTTGATATACGAGCGAGCATGCCGACATCCGAAGGGCGCTTGTCGGTGGACTGATGACTGATGATGGTATGAAGGCTCTATCCACTCTCATAGTGGACTGCCACCGACGAGGAGTTCAACCTGCCGCGTTTCCGTGTGATTTTTGGGTACCATAAGATAGCGAAATCAACAGAAGATTGCCTGAGACACAGAAAATGAAGTCGAATGGAGTTGTGAAAGGTGCAAGAGCCTCAAGACCTCGTCGTTGGCCAGAAACCAGCCATAACGGGCCCGGAGGTAGGTCACGTGAAATGTCGTGATTTTGCAATTGATGTTGATTGGCTCGGTGACTCTTCCCCATGATGGCGTGCTCGAGGACCTGAGCCACGGCCGGGGACGGGAGCTTGCAGCTTTGAGCCACACAGGCCGAGCCACACAACCCACACAAGCCCTGTTCTCACGTCCGCACCTCTGTGGGCAGCAAACGAGATCCCTGTGTCGATCTCGCCCCCAGAATCACAACAAGATACGCGAGACGCGTCTTCTGCCTGAGGAGCTCCTGTGAGAGGTCCGTCTTTCTGAGACTTCTGATTTGGGAACATTCGGTACCGACCTTTGAATCTGACCAGATCTGACGACTTTCCCATTTCGATCCATCGTTACACGATTCAATCCCAGCTGGGCCAGCCACCACCAATAGTCCAGTACGGGGGACCCCAGACAGCCAAAGCGAAGATGCCTCCCAAAAAGCGTGGCATCGAAGTCGTCGACCTCATTAGCAGTGAGGCCGAGGGTTCGGCGCCGCCACCTAGCAAGAGGACAGCCGGAAACCGGGCGGTTTCTTTAGGCCAGTCGAACGGGGCTCGGGGCTCCGGACGCCAGCCGTTTAACACCCAGAACTCCGCTAGCTCTAGCTCATTCGCCGGCGCATCGTCCCAGGATGCTTCCTTTTATGATCGCGACGACACTGAATTGATCGACCTTACACAAGCACCCGATGGTCCCCAACTTGAGCTTTACGGAAATCTCGGTATGAAACTTTGGATGCATTATATTGCCCCTAATCTAATCTCCTGACTTAGATACCAAGATCGTCGGAGTACGGTACTACAACGGCTACGCATCACAGGGAGAGGTCGTCGTCTGTTTGCGAGAGCCCTCCAACCCAGTATGCTGCACTCAACATTGCAACGATGCAATGAGACTAACATACCGCAGTATGATCGCAATGCCATTCGCGTTTGCAACGTCATGGGCGATCAGATCGGACACATCCCACGCAAAGTTGCCGAGAAGCTGGCCCCTTACGTGGTAGGTGCCTTGCCGACATCCTGTTGAAACAACACTGATTTGCATCAGGACAATGAGGACATCGCATTGGAAGGGACCCTGACAGGAGAGAAGGGCCAGTTCGACTGTCCCGTTCGGCTGCACATATTCGGACCCTCCAACAAAGAGGAAAGGCTGCAGCTGGAGGACAGGCTGAAGAAGGACAAACTGTTGAAGGCCACGGAGCTTAAGAAGACGAAAGCCGAAGCCGAAGCCCAGAGAAAGATGCTGGGCATCAAGAATGCCCACTCGACAGTCGGTCTAAGCGGCCCTGCGGCTCCGCCCGAGCCGGAGGTATCTCTCGAACAGCTGACGCAAGCCAGTCAAGCTATGCAGGCCCAGAGTCGTGGAGATGCTGTTAAGTCTCTTGTCATTGACGAGGAAACACTGGCTGCCATGCCGATGGCTGAGCAGCCGGCCGTACTTGAAGCTCAACTTTTGCCTTATCAACTTCAGGTAAGGCTTTCTTCACGCACTTTAAGACCTGCATGCGCTAATCTTTACGCAGGGCTTAGCATGGATGGCGTCCAAAGAAAACCCTCAGCCACCGCCGAAGGGTTCCGAAGAGAGTGTCCAGCTTTGGAAATGGATGCCAAACAAACGCGAGATGTGCAACGTCGCGACCAACTTCCGAGTGTCAGGCCAACCGAAGCTTCTTTCCGGCGGTATTCTTGCTGATGACATGGGTCTTGGTAAAACTCTCCAAATCATCAGTCTAATCATGACCGGTGGTCCTGGAACGACTCTCATCGTGGCTCCACTCAGTGTCATGAGCAATTGGGAACAACAAATGCGCAGACATGTCAAGAAGGAACACCTTCCGGGAATCTACACATATCATGGAGCCAACAGAGCGAGCAAGAGTGAGTTGGCAAACTATCAGGTCGTTATCACCAGTTATGGCACACTTGGTACCGAGGGTGCCAAGGACAACTCACCCCTCAGAACCATGGATTGGAGGCGAGTTGTGCTCGACGAAGGACACACCATCAGGAACGCGAAAACGAAGGCCGCCGTTGCGGCGACCAAACTCAAAGCCAAGTCCCGCTGGGTGCTAACGGGAACTCCCATGTCAGTATCAATCGGTTTTCAGGCGCACGAAAACGTGCCTTAGCAATTTGGGCAACTCCAGCTAACCTCGTACAGTATCAACAACATCAAGGATTTCCAGTCATTGCTGCAATTCCTTTCGATTACCGGAGGTGTTGAGCAACCCGCAATCTTCAACACCGTCATTGCCCGGCCCCTTGCTCTGGGCAATCAGAGAGCCGAGACACTCTTGCAGCTGCTCATGCGAGATCTTTGTCTGCGACGCAAGAAAGACATGAAGTTCGTCGACTTGAAACTACCGCCGAAGACTGAATATGTACATCGCATTCAATTCAGACCTCACGAGAAGAACAAATATGAGGCCTTGCTGTGAGTACCTCCATCATACTGCGAAGCACTACGCTAACTAGAAAACTAGGAACGAAGCCAAAGGTGCCCTTGAGCAGTTCCGGCAGAGCAACAGCGCAGGACAGGGTGGATTCCAAAGCGTTTTGGAGCGTCTTCTTCGACTGCGACAAGTGTAAGAATGTCTGTCGTAATGTGCAAAGGGATGCTGACCTCGTCTCAGGTGCAATCATTGGACGCTGTGTCGTCAAAGAATTGACGACCTGCTCAAGGTCCTGGAGGGTCAGGCTGTCGTTGCTCTGAACCCCGAAAATGTCAAGATCCTGCAAGAGGCTCTGCAGCTCTACATCGAGACACAGGAAGACTGTGCTGTCTGTCTCGACACCTTGAATCAGCCGGTCATTACCCACTGCAAGCACGTCTTCTGCCGTGGCTGCATCTCCAAGGTCATCCAGACGCAGCACAAGTGCCCAATGTGTCGCAACCAACTTGAGGAGGAGTCTCTCCTTGAACCGGCTCCTGAAGCTGGCGAGGAAGTGAACGATGGCTTTGACGCCGACGCCAAGAGTTCCAAGACCGAAGCTCTCATCAAAATCGTTCAAGCGACCACCAAGGACCCCAAGTCCAAGATTGTCATATTCTCGCAGTGGACGTCTTTCCTCAACATCATCCAGAACCAGGTCGCAGAGGCAGGAATCAAGTACTGCCGCCTCGATGGTTCTATGTCGGCAGGCAAGCGAGATGCGGCCATCGAAGCCCTTGACCATGATCCTGATACTCGCGTCATGCTAGCCAGTTTACAAGTTTGCAGCGTCGGTCTGAACCTCGTGTCGGCGGATACGGTCATCCTCGCCGACAGTTGGTGGGCGCCGGCTATCGAGGATCAAGCCGTTGACCGCGTGCACCGGTTGGGTCAGAAGCGGCCCACGACCGTGTGGCGACTCGTAATGGAAGGCACCGTTGAGGAGCGTGTGCTGGACATTCAGCACGAAAAGCGAACGCTCGTGGGTAAGGCATTCCAGGAGAAGAACAAGGGAAAGAAGAGCCAGGTTACCCGCATGGCAGATATTCAAAAATTGCTTGGTTGAAAGGCGTTCAGTGGAGAAAATTATTCGAGGTTTGGCGATGACCGGAAAGCAGTAACTTGCAAGATACCATTCCATTAGGTCTAGCATTTTGCCATACTTCTGATGGAGAACTTATTGCTTGTAGCTAGACATGCTAGACAGGAAGTTCAGAATGAACATTCTTGAGACAGCCAGATTTCTCCTACAAGCGACATGTGATGCGCCGTGGCAATTTTGGACCTCACGTTAAAAGCGATTGTACTTCAGTAGAAGAAGTGATGTGATATCTCAGAGCCATGACTGCGAAAATTATTCTTGCATAAATTCAAAAAGTAAATCCCCATTGACTTTATGCTCGAGCGCGGAAATGCCCCGCCTCCAGCTTTTGTTTTGCAAGGTGGTATTCACGTGATCGCATTTATGCGCCTTATGACGCGTTTTTGTACACAGACCAGACGCGACTAATTATTGACGATGTGCTGGCGGGCGGTCAACAACTAAATGACACACCCACCTCGCCTGACGTATTCGGACTGGACCCTGCCACCTTACCCTGTCGATACGGGAACCCGAAAGTCGACAGAGCAGCAAAAACAACTCCTTTTCCGAACTTTGCTTTTGAGACCAACAATCTTCTTTATTTCGACCTGATCCTGCAAAGCGGCCAGATCCTGCATCCTGCACAGTCCATGGGACTCGCGCCTCAGCAATGGCCTCTCCACACAACAGAGCGCCATCGCGGCGCCAATCGACATTGAACACACCAACCGATGCCGATAAAGAGCTGTCGCATTCGCTGAAGCAGCTGTCCCTCTCGACTGGCTCTCCTGCCAGCAACTCCCCTCGTACGCCGAGCGCCCTGTCACCCTTGAGACCAGCTGTCAATAGGGCGTCTCCCGGCCCGGTCCCCAGTCCTCGAATGCCGTCCCGGAGCCCCTCCTTCGCGAGGGAGCTGTCCCGGTCCCGATCTTCGACCCCGACCCTGCAGCAGCGATCTGCAACACCTACCCTCCAGCGCAAAACATCCACGAGCTCTCTGCACTCGGTCAGCGGTCCCTCAAGCCGTACCCCGAGCCGGGCGCCCTCGCGACGCACGAGCCTGGCACATGCCTCTTCGCCGGTTGCCAAGTCTCCTCTTCGAACGAGTCCTCCTGAATACATCAAGCCCCCGCCTACTGCAAACACGATTGCTCGCGACTACTTCAAGACGGAACTGGCAACGCATCACTCTCCGCTTTCGACGCTTGGCACAGAGACAGTCGTCATTCTGCACGATGCATGCTACGGACACCGTTTCTCCCGCCCAAAGACTTCGAAGGGTGCCCTCAGCACCATTGTCGAGCGACCAGAGAGAATCAAGGCCGGTGTGCTGGGCGTGGCAATGGCATATGTGCGACTGGGAGAGCGACATTGCGACGGCTCCTATCCCATTCACCCGAGCCTCAATCCCACTACCATTCCGAACATCCCGTTCCGGATTTACAAAACCGAACGCAGGCTGCCTATCACTTCACAGGCTGTGACCAACGTGCATGGCACTAAGTGGATGGAGGAGCTGAAGATGATGTGTGATGTCGCAGAGGCAAAGCTGTCAATGGGGGGCAAGGAGCTTCAGCGACCGGAAATGAACCGAGGCGCAGATGGACCTCCCGCCAAGTTCCATGAAGGTGACCTATACCTCTGTTCGGAGTCTCTGGAGGCCTTCGAGGGCGCGCTGGGTGCCGTGTGTGAGGCGGTCGACAGGGTTTTCACTTCAGGTCCTCGACGCGCATTCGTTGCAGTACGTCCACCGGGACATCACTGCTCAGCTTCTTATCCCTCGGGCTTCTGCTGGGTCAACAATGTGCACGTTGGAATCATGCACGCCATTCTTAATCACGGCTTGACGCATGCTGCTATTATCGACTTCGACCTTCACCACGGCGACGGCTCACAAGCTATTGCATGGGCCCACAACTCGCGGGGTGTGAACATGGCCAAGAACGCTGCCGCCTGGAAGAAGGCCTCCATCGGCTACTTCAGCTTGCATGACATCAACTCGTACCCATGCGAGATGGGTGATGAGGAGAAGGTCAAGAATGCAAGTCTATGCATTGACAATGCCCATGGTCAGAATATGTGGAACGTCCACTTGGGATCTTGGGATTCGGAGCAGGAGTTCTGGGACTTGTACGAATCTAAATACTCGATCATCCTCGAGAAGACACGCAGCTACCTGAAGACTCAGTCGGCTCGTGTTCGCGCCCTCAACCTGCCACCGAAGGCGGCCATTTTCTTCTCTGCAGGATTTGACGCCAGCGAGTGGGAGACGAAAGGCATGCAACGTCATAATGTGAACGTTCCGACCGAGTTTTACGCCCGCATTGCCCAGGACGTCGTCAAGCTTGCCGCGGAGGAGGGCTTAAGTGTTGATGGCCGTGTCATCAGTGTTCTCGAAGGAGGCTACAGCGATCGTGCGCTGTACTCTGGCATCTTCAGTCATTTGAGCGGACTCTCAGGGGATCAAACAGTATCAGAGCCTACTCGAGGCCGCCCGTCGCTGGGTTACGAAATGGGACAGAGAATAGGGGCAATCCAGGAGGGTCAGCCGATTCCGGAGAAGGACCCGTCCGCGCCGTCGCTGCACCCGTACAATCCGTCTTGGTGGGCGTCTTCGGAATTGGACGAGCTCGAAGTGGCCATGGGCAATCGCCCAGCGAGTCCACGAATGATACGACAAGTGACTCCAGGAAACTACTCGACGCCCACGGCAGCATCCATCGGTAAGGCCGTTGATCCTACCAGGCTGAGGCGCATGGCTTCCGGCCACGGCGTGGCCTATTCGCGGCCACCAACTCCCCCTCCTCCCGACGTTCACTGGACCGTCGCAGCACACGAGCTGAGCAGACTTCTCATTCCCTCGGACCGCCAGGTCGACAGCTGCAAGCCCGAGGATCTGAATGCGGAGGCGACGAAGGCACGAAGAGATCGTCAATCGATTCTCAACCCTGACCTTGTGCCGCCTCCACCTCCAGCACCTGCTCCGGTCGAAAGGCCGACTTCCCGCATGTCGTTGCGGGAGCGCAAACCTGTCACTTACGCGGAAGAGGATGACAAACAGTCCAAGAACAGGCGGAGGACCGTTGCCGGTGCCCCCGCCCTATCGGCTGACAAGGTCAGCTCACTATTTCACAGTTGCTTGAATCTCGCTAATCTGTTTGCTAGGCCACTGCCCGAGGCATCCCGTCGGATGCGAACGGGGCGGCCAAACGCCCGGGTCGACGTCTTAGTGCTGCGTCTTCCGTGGTTTCTACTGCATCTACAATGCCATACGAAACCAATGGCGTCGCTTCTCGCCCCGACACATCGATGACCATACGCCCTGAAACCTCGATGACTATGCGCCCCGATACTTCGATGACGATGCGGCCTGAGACTTCGATGACCATTCGCCCAGAGTCCTCAATGAGCGTGAGGACCCAGGCCGGCCCGTCCTTGAACGTCAAGAAGACGCGAGCTCCTGCCGCTAAGAAGGAGGTCCCCAAAAAGGAGGCCCCCAAGACCACGAGAACCGTCAAGAAGCCTGCCGTACCGGCGAAGACCACGCCTCCCCAAGCTGGCCAGCCGTCCCAGCCACCCAAGCCTAAACCCAGCCCAGCTGCTGGCCCAGAGGATGACATGGACAAGCTCACCGCTGGTATGAAGAAGATTAAGATCAACTTGATTACCAAGACGCAGAAGGAAGAGCGGGCCAAGGCTGCTCAAGCTGCCCAGGCTGCGCCGAAGGCAGCGACACCGCCGGTTGTTGAACAAGCTCCTGCAGAGCAACCTCCTGTTGAGCAGCCTATCGTCGAGCAGCCTATCGTCGAGCAGCCTCCCATCGAACAGCCTTCCATTGAGCAGCCTCAGTCTCCCGCATTCCAAGAGCCGAAGCCGAGCACACCAGCTCCTACCGAGGAGGTGGTCATGACAACACCTCCGCCAATCGTCACTCCGCCCCAGGAGGACCCCGTCGTTACTCCCCCCAAGAGCGAACCCATTACCACACCGCCAATGGAGCCGGAGGACTTGAATTACATGTCTTCGCCTGACCCGCTGGCACCAACGCCCCAAGTCCCGAAATCCATTACTGAGCCGATGTTGTCGATCGCGCGCCCAGACCCTCTCCAGATAGAACTGCCCGCCAGTTCTCCTGTGGTCACTCCGGCGGTGGAAACGCCTCCTGGCCAGGACGTTTTCATCAATTATCAGCCCGAGGGACCTGCACCTATTACGATGACGCCCACGGAGCCATTGAAGTGGCTGCCGCCCAACGAGAATACACCAGTCAAACCATCACCGGGGAAGTCACCAGCGAAGTCTCCAACCAAGGTCTCACCGCCGAAGAAGTCGCCGACGAAGCCATCGCCGGCCAAGTTGTCACCGCCCAGAGCATCGTCTTCTAGGGCCCCGGTAGCTAAGATGAAGCGGGCTAACCTTCCTGTCTTTACCTCGACATCGGCCATTCCATTCGCACAGCCGAAGAAGAACGGCTCACCGAAACCCAAGGCCGAGCCGGTCGTCAAGGCCGAACCAGCAGAGTCGGCCAAGTCTGCCCGGGAGATTCCTGAGACGCCGCAAAAGTAGAGAGATTGCGACAGAACCAAGCGAAGGACCCGTCGATTTTTCAGACTAGACTCGCCAATGATTGGTTGAGACTATTACTCTTCAGCAATCACCTACTTTGCAGCTTATTTCGTTCTGTCTTGTTTCCCTTGCGTCACTATAGAGAGCCTTGCGTTTAAGGATACGGCGTGCAAGCCACAGAGGCTTGGAGTCCTCCGTCATGATACCCTCCCGTCCGAGTTGGTCTTTTTTGTCTGTTTCAGTTCCCCTTCATGTACGTTTTTTGTAATTACCTCATTAGATAGAGGCAATTGACGTCTTCTGGCCCGCATGCTACACGAATGAAGTGTGACTACAATTCAACTCAACGTCCTACCATTTTGTCGACGAAGGCTAGTCCGTGCAAGTTGTAAAAGCACACCTAGACAAACCTTCACGCGGAGGAATGTAACATGGAATTATGCGCGTCAACGTGGACGGATCAACGTCAGCGATTTGCTGCGGTCATCCGTCGGACCCGAAAAAATCTCAGGGTGGTGGGGTTGCCTTCGGCTTTGGAGCGGTCAATCACCGTCCGTCGGCATCCATCCAGAGCTGACCTCTTATCATTCACTGATTGGCGATACATACTTTACGAGTTCTTCGGGTCTGTTCATGAGAGGTTTGCCTTGGAATCCGGAGATCCCCTGATTACGATTTCTATTCCTGAGAGTGCTTGTTTCTCCGTCAACTTTTCCAGGTGCTATTAAAAGGTCTCACAGTCCTGCGACGTCATAGCTCCTTTGACTCAGCGCCCTCCGGTTCATCTCATCTCGGTTTCGATTTTATCTTCAACCTCACTTATACGCTCACACACACACACGCCTTCCACCATGGCGTTCACAATGCACTCCCACTCGGGGCAGTTCTGCCCCGGCCACGCAAAGGACCAGCTCGAGGCCATCATCCAGCACGCCATCAGCATAGGCTACAAGACGATGGGATTGACGGAACACATGCCCCGCCTCGAGACGTCAGATCTTTACCCCGAAGAGGTACGCGAGACTCACCTTCCATCCCCGCACGTCTCTCCCGTTGAGCGTGCGTATTCTGTCCCGCAGATGGGCTAACGCAAACCCACAGCTCGAAGAAGGCGACCCCGAAGAGGCCATCGCGATCCTCGCCCCGCGCCACGATGCCTACCTCCAGGAAGCCCAACGCCTCCGCGAAAAGTACGCGCCCCAGATCGACCTCCTCATCGGCTTCGAGGGCGAGTGGTACCGGCCCTCCTACGGACCCTTCATCAAGTCCCTCGCCGCGCACCCGGCGGTCGACTACTTCATCGGCTCGCTGCACCACGTCAACGCGGTGCCCATCGACTACAGCCGCGAAATGTACGTCGACGCCATGAACACGGCCGGCGGCTGCGAGGAGAAGATGTACGAGCGGTACTACGACCAGCAGCACGAGATGCTCGTCGCGCTGGAGCCCAGGGTCGTCGGGCACTTCGACCTTGTCAGGCTGATGAGCGAGGACCCGGCGCGGGACGTGAGGAAGTGGAAGGGCGTGTGGGAGAAGATCACCAGGAACCTGGAGGTTGTAAGGCGCTACGGGGGTCTGTTGGAGTGTAATAGCAGCGCGTTGAGGAAGGGGCTCGCGGAGCCGTATCCTTGCCGGGTTATTGCTGAGGCGTGGCTCGGCATGGGTGGGCGGTTCACGTTTTCTGATGATAGCCACGGGATTGCGCAGGTCGCGACGAACTACAAGCGCAACCTGGACTATCTGGAGAGCTTGGGTGTGAAGGAGGTATTTACGTTTGAACGGGGCCCGGTGGAAGGCGTGAATGGGGATGCGAAGTCGGTGTTGCGGGAGAAGGCCGTGGCGTTGGGTGTTTTTAGAGCCAACTTCAACTAGAGGTGTAGAGTCAGGAGATGGCCTGGCAAAGATGATAGAATAGACTTAGACGATGAATGAACCTGCGATACAAGTATGAAGACAAAGGTTTGGTGTTGAAGGTTCATCCGGTCTCGGCTGTCCAATCAAGTGTTAGGTGGGAGGTAATTGTCATAGTTCTCAGGGTAGCTGACACTTGGCTGTCTTCTGAAATGTTGGGAGGCAATTACTCGCTGGATCTTTTTGCATCTTACGAAGCATTGGTGCATTCTGACTGCTGAGGGGTGTGTGTTACGCTTCATCTTTCCGGAAAGCGCGACCCCAGCCAGCTCCAAGGAAATCGTCCTCTCATTCTACCACTACAAGACGACTTCGTCAGATCATCGACAACCACATATGAGAAAACTTATGCCTTGCACACGTTCAACAACACGAGTAAGCATCGTTTCAAAGTGCGGCGGCATACATCATGAGAGCGCCGGTGCCTCCGTGGTTCCAAATCCATCAACTACGTCACATGTCCTCCAGCGATGTCACTACACCCCATATCAACGCTTGCGCATCCGAAAAGAGAGACCGCAACCTGGGTTCAGACAGATCGCATCTTTTGACCCTTATTATCATCCCGATGGTCCATTTACTCCGCAGAGCAAGTCAGTATGCCCTAACAACACTACAAGACGATCGAAGTCTCTCACCATTATCACCGCGCATTTCTACAGCAAAAACAACACCACGACGGCTTCAAAAAAGGCAAAAGAATTGACCCCGACCCGATTTGAACGGATAACCTTTCGATCTGGAGTCGAACGCGCTACCGTTGCGCCACGAGGCCCTGTTGCGTCCGGAGGCGATCCGAATGCGTTGTTGACAATCGGCAAGCGTAGGATGCTTATGTGGGTGAGAAATTTTCGCAAGTGGGGCTTATGCAATTCCTGGTGGGTCCGCTTAAGCGAGGGCGCTTCAAGCTGCGTCTGTGCCGCGGTTTCCCGAGTCACTCCATGCAAAAGTTGATTTCACCCCAGTACGCGATTCGTACAATGAGATTGGCAGAATACCGGCGAAATAGAGCTTTTATCAGCTGTCCCGTATCTGTCTGTGTGTTTCGCTGTCTGGATGCATAGTTCCTCAACCAAAAACAGCTGCGTTGTGGGAATTTGTGTACTCCCAATATGATCATGAGGTCTCCAAATATATTCGCAATACACGGCTTCGCCGTCTCAACCACACAGCACTCAAACAGGACCATTGTGAAAGCCTGACTGAATAATTTCGTTCACGTCGACGTTATTCATCTGACCTATGCTTTGGTATTATTGCCCACATATCTCCAGCCCAAGCCGAGAGATCACATTCCAGAAGCCAAGCCTTCATCTCAGCCATCGCCGTTTTCGGCGATTTGACAAGTCATTACCTTGTGCTTGCACATTTATGTGTTATTCCTCGACTTGAACATCGTTGTTCGGTCAGGTTGCTGCGGCCGTCCGTCCGATACGTCTTAACAGGACATGAATTCTTGGCATCTGAGCATTGAACAAAAACGAGGTCAATCGAAAATCGGAGAAATTGTCCTATATCATTTAAGCTCATTTATATTTTACAATTACTCCAAGTTCATAGAGAACCCAGGTACCTGTTCCATCGATCTCTTTCACTCATCGCATGCTCGAGTCTCATTCCACGGCTGAACATCATATGAAAGCATCTTTGGCTATTCTCATACTTCCTAATCAACGAAGGCAGCCTAAATTCCCCTCAAGAGAAAGATATGATGAGTGCCTCTCCCATTAAACGCCCAACACGTGGTGCAGACGAGAGCTTAGATGAATCCGGCCAACATCGACGCTCTCATTGGATTGGCGTGCCTGGGTTCAGGCTTAAATCGTAAAAGTCCCAGCAGAAAGCTTCGGCTCGCAGCTGCTGACATTGACGGTGCCGATCAAGCTGAGAGAAAAGCTCGGCTCGAGTGCCGAGACAACGCCGTAGTGCGCCTTTTCACGGTAATCTCTTCAGCATAGCCGTCTTCATCGACCGCGAGCGATGTGAAGCTTCCCCGCAAATGGCTAAATTCCACATGCTTGAGCTTCCATGAGACATGCAGCTGATGAGGGGGGCAAACATGGAGAATAAAACTGACAAGCTCCCTGAGCTTGCGGGCTCATAAACGTTTCTTGACTTTACTCAGTCTGTACTTTGACAGCCTAGGAAAGCCCACTCAGAATGCATTTCACATCGGATCGCCGTATCCTCGCAGGAGCCCTGCTAACCGCCGGCGTCGTTTCCGCCCAGGATGATCCTTATGCTCCCGTATACGGGCAATGTCCAGAGGGCCTGCGAGTACGAGATGCTGCAAGCGTACGTTGAAACTCGAACTCGAAACCCCGATTTGAGATGGGATTCTGATCTTCTTACAGGGACTGTCTCGACCCGAAGCCTCGTGGAAGACGAACCGTGGCCAGAAGATCATCCCCGAGCTGACCAGCTATCTAACCCTGGCCGACATCGATAACTTCAATGTCCAGGATTACATCCAAAAGATCAACAACACAAACTACCCCGTCGTCGGCCTCGCTGTCTCGGGAGGTGGTACGCAGTCTGGTCTTGGAGGCCTGGGTGTCTGGCAGGCCTATGATGCTCGCAACCCGGCTGCTGTGCAATCTCGAACGGGTGGTCTGACGCAGCTTCTGTCCTATATCACCGGTCTCAGCGGAGGAGGAGCCCTGACGGTCAGCACGCTGTAAGTCTGACTGCTTTCCTTGAACGACCACGTTTACTCACATACAAATCATCAGCGCCGCCAACGACTTCGTCAGCATCGCAGACCTCAGGAAGCAGATCAACTTCACCACCGACTACCAAGCAGGAAAAGATGGACCGGACGGCCAGGACCAGTACGTCCAGAGCATCTTCGAAGACATCGCCTCAAAAGCGGAGGCGGGCTTTCCCGTGACCGTCGCCGACGCCTTCGGCAAGTTCTGGGCAACTTACCTCCCCCCGAACAAGACCTACGGCAACTTCTCCGACCTCACCGCCCAGGGCACCGTCTTCGCCCGCGGCGATGCCCCGATGCCCATCATCGTCCTGTCTGAGGTCATCCCGGGCCAGTCGCCCGCCATCCAGAACATCATGTTCCCCGGCCGCAACGACACCAACGGCTTCAACCTGACCTCGTACGAGGTCACCCCCTTTGAGTTCGGAAGCTGGCGCGGTGGCAGGGTGCAGGCTTTCATGCCGACCATATACCTCGGCACGTCCATGTCGAACGGGACGGCCCAGAACACGAGTGAGTGCGTGACGGGGTTCGACAAGTATACCTTCCTCCAGGGGTCTACTGCCGATGCGTTCAACGCCTGGTTCATCGCTGGGTGGTACAATATCCCGACGTTTGCCAAGCGCTGGCTGGGAAAGAGACAGACCTCCTCGACGGATATCGTTGTACCTCCTGGACAGGAGAGCAATGGACAGGTTATTCTTGTTTCCAACGCGGCTAAGGCCTTCAATCAGACTTTCAACGACTCTCTTTGGGCCACGTACCCGAACCCCTTCCAGAACTTCAACCCGGCCATGCAGAACGTCGAAGAGCTGCTCCTCGTAAGTTGCCTCCCGTGTACTGGAGCCAACGCCAAGCTCACACACGACAGATTGACGGAAGTCTCGCGGGTGAAACCGACCCGATCCGTCCTCTGATCATCCCCGAGCGAAAGGTCGACTTCGTCATCGTCTACGAGGCCTCGTCAGACGCAGCCAACGGCTGGATTAACGGCACAAACCTCATCAGTGAGCAACCCCCTTCAGCTTCCACCTCCCACCTTCACACAGAACTAACAACCCCAAAGACTCCGCCCAGTCCGCGGCTCAGGGCAATATCCCCTTCCCCCGCATCCCGGACGTGGCGACCCTCGTGACGCAGAACATGACCAAGCAGCCGACCTTCTTCGGCTGTAATGAGACGGCCCCGACCCCTCTGGTCCTCTACCTGCCCAACGCCCCCTGGTCGGGCTACAGCAACTTCTCATACATGAAGTCCTCCTTCACCGATAACGAGTTCGATTTGACAGTCGATAACGCTTTCCAGGTAATACGAGCCTTTCCTTCTCTTTCTTTTCCCTTTCCGTCATCAAGCTAATGCCTAATGCCAGGTGGCTACCTACGGAAACGGCACCGTCGATGCCAACTGGCCCGCCTGTCTCGCCTGCGCGACGATCCGCGGGAGCCTGGCGAGGATTGGCATGGCGCTGCCGCAGCAGTGCCAGGACTGCTTCGCGAAGCACTGCTGGAACGGGACCGTCGCCGCCGGCGCCCAGGTCACGCCGCAGGACCTCGACCCCAGCCTGAGGCTGAACCCGAGCCTGGGATTCCAGGAGTGGAACGAGACGTACTGGACGAGCACGACGAACAAGGGCGGCGCGAGCAGCGGTGGTGCCATGGGCGGTACCGGTGCTGGCGGGATCGGTAATGGAAGCAGTACCGGAGGGGCTGCGCCGTCGGGGACTGGAGGTTCCAGCCCGAACGGAGCGTCTAGCACGGCTGAGATCGGGAAGGCTGCGGTTGTTGTGACTGTGGCCTCTCTGATTGCCTTGATAGCTTTGTTGTAATGTTAGTACCGAGTGGAGGACACAAATCCCCCGAGAGTACCGTAGGAATACTTGGATAGGAATGATAGAGTCAAAATTAATGTGAAGATGTTTTTGGTGCGAGATGTGATTGGAATAATGCCCTTTAAACTTTCTGGGTATTTGATTAAATCAGGCAGCTCAGGATGCCGCAAATGCTACCCTCCTCCTTCTTTCAACCGCTTTTCTTCTCATCTATAGCTTACATACTACATCACATACGACCACCTCACGTCCTGGGGCTCCGGAGGAAGGCCACAACACCACTGCAGTAGCCGACAAGGTCGTCGAGACGACCCGCCTCCTTCTCCTGGAGGGCCTTCCACTCGCCCAAGGCCTCAAGGAGGTCGGCATCTCCCATAACGAGATCGAAATGCAGTCGCAGGAACACCGTCATCCAAGCCTGGACGAGTTCGTAGTCACGACGCGCGTGCAGGCGGCTCGTCAGGGCCTGGATGAAGTGCTGGAGACTGCCGTCTTCGGGGCTCAGGGAGCGGAGCTCGAGGTCTGCAGTTGATGGCGAGAGGGACTTGAGGTGGGTGATGAAGTTATCGACTGTACGTATGTTAGCGTGGTTCGATGATGTTTCGGATGGGGTGGAAGAGGAAAGCTGGTTGATGAAAAGGGGAGGAATCGAATCAGTGGGCGAGTAGACATGAGCAGGCGAGTAGGTGAGTAATAGGGGGTAATGAAAAATCCTTACAGTCTCCATAGGCAGCTCCATCAGCAAGTTTGCTGGTAAATACTTCTTGCATGCGACCGCGCTCAAGTTTGGTGATGCGCGACTTCGATTCCGTCGCCTCGCCCTCGCCAGCGACACCCTCGATCTGCTTTGAGGACTTGCCCGCGCCGACAGAAGGCAGGAAGAATGGCGCCTTTTCAGGCGCCTTGGGAGCCTCGATGGGCTTATTACGTTGCTTGATGAGGTCCAGATGCAGCAGGGTCTGCCACCTGCTCTTCGGAACCAGACTGAGCGTTGTGAGCTCTGCGCTGAGCTGATCAATCGTAGGAGCGACGACTGTCTCATCCTCGGCATCGTCGTCCTCGTTGAAGGCTGCCTCAAGCATGCCCTCGTTACCCTCGCCGGAGGTCGAAGGACCAGTGAGCACCGCCGCCTCTTTATCAGATACCTGGCGGGTAGGAACGTGCGTGTAGAGGGACTTGTTTGTCCAGATGGCGACTCCGAGCTCATTCTCCACCGTCGCGGCGAGATACTCGCCCGTTGAAGACATGGCGAGGGCGGTGCAGGGCTTCTCAAGACGGATGGCGTCGATGAGATGGCTTGTCGGCAGGTCCCATATCCTGACGACGCAGTCCTGGGAGGCGGCGATGATCCAGCGGCCGTCGTTGGAGAAGCAAAAGTCGTTGATGGTGCCCTGACATCCCCAGAACTCTCTGATGGTCCGCTTGGTCTCGAGATCCACGACACGGACTGAGTTGTCGTCGCAGGCGAAGGCCATAAGATCGTTCGCGGCATGGTACCTGCATCCGGTGATGGAGGTCATGGGCGCCCAGTTGATCTGGTGGATCAGCTTCCCTGTGAGGAAGTCCCAGAACTTGATCTTGCCGTCCAGAGAGCAGGAGATGACGTTCTTGTTCATGGAGTCGACTACGATGCCGGTTACGGCCTTGGTGTGTCTGCCAGTGCCCATAGCAAAGCCGCTCTCCACTTCGGCCTGGAGTTGGACGATGTTGTCCGCCTGCTTCAACTGCTGCATTCTCACCTGCCTGGCTTGAGCAGGGGTGAGCTTGGATGGGAAGCGCTGGCGGTGCATGCCAGATTGCAGGTTGTACATGTCGAGACCTCCCTCCACGGACCCGACAAGGGCAAAGGTACCGCAAGGACTCATGGCGATAGTCGAAACGTTGGAACCATCACCAGTAGGGAAAGCCCAGCGACCAGCCCTCTTGCGGCCCCAGAACCAGGTACGGGCGTAAGCATCGTTCTTGTGTGCGGTCACAACGCTTTCCCAACCGGTCATTCCGCTAACCTCGGCATCCTGTTGCTTCTGGTTGTCCTTGCGCTTCTGCCAGATTGGCTGGTTACCAGGCATAGCGCCCATACCGCCGTCGCGGTTGAGGGAGCTGGCGATAGCAGTGATCTCGGGAGCCTTGAGATCCTCGAGCGTCGTCGTAGGCCCACGTGCAAGGGTCTTGGCCGATAGAACACCGGCCTTCTTGGCCTTCTTGCGAATGTTTCCTTGACTGAGCTCGGTGCTCTGACCATCTCGTCGCATACTCCAGCCCCAGAGACTGCGATCCTGGCCACCGCTGATAAGCCATTTGTTACCGGCGTCGGCTCCGTCAAAGTCGGAGGGCAAGAACTGCACACACTTGACCGGAGCAGCGTGTCCGCTGCGCTGATGAAGGATGCGCGGGATGGCCGAGAACGGGGTCTCGTCGAAGATCCAGGTCTTCAAAGCGTTGTCGCGTCCACTCGTGACAACGACCGGCTGGCCTGTGAGGAATTCGACCTTGCTGATACCTCCACGAACCAGCGGGCCCTCACCGGATGGGGGGTTATGGGCACTTCGCAGGACACCCATGACACGACCGCCGTTGTTCAGATCCCAAAACGTAACATCTCCCGTAGCACTGGTGGCCGTGGCCATGACACCATCTTTCCTGCCATCATGGCCTGCTCCCATACCGTCGGTCCTGAAGGAAATGGAGGTAACTGGTTCGTCGTCGTGGCCGGCCGTGACTTGGATGACAGGCTTATCAGTCAGGATGTTTTGGATAACGAGGGTGCCGTTAGCGTAGGCGATCGCAAGAAGAGAGAGGGCGGGCGAGGGTTCGAGACAAGTAACAGCGCCGCAATCGGGGCTCGGGGGGAGAATGGTGTAGATGAGTTTGCCGGTGCTGACGTTCCAGATCTCAACCCAGCCGTCTTTGCGACCGACGAAGACCTTGTTGAGATACGTGGGCATGTTGGTAACTCCGCCGGTGATCTCATTGTCACCCTTCTTGCCGGCCATGGTATGGAGGGTCGTGTAGTGCTCCAGGGTGCCCGACTTCCAGACCTCGAGTCTCGTGACGGCACATCCGACGATCCAGGAACCGAAAATCAAGATTTGCTGGATCGGCTCGTTCAAGTCCTCGGGGAGCTCGAGCTCTTCGACTTTCTTTCCACGCTTGTAAGCCCAGAGGCCCTGCGTTTCGCCATTCCTTCCATCTCCCCATGCTGCGAAAACCTTGTCTTTCCACGCGAGCGTCGCGGTGATGTCGGCCGGGGTCTGGGGTCGGGTGACGAAGACTAGGTTGAGACCCCTCTTCAGGTCGTAGGTCTGTAGGGCTCGGCCGACGGAGGTGGTGATCTGAAATGTCGTCTTTCCGAGAGGAATTGAGGTGAATGGGGTATTCGTTGGCGAGACTAGACCGACAGTCTAGGCGGGTAATAAGGTTAGCAGAAGAAGCAACGAGGGCGACGCATGACGCCTGCCACTTACTCTGAAGGGCGCAAAGATGCGGGAGGACTGGCGCGCGGCCGACGAGGGCTTGGAAGCGACATTGAGCTTTTGTCGCTTGACCAGAGGCCCTTCTTGGGGTTCGGAGTGAGGCATTGCGGGTGTGCTTTATTTGGATGCCGGCTCACGAGTGCGGTCCGTCATGCGTTCAAACATTGGAAAAAATCTCGAGTCGCGGCCAGGGACTTTTTTTCGTGGCTTATCTTATCGCCGAACAGTCTTGCCGGAGTTCAGCCGGGCTGCCCCGCCCCCGCCGGCCGGATCCCGGGCCCCGGGGCACGGAGCCGGAGCCGGAGGGCTAGCGAGAGAGCGGCGAGCCATATCCGTATAAACGATGGATTCAAAACTAGCTGGTAAGATGGGGTGCTTTATCCAAATTCATGTCCCACCCTGTTACCTTTGGGATCACTAGTTCTGACATGACCCGTAAGGGTTAACTTTCCCGTGTTACTATTCCCGTATTTCTTCGTTCTCTCAAAGCCCTACAGTACTGAGATATTGAGTTCCAAATGGCCGCCTGCTGCGGCAGGTGTTCTGTTTGGCAGCACGTGCACATTTTCCATGAATGGATGTCCAGGTCAAATGGCGTGGACTTCCCGGGCTGACTTACGAACACCTGCATAATTGCCTCCAGAGCAACTGGCGAGACCTGGCAGGCGCGTCTTGGAATATGCACCTCGGGCCGCATGTACATCCATACTGGCTGGGCAAGGCATATGGCGGTGTGAGGCAACCTTGTCTGTAGTGTGATCAGTATGATAGGCCCATGTCTTCAAATAAGACTGAGATTTCATCAGTTGGCGTTGTGTCAAGCTGGAAGTTGAAAGACATGGTGTTAACTTATCCAGTCTTCTAGATTGAGCTACAAGTGTCAAAAGCTGCATTCGGTGCTGCCATTCGCCGGAAATCGTAGCTGTTCGTGCTGTCAGGCGCTGGCTGCAGGAAGCACTAACAAATGTGTCTCGTACTCCGTATACGTACCTGCGTACCCCCACCTCTTACGCAGTAGCTCAGGTTGGACCAACGTCATCCTTGCTCCGCTACGTCTAGAACTTTTTCAAAATCGCCGCCCCTCCAAGCATATTTTTTCAGCGCCCTTGTCTTGGTTTTGCGGGTTCTCAAGCACGCGGCCGCGGCAGGTGTTGCCTCCTATGCCTCAATGTCTTAGTGGGTGCATCATGTATCATGTTCGCAGCTCGATATCACCGCTGCCGACATTCACTGGCCCTCCAAAACCAAGTGCGAGCAAGAATTCGTTCGTGAGATCGCTCTGCCGCTGCATCAACTCAGCTGCGTTAAGTAACAAGTAACTAATAAAGGCAAGGCAGTGTCCCTGTCGCACCTTCTTGACCAATGAAATGGCGGTTCCGGGTGCCCGGCGTGGCTCTCTGGTCTCGTCACCAACAGCCTGGATTGAATGCGTGCCTTTGTGCCCTCGACTCCAATTGATGTGCTTGCACCTTTCCTCATTTTCTCCAAACTCCAATTTTCTCCCGTAGTGGTCAACATCCTACAGTAGTCAGTCTGCCACTTACTTCATTCTAGGGTATCGTACTCTCCTCCGACACATCACCTCCTTTGCCTCAAGGCACCTGGAGACATCAGCACTCCGCAGCACAGCTCTTGTCTGGCCATACGGGACGAAGCATCAGAGCACACGCGCAAAATCAGCAAGGTTCTAGCGTCCAGCAATTGAGAACCCTCGAGTCAGCAGCAATCCCCCGTCCCGTCTACCCCGTCTCCAGTTCCGTCTGATCTCATTGCATCTGGGAATCATGGACCGAAATTTTAACACCAGGCGATCTGTAGATAGCGCTCGCTCGTTCGCTGCTCCTCCTTCCCCTCTCAATCCTTCTCCTCTCTCACCATCCCATGCCTCCGTGAGCAATACCTCGGCACCTACCAATATCGACAATCCTCCGCGATCGAGGCCTGGCCGCTCCGTCTCCCACTCGCTCAATCTCTCGTCTTCCGCCAGCAGGAAGAGCCGACATGCTGAGCCGGGAACAAGCGACGCCCACTCCGCCATCGCCAGCCTCTCTATGCCCCCGCCGCCTTCCGTGCCCTTGAAGAGTCCTCGAAGCTCCCTCTGTCGTAGCCGTCGCGAATCCAACAATTCGCTCGAGGCCTGGAGCGACTCCGCCCTACAATTCGCCGACGTCGACGAAATCGATACCCCACGCCTCATGTCTGGGCCCGGCAACGAGCGAGATCCCACCGCCCCATTTCGCCCCCTCCCCGAGCCCGCCCTGACAACCCGCAATTCTTTCTCGTCCGACTCGGAGCTGAAGCGCAACTCAGTCTCGAGCGTTTTTTCCGTCTACTCGCTTGCCTCAGCTCGCGGCGTTATTCCATCTTCGGCACCCGCCGCCGCCCAATCTTCGGCAGCCTCCACGAACGGTTCTGACGGCGGTCCTGCTCGTTCGGTTTCCGGAATCATGTCGTCCGGGAAGCCCGTCACGAACGCCTCCCAGCCAGGCGCCGAGGTCTCAAACGTGACCGTCACCACCTCGTCCACCGCACAGAATGGCAGCACCGCTGCTGCCGGCACCCATCACCTCACTCCGCGCGACAACCACAACCACAACCAACACGATCTGATCAAGCGTCCTCACCGCGACCATCACCATCGTCCGCAGCCCACCCGATCCCGTAGCAGAAACAAGCGCAGATTCAGTGGAAGTACCGGTGCTAGTAGCCACAGCCCCAGCAGCGATCGGGGACCCTACCACGGCGGCAAGGAGAAAGAAGAGGGTCAGTCAAGAGATACAAGCGCGCCACGTCAACGTGTTCCGACAAACTCTAATGCGCCTGCAGTCAAGCCAGCGCCTTGGGGTGTTATTGGAGTCTGCGCGTTGGACGTCAAGGCTCGAAGCAAGCCCAGTAGAAATATTCTCAACCGCCTCATTGCCAACCGCGAGTTCGATGTGGTTGTGTTTGGTGACAAGGTCATCTTGGACGAAGGTAAGCCATTCTCAGAAAAACGAAGTAAAGAGAGGAAATATGTGGGGAGCCCAACGAGACGCACGATGCCGAACGAAGGACAAACCAATTGAATGAAAACGAGGAGGGTGAAAAAAAAAAAGGGTTGAGAACAACGTTGCTGACTTTTCGATATTGCAGAGGTTGAGAATTGGCCAATCTGGTAAGTCATATTCATTCTTTTTGACCTGCGTCGAGGCTCGGTGAGCGGAAACAGCATAGCTCGGTTCCAGACGACAGCATAGTTGGGTCGATTCATCCACCAACAGCCGACATACAAAAGCTCGGCTGACCTGCCACCAACACTCCTCTCTTTTGTCTTCAAGTTCTTGGCCATACTGACGATTGTAGCGATTATTTGATCTCGTTCTACTCCGATGGCTTCCCATTGGACAAAGCCATCGCGTATGTCAAGACGCGCAAACCATTCTGCGTCAATGATGTGCCTATGCAAAAGATCCTCTGGGATCGTCGTCTTTGCTTGAACATTCTGGACCGTATAAACGTGCCGACTCCGAAGCGTATCGAGGTCAATCGTGACGGTGGACCAGACATCCTGACCCCGGACACGGCCAAGCACATCAAAGATGTTACTGGCATCACACTAGACCCCGAGGAATTGGGCTACAACCGCTTGCCTCGAAAGGTTGAGTTGCTTGATGACGGTGATATTCTCAGCGTAGATGGCGCCCTTCTCAAGAAACCGTTCGTCGAAAAACCCGTCAGCGGTGAGGACCATAACATCATCATTTACTTCCCCAAGTCAACGGGAGGCGGCGCCCGCAGACTGTTCCGCAAAATCGGCAACAAGAGTTCCGAGTACGATCCGGAATTGAACATTCCCCGCGCTATTCTCGAGCCGGAGAACAGTTACATCTACGAAGCGTTTATGCGTGTTGACAACGCCGAGGATGTCAAGGCTTACACCGTCGGACCGAATTACTGTCATGCGGAGACAAGAAAATCGCCAGTCGTTGATGGCGTTGTGAGGCGTAACACTCACGGCAAGGAACTGCGATATGTGACGGGTCTCAACGCCGAGGAGAAGGAAATTGCAAGCAAGATCTCGACTTCCTTCGGCCAAAGGGTCTGTGGATTTGACTTCCTGCGGGCTGGTGGAAAGAGCTACGTGATTGACGTCAATGGTTGGAGTTTCGTCAAGGACAATGATGATTACTACGACCACTGCGCCAACATTTTGAAGGAGGTCTTCGTCAAGGAGAGGTTGAGACGAGGCGGTGTTACCTCCCCAGCACCATCTCCAGCTCCTTCAGATGTAGTAGACCCGTTGGCAGCCCGAGGCAAGGAGAAGGACACCCAGCCCACCTCCGCGCCCCCAACTCAGAACAAGTCATTTGGCAGCGTGTCAGCTGCCTCCGAGAAGCAACCGACGGAGCCCAAACCGATACCTACGAGCGCACCTCCTCAGAAATCCGAGAGCGGGCTGACATCCGCGGTCACAAGCTCTTGCACCAGCCCGACACTCCCGCCTCCTCCTCCGCTGATGGATCCAGCCGTAGCAAGTGTTCCATCGACGACAGCATCTGCAACCCCCTCTGCGACACCGTCTCTTCAGGGCGAGGTTCCCGCACCGCCCGAGGAGGCTCCAGCACCGCCACCGCCGAAGCACTCTTGGAAGCTGAAGGGTATCGTTTCCGTCATCCGACACGCCGATCGTACTCCCAAGCAAAAGTACAAATTCACGTTCCACACCGCGCCGTTCATCGAACTACTCAAGGGTCACCAGGAGGAGGTTCTTCTTATTGGCGAGGCTGCCTTGGCTAGTGTGCTGCAAGCTGTCGATGTTGCGTTGAAGGCTGGGGTCGAGGATCGCCAAAAGCTCAAGTCTCTTCGCAACGTCCTCGTCAAGAAGGGTGGATGGGCTGGTACCAAGGTGCAGATCAAGCCCATGTTCCGAAAGAAGAAGACAGAGGAGAACGCTGTTTCCTCAGGCGACGAGCTCTCCCAGGTGTTGAAGGAAGGCGTGGCAACGGACTTTGCCGAGAAGTCGCAGGATGACGCTTCCAAGACGGATAACTCATCTCCCTCTCGCAAACCGCCCAAGAGACACGATTCACTGTCTGGCGTTACCATGTCTCGTATTACAGCCGCAGAGGAGAGTCTGGTCCTGGATAAGCTTCAACTCATTGTGAAATGGGGTGGTGAGCCGACTCACTCAGCCCGGTACCAAGCCCAAGAGTTGGGCGAGAACATGCGCAACGACTTCAACCTGCTTAACCGCGATGTACTCGATGAGGTCCACGTGTTCAGCAGCTCCGAGCGTCGCGTCACAACTAGCGCGCAGATCTGGGCGTCTGCTTTCCTGGATCGCAAAGACCTCCCCGAGGACTTCATCACGATTCGCAAGGATCTCCTCGACGACTCGAATGCCGCCAAGGACGAGATGGACAAGGTCAAGAAGAAGCTCAAGGGCCTCCTCCGCAAAGGGAACGAGCGGCCGTCTCAGTTCGCCTGGCCCGACAAGATGCCCGAGCCGGCCGAGGTTCAGACTCGCGTCGTCCAGCTGATGAACTTCCATCGCCGGGTGATGCACCACAACTACGCCAAGTTGAACAACGGTAGCGCCGTCGCGTCTCTCAACACCCACATCGTCAACCCGGGCTCGGAGAAGCACGCGAACGGGGAGTCCTCGGGCTCGACGAGCACCTCGTCCACGGGGTCGGCCCTGGCGCAGGCCAACGCCATCAACAGCATCCAGACCCGCTGGTGCTGCGGAGAGGATGCGGAGCTTTTCAGGGAGCGGTGGGAGAAGCTGTTCGCCGAGTTCTGCGACGGCGAAAAGGTCGACCCCAGCAAGATCTCAGAGCTTTACGACACGATGAAGTTCGACGCCCTGCACAACCGCCAGTTCCTCGAATGGGTCTTCACCCCGCCCAAGGCCATGCTGGAAGAGGAGTACGGCACCAAGGACAAGGACGGCAAGGAGACGAGCAAGGACGGAAAGGCCACGGAAAAGGGTTCGGACGAGGGGAAGTCGTCCCAGGACGACAAGCGGGACTTTTCGGGTTCCAGCGACAAGGCGGAGAAGAGTGATGCCAGCAAGAGCTCGACGTCCGTTAGGCGCATCTTCCGCCGCCGCTCGTTCCTGAACGGCCTGCTGCACAACGGAGAGCAGGCCGCGCCGGAGCAGTACTTCCATCTCTACAAGGGCACCACCCAGACAAAGGCCAAGACGGACGCCCGCTTCGAGCCGCTCAGGGAGCTCTACCAGCTCGCCAAGGTGCTCTTCGACTTCATCTGCCCGCAGGAGTACGGAATCTCGGACAGCGAAAAGCTGGAGATCGGTTTGTTGACATCGTTGCCGCTGCTCAAGGAGATCGTCCAGGATCTCGAGGAGATGCAGGCGTCCAACGACGCCAAGTCCTTCTTCTACTTCACGAAGGAGTCACACATCTACACCCTCCTCAACTGCATTCTCGAGGGCGGCATCGAGACGAAGATCAAGCGCAGCACGATTCCCGAGCTCGACTACCTATCGCAGATCTGCTTCGAGCTCTACGAGTCCGAGATCAAGGTCCCCGCCGACACGCCCGAGGGCGGAGAGGAGCAGGCCTTCGCCTACAGCATCAGGATCACCATCAGTCCCGGATGCCACGTCTACGACCCCCTCGACGTGCAGCTCGACAGCAAGCACAGCATCAGCTGCGCGCCCCGACGTAGCTTGACCCCTCACGCCGACTGGATGCAGGTGATCCGCACCCTGAGGGCAAAGTTCAACCAGTAAGTCGCCACCCCAGCCGTGGATTCCCGTCATTGGACGTTCTCTCCCCCCTTTTCTTTTGCTAACGAGCTACACAGAGTCAAACTGCCAAAGACCTTCCTCGCCATCAACCTGTCAGATCTGTTCTCGTTCGAGGACCACGAGAGACGGGATAGTGATACCGAGGGGCTCGTGATGAAGTCATTGCACAAATCGAAGGCCGCGGACGCCGAGGATAAGCCAGACGCTACGCCGCCTGATGACGAGCTCGTTGCGGTCGGGGAGCTACTTACCGCGAATCTGAAGAGGGAGGAGGAACCGGTGAGCCCCGGAACAAAGGTCGACGGTCCGGATGCCGTGACGGTTGCCGAGGAGGTCAGTGAGGTGATCACGCAAGAGGAGGCTGTCAAGTCGGAAGAAGAACCCGCAGCTTCTTCGTGACAGAGTACATCAACAGGATACACACGGCAGAGGTAGATCTGTGAGGAGCATAATACCAATAACCCGTTTTTTTGAATACCACTCGATCCCTTCCTCCCTGATTTGATTGGAAGGGCAGCATGCAAAGGCGAATTGAGTTAGAGGTGCAACGTCATCAGTCTTTCCGATGTGAAGTGTCACCGTAGGTAGAATGTAACGCGCCGAGCCGTCCACCGTTAGTCGACCGGAAGAAAGCCATCCATGGTATCAACGAACGGGCGAGGGGCCAGGGTCGTATATCGCATATCGCGCATTGCACACCGCAATTCTCTGTCCCACACTGCCCGGAGTTTGGTCGAGATGAGCTCTCGAGGTGACGTGGCGCAGGGGAGTCGCGTTGAGGCGGGCTGGCCACTTTGACATTCTTCACCGTCGTCGGCTCGTGATCTCCGGCGGGGCGTCCAGGGACGAATTGCTTCGGTTTGGGTCAAAGGCCGGGAAGAAAAGCGAGTACTCCGAATAGGGATCGACTTTTGCTCGCCGACATCCGATCCGGCCAAGCAGCGGCAGGGTTTCAAAGACGATACTGATACGGAAAGACGCTTACAGCGCATGATGAATTGCCCGCTTTGACAGATGCCGACTTTCCTGGCACAGATTACGGACTGGCGGCAGTTGACAAAGGCGGGCAGAACTTCAGACGATTTTCATCCCCTTGAATCTTCGTAATACCAAAAATATCCGGCGATCAGGCGATGGGGATGTCGAAGGCGCTCGACAGGGGCTTTGACCTCTGAGGCCATGAATGGTACGGATCCCCGCAACTTCAAATTGCCGGGGGCGTCTCGGTGGATCAGGAAGCATTGCACGAGAACGTCTTTCTCCGTCGACTCCTCCAAGAGACTTTAGAGGAAATCCTCGGATGCGCTTTGTCTTCTGGAGCCCTTGAATGATACAGTCGATGCTGTGACCCTAGTTGCGGCACTGCCATTTGCAGGGGGAGGCTTCGGATCCGCCAACATGGACCCGGAAGGGGTCTCGGATTCATGGTCGGCCTGGTTTCATCCGGCTTCTCGAAGCTCGCAGAGTGAAGAATATTGACTTTTTGCTTGCTGGTTGACAGCGGCTCTGCAGCCAAGAGAGGTCTTACTCGGGGGCGATGCAGCTGTTTCTGGTGGCTGTCAAAGGACGACTCGCATACGCCTGGGTTCATGTTGTCTTTCTGGCGGATATGACTCCATAAGAACGTTGCTCAAACGTCCATGGCTGCGTCATTGTTCGGTGCACTTGAATGAAGTTTACCACCAGCAGCAACCAGTGATGTAGACCTGTGGCGGCGGGATATCAAAGCCCCGGACATACGGAGCAGAATCTTGTGGTTTCGGTTGGCATTGCTTCGGGGGCGAGGTGAGTACCTCGGTAAGTTCTCGTGTTAGCGGGTATTCATGCCTTGATTCGAGAATACTCACCAGGTAGAATGTGGCGTGGTCTGGAGAATGCTTGTCGTTGATTAGCATGGCTAGTGGTGGAGTTTATCGGTACGCAACGTCGACTGGCGAGCGAGTTTGCTCGCCGGGGGTTTTGGGAGGTGGGCAAATCCCCACCTCCGGCGGAGGGCGGGACTCTTCACCGACCAAGCCAGATGAGATGACCAGCCGCTTCTGGGCAGATTGGCCGGATAATTGCAGAGATTGTGTGTGGGTGTAAGTGAAATCCTTTGTTGTATCTGATGGCGCGTACAATTTGTCCACGCAGTGTGGTCTGGCAACAGCAAATGGCCATCGTGCTCGGCACCGGGAGGGTTGCGAAAGAATATTTCTCGCCGGCAACAACCATAAGTTTGATTTGATGTTTTCGATTGCGGCGGATCGCCGCTCATTGTAGCGAGATGCAGATTTTGGGCCAGTGTGCAACGGCGAAGTTGCGTCTGCACCCCGGCCAGCAAGTCACATCATGTAGAGATTCGAGGACAGCTGGTTGGCTAGTCGGTTGTAGCGCAGCAGGGCTCAGTGGCATTTGGCCGGCACTGCTCTCGCTTGGTGAAGATGGTGTGAAGGCAATCATCCCAACTTCACCGAGTGTGGCACCTGCCGAGTCGTCATCGAACCATGGTCTGAACCCCATGTTCGCGGTGGTCGGGAGGAAGGGAGGGAGGGAGCACCGCATCGTACCGCACCGCAGCAAATGATAGTTGACGATCCATGTCCATGTGGACAGGGCAGGAGAAAGTTCAAGGGTACGGGACCAGGAACGTTTTGTGGAGGTGATGGACCGGAGCGATAGACGGGCAATGCCATTTTTGACGAGATGGCGGCTGCTTTCCCTCTCGTGATGTTGTTGAAGTGGCCGAGCGGAGGCAGGGGCCAGAACTGCCAGTCTCAGGAGGCGCGTCTTTGACACCTGCAAGTCAATGGATTCAATCATGAATTGAGTTGCGGTTGACCCGGAGCTAGAAGCAGGTTGTGACGTAGTCGACCAATGAAGTATGAGGCCGGTCAGTTTCGGTATGAGGACCTGGCAAAAATGAGCAAGCTCAAGCTGGAACGGCGGGTAGGCAAGTCGGGGCGTGGGAGCCGAAAGAAGATCTGAGACGGACGGGACAGAAGGCAGCACCCTGCCGGCAAAATGAGAAGGGTTCGAGTCGTTGGAAGTAGCTTCTTGGCCCATAAATTGGTGGTTCTCGGGTGATGTGTGATCAAGGGTCTCGAGGATTTTCAGTGCTGACGTTTGGAGATTGGACCATGTGCGATCATAATGATGTGCGTAAGCTGCAACACTGAATTATGTGGTCATCCATGGTTGGAAGGTTGTCTCTTGCCCGTCCTGTCTCTGTTAAGTCAGGGAATGTCATCGCTGAGAGGGTGTCAGAAGCTTACTTTCACGTTTGATGGTGTCTGCGGTGTCGATAACGGGGAAGTGTAATACACCTGAATAGAGACGGTTGACGACAAGACGAGGTGTATCCAGTGTCATGTGGAAGAAATGGAAGGTTGTCGGATGCCAGAGACGGGTAGTTCAGGTATATCGATGAGGCGGCAGATTCGGTTGGCCCAAGTCAGCTGCAGCTGCAGCTTTGAATGTAACCCGACGGAACTGCAAACTGTGACTGCCAGTTTCGCTGCAAAAGCAGTCTCGACTTGGACGTTGTGCGGCCTCGACCTGTGGCAGGCCGACGCTTGGGAGCGTGACATGGCGGTCATGTGATTATAAGCGAGAGAGATAAACCAAGATCCGGGGAAAACGAGGAAGTAGTATTGCCATTCGATAGGTGTAACTCTGCATCCGTACTATGTAGAGATTCTGTCCAGATGTGTCCGGAGATGCATGCAAGTGAGGCAATGAGGAGGCAGGAGCAGGTGAGGCACTTGCCTGATTCAGACGAAGCTGCTTAAGTTGACGCAGCGGATGCGGACGCGGATGGGGCAGGCGCGAGCCCGGGTCGGTTGAGGCCGGGCGGCGCCTGCCTCTACCTCTGACATGAGACGAAGGAGACATTCCCGTCCGGGGTCGCTCTTGCTGTTGCTATTTTCATTTTCTTTTTTGTTGTGAGGCACCTACCTACCTTAGGTAAGAGGAGGTAGGTAGGTACCTAATTAATTGGGCTGTACTTGTGGTTACCAATTTTGCAAATGACATCGAAGGAAGTTACCTGAAGCTCCAGTTGTCTTGTCATTGTTTGGCAGTTGCCGTCGCAGAGATTATCTCATTGGTCATCGAGTTGGGCAGGTTCGTCAGGTCCGCCTTGTATCACCCTCCATCCCACTCCTTCTCGTCACTCCAACTACCTACAACTCAACCCTGCACTTTTCACACCTGTCCAGATGTGACCGTCTACCGATGTAAATTGGCAATCGACAGCCCCGTCTTTCCCTGACCGAGCTTACGAGGAAACAAGGGAAATGAGGCACACAATCTCGAGATCAGCAACAACAAGACTTCGTGCTCCCTCATTCCCGCAGCACAGGTGCCTCACGGCAATCTTCCCAGGAGAGCTGCGTGCAGGTTTGGCCCAACTTGGGCTTGCACCCTTCACGAATATCAAGTCACCTGGTGCTAACCTTCTCCCAGTAACCATGAGGCACAATGCGGGTTCATGTCACTGTGTCACCTCAATGTCATGTCTGACGTGACTTGACGTTGAAGAGTTTACCTAGGCAGGCGCCGTGCAGCAAGGCGTGGATCTGGCGGAGTCGCGGCGCCATTTGCAGCTTTACCTCACTCTAAGGTAAGCAGAGCTAACCACGGCTGTCTCTTACTGCTTGCAGCAAATCCCGGCAACCCTCCATCCACGACAAGGGCCGCCTCAATTCAACTCGCATCAACGGCATCGCAACTGGTCTCGCCAAGCACACTCTTTGTGCCCCTCGATCCCCACGCTGCATCTCAACCGGAGCTCGACCATTTCCCACTCGCTTCGCTATCCGACGCAAGCCATCTAGCCTCCAGCCACGTATTTGCCATCATCTTGTCCCATGGGGGCCAAAAGGAGACAACAAGCACTAGACCGGTGCCTGGTGATTTATCGAACAATTCGACTCAGAAGTGGCAAAATGGCCAGCAATCATACCGCCCGAGGTTCTTTTTTCCAGCACTCATGCTGCACCTACACCGGCTTCCTTCCATGTTCATTTCCAGAAGCTCCAAGTGGGACCTGGTGAACTGATTTCGACATGGACCAGGCCTGCTCACCCTGCCGTCAAACGGCTGCCCCGGCCCCGGTTCGCCAACTCGGAACGACAACCTATTTGTTTGTGCCAGTGCCGAATGGAGCTCCTGCGAGCCATGACAGCTGTTTCAACCAGGAATGCCTGCTTCTGCAAAGTATCGTCCTGGAGCCTCTCGCCTTGATCATAAGTACGGATAGCAGACGCAAAGTGGCAGATACCCGCTGGGAAGAAAGTTGACGAGACTTCAACAACCAAGTTCTCCAGGCTTCTCGTGGCTTGCTCGGGTTTCACAGCGGAGGCCATGTCCGTGTCGTCGGTTTTTGGACTCCCTGTCTACCGAGTGTCGCTTTGCCT